AGTGTAATTTTAGTAATGAAGCTTATATAAAATGAAGCCTTATATACTTTTAGTATTATTTAAAGGTAAGTCGCCTATATTAATAGTAGAACCGCTATAAGTATAATACTAATAGTAGCTGGATGTATATTATTAGTAGTTGTTAGTAATACTTTAAGGATAGCATTAATTATAAGGAGTATGCCTAAATAAGGTTAGAAAGGAGACTAGAAGTAGTATAGAAGCGGTTTTATAGCTTTTAGTAGTGTGAGATATTTTAAAAGGTTGTATCTCTAGCGGATATATATTAGTGAATATTCGAGCTAGACTCTATCTATACCTTTTAAAGAAAGTATTTAGTATAAGGTAATGTTTTATATATTTTAAGGTTTAGCTTTATAGGGGTTGTGGCCTTATATGCTATTAATATAAAGATAATCTTTATATATACTAGTAATAATTAGCTAAAAGAACCTTTAATTTTTAAACTAGCTATTATAAATATTAGTAAAGTAATGAAGTTAAATATAATATTTTATTATAATAATAAAATAATTTTAAAGATTTATAAAAGGTTAGAAGAACGGTTTTAATTATATATATATAGGATTTATAGTATGTTAAATATTATATATAAGATAAAAGGTATAATAATAAGTGCTATTAAAAGTGAATTAGTAGCTTTAAGGCTTGATTGTAGTTTTATAGTTAAGTAGTTATTAAGTAGTTAGAATTAGTAGGCTTTAAAATATATATTTGATAAGTATATTATATTAAAGACCTATTTTTATAGTAATAATCTTTTGTAGATAGTAGGGTATAGTGGGCCGGTTAATTTTAATATAGTATTTTACTTACTCTTTTTAAACTTTTTAATGAACTAATATTACTATTAGGTTTTTATTAATGTATAAAAACTACTTTTTATGTTAAAGTATGTCTTTATAAGTAACTGGGCCTTGGTGTTAAATGTATAAGTAGGGGAGTTTAAAGGGTAGATTAGAATAAATAAACTTAGTAGGTTTTTATATTATATTATAGTGGGTTATAAAGGAGATTTTAGTAACTATTTATTTAATTTTAATATATTAATTTCTAGATATTATATTGTAATATATTATATAAAATAATATATAAACTTTTAGTTTATAGCTATTTTATATAAATAAACCTTTTAAAGATATAAAATAGTACTCTCTTTTTAAGAAAGTGTTTACTATATATTATTATAGGCTTATTAATACTAAGATATATAATTTAATATATAAGTATATATAGTATTAGTGTAGTTAAAGGGTCCTAGTTATTATTAATTTATTAATAAACTTTAACTTTTTTATTTTTAAGGTGTTAAATATTTAAGTATTTATTACTATTTATTTAAGTACTATATATACTTTATATACTTTAATATAAAAATTAAAACTAATTTAGTAGTTATTTTATAAAGGGATTATATAATGTAAAGATTAAAGATAAAGCTATATATATATAAGTTAGCCTCTTTTAAATATAGCTATATATTTCTTTTAAAGATATATTTTAAATTTTTTAAGTATATATCCTAATTAGTTTTCTATTATATATATTAAATTTAAGTTTCTCGCTTAATAAGTTTTATTATTATTTCTTTTAAATTATATAAAAGCTATTTTCTTTTTTTTTATATTTGCAGCCTTTTTCTATTTTTCTTCTTTTTTTAATTTCTTTAAAAGGCCCTTATATATTAGAGTTTATATTATTACTATATTTTAAATATAGTTATAAAGCCTTAAGTTTTAGCTTAAAGACTATAATTTAAAACTTTTTTTTAGTATAAATAAATTGTTTTTTTATAATTCTTTTACTATTTTAACTTTTATATTTATTTAAATTATATATAATTAGAAATAGCTTTGTTTTAGCTAAATTAATATCCTTATTTTTAAAAACCTTTTAAGTAAGCTATATTTATATACTCTTCTAACTAATAGTATATTAGTAATATTTATAAATAGTAAGATAATAAGTATTTATAGGCTTTAATAAACTATAATAGTTTAGCTTAGTTAGTAGCTAGTAGATAGTAATAACTATAATAACTTCTATATATATTTAAGTTAGAATTAAAATAATAATATAGGTGTTAAAAAAAGAATAAGAAAAGCTTTAAATATTAGAATTAACTTTAAAAATACCTCTTTTAAATAAGTTATTATTTATAATATATTTTATATAATAGAGATCTACTTATAATATGCTAATATCTATAAAGTACTTTTTTTACGTTTACTTAATGCTATTAAAAAGGTAGATTAGGAAGAAGGGTCGCTATTAAATAGGGTGTTTATATTTTTTAAAGAAGCTAGTATATAAATTAAGATAAAGCATATTAGCACTTAGTTTAAGGGTTTTATGAAGGCGGATAAGAAAGTAAGTATAGTTAGTTAATCCCTTCTTATAGCGGCATTACTAATAAGAGCATTATTTTAAGAGTTAGGTAGTAATAATATTAAGTTCTTCTAGTTATTTAATATTAATATTACTTAGTTATTTAATATTAATAATGCTTAGTTATTTAATATTAATACTATTAATTAAATTACTACATTTTTTATTTATAGCTATAAGTTATTACCTTTTTAACTAAATACTAACTTTTATATTTAGTACTTTATTTAAGTAAGCTAACTTTTTTAATATATTATTTTACCCATTCTAACTTACTATTTATCTATTATTAAATGCTTATAAGTTAGTATTTTAATAGTAAGAGTATTAAAAAGGTATAAAGTTATAAATAAGTTACTTAACTTATTTAAATACTAGTATATAAAGCTTTTTATTAGTAAATAAAATTAAAAGTTTTTTATATATAAGCTAAATATAAATATTTTAATAAGAGATAAGTTAATTAATTATTTATTCTAGTTGTTTTTATAAGTAAGGGGTATAAGTTAAGGGTAGTAGGTAGGACTTATAGGGGTTCTTATAGATCCTTTTATTAATAAGGCTACTATATTATTACCTTATACTTTAAGGCCTAAGGGGTAACCTTCCTTTTTTCTCTTTTTTCTTTAAGTAACCCTACTTATAAAATTTAAACTTTAAGTCCTTATTCTATAAAGTTTAAGTGACGTCTTACTAGATAGCTATAGGTATTTGAAATGAGGTACGAGCCACTTTAAGAGGAGGGTTGAAGGGGTTTAGCAAGGTTCTATAAGGTGTCGATTAGGGCTCCGTAGCAAGTTAAAAATGATCACGATAGTCGTAATGATTTTTAACCTATTATAGAGCCCTAATTGGTGTCTTATAGAGCCTCACTAAACCTCTTTAACCTTCCTTTTAAGGTGGCTTATACCTTATTTTAAACATTTAATACTACTTAGTAAGATATTACTTTAAGCTTTATAATATAAAGATTTAAAGTTTATATTAAATAATATAAATTTTATAAATAAAGGTATTTTTTAAAAAAAAGAAAGAAAGAAAGTTATTTTTTAAATTTTAATATATAAAGTAATAATATAATAACTTTATTAATAAAAAAACTTATAAAGTTTTTTATAAGTTTTATTTATTATTTTTAACTTTTATTTTTAACTTATAAAAGTATTTAAAATAAATAATTAATTAATTTATTTTTATTAAAATATTTATATTTAATTTATATATAAAAGTTTTTAATTTTATTTATTAATAAATAACCTTATATATTAATATTTAAATAATTAAGTAATTTATTTATAACTTTATAATTTTTTAATACTTTTATTATTAAAATATAAACTTATAAATATTTAATAATAAATAAATAATATATAAAAAGTTAATATTTAATTAAAAAGTAATAACTTATAATTATATATTAAAATATAATAGTTTAATTAATAATATTAATATTAAATAATTTAAATAATTTAATATTATTATTATTTAATTTTAAAATAATATTTTATTAATAATATTATTATAAAAAATTAATTAATTATATTTACTTTTTTATTTATTTTTAAAATAATATTTTATTTATAATATTATTATAAAAAATAATTAATTATATTCACTTTTTTATTTATTTTTATAAAACCTTTATATTAAATATTATTTTATTTTATTTTAATTTATATATTAACCTTTTTAAAAATATAAATATTTTATTTAATAATAATTCTTTCTTTTAATTTATTTTTAATAATATTAAATTAATATAAAAATAATATTTAATAAATATTAATATATTATAAATAAATTTAAATTATAATTATAATTTTAATTTTAATTTTATAATATATAAATATTATTATAATTATTATTATTTAATATTTAATAATTAAATTAAATTATTATAATTTATTAAAATTTATAAATAATTATTATTTTATTATTTATAAGTATTATTAATATATTATTAATTAAAAGTATATATAAATATAGTTTATTTAAAAAGTTTTTAAAGAAAATAAAGATATTAATTTAATTAAAGTAAAGTTATTTCTAACTATATATAACTTAAATAGGTGTGAAAGTTAAAGTAGTAGAAGAGTTATTAAAAGGCGATCTACTTATACTAAAAAAGGGTTCTAGGTTGCAGTCCTTAGGCTGAAGCCTGAGGCTTTAATACTATTACCCCCTAATCACCACTTTATAAAATTTTATGTGGTCTCGCTTCTATTCGGTATCTGTCCGAGGACATACATGGCGCCTTTATACAGTGGTAAGCGCTCGTTTGGTGACCACTATTATGCGGAACATGACAGCCTCCAGTGGCGGAACATTGATGTATTAAATTGTAACAATGACTGGTAGCAATCTAAGTATGAAAACGTAATTGACCGTAATTCTGCTAGTGTCTACTACCCACGCCACCCCTTCGCCGTCGGCAACATGTATCTGCAAAAGCCAAATATCATGGAGGCCCTCAGCCTAGCCACCCCCTGATCATCACTCGACAGTCCCACCTTCCAGGATAGGCTTTATTTGTGAGAAATATCATAGGGTATTGTGCGCCTCTACTGAGACTGACTCTCGTGGCTCGGCGTCTAGCAAGTCTTTGCAGCCACGCATGGGTCCTCGTAATCATCATCACCATCGTCCCCCCAAGGGAAGGCGTTGAAGACGATCTGCGTGCAGTCTGTTAGCTGGGTGACATCGTTGTCCAGCACAATCATCTTCTTCCATCTGCAAGCATTTGTTAGTATCGTATCGCGTGCGTGAAGAAAGAATATGACAACAACATACGCATTGACATAGTCCTTGACCCAGGCCTCCTGGCTGGCAGCGTAGACATTCCAGGAGTCACGCGTCTCACCATACTGCGAAAGGAAGAAGTCGCTGGGGAGCGTGGCGGGCGCGTACAAGTCGCGCGTCTCGCTGTAGTAGGTCCAGGAGTCAAGCTTGCCGACGCTGGTGTCAAGCGGCACGCCGGTGTGGTTCTTGGCCCCGCTGTGGGCGCCAACCAGCGCGACGAGGTCGTCGGCCGTGAACCCTCTGCCGGCAAAGACGCCGATCATCGTCGGGGCCTCCAGGGTCGGCGGGGGAAGCTGGCCCTGCACGGCAGCCGTCGGGTTGTCCGTACGCCCGGTGTAGAAGGGCGTGTACGGACCGTATCGGCAGGCCTTGTTGCCGATGGCTGTGCGAGGCGTCAGCGTCTTGTCGTCATATTCAATGTTCACCTGCGGTGACTTCAATGTGTAGGGGTATACTCACCACCAGCCAAGTTGATCAAGTCAGCCACGCCGACCTTGTATCTAAAGGCTACATCTCTGAGCTTGCTGCAGATGGGGATGAGCCTCTCATTCTCAAAGCGAGTGAAGCACTCGTCAGTGAGAATGATGGAGCCGTCACAGCCACCTCCCGGGAAGCAGTCATGGAACGGCAGTCGGATGGCCTGGCGAGCGTAGTTGGTGCAATAGCCTTCTTTGTCGATGAATTGGTACTTCAGCTCCCGGGCGATGTAGTTCCAGACATCAGGGCACGCAGTGTCAGCTCTGGGCTCCAGCGCGGCGCCAATGACCCCAGCAGATAGGAAGAGAGAGGCGAGAGCACGTTTCGTAAACATCTTCGGAGAATGCTAAGACGGGCAGGTAGCTTGAGGATTGTATGTGAAGAACAGGAAGACAATTAGGACCTTGAAGTCTGCTATCAAGACCTCGAAGTCTGCTCTGGAACAAAACGAATGTCCTCAACTTGGTACGCCTTCTGAGAGTAAGAGTTCGACGGAGAGAAGAAAGTATCAGCTTCGGCGGGCGCCCCAACCGAAGGAGGACATCCCCATATTAAGGGACCCCCTCAACTCAACAGTCGCTTGGGCCACCATAAATGACGACGACATCATCAATATCTTACTTTGCCATCATCACAGCCAGCTACCCCTCTCGTCACCAGCTCATGAGGGTCCACGAGAGAGCCTGAGGTTTCTCAAGTTGAAGGTCTAGGGCAGCCTATCAGAGAGTAAAAGACAGTTCGCGTGAGGCTGGCTGATTTCCTAGACCAGACCACCGAAAATAGCGCCTCCGCTTTGATAAATAGACGGCTGTAGTGTTAACGCGACGCGTTATGATGGATGACCGAAGTTGAGCCGAACAAGCCTGTGCGGCGGAAAGTATCGGCCAAGGTCTTCATCGAATGTGAGCAACGAGATCGAGGGTATTCACCATGGCCAGGCAGTTCAAATGTTGTGCTAATATAGTCAACAGGATTGGTGCTTTGTTGGGGGTGGGCTGTCGTGACAACGTTACGTGGCTCGGGAAGCTCCAAGAAGAGCCGAAATCCCGAGGAACACTGAGATGGCCCAGACGAATTAGAAATAAGCGATTGCTAAGCTATCCTGTCCAGAATGAGTCCCTTACGCTGGTTCAACAAAATCTGCCAGATGCAAGTGATTCTGGGGGCCCTTGTGGCTGATATCAACCTACAGAAGTTGATCTTATATCACTAGTGGAATATCATTGTAGCCCCATTGGAGGTCGTCTCAAAAGAGATTGAGGTGCTCTCGATTCTATCGGGTGTTCTTCTCTGGGCAGCAATCCCGCAGCAGAGATGCTTCTCCATACCCCTGATGGCTACGAAAAGCCCCCCTGTCCTCTTAAGAAGAATCAGTCAGTTGTTAGAGAAAAGCTCCGGTGGTGAAGTCACCCTTTTAGCGAGCGAGCAAGGCTGAGAGATGCTCAGTGGTAGGCGTCCAAGGTTGTCCCTCCCGAGGTCACTCGATGCTACATAGTACCCAATGATCTTCACGTACTGGTTGGCATATCCTTGCATATTAAATATTTCATACCATTGCTCGCCCGGTGTCTCAGCAACCGAACCGATATTCTGGGCCGCAAGGTCCCGCTGAGAACGTTCTCAACCGTCACAGTTAGCCTACCATCGCCCTGGAACATGCCGTCCTCCTTCTAAGTTCTAAGTTGAGCTCCTTTATCATCTAGCTTCAAAACTCGAGGTATATCATCGCGATTTTCCGTTTGATCTGCGAGTGAGAAGGTGATGAACTGCATATGTGGTCGCACTGCGTAGCTTATTGTGGAGAGATGCTGTGGCGGCATGCGAAACATCGTGAGCACGTGTGGATGAACTACTGTTAACTTCAATTAAGCGATGCTATTATTATGTAAGTTGCTCGCGCAGAGGACGATTAGTACAGTGGTAACTTTGAACGCAATCTGTTTTAAAGCGACTCCTTTCTCATTTGCCTTCGAATTAAGAAGCAACCGAACATCCGACCTGCGGTACACTTCCGATTGGCTTCCCGTGCTCAAAGGTTTCTTGTTGGCCAACAGCTTGAAGCTTGGGCCCCCATAGTTGCGCAGTCGCTATTGGCACGATTGCTGCGAGCGAGAGGGCAGCCCAGAAGTTCCAGGATAACAGAAGAGTGCAAAAGGGCGGCTCTCTGGCCAATATCTGTGCAGCGGTATAGTTCCTGTTTTGCGCCGCGGGCGTCTCTCCGTTGTAGACGAGGTGGATGATGCGGGCCGTCCACGCTGAAACGACGAGCAGGCCGATGGTCCTCAGCCTCGGAGCCCCATTCATCCTTACTGAAGCCCAGTCGAAAGTGCAAAGGAAGTCCATGGCGTGGGAGAAAAACACATACAGCAGTCCGATAATGGATGTGTCCTGCAGAAGAAATTTGGACCAGTAGTACAGTAGCGATACTGGTCTGTCGTCGAACGTAAGCGAGTATATGCTCTCGTTTTCAAAGAGCTCGAATTGGTGTGTTGGGCTAGAGATGCCAGTCAGGACGATCCGCCACGCAGTCACAAGTATGGTGAGCAAAGCCAGACTCATGAATGTGTTGAACTTGGTCATGGTAGAGTTGGCTGCCGCTTCGACCACCTTTTGCACCAAGAAGCTCTTTAGCGCGGCGCTGCCCACCGAGGAGTACCCGCTAGCCAGCATAACGACGAAGATGGTGTATTGGCCAACGTTTATTATGCCGCGATTCAGCGACATTCGCGATGTCGTACGCACCGGCCCAGCCTGGAGGCAGGCCAGGTGGTCGGCATATTGTTGGATGGCCTTGTTGAGCGAGGAGCTGAGGACCATGCAGTAAAACACGTTCATTCGGTCGATGGAACTCGGGAGCGTTGGTGTCAAACAAAGCACCATCGTAGCGATGTTGAGGTCCTGTTGCGCATACAGTAGAGATGCCCAGTCGCTGCGGCCAAAGAGCTGCAGCCTGGCTGCAAGCGTGCAGCCAACCAGTCCAACAGTTCCCGCCAGTACCGCGTTCCACATGAGTTCGACAAGGTCTTTTGCCCCGTTGGCCTGGAGCCCTGGTGCGCTCCAAGAGTAGAGAAGAACGAGAGAGATCCGGGCACTCACGAATGATAGCCCCGTGAGCAATGTGGTGGACGTGATGTTGAGACGGTCTCCGACTTGGAATCTGAACACACCGGACTTTTCGATCTGCAGGGCACCGCATTTCTTCAGGCGAAGGTAAGTGATCCGGAAAATGTACGCCAGATGGAACGAATGCGCCGTGATTGCAATGGCTGCTGGTCCACCCTGCAGACCGTTGGCAGGGATCATCGCCAGGGCCACAATGGTGGCTGGAGCGCGGGTAACGAAGAGAAAAAGTGTGCCATAAAAGGTGAGGCGCCAGTCCCAGGCTGGGCTCAGGTGACCGGTCCGGCTAAGCAAGTTGCGGATGCCAGGTGGGATCTCAGCCCACAGAGAGGCGAGGGAAAGGTCCATGCCCCGGCGGGATATGTGGAACTTGGCAATGACACCCATGACGAGGAGGGTAAAGAGGTGGTGGAGAGCCAACTCGGGGATATGGAGGTAGTGAGGCAGCTCTGAGATGTAGATGATTATTCGCGAGCCCGAACAAAATTGCTGAGCAGGATTCATTGAACGGCGAAAGCCAGCAATGTCGTCTTCTGGGGCTGTCTTCCATACAGCCATTGCGCACCCAATCAGAGGTATGGGCTTGACGAGGAGGCCAAGCAGGGCTCCCAAGAAATATAGATATCCTTCATAATTGCCCCGGAGCTTGTTGTAGAAAGCAGGACTCCACCACTTAATTATCCGATCGACAGTCAGACGGTATAAAAACCAAGCCGAGAGCCCGGTGACGAGAGGAAGGTATGGGATTTCCTCCCGTGGGAGGCCGGGATCGCCCATGGCAGCCAAAGGGGATAAATGCTCCTAGTTCTCGGTTCTTAGAGAAAACGGGCGCCAAGAATAATGCAACGAGTGAGAACTCACATGAACATGCCATTGTGGGTTCCGAACAGTTGACATGCGGTCGAGCCGATTGTTTATCTACTTTGTTGGCCCGCCCGATTCTTAATCTTACGTCAAGATATCGAATGTGCCTTCTGCACCAGTATTCGTAGCTTCCTTCAGCCATTAGCCTTGTTTTTTTTTCAACATGTCCATGGTCCCACAAGGCACGCTTTAGTCACAGACCCAACGTGGGACCAAGGCTGCTAGGCGTCGTAAGTTCTCAACAGACTGTAGATAATTTATCTAATAGCCCATCATTTTCAAACCACGTATTTTCTTCACTGATTGGGGGACACGACGGTCATGTTAGCGCGGCGCCGCGAAGGACTGAGCCGTATGCCAGATACTAGCCCTGGAGGCCATGTCAACGGGTACTTCCAACATTCCAACGTCTGGCCATCTCGAGATAGGCTGGCAGTAGCTGTCGCTATCAAGAAGCTTGCTCTGCCCGCAATCTTACTGACACGAGATGGTCATCCGTGCACAGGTGCTATATATTGGTTTGGGGGGCCGCTGACACTTGGTGTTTGGTGCTCAAAACCAAGGGTATGCCCATGTGAGCAAGAGCTCTGGGTCCACACATCGGCGCGGAGCTGTAGCTCTCTGCTCCTTCCTTATCTGTTCTCAAATCTACGCCTTTTCTGCTTTAGGTCGAAGCTGCCTCCTGTGAAGCCATCTGCCTGCCTACCAACCTGGGCAGATGTCTAGGTAGGGCATCCTCGGAACTCACCTCCGCACACAACCAAGCACATCCTCATTTCGTATGCTCATTTCATGGTTAAAGAATCCAAACAATGGCCAAGACTGCACCGCGACAGCAGACCCCCACGCCACTGGAGGGTTATCTGGAATATTCTGTACCGGCATCACTTGGGTCGAGTGTCATTGATGGAGGCCCTCCGTCGCCTGCTCCGTCGCCTGCCCCCCTCGCGACCCCTGTCACAGGTCCCTCATTCTCCACGCTGCCAAGGTGGAGGAAATATGGCATATTCATCTGTTGCTGCTTGATGCAGTTCTTGCTCCAGCTCGACGTCTCCGGCGTGGCCGTGACTATCCCTGTGAGTTCAAAAAGGTGGGCGTGCGGCAAGGATCAGTCGACTGATGCTTGATCCCCTCGCAGAAAATAGCCAGCGATGAGAAGGCAACCCAAGTCAAGGCATTTGCGCTGGCTACGTGCTACTGCCTGGCTCAGACAGTCTTCCAGCTTGTGTTCTCGCACGTCTCGCCCGCCCTAGGGCGAAAGCTCATGTTCCTGACGGGCCTTCTCTTTTACGTTGTCGGCGCCAGCGTGGCTGCCGGCAGAGTAAATATCGACATTCTGATCGCCGCGCGTGTGATACAGGGGATTGGATCGGCAGGCATGTTCACCATTCCCGCCATTCTCATCGTCGAGATGACCCAGCCGCGCCAGCGGGCGGGTTGGGTTGCTTTTTCTCAGGCCTGGGGTGCGCTGGGAAACATCTGCGGGCCGTTAGCCGCTGGGGCGATGTTTCACATAGGCTGGTCTTGGGTAAGTCACTAATTCTGATCCTTGTTTTATACGGACAATGTCATGTATGGACAGCTCACATGTGAGGAACACACACAGAACGCCATCTTTGCGGTTGAGACGTGCTTAGCCGGCCTACTCTTTTTGGCCCTTATGTCTCTCCTCCCGTGGGACAGCCGCAGCATAACGGAGAGGCTACACGAGCTCAGGAGCTGTGACTGGCTCGGAATGGGCCTCTTCTTTGCCTGCGCCGTCGAATTGCTGGTGCCCATCAACATCGGCGGGGCCACAAAGTCGACGCCGTGGGATTCTATCGCCGTCCTCGCCCTCTTGGGATTTGGATTCGTCACCCTCATCTTGCTCATCTACCATCAGCGAAGGCTGGCGAAGCGGCCTGCTTTTCCCAGTGAGATATTCACAAGACGTCCCACCACTGGGCACCGGCACCCCTTTAAGCTTTTTGTGAGCATCAGCCCCTCGATCGCATTCCTGGGCAACGCAGTCTGCGGCATCCTGCTGTTAGGGGTGTTTTACAGCCTCGTAATCTTCTGGGAAGGAATCCGGGAACAGCAAACAGCGATGGTGGGAGTCAAGCTGCTCTCGATGACCTTGACTTACCCAGTGGCCTTTGCCATCACGGGGCTAGCCATCAGGAAGTGGGGTCGCATCAAACAGGCCATAGCCGTCGGAGCCACAATGTCGACGCTGGGCCTGTTCCTGATGACGATGTTCATGACGAAACGCACGCCGGAACCGGTTCTGATAATCATATGTTTCATGGCGGGCGCAGGCTGCGGAGTCTTCGCGCCGGCCATGGTCAACGCCGTCATCGCCCTCACGCCCCCGCGCTGGCACTCGCAAGCCATAGCGACCCGCACCCTGCTGTACACCGCTGGTCAATGTATTGGCGTGTCCCTCAGCATGGCGATCTTCACCGCGACCTTCAAGGCCCGCTTCCTGGACCCCGACGTCAACTCCCGGCTCAAAGCGACAGGCGGGGAGATGGTCTTCGAAAGCCCGCAGGAGCTCATCAGCAATATCAAGAACCTGGCGGCCATGGCGCCGGAAGGGGAGCTGATCGGTATGGTGACTCGTTCGCTGCAATACGTCTGGTGTAGTGCTGGCGTCCTTGCCGCCATCACTGGCATCTCGGCCATCGCGATGCAGTGCCCTGACCTACCCCCGGATCGCACCACCCCGCCTCCCCGTCCTGGAGAAGAGCAACAAAGAAACAGCATTGAGATGGTATCACGGTAAAGGAACATGCGTGTCTATTGCACTCGACAGTTTCAATTTCGCTTCACAGCCTTTTTCCCCTATTCCCCTTTCACTAGAATAGATATTTCTGTATTGGTTTGAAATATGCCTGCGCAGTCTAAACCATGCCGAGGTACCGCGTCTCAAAGATGGTATCTTTGGTAGCGCCCGTGACCCCGATGCTAACCACCTCGCCCGGCACTATGTCCACAAGGTTGTCATCAAACTTGACGTGATCATCATGGCATTCCACCGCTAGGCCCTTGATCGGGACTTCGGCGCTGATCTCGACAGCGGTACCATCCTTGTTCAGGACAGCCTTGAGCTCCTTGGGCTTCTGCAGGTGCAGATACTTGAGAGGCTCGGGCCAGTTGACGTATCTAGCAAGCTGCTTGCCCGTCTTCTTGCAGATCGTGTATGCAGCGACGACCGTACGCGCTTCCTCGCCCTGGCCTGGGTGTTGCACAGGGACCTCTACGGCGAGGATCTCGGTGGACCTGTTCTCCGGCAGCACCATGTCCTTCTTGACCGTCTCGCTGTATGTCTCCTTGCCGGTCTCAACATCCCAAGCCTTCAGGATGGTATCAACCGTGACGTCCTCGAGGGTGAGGTTGCTGCCCCAGACTTCGATCACGGTCTTGGTCTCGATGTCGACCCGGGTGTACTTGTCCTTGGGGTGCTTATGCTCGCGCCGAGTGATGCCGATGCTCAGTGGCGCCATCTCACGCTTAACGGTGTAGTACGCGTGCTTGGGGCGCAGGTAGTAGTCCACGATGGACCACGAGGTGACGGGCCAGCAGTCGTTGATCTGCCAGACCAGGGCACCGCCGCAGTATTCGCGCCCGGGGCCTTTCCACTGGCGCTTCCACAGCCGGTAGGCGGATGCGAGACACTCGGCCTGCATGAGCTGCGTGCAGTAGATGAACTGCTCGATCGGGTCTGGCGCATAGCGGAAGTTCTCCACCAGGTAAAGGGCTATGCGGCGCTCGTGGCCGTCAGCCTTGTTGTGGAAGTCGATAGTGCTGGATTGTGGGTAGCGGTCCGGGTCATCCTTGCCCTTGGGGAGGTAGGCGTCGATGGTCTTGAGGTTGGGGAATGCCTCCATGCCGAACTCGGAGACGAAGCGCCCAACGAGCTTGTCGAAGTTCTGGTACTTCTCCTGGCTTCCGTGCCAGACGTTCCACTGATGCAAGTCGCCCACTGTTGGGTCTGACGTGGGCTTGCCGGCGCCCCATGGGCTGCCGAAGTGGTAGTACGTGCTCGGGATGAGTTCGGAGCAGGCATCTGCAAGGATCTTCTCGTAGATGTACCGGGCGGGGAAATCGGTCTTGAGCCAGGACTCTGCATCCTTGTTCTCGTAATCGTATGTCAGGTTCTCTGATTCTTGGTACTGGTAGTCTTCGTTGTTGCCGGCCCAGATGACAATGGAGGGATGGTGTCGTAGAAGCTTGATATTCTCCTCGGCCTCGCGTTTGATGGACTTGAGGATGTCGGGGTAGGCTGGGTAGTTTCCGCAACCAAACATGAAGTCCTGCCATACGAGGATGCCATACTCGTCACACGCATCGTAGAACGCCTGCTCCTCGTAGATACCACCGCCCCAGACGCGAATCATAAACTGATTGCCGTCCGCAACGAGCTTGACCCAGTCATAGTAGCGTTGACGGGAAATGCGCGGCAAGAAGTTGTCGGCAGGGATCCAGTCGCTGCCACCGCAGTAAATGGGGATGTTGTTGACCTGGAAGAAGAAGGAGGTCCCTGGCTGTTCCTCCAGGGCCCGCTGGATCAGCTCGGCCCGGCGCAAGCCAATTCTTTTTGTGACGCTGTCGATCTCGTCGTCGCCATCGCTAAGTAGCGTGGCCTTGACTGTGTAGAGGGGCTGCTTGCCATAGCGGACAGGGTACCACAGTGAAGGGCTGCTGATGTGGAAGGTTGCCTGGAGGTCGGCGCCTCCTTTGATGGTCTCGGATGCCACACTGTTGCCGTCCAGGGACACGTCGAAGCGGATCTTGTTGGCGGGGCCCTCGACTTGGGCACGGGCGACAACGGTTGCGGTCTTGAGGTCCTTCTCGACAGTGGTGTCGAAGTACAGGTCGGCGACGCGGGACTCGTAGATCTCGAGATTGATTGGTCTCCAGGGCCCACAGGTGTTGAGAACCGGGCCCCAGTCCCAGCCGAACTCATACTGCGCCTTGCGCACGGCGAGCCTCGAGTTGTCACCGTTCCAGCAGCCCCACTTGTGGTCTGGGTGCTTCTCGACCTCTTTCCAGCCCCTCAGGTAGGCACTGTCAAAGGTGATGACCAGCTTGTTGTCCCCCTCCAGGATCGTGGAGGTGACATCGACCCGCTCAGGGGTGAACATGTTGTCCGACTCAAGGATGGTGGAGCCGTTGAGCACAACCGTGGCGAAGGTGTCCAAGCCATCGAAGGCCAGCACGGCCTTGCTGCCCTTGTCAACTACTGGTGCCTTGAAGGAGGTCCTGTAGACCCATTTCTTCTCCCCTACCCACTGCACGTCGAGCTCGTTCTTGCCGATGTAAGGGTCTGGGATGAGGCCATGGTGCATGAGGTCGAGGTGGACATTTGTGGGAAACTGGGCGACAGGCAGGAACTTGTCGTCTTCCTTGTCGGCCTGTCTGAACTCCCAGTTCTTGTCCACGGCAATAACCTTGGCGGCCATCCTGCCTGATGGGTGGTTTTGATGTTGAAGGGGAAGAGGTCTCGGAGGGACAGATGGGACAGACTCTGGGCAATCAGGCTGAGGGACTCTATCCCATGGCAGAGGCGTGAGTCTTGTCATTGCGAGACCTCGGGGGAGGATTGTCCCACGATATGGGCAGGAGACCACTCTTCTTATACTCCGACGTGGGGAAGGTGACGGCCAGGTGGTATCATCGTGGTGCTTGTTGGAGAAGCTACCTAGCTACCAGGCTACCCAGGCCTGCCAGGTGGGTACCACATAGTAGCCAGGTACCCAATTCCCCCTCCAGATGGATGCCAGGGGTGCCATGCAGGCTGGGCAGCCCCGCGCTGCTCACCTTGGTGCTTGGTGCAGCCGCACGCAGGAACGCGGGGGGTGAACCGCCGAAATTCATGGGTGGTTCCATTACGGAGTACGGATACTGGGTACCACACGGCAGCCCGGCACCCCTTGGATTGCCTTGATTTCATTTACCATGTCGGAGATGAGATCGGGCCAGAGCACGTGTCTGTGTTGCAGCTCTTGTCCTCTGGCCAGGCAGTGAAAGTGTTGGTTACGAACAGGCCATGTGGAAGCTTTGGTACCCCTCAACACGTGCTACCTGGTGTAGGTATCCGTACCTACCTAGGTAGGTAGGCAGGTTCCACCATATCCCATCCCCACCACCAGCCAACACTGGGTAAGCCGTTCTTCGAGGCTCTATCTGCTCCGTAATAAGGCCGGAGTGTCGGCCAGCTCTTCCACGGCCGAGCAAGACCAGCCTCTGATCCGCTCGTATCGTCTTTTGTTCGTGCTCTCGTGGGAGCAAGCACCACACCGACACTAAGCACAAGTCTCCCGAAGATTTCCCATGTGAAATTCAGAGACTGACACGAGGCTAAGGAAGAAGAATCATCCCGGGCAGATGCATGGGTATCCTGTGCTGTGAGTAGGCGGACGAGCCATCTCCGAATCGCCCTCTTGCAGCCCCAGAGCCTCTGGTCTGCCGTGGGCTGCCGACTGTCAGACCTGCACGTCTCGGGATGTGACCACGGCTGTGACCACGGCTGTGCCCACGGCTGTGCAGCCTCAGGCCAAATCCTCGTCTCGTCATCTGCATCGGCCCACTGCTTATCTTCTGCCCGACTGGAGCCATGCCTGCCATGCTAGTAGTGTAGTCTAGTGCGATTGCTGGCCCAGGCATCACGTACGTACCTAGGTAGTAGGTACGTACCGGCTTCCAGATACCCTGGACAGCGGTGCGTGCAAATCCGTCATTCCAGTCGTGGAAGTGCCCCCACTTAGACCTTGACAGGTGAGGTGTGGGGGGGAGGGGCATCGCCAGGATGGGTTCACGGCAGAGGCAGGCATTCCTCGAACGGGATGTCCATATCAACTTGTGTGATTACTGAGAAACTACAGGATAGTCTGCAGCAGCTCGTGCTCGCCATATTCCACGTGTTTCCTCCACCCGGTAGGCCCGTAGGGTCGCACCGACCGGACCTCTCTCAACGACTTGGCGACCTAACGACCTAACGACTCAACGAGAACAAAAGACGTGAGCGACCGTGGGTACAAAAAGAAAAAGGAGACCAGCAACTCTGGTGCAACGTACAACACCCGTCCGCCTCTCTCGCTGTATATAGATAGAGAAATTCTTAGTCGTGTGTCCAAAAAGACCCCGTCCATCAAACGCCGCATGCCTTTCTATCGCCGTGAGCCCAGAACCGCTTCAACCGCTTGAAACATCAAGATCAAACAAAAAGGCAGTGGTATCCTGGAAGCAAAATGTAAAATCCACAGCAGACGCAAGGGGCCGCTCGGCCTCAGCAGCAGCCCCTCCTGCTCCTCCGGTTGCTGAGCGTGAACACCTCCTCCCATTCCCTCATGCCGCCCATCCCCCACTGGCTCCTGCTCTTGCCCCTTCCCCGGCCCCTCCTCCGCCCACCCCCGGCGCCGATGTCTTCCGTGGTCAGCGAGCTCTTGATGCTGGCGCCGTCGGTGCTGGCGCCGCTGTGCCACAGCCCGCCGGCGTCGCCGTACTGGATGCCGCTCATGGGGTCGTCCGGGTCTATCTCCCCCAGCTCGATCTTGGTGAGGATCATCCGGGCCAGCCGGCCAAACACCTCGTCCACGCCCTCCCCGTTGAGCGCGCTGACCTCCATCGTCACGGGGACATTGACACCGCTGGCCCACCGGCTCGCCTCGGTCGCCGACACCTCGCGGCCCTCGAGCGCAATCGTGGCCCGCTGCTCGTGGCCCGTCGCCGAGCCGCCGAAACCGCCGCCGCCCCACGGGTCCCGGTCCGTCATGGTCGCCATTGTGCTCCTGCTCGTCGTGCTGCTCACGCTCGCGGCCGAGTACGAGGCATAGCTGCTGCCGACCGCGCCGGCGGGGCCCGTGATGGTGTGGGAGGAGCCGTAGCTGGACGGGGTGGGCGGCGGCATGGACGTGTCGATGAGGGCGTTGCTGTCGGCGAGGTCGAGCTTGTTGCCCGCGAGCACGAGGGTCAGGTTCGGCGAGGCGAGGGCGCGCGCGTCGTTGAGGAAGGGCTGGAGCGAGTTGAAGGATGCGTGGGAGGTGATGTCGTAGACGAGGATGGCGCCCGCGGCGCCCCGGTAGTATGATCGAGAAACGGACCGGAAGCGCTCGGTGCCGGCAGTGTCCCAGAGCTGTTGTCCCCGGGTCGACGTGTCAGCGGTACCAAAGCCAGAAGGGTGGGGAAAGTACAAGGTGCGATGTTGTGTGGTCCTACCTGTAGCTTTATCCTTTTCCTCCTCGCGCCTGTGCCAACTTTGATGATCTTGGTCGCGAACTCGACGCCGATGGTTTGTGACGAGAGAACCCTCCACTCGTTCTTGACGAAGCGATGCAGCAAACAGGACCTGGAGTGCGAGGCAGTGCAGGGGTTAGCGAGGGACTTGGCGAGGGACGATTGTCACGGTTCTCAAGGGGAGTGGCTGTCTGTAAACAGTGTTCGCGGTCGGATGCGTTCGGTTGAGGGTCTCGTTCAGGGGGGTATCGGTGCCGATGGCGTTACTCACTTGCCCGTCCCACTAGGTCCCAGCAATATGATCTTGGCCAAATAATCGTACATGCTACCCAGCTCCTAAACCAGGTCGCCGCAGCGTGTCAGCGATCTTGCCAGCATTTTTGTGTGTCGCTGCATCGCGATGGCGCATCGTACCTGGTCCCGCGCGGTGAGATTGCTCTCGTCGCTGGCGGCGGAAGAGCGCCGCGGCCTCGTCATCGTCGCGTCGATCGGCCAGCCCAGCCAGCCAGCCAGTCAGTCGGTGTGCAGCTTCAGCAGCTTGTCGTATGTGGTCAGGGGCGAGTTCGGGGGTGGTTCGAGTCTTGGTTTGGGCAGGTTGGAGGGTCGCCGGCTTCGTTGGGATTGTCGAAAACACCGAGAAAGCGAGTATGCAGAAAGGATAATTTGCGGTGCAGGTTGCGAAAGTGGTACAACAAAGTGTCAGTGTCGCACGAGGGCATTGCGGCGCTGTGCTCCCTGCATGGATCAATGTGGTAATCTGCTGGCAGCCATTATTACCTGCCTGCTGCTGCAGCAAGCAGCCGCAGTATCCTGGCTGCCCGGCCTGCCTGGAGACCCGCCCAGTTTCATGTGCTCCCTGGAACACTGCTTATCGGTCGCGGCGATAGGCCTCTGCAGGGGTTCTCGCCCAGGGCGGTGGGCAGGTGGGCCCAGTGCCAACGCATGTCGTCAGACCTTCCTTGATAGCTCCTACGCTACCAGATTTCAGGTTTATTTATTGCGCTGCCAGTCGCGGCAGTGAGGGCACGTAGAAATTCGCTAGCTGCCTTCTCGACCCTCGTATCTTGATTTGTGAAGATAGCTACATATGCACGCTCTTTCCGTTGGTATCGTAGGCGCACCCACCGCTGACTGGGCACAGCCTTCATCTTGACCGCGAACAGAGGACGACAAGTGTTCGCAAGCAGTCGCACATTTCAAGGTCAGGCCCCGGGACAAAAGAAGTACACAGATCGAAGCATCTGCCGTGTTGACCTCCCGGTCTTGGGGTTGATGTAATTCTTCAGAACGGGAACACAAGACATGGAGATGCATAAGCGGATATGCCCAGTAGCCACGGACATGACCTCCGCACCTCGGGCAATGTAATCTCACGCCTTGCCCCCCGCCAACTACCTCTCTCTACATAAATACAACGAGAACCGCGTGTGATTCAGACTCGTGAGACGCCGAGAAGCTCAGAGATACCATCATGTCCAGCTCAACAGTCCACGTTGCCGTCACCCAGGCCGAGCCCGTCTGGTTTGACCTCCACGGTGCCGTCACAAAGACGTGTAAGCTCATCAGCGAGGCCGCAGCAAACAAGGCACAGCTCGTCGCATTCCCAGAATGCTTCATACCCGGCTACCCAGCGTGGATCTGGTCTGTCCTCCCAGCACATGTGATCCGCCCGCCCCAGCATACAGCTTGCTCATCCTTGTGTCTTACATATGTACAGGAGCCGCCCAGTCGACTTCGATACCAACGTCAAGTATATCAAGAACTCGCTCAGGCTCGCCTCACCCGAGATGGACGCTCTCAAAGCCTGCGCTCGTGAGAACAGCATCGCCGTCTCCCTCGGCTTCTCCGAGAACGACGACGACTCCCTGTATATCGCCCAGGCGCTCATCGGTGCAGACGGCGAGCTCAAGGTCCACCGGCGCAAGATGAAGCCCACGCACATGGAGCGCACCATCTTTGGCGACGCGACTGGCGGCGGCGAGGGCGGCGGCGGCGGCGGATCCTGCCTGGTTTCCGTCGCTCAGCTGCCCTTCGCCCGGGTCGGACAGCTATCATGCTGGGAGCACATACAGCCGCTGCTCAAGTTCAACACCATCTCCCAGCGGGAGCAGATCCACGTCGCCGCGTGGCCCAGCGTGGATCCCCACTCGGGGTCCGGGCCTGACCTGTGGTCCATGTCTGCCGAGGGTGAGTGCAATCCCCGCTCTCTGTTGGACACCTGAAGCGCGGGCTGATGATCCTCGAGGCTGCCAGAGTCTGGCTAGGGTCTACGCCGTCGAGGCTGTCGCCTTTGTCCTGCATTGCACTGCCGTCTTGACCGACAAGGCGATCGAGGCAAACGGCACTGCTGGCTCGCCCATGATGGGGGCTCCGGGCGGAGGCTCCTCGGCAATCTTCGGTCCGGACGGGAGGAGGCTGACCGAGCCACTGGGGCCCCACGAAGAGGGCATCATCTATGCTGACTTGGATCTAGATGAGATCACGAGGATCAAGATGTTTGCTCATTGCACGGGTCATTACAGCAGGCCTGATCTGATGTGGCTCAGCGTGGACAGCAATGACAAGAGCCTAGTCAGGGCAGCGGCAGCGGCAGCGGCAGCGGAGGGTCGCCCGTGAAGCATTGTGAAAACGCTCGTTCCGCACGACAAGAATGACTCGTCCTGTATTGAAATATTATCAGATCAACGAGGCCGCGTGCCCTTCATCAACCTCCCTTGGTAGGTATATGAACTTACGGCATGAATTGGGTTTCTCACTCGTGTTTTGCGGCCTCGGATTCCATCTCACCGAGAACCGAAGCTACCCAGGTACGTGTTGTTCATGCCGCTTTGGTGGCATATTCAATCAAGGTCATGGACTCCGTTCAGTCATTCTGGAAACTCGACCCCGTCTGACAAGGTAAATGTTACGAGCTCCCCTCGCCATATGCTTCGTGGCTATGCCGAATCATGCCACACATCTCGCCAACTGGTCTACCCCTGTGGAAGAAAAGGCGATATAAGGCTGATTCATAATATGCTTCAATTAATACTACGAATTTATGCTGGGCTACTGAGTCCTAATGTTTCGTTTTAATACTCTGTTCGGATTAAATCAGGGTGCTGTTCACGCTTATTAGCAGTCTCCATGGATTGATGGCCATTGACCATAGAAACCGCTGTTTTGTTTGCCAGCACGCGATTGGAAAGTCTTAGACTTGACAACCAGCTTAAATTCCACTGCCCTCCTGCTGGCGATCCTGTCCACCAGGAGACGAATAAAACGAGTCCCAAGTGGCACACTGAGCGTTCATACCCGTGTCATCCCCCACCACGGTCCGAATCTAGGACTGATTCTCGATCAGCTGCATCGCGAGCCCCCTGGTCTCCTGCACATGGATTAGTGGTGTCTGATTGCAAAAAAGGTTTGTTGCATGGCAGAACACCAGTGGGAAAAAAAGACCCCTGGAAGTTTCCAGACATGTAAATATATAAATAATTTAAATAATTAAATAATATGAAATAAAAGTAAATATTTTTAATAATAATAATAATAATAATATATATATATATATATAGTTTTACTTTTATTTTATATATATTTAAGGATATATATAATACCTTTATATAATAGTAAGTACTTAAGACCTAGTGCTTAAAAGAATATAATACTAATAATAATAGTTATAATACAATAGATGCTTATAGCCTTAGCCTTGCGACATACAGATAAGGTTAAGGGGTACCGTCTTGACGACGGCGTTGACTAGAACGCCGCGGCTGAGGTCTTGTACCCGTCAATATAAGCACAAACCTACGCCTTTGGGACGTGGGTGCATCCATTTTTCCTCTGGCTTACTGGTTCCGCAACGCACTGGCAGTGATGGATGCTTACCTGCGGCTCAGCAAAAACGGCCCCACTCATCGGTTCAGACGCGGTGGTCAACTCCGCGGATGTGAACGATCTTGGGGCCCAGCTTGTCGAGCTGCACGGTGATGGTGCCACAGCTTGGAACCGAGGCAGGCGGCCGGCAACAGATATTCTTTATCAAAAAGAAATACCAAACCTTTAAGTGCTTACTACCATATGAAGATACTCTATGCCTCTGAGATATATTGATATGGGTTGAGAACGAAACTAGTGGACCCAATGGTGATGAGAGGCTCTCTAGGACAGTCACATTGGAGGGTGTCCATACATGTCGTCTCAACACCAAAGCTGCGAAACAATTCAAGGACCTTGGGAGGGCATGCGTGTTAACATGATCCAGGCAGTACCTGAGCGCTGGCTGTGCTTTACAAATCCGTTGTGGCCCCAGTTCCAAGCCATGCCCCAGTTCCCATGCCCCAGTTCCAACATTGTTCACCTGAAGTCCATGCACGGAAACCACGACATTCCTGCATCAGCCAACGTTCATTCGTGGAAACCCCTGTTGAACGCCACCAAAATATGTTGGTAATAATGGTTGGTAATGATGATATCTTCTGGGAATCGTTCGAAGGTTCTTTAGACGGGGGCTTCTGGTCGCATTGAACCATCGTTCGAGATCAAGTCTTCCTTGACTTCTTGGCTAATTGGCCGAGGGAGGGAGCTACCCTCTTCCTGGGGGGAACGGTGGTGGGTGAGGCAGATCGTGGCAGGGAAGGAGGGCCCGGTAGTACATGCGGTGGAGGGGGGGTTGGTACTATAGGTTCATCGTCTTCCCAGGTCAGAAAGGAAATGGGGTGTCCCACATCCGAGTCTGGAAGGCAGTGGCCGTCTTCCGCCAGCAATGCTGCACTCCGAGACAAGCGGAGGAACTCCTTGAAGCGGGCGAAAAGCCCGGTGAACTCCTTAATGACTGCAGGCATTTTGGATGAAATTTGCGTGAGGATGAGAAGTAGATGGTAATCCCAGGGTTGTCGACCTGCAATGGTTCCCGGATGCTCAAATTGGTGGTTGGTGTCCGGGTAGGCAGCTTCAAGGGGAAGGCACCTTCCTTCCCTCGAGGCTAACGCCCAGCCTCTGTACACCTTCCTTCCTAGCCCTGAAAGCAGCATCGAAACCAATTTGCAGTACCTGTGCACGCATTACTCGTCAGAATTGAGACAAATTTTGGGTTGTAGAAGGGGTTTACCCTCATTGTAGCGTTGCACTACCCAGGGCTTTTCTGATCCCCTCAATTCGTAATGGACGTCGTCCATTTGTGATAACAGCTGGCCATAGATGCTCTGAGGCACCTCGATTGAAGGAAGGGCAGTTCTGCAACATCGTACTTCTTCTTCTTCTTTCCGAACCTCGGAATCATAGATGTGATGTGCCCCCCCCCCCCCATATTGGCGGCGATGGCAGGTAGCCAAATGTCTCTGGCGATTGCGTGGAGAGTCACTGACCTCGGGAGAGAAGTCTCGAAGAGTGATGTGGGCTTTGAGCGTCAAATTTGCATGGCTCCCCTTAGATGCAATCAAAAGACCATGATTCCTGCTTCGAGAGGCTTCCAGCAATCCACTCTAGATCGTGGCAACCGTGGTTCTTGAGCAGACCTCCCGGCCACGAATGAGGGTAAGTCGATTATGAGCCGTGTGATTTAAACTTTTTTTCAATGATTTTTCAGGGCCTGTGGCATATCCAGTGGGTGATCAGTGACTGTGCGCCCCACCTAACCAGCTAGGAAGCCACCCACATCCAATATCCATGGATACCGGGCTTTGCGCTCGTCAAAGAGGATAAGGAAGCACCATACTTCTTAGCCACGCAGCTCGAGCGATCCCCATCAGGCGCGGGTCCATCAGAAAAGGGCTGAGGAGATATCCGGGTGAGGGACCCCGATGAGGAGGCAGTGTCAGTGAGTAGAATGCCTGGTGAAAAAAGGGTGCAAGTGACAAGCTCGTAACAACGAGCCACTGCAACCCACTTTCCGACAGAAGGATCATTCTCAGAAGCTATTTGGGCGGAAGGCTCTTTCTATGATCCTTGTTACGCTGGGGCCTAAAGCAGGATATGTGGAGTTGTTGGTGAACGGTAAATTACAGCCCAAATGACAGGAGATATCCATATGAAATGCCCTAGAAGAAGCATGATGAAGCAGGCAATGTCCTTGCAAGCTAGCACGACTATAATTACAGAGATTTTAAAGAATTTGTACGTGTCGTGGAAGAGCCTGACGGCTGAGCAGGTCGCAGACAGACAGATATATAATAGAGAGGAAGAATACGGTGCGGCCGAAGCCTCATCATCACTACCCTAACTACATCTGCGACAGGACCAAGCCACACTTGGCTCTGATTTCTTACTGTATTGACAGTTCCTTTTTCCGGACCACGGCTCACTATCGCAGCTAATAATCCGTGAATGCATAAGCATTGCCAGCATCTACGAACATGTCCACAGCTTCAGTATCCTCTAGCCTATGTATTCTATCACCCAGGTACTGCTTGGAACAGGATTCCTGAAAGTGACACACAACAGAAAGATCAACTACACAAACACCGAAGACACCAATATACCCTAGAATAACCTCTCATATAACACATTTTATAGTTTAGCCTCTTATAAGTGACTTAGTGAGAGGATACTTAGGTGTCAATGCGAGCAACATATGGCTAATTTTGTTTCTATTTCGCATACTCAAAGACTTCTAAATCCATTCAAGGTGTCTTCATACAGTTGTAAGTGGTTTCGTTCTTAATTCATATACATGCCGAAGGCGGACGGTCCCTTCATACAGCGCCAACATTGAAACGCTCAAGCAAGGTAAAGGACCTCCAAGAATATTTATGACGGTTGAGTGTGTCGCTGCCTTACTGAAGTAATAGACATGTTAGAGCTCTTCGTGGCTTGAGCTAAGTCAATGCTTCCCCAGAAGCAACTTAGCTCATATCCCGTGACGAACCTTACCTTTGGGTATTCAGACCGCTAAATAGAGCAATTACAAGGCAATGATCAAGATAACGTTTATGATGCTTATCCTTATGAGGATTGTGCGCTTCATTGGTCATAAATGTGTAGAAAGTCGATTTGGCAAGAAAGAGCTCTAATTCATTATATGGAAGTCTGAACGAAGTGGCCATTTTCTATTCCACAAGAGACACGTCTCCTGGGCTAAATGAGTACATAGGTTTGGTTGCGCACTAAACCACCGTCAACGGACCAACTTTCCCTCACGTACTTGCCCATCTTTCATACTGGGTCACTGATTCGCATGACACGAGCCGGGGAGTGAATGACCAACTCACTCTTTCTGATAGAAGCCTCGCCCCATTTCTTCTTTTCCATCCTTGAACACCAACCTCTGCCACCAAATCTTCTCCACATACCTACCTTCAGACTCGCATGCCACACACGTCCTGACTATCTCCAGAGTTCCAACATCGATACTCACCAGGGGATACTCCCCCATATTCAGGACAACCATTGTCGCGATGGCTTCCAATCGAGACAGTGGTCTGCGGTCAGCGATGACTCAAGCGCCTCTTCAAACAGATGGACCTGGTCAAGATCAACGACCCCGGGCAATCGTTTTCATGGGGAACTACTCCGGACCTCAGAACGGGCCAGTCGAGTTGGTCGGCCAGCAGCTATTCCCCCAAGCCTTGGAGGGTGAGCGAGGTTGGGCCTTCAAATTCATCCCCATCAATGGAACTACCCCCTGGGTTTGGGTGGTAGTTTCTATAGGAGGCACGACAAGGCGTGGATGGATGCCGATAGGCCCACTGAGGCCCGGTGAGTACTTGTGCGACTCCATGCCGATCCAGATTGCGAGCCAGAAGACATATAAGCCCCCCGTCCAGAAGACTACCCCCCAACAGAAGGAAACTTCATTGTACCAAACGCTGCAAGGTATCTGGCAAGGCATACGCGAGAACCGAGACACATTCCTGGCGCCCATCGTCAGTCAAGAAGACACCAGTCTCGCTGAGCGGACATTGTATGGTTGTAGTGGTGATGGCTACGCCGACCTGCTTTATAGGTCAATTTCCCCACGACTTCGCGACATTATGGACCACGGCCACTTCAACCCGACGGAGTTCCTGGATCCGAAGAAGGGTGTCCAACAGATGGACTCGAAGTGGCCGAGCGACGACTACGCAGTGATTTACCTGATGGTTTCGGAAGGCGTCCAACATGGGATCAAGGACCTAGTTCAACCACGAGCACAGAATAACCTGGCCATTTACGTGGGTCAAGCGGCAAATGGTCCCAACCGTTGTCTGACTGGGGGTTCCAGCTGCCACCATTGGCTTCTATCTCACCCCGACCTCAGACACGGGAGTTGCGTGAAGTACAAGGTTGCAAGAACTGGGAAGAGAACGGTGTGGATTCCCTTCATGCTGATCAAAAAGTCCAGCAGTGAGGTCCATGGTGTGGGCTGGGAAGATATCGTTCACGTTGCTGAACTCACCACCGTCGTTCTATTGAAGACGTGGAACCCCCTGGTTCTAATGACTGCGAACCCCCAGCAGATGGGTAGTTACGCACGGGACTACGAAGCGGCTTCTGCATTCAGGGCACTCATCGACAAGGTATCTCAGAAGACTGGTTGGAGCCCGGCACCGACCCTGGGCACAAATTGGACGACTCCCATTTACTCCATGATGCCCGAGGAACGCGTCTGGGTATCGTGGTACGATATTGCGCGGCAGTCCTACTTCTTCCGCACTCGTTGTACCACGCACTACTACAGCCCGGACCGTACACTGAAGCCGAAGACCACGAAGAAAGGCACAGTCACAGCACGTGGCCCAGGAACATCATTGTGCCTCAACATCTCGGGGCGCAAATTGACCATACCGAACGCTGTGAACAAAGCTGGCCACCTCGAGCCTGGTGATGGAGTGCATCTGTAAGTTGGGTAGTTCAAGGTTCCTGAATTGCCCTTCCCTTTTTCACTAGACGGGGGATACTCGAAGCAGCTAACATTATCGCTCAGGCTGGTTGAAATGTGCTGCGATGAGGACATGCAAGTATTCCGGCGGCATGACATACCATTCATACGCATCCCCAGTATTTGTGGGAATCCAGAGATCGAGAAACTCGCGTCCATGGGCCTCAAATTCCAGTGGGAAGACCCATCTTCCGGACAGTGGAAAGAATGCATTGGACAGCGTCAACGATTGTTTCGGAACGGGGAGGTCTCCCAGCTCACAACTGGGATGCACATCTTCTCTATCTTGACACAGAGGGTCTATGTCAGTCATAATAATACCCAACCCCCCGATTGGATGGCTACCGGCTACAGAAACACGGTCAAGAAGATCAAATACGATCATCTTAAGCAAACCCAGACCTTGGAAACGGTGGTGAGGAGGACAGTCCCCTGGCCGAAGGACAATACTGTCAACGAGAATCGAATGCGACTGCAGGCATATCTTCAGGGAAAGGGGGCTGATACGGTGCTGGATGACAAAAAGCGAATGGCAAAGCCTCGTGGGCCAGCCCGAGAGAATTGTGACCTGTGTTACTCACTTATGACCGTAAGTGTGTCCCTCAATTCAACCCAGTCATCTCAGACTAACATTCATTTCTCAAATAGACGGACCCATGCGGCTACGATGAAGAAACTCTCAGCTGCTGGAGGTGCAGGGCTTTCAATCGACCCTGTACATGGACTGTCAAAGCTGACGGTCCTGGAACCACTTACGCGTCGGGCGCGAAGAAGTCCACCATTGACCTGCTGGCATCCGGGGGTCCATTGGACGGCCTCGGAATACCAGCACTGTTCCATCGTGCCGCGAACATGGTGAAGCACCCACAGGCAATGGTGTGGACAATCGAACCCCCGTTTGCTGTGGGAATCGAATCCGATGTTGCTGAGGAACAGAGGGATGCCCCCATGCCGAACATGGATGATATCGAGGGAAGTGATGATGAGGAATAGGTTGACACATCGTGGCGAGGCTACCTACTTAAGTAGGTACGCGGCGATGCCACCAATTCCAGGTGGTCTCCCGGGTTGCAGGATTGAATGGGTCCGAGATGGAAGGGGGGGCAGGCTTGAAGTGGGCCTGAGGTATGCGTTGCTTTGACAACCTTGGAATTCCAAATGATGGGGCATTGCCCGAAAGTTACATTAGTTGACTTAGACATACATTCAATCATTGTTTTCAAACCTTGATTCCATGAAGCCCGTAATGATGATTTCACAGTGACTGAATAGAGGTGTGCTTTCTATCTGTTGGGGTGGCTGTCACCGGCTGAAGCGGTCTTCCGTGCAGCAAACCCTGGCCGTTGAAGGCATGTGCGCCTTGATACTGTCCAGGGCAGCAATGTTTTTCATTTCTTTTAATTTCAGTATTTCTCACCCCCTCGAGGCCTATTCAGTTCACCAGGGAGGAAGCAGCAAAGCTGCAATCCCACGTCGCGAGAATTTTATGGAGGCCACTCGGCCAAATGAGTAAATATGTGTACCTAAAGGCTTGTTTAGGTGAGAAGTAAGTGTAGTAAGGAGGGTTTTCTTAATATATAGCTTTTTCTTATAATTATTTATAACTATTTAATTAATTATTTTATAATTTAAAATAAATTTAAAATAAATTTAAATAAATTTAAATAAATTTAAATAAATTTAAATAAATTTAAATAGTATTATTTAATTAATTAATTAAATATATTTAAGTATATTTAAATAATATTATTTAATTAATTAATTAAATAAATTTAAATAAAGTTTTATAATTTATATAATTTTATTTATATTATATAATACTTATATATATATATTATATTATATTTAATAAGTATAAAAGAATATAATTAAATAAATTAATTAATAATTTAATTATTATTTTAATTAATAAGTTTTAAATTTAAAATTAAAAGTTTTACTTTAATAACTTATAATCAATTAATTAATTAACTATTTAATAATACTTTAATTTAATTATTCCTTTTATTTATTTATTATTTAAATATTTAATTAAAATTAATTAATTTATAATTATTAATTAATTTATAAAATTATACTTTTATAATTATTTATTAAATATAATAATATAATTATAAAATAATTATAAATTTATAATAATATAATTCTTTTATTATTATTTATTTATTTATATTTAATATTTTAAATATAAATTAATATAAATATTTTTATTTTTATATAATAAATAAATTTAAATTTTATATTAATATTATAATATATAATAAACTTTTAAAATATATTATTATTATTATTTAAAAGGAAATTATATAAAATTAAATTATATATAAAATTAATATATATATATATATATAATTAAAATAAAATTAAATATTAAAAATAATAACTTTTATAATTTTAATTATTTAAAAAAAGAATTTATATATATTATTAAATAATTAATAATTATTCTTTTAAATATAAAGTTAAAAATTTATAATTACAATTTTTAATTAATTTATATTTAATTATTCTATTATATTTTAATTTAATTTAATTTTATTTAAATCTTTTAAAATTTATTTAATATTCTTTTTAAAAAATTAAATTTAAAAGAACCTTTAAATTTAAATTTAAGATTTTTATAAATTTTAATTTCTTTTAAGTTAAATTTATAATTCTTTAATTCTTTTAAAATATATTAATTATTTTAAATATTAATATTTTTTTATAATAAAATTAATAAATTTATAAATTTAAATATTATATATAATAATAAAATATAATTATTTTATTTAATTATTATTAAATTAAATTAAATAATTACTTTTAAATAATTTTATTTATAATATAATAAAATTAATAAATAAATATTTATTTAAATAAAGTTAAAATTTATATATATTTTTAATTAAAAATAATAACTTTATTTTTATTTATTTTAATTAATTTAATTAATTTATATAATAATTTTATATATAATATCTAATAATATTAAAATTAATTTATAATTTATAATAATTTTAATTTTAATAAACTAATAATATTAACTTAAATAAATTAAATATAATTTAATATATTAATATAAAAGTATTTTTAATAATAAATAATATTATAAATATAAATTATAAAGTTATTATAAAATATTTTATATAATAAATTTAATTAAATCAATCTTTAAAAATATATTATATTTTATTTTTAAATTTTTATAAGAATAAAAATAATTATAATTAGTAAATAATTTAAGTTATATAACTTTAATTAATAAATTATAATAAAGGACTTATTACTAACTTTTAAATTTAACTTCCTTTTTTATATAATTTAAGTTAATTAAACTACTTATTATATATATATATATATATAATAACCTATATTAATACCTTTAATTATTTACTTTTAATTTAATAATAAAATTAAAAATTAGAAATAATTTATATAAAAATAATTAATAAATTTATATTTAAATTTATTTATATAAATAATAAAATAAATAAATTATAATTATTAATTTAAAGTATTTTTAAATTATTTTAAATTATTTAAATTAATTAAATTATAATTATATATTTAATATTAATTTTAAATATTCTTATAATTTAATTAAAAATAACTTTATTAAAAGAAACTTTTTTATTTAAATATAATAAAAATATTATAATCTTTTAATTATTTAATATTTATAATAAATATAAAAGTATAAATAAATTAATTAAATTTTAATTTAATTATTAATTTAATTAATAGTTTTTAAATTTAAAATTAAAGTTTTACTTTAATTATTTATAATTAATTAATTAATAATTAAATAATACTTTAATTTAATTATAATTTTTATTTATTTATTATATTATTATTTTTATTTAATTAATCTATATATAAAATTTATATTTTATTTAATTTATTTATAAAAATATTTTATAATAAAAACTTTATAATATATTAAAAGAAATAAATTTTAAAAAATTAAATATTATTAAAATAAATAAAAAAATACTTTATTTAAATATAATAAAACTTTATTTATTAAAATTAAACTTTAAATTAACTTAAAATTAATTTAATTTAATTTTAATATATATTATTTATTTAACTTATATAATAATAAAGAAAGCTTTACTTATTAGTTTTTTTATACTTTATATAAAAACCTCTCCTTACTACACTTAATAAGAAGAGTGCACGGACCTACTGGTCGGTCCTGCGGGCGATCAGACCTTGGCCAGTGGGCAACCACAGCTAGCACCAGCACCATTGCAGATGGCCCCTACTCTGTAGATGTTGCTTGGCACACATGCCACCCTGGTCACCTGTACACGGATTAGTGGTGTCTGATTGCAAAAGCTGGGTTGGATGTAAGAACACCATTGAAAAAAAATTCTTGGAAGATTCCAGTTGTGCCCCCCTTTTGCTTGTCAGTATTGGATTTCATCTGTGAGAAACGTTTGGTGTGAACTTACAGGCCGACTTGAACGACCGATCTTCGCATTACAAGTGCGACGCCTTACCACTTGGCCATAGGGGCTGTGGTGTGATTTGGTTTGTTTCACGAATTATAATGCTGCAATAGCCGCACCCGTTCTCTGGTGAGCCTTATCACTGCCACTGTTCATTAAACGATGGCGTGGCTCCACCCATCTTGAGTTTGTGCTGTCGAAATCGATGAATCATTCTGGTGTTGGTCGTGTCACTCTCAAATGGCGTCCTCAATCCTGCTTGTGCAACACAGATAACAGTTGAACACAGCACATGCAGCCCTTGGACTGGAGTTCAAATGGATGTTAGGTGCGAGACAGGTTCCGGGACCCTAGAGCTTCCTCAGGCTTAAGCACTAGCATCCGCAGCGTGGGTAATCAATCGCCGTTCTGTACTAAATTACACATGCATCTCTGCAAACACAGTAGTCCATCGCATTGTTCACAAATCATCCGCACAGCCACCTGGGCAGCTTGAGTTGCATTTTAATATTCGCACTGCAGACCAACCACCAGAATATTTAAGCTCTCGCAATCTCACAGCCATGGCCGCCTCCTCGTCGCCGCCGTCGTTTGTTCCCGCGCTCATCGTGGTCGACTTCCAGGAGGACTTCTGCCCTCCTTCTGGCTCTCTCGCCATCCCGCACGGCCGCGATATCGCCCCAGTCGTCAACGAACTCTTAGCCCTGCCGTCTTTCGCCGTCCGCATCGCAACCCAGGACTGGCACCCGGCAGACCACATCTCCTTCGCGGCAAATCATCACACCGAGCCGCCCAAGCAGCCCTTTGAAGACACCGCCACCATCGTCAACCCACAGAATGCGTCAGAGACCTACGAGACACGCCTGTGGCCTGTTCACTGCGTCCAGGATACCCCCGGCGCGGAGCTTGTGCCGGAGCTGGCAGCTGACAGGGTCGATGTCGTGGTCAAGAAGGGCACGGACGCACGCGTGGAGATGTACAGCGCCTTCTATGACCCGTTCGAGAGCCCTCGGGTGTGTGACTCTGGCCTGACGCGGCAGCTGAAGGACAGAGGTGTCACACACGTCTACGTCGTCGGCCTCGCGTTCGACTACTGTGTGAGTGCCACGGCCGCTGATGCCGCCAAGGAGGGCTTCGCCACGTATGTGGTCGAGGAGGGCACACGGGCAGTCGACGGCGCCGGCTGGGAGAAATGCAAGGAGAATTTAGCCAGCGAGGGCGTCAAGGTTGTCAGCATGAATAGAGAAGAAGTTCAAAGGTTAAAGGCCGCGGTCTGAGACGGTGTATGGATCAGGTCCTACTGCTTCGGCGTTTCCCAAATTGCATGATGCAACTTGGTACCTGGGTAGTTAGACCGAGTCACATCTCAATTCCCAAATACTGCTTTTGCTTCATCCTAGGCCGTCACTGTACTATTATCAGTGTCACTATCGTGAACTGGGAAACTCTGGCGCTGCAACTACACCGCTGAGAGCGTATATCCTCGTGCCGTCGCTCTTGCATTTACTATCCCTTCACCCTTCGCTCCTGCAGTCGAGTGCCAATGTACACACTACAACTACGATATCCTTGACAGCGTTCGGTGATCCTTCTGGCCAAAGCTTTCCGAAAGACGGTCGACAGCCTTTCAGACATGACTCTGATGCCAGCAAGACTGGCGCCACATCTTCCATAAAGCCAAGCACGGAGGAAATGTCATTATTCAAAGCGGTCTTTCTCAAGCGCTGGGTCTTGAGCGCTTACCGCCGTATGAAGGCGCCATGTATGTCCTCGGGCGTATACGGAATAGAAGCGAAACCGGTCGAAGCGGTCAGCGGAACGACGCCCCTCGAAACACTTAAGTTATTCTCCTTATTCCGTATACATTCGAAGCCATCAATATATAAGATTGCTGTCTCACTTGGGCAGCTTTGCCTGAACTTGCCACTCTGCCCAGGTGTGCTAGGTGTAAGATCACTGATAGTTCAATGTTGGCTCTGAGAACGATAAATATCATGACACGTAATGCTCGCAATCTAGAACCATAGGTACATTGCAACAACGACATGGAGTGTTGTTGCAACCTTTGTCAATGCTGACTCGTAGCTGAATGTATGCACCATTTCCGAATCACCGTCACCCGTTAACCCAGCCAGCGTAGCTTTGGTGCCGTGATACAGACAAAACAGTCATAAACTGATATTAGCGGTGCCATTGAGACGGAATCGAAGTATCTATGACCAATCCGGTCGCTTCAAATGCAAGTATTTGTCTCCTAAATTCCCTACCCACAATTCGGTATACTTTAAACGACCATGAATGCATGGCGGTCACTCACCTTGTACATAATTTCCAGCTGGTCAATTTGTGCATATCACAGGCACTGGAAAGCTTGCCAAGTCTCAGCTAAAGCTGGCAGGGCAAAAGAAGCTCTGTACGAATCAGCATGACACAACCTTTCCAGCTAAATACCTTCTACTGACTTAGATTTTAATAAGGCTCTTAGTACCACACATCAAGATCTTGCTCTAAAGGGGAGAAACATAATCAAAGTCATCCACACATTCTGGTTGTGGAATATTTAAGATACCAACATGAAGAGTTCTGATGGCACTTTTCTGCCGACTACTATTCCGGTCCCTGGGCAGCTTCTTGCAGGAACTACAGCGCGCAAGCATCCCGAAACTTTCCCTGTCCTCGAGAACTTGATTGTCTAAGTTTGTTTAAAGGTCTTTGCCCTCCAGCTGCCCTGCTAAACGTACTTTTGAGGAAACAGTAGGTTTTCTCCAGACTTTTTGTAGATCTATAGACGACAGCCAAGTCAGGAGGAAAGGCACAGCTGACTAACTTCATGTAGTTGAAGGCAAAACTTCGGGATGCTTGTGCGCTGTAAGTTTATCGACCCGCATGAGCTCTGTAGATCCGCGGCGTGCCGCTGGGGGTTCCCGGCTCGGGGGAGGCTCGCCGGCCGACAGCATACGACACAGCTTTCCAAAAGACCATGCACAATCTCCCAGGGCAGAAGCCCATGGGGCCCGCTGCCTCCAACCGGAGAATTTCATTTTGGTGTGATGGTGGTCAATAGATTTACACTCCAAGGTCAGGCTCAACTTGAAGAGGATCAGCCCCCTGTGGATTGCAATCTTGAAGAGCCTTTCACAACAATCGTGCATCGGTCAGTGTTTACGTCGTGTTGGATCCCGGGGGCGGGATGACGGGCATTTACCTAGGTAATTACGCATGTGCCCACATGCTAACTTCCAAGTGTCAACATGTGAAGGGACGAAGTCAGCTGCAGCTTCAGTCGCGTATCGAGAGACAAAATTGCGTCTTGTCAAAGCCCCCATGTGATGCCCTGCCGTTGCCCTTGATAACGTTAACCGCTTTACCGACGTTGACTTGCCTGTCATTTGGTCAGAGCACATTCATTCCTATCGGAAACAGGTATATGTGGAGGAAGGCATAAGTGTACCGGAGACAGGTGGGCATTTGGACCTTATTTCCCATTCGTTGCACTTTATTTACACGATGCTGACGCTGTGGTCTGGATCACTCCGCACTCAGATGATAGACTGCTTCAGACGAAGGATCGCGTTGACTATCGTATTGTGCAATTGCCGCATAGTGCTTTTCAGGTAGCAGACGATGCAGCCCAACATATACAGCTAGAGCGATGCTGCAATTTTGGGTTTGGGGTTCAACACGGGCCGTCCGAATGATTGCCTCGCAACGCACTGGTCCGCCTGGTGACTGGTACTGTACAGCGGGTGCATATCTGACTCGCCTCTGCATCCGATCCTGAAATCATTCTAATAAATTGTCGTGGTGGTGTCGGCTCCTACGGTAATCTTGCTGTGCGTAAAAACTTATCCTTCATCACATCCACGAAAGCCTGGCGCTGAGGTCGTGCCATGATTCGTCGGTCAAGTGCCGTTGGTCACGTAGCAGTGAGCCAACTCAAATTTGTGGAAGCCTTTGGACCGGTGCTAAGCTTTCATCCTCCTGATTGCAGGCAGGTCTGGTCCGGTCTGGGCTTTGTCACCAATAAGGTTGGCTAATGATCAATGATGCCCGTGTGTTGTAGATCTGGCTGCTTGCTCCGCCCGCTCTGCAGTCCAATGAATGACATAGCGTACCCAAAAATAAAATTCTCCGGTGCTTGGTGTGGAGTAGCAAAGTGACATAGTCACAGCGGCCTCATTACAGGCTCCAAGCAGCTCTGCCTTTGCAAGAATAATATGGAAGCGGTCCTGCGAAATCTTCCGACTCTACCTTAAATCGAAGGATCGCCCCCAAAGACCCCACAGAAAAGTCTTGTATTACCGTATGAACCGAGCCAAGAGTGGTAAGGCTCAAGATGTCTTCCACAACAAAGCTAATATCGAACCCTTCCGAGAATACAGGGCCTACTATAATCGCAATCACTGTACTCTTCACTGGCTTGGCGACCATCATAGTGGCGACACGGCTCTGGGTCAGAGCCACAATGGTCGGGAAAACAGGTTGGGATGTGAGTAATGACATAGTAATAATGTCCACTTATGTTGCTGATCTTCTGGAAACAGGACTGGATCATTTCTCTGACGACCGTGCTGTCAATCTTGGGTATGGGAGAAGTCAGTAAGTGAATCTAGCAGGACTATTACCTCCATGGAAGTCTCTGCAATAGGAGGCTACTTTACTGTTTGCTTGGCTTTGATAGATTATTCACTGAACGACTGGCAGTTGTCCAAGTTCAGCATGGGGCGGGTCGGCACATTGGTGATATTCCACCACGAGACATCCCCACAGGGCTCATGTTCAATTATATCACTCAGCTCACATACCTGTATGGTATCTGCTTTTGCAAGCTCGCAGTTGGTGCTTCTCTGCTTCGCATAGCATCTACCAAGTTTTGGAAACATTTGGTTCTCGGCGTCATGATTTTCGTATTCACTTACACAACCGCGGGTTTTGTTGTAAGTAAAGTAACCCAGAGCTTCGTTTCCCTTTCCAGACCTTATTCACAGATTAAAAAGACTCCCAATAAGCATCTTCTGATTTCAAGCAGACCCTGTTGGCTCAATGCACCGACATTCGCATCCTGTGGGACCCGTCAACGAAGGCCACGTGTTGGGCTCCGAGAACTCTTATGGCCCTAGGCTACACAAATTTCTCGCTCAACATCATCACAGACTTGATGTTCGCTCTTTTCATCCCGGTGCCAATGCTTTGGAATATTAACGTCACAAGGCGCACACGCGTTTCCCTTTTTTGTGTGCTCGGTCTCGGCTGCTTCGCCTGCGCCTGCGCCATCGTCCGTTTCACGTTTCTAGGCACGTATCGAAAGAAAGATGACTGGCTTTGGGATACGCAAAGCCTCACCACATGGACCGTCCTCGAGATGAACGTCGGAATCACCGCGGCTAGTCTGCCGAGCTTGCGACCCTTGTTCAAGAAGGTCCTGGGCAGCATATACGGCCCGGGTAGCAAGCTGAGGGGTTATTATGCGGGAGGGTCATCCGGCCGGATCAAGAAGAACTGGCAGAACCTTTCCGGAAGAAATGTTGAAAAGCGAAACAGTGCATACTCCCGACCACTGGACAATGACGAAGCGTTCTATGGCTCGGCCGGCCATAATACCGTGCAAGGGCTGAACGAGGACCACGGTTCCGAGGAGTCATTTGAGCTCTTTTTGTGCCCGCCGATGCAGGACTCGGATCAGGTCAGAGTCAGCAGGAATCCGAGTGTGAAAACATTCGTTGAGGCCAGAAGAAGCCTCGAAGACGGTATTACGACACCAACAGATGTACATGTTAAGGGAATCACGAAAACCACGAGTACGACGGTTACATATCAACTCAAGGAATCGAGGTTGGCATAGGTCTGTGGTAACTAATGTATACTCGGCGCAATATGTGATCAAATGCCAAAAAATGTGTTTGAATTTCAAGCATGTTTGATACTTTGCATTGAGAGCTGCAGATGTATGTAGATAATTCAAACGCCGACAGCAAGCAGTAAGGAACATGTGTCCACATCAGCTCACTAGTGCTTCCTTCTCATTTGAAAGCTTCAGAAGCCAAAAACTCCGCCCGCCTGGAAATGGTCAACTTGCAGTATATAGTTATTTTTGCGCTGGCTACTTAACTACCTAGCAAGCTTCTTTCCCCGGGGACGACTCTTCACTCCAACGGTTGCTAGTAGTTACCTAGATGGGTGGTGGCAAAGCTGCGGTGGTAGACCTGCCGAAGAGCTCCAGTGCTGGTTAGCTGGTGGAGCTTTGTTCTTTATTTAGGAACAGTTGAAGCCTCTTGTTTGTACCAAGGTAAGCGTTTCTAACTCATTTTGAAGTGTTTACTACCTAGGTACCTAGGTACTTACTTCTACTACTAGGACCTGGGCCATGCCCTTTTTCAGCAATCATTGCCCGTGGCCACCTTACACCAGTTGGCCATTGATTTTGAGAATGATGAGGGCTCTCAACTCAACACATAAGTTTCAGGCCGTGAGAGACCCTAATTGCCATTTCCAAAAGAGTGCTTGTCTTTGCTTGGTTCTTTCCCAGGACAGTTCCTTCTGTTTTTCTTTTCCCATGGCAAGTGTCTTCACTTGAGAGACTGGAGTGCATTTTCATGAAATTAGCATCGGATGAAACTGGGAGACGCGCTTTTTGGCAGCTTCAGCTTTCCCCCGCCCAGGCGGTCAAGCTTTCGACTTCACTTCTCCGTCTCGACACACTGCAGTTTTGCTGAGACACTCCAGCTCTCCTCCACAACCTGTCCATGCATTTGCAAACCCAAGTCCAGCTCTACACCTTCCGCACGTCATCAATGCAAGCCTAGCCACATTAACCCTCAAAGTGCTACAAATCACCCGCAAACAAGAATCAGGATGGACGCACCTTCGGACGTCAACACCGCGGAGCTGACGGGCGCTGTTCCAATTGCCACGCAGTCGACATACGTCGACGACCAACAAACAGCTACTACTCATGAAACCCAAGGACGGATTGGCAATCGTGGTATTAGGCATGCAATTTCTTCTACGATGGCTGATGAGATCATGGACGACACACAGCTGCACATCGCCCACCCCGAACGGGCACACCATGGAAATGAGGGCAGCAACATCAACGCGACGCACCACTCTGACAACGAAGTCGGGCTTTTCGTCGGCGTCCAGGACTCGGTGTTGAGAGTGGCGTCGAACGAGACTGAGAACGGGAGCGAAATGCAGGAGCTGGGCGACGGAGGCAATTCCCCAATCCCATACAGTGGCAATATGGCAGGCGATGGCCAGGACGATGACGAAGCTATGGACAACAATCTTCCGCCCGCCAACGCTGAAGTCAGTGGTGTTGGACCCTCGGTTGGCCCCCCTTTAGATCAGTCCATTGACCTAGCTGACAATGATTCGCCTAATGAGGGCATCTTCGCCGAGATGCTTGACCCCGATACGGAGCATACGGAGGTAGAGAGTGATGGAGATGCTGAAGTGGACAATGATGGTGAGCGTTCAGCGCCCGAACGAGATCCAGAGATCAATCAACACAGTTACATCGGCTCCAATAATGGCACGATACACGACTGCTCTCGAACGAGACAGATCATCGCAGAGCATCTTTCCATTCAGGGTCAACAGACTTTCGAGTCACTCGACGACCTACTTTCCTCGCACAACGCTCCCGGTCGGGGACTCTACAAGATCGAGGAGGTGGTCGAGGAGAAGAAGAAAAAGGCTGCAGAACTAAAAGAAGATATACGATGCCTCAAGGCGCAGCTCGATGTGGTGAGCGAGCTGAGAGATGAGGCAAGGACGGTCATGATACGAGCGTGCATGAATTTCTCCGACACTTGCGGTGCGGCTGGAATTTCCAACGAGCTATGGGCAGAGTACGAGGCATTCTGCGAGTCGCTGGAGTCTAAACTTGGCAGCAGAGATGGCTGGTCTGTCACCTGCTTCCAGAACCACAACAACTCCTACATCCACTGGGATCCCGATCTTGACCTTTTCAAGGAGACGGCGGAAATGCCGCTGGAAGATTGCAACTTCCGCTGTGAGGCTTCCACGATCAACAAGAATGGAAGCACGGAATATGTTGTGGAGTTCTGGCCTCTCTTCCGTCTTGAGCCTCGCGAGGGGACTGCGAAAACATGGGAGCAGCAATATGTGAGTGGTTTTGAGCATAGCTCTTGTTTCCCACCATTCCTGACAAACATCTAACTCGTATGGTATCTGCAGCCTAAGCTCTACCAACTTGCAAAGGAGGCCGTGCATAAATCTCTTGGAGATAATACTGTGACCCAAGAGCTGCTTTTGTCACTTCCAAATCCGAACCTTCCGTTTACCAGTGGATGGATGCTGGAGTACGCTCCAGAGCCTGCCAAGGCGAGCCATAACACGCTGTCCCGGAGGTGGTCTTATCGGAGAGCATGCAGAATTCCTGTGGCCGGGCAGCAGGACCCTCCCAAAAGCTATCTCGCAACCACATCAGAATCAAATTCTACGACAAGCAAAGACATGGAGATGGATTATGAGTGGTCTGAAGAATCTTCTGAAAGCCAAGATGTGAACATGGAGGACCATGGTTCTGAGTCGGCTGAAAGCTTGGTCCGGGATTCGGAGGAGACTTAGTGGGCAGCTGGTCATGACGAAAAAAATCAATAGATTGGTTGAAGTACTGATCAGGAAGATTTACAAGGGACCGGGCAAACTCTGCAGGCGATTCTCGGATCTCCTTGAGCAGAGCCCACCCGCACTGTGCCCTTCTGAGGCATATTGGATTGCGCTGATTTCCATGACGACGATTTCAAATGATCGCCATGGGAAGTGCCCAGTCATGGACAGATGGAATAGTGGATGGCGCACAATCACCGAGTATTGGAGACTGCATCAGGCAACAGCCACCATGCGGAGCTCAAAGTACCCAATGCCGCAGTGTTCCCGCTTCAAACACAAATTCTTCATCCTTCAGTTGATCCCCACTGAACACCGTGGAGACTTGCTTTCCAGGAGATGCAGTCTGTAGTACTGTGTCATCATGCAACCCAGGTGTGTGGTGCAAGGGCGTTTCGTCAGTCCTCATGAGCCATTACGGAACCCAAGAGATCTTGCCTTGGAACTACCCACTGACTACCAACTCTCTTCAAGGTCGCATGCTTGCCTTTGAGTATTGGACTGTACACACAAACTTCAGAAGAAGTTCCCACCTGAACTAGAAAAGATGAGAAGAGCTGAGCCCTGCGTAAATTAGTTCTCACAACCCGATTTTCATGCTGATAATTCGGTGTAACCGACTGCACAAACTGTGGCTACACCCCCGCTCTGATCAGGGACGGACGGAGCTCCGGAGGGAGGCCAATCCATGGATGGGCATAAACGATATTGCCCGCAGGCTGAGCTGAAGTTGTTGCACAACTACGAACTGACATAGCCACTACACCAAATAAAAAATTAGGTAAGCGTAAAAATGATGCTTCAAAGGCTTTATCTCATATGAGCAGCTTTTCGGAGCCGAGGGCGGCTCATTGAGGCGCGTGCGCTTATAGCTCGAGTAGCTAAGCTTCGTATAGCACAGCCACCAACAATGATGAATGGCTCCCAGACCTGACCTCGGGACCTCATCTCGTCCTCTCGCCCTCACCCTCGACACTCATCCCCCCACGCCGCACTTTCTCCATCTCATCCAAGATTTATTGCACTTACCACATTTACAGGCGACTCACGCTTCCAGAAAAAACTCACCTAAAAAAAATGAACGCACCGCCCCTCCCGCCCCGGCCGCCAGGATTCCACCGCCCGCTGTGGCAGCCCGCCGTCCAGACCTCGTGGAACTACGTGCTTCACCACAAGGTGCACCTCGACCACACCGTCGAGCAGCACGAGGTCTGGATCATCGACCTCTTCGACAACACCGCGGCCGAGGTGGAGGCCCTGCACCGGCGCGGGCGCAAGGTGGTCGCCTACTTCTCGGCCGGGACCTACGAGGACTGGCGGCCCGACGCGGGCCGCTTCCAGAAGCCCGACCTGGGCCGCAAGATGGACGACTGGGAGGGCGAGAGGTGGGTGCAGACCAACTCGGCCAACGTGCGCCAGATCATGCAGGCCCGTATGGACCTTGCCGTGAGCAAGGGGTTCGACGGCGTGGACCCCGACAACGTCGACGCGTGGGACAACAAGAACGGTCGTGAGCATCACTCTCTTCACCTGTTACAGATTCTCGTCTTTCATGTTTTGGGTCCGAAGCAGAACTAACGTCACCACTAGTGGGGCTGTCGGAGCACGACGCCGTGGACTACGTCCTGTGGCTGGCGGGGGAGGCGCACGCGAGAGGCCTCTCTATTGGGCTCAAGAACGGCGGAGATATCGTCCCCCGGGTCGTGCACCAGATGCAGTGGTGTGTCAACGAGCAGGCGATGCAGTATGGCGATGAGGAGCAGTTTCTTCCGTTTATCAAGCAGGGGAAGCCCGTGTTTAACGTTGAGTACCCGAAAGGGGAGGATCCCGACAGCAATAAGCACAATGACCAGAAGGAGGTGACTGGGAAGAAGAGGGATAAGTGTATGAAGGGGAAGCAGCATGGCTTCTCTACCATCATCAAGAACGTCCGACTGGACCAGTGGATTCAAACATCCTGAGGAAGTCCGTGGCTAGAGCAGGACGGTTGGACATCGATGGCCTCCTACATGTCTATAATAGCACTTGAAATATCTGGGCATGCTATTTCTGACAAAGAGGGCGATCTCTTCGGGCTCTTTAATGAAGACAATTCAACAGGGACAAGGCCTCTTGAGAAACCTCGATTGGTCACCTTCTTGAGTAGACGCTTGCCAGGCCTTACTCGAGTCCTACATCCCTTTTCAAAAAAGAATAAAAAAAATAAAAAAGAACCTTGGGAACTTCACAGCCTCTTGGAGCGTCGTACACTACACGATCGGGACATTCTGGGGCTCAAAGAAGACCAGTGGTTGGCGATAATTCGCGCAGTGGGTATCATTAATAAGCTAAACTACCATATAAGTCGGGATGGTGATTCATAAGATGCATGACTTCCTGTATAAATTAATCTCCCCTTTCTTTGTGACCATTAAGTGATATATGCAGTTGATCCTCCTCTATGCGATTGTTCGTTCTGGACCTGCTAGTGCCAAAGTGCCGTGTACCTTTTGGCATAGGACGGACTCGGTCGCTGTTCGAGCATCTAATATATAGGGCACAGGCGTTCTCGTATGCACCTCTGAAGTCCTCAGAGTGGAAAGTGACGAACTGGTTGTCCCTGGTTCAAGATCCTCGGGCCTGACCGCGTTGGACAAATGGCAAAGTTGAGCCTTGCCCAGGTGTCCAAGCGAAAATCGATTGCCAGAGTGCTTTGTGATGCGCAACCTATAAGTGCGCTATGCCTGTTAGTTTTGTACGGAACAGAGGAGCATGTATGGAAAGACAAGAGGATAAAAATCATTATAGCATGAGAATAGATATGTAAAAGGAATCCATGACATGAATATGTCCTCTTTGCGAGGAATGGTGCCCTAGGGTAAGGTCAGGTGCAAATAGGGAGTACCTACCATACGGCCCTGATGTTTCCAGCCTCCTCCAAGAATCAGTGACCAAGCAAGCAAAATTCCAAAAAAGGAGACTCCTTTCCTTGATTTATACTGCTCATATCGTTGTCTCGTATATTTTCAGCCTTCCCGGGGATGCAAAACGGCCGCTTATTCCTCGTTCACCTCTGAGACACGCGACAGCTCCAGCATAACTTGCCGCATCGTGATCCGCTGTTTCGGGTTCACGACCAGCATGGCCGCAACGAGCCTCTCCACCTTGTTGCTGTGGTCCAAGCGTGACTTGGCCTCGCGAATGTCGTTGAGCCAGTCCTGCATTTTTTGAGCAGCAGTCCGCCCGTCAAAGTTTGGCAGCTGTCTCTGATGTTGCGGTGCTGTGTTGATGTATGCGATCATCCAGTATAGGTGGCGAGGATGATTCTTCTGGCCTCGAGCATCCGGGAGGCCGATCTTGCGGAGGACATACAACATTGTCACGCCCAAAGCCCACACGTCCGCTGGCTGGCCGCGAAGCTTCTGTCCGATGAACTCGGGGCAGATGTAGAATGGCGTGCCGCCGATCCTCTCCTGGTTGGCGTGAATGTCAGTGATCATGCCATAGTCGCATAGTACAGCCCCGCGCTCTCGGTTAAATAAGATGTTGCCCGGCTTGATGTCATTGTGAACCATGTTACGGCTGTGCATATAATCCAGTGCACCGGCTACATCGCGGAGGATGCGCTCAGAATCTTGCTCGTTGCCGAGAAAGAATGTGCTTTGCGGGTCTTGCCAGGCGCCTCTTGCTGAGAGATCGCTGGCGTCGATGTACTCCATGTACAAGGACAGGTATCGGGCGTCGCCGCCAAATAACCGAGGGATCGACTTGTGATCTAGCACTTCGTGATTGAGGAACTCTCGAAGCCAGATATCGGCTTGGCGGATGACGTTCCGCTCTGCATCCTGCGGCTTTGCCGTGGCGAGTGCTTTCTGGTTCAGGCGGGTCTTGAGGACCTTGACAGTGATGATGCTGTCGGGTTCTCGGGAGAACTCGCCCTTGGCAACGGCGCTTAGGCTTGTCGAAGCGATGGGGCCGATTTTCTTGATCGTGTATTCGTCAACGTCGACCTCGGCGCCGGGAATTTCGGCGATGTCGCCGTCCTCGAGCTCCAGTAGTGGATTTCCATTGGTGGTCATCAGCTCCTTTCCTTTCTCTCCGGACGGGAGAGGGAAGACCAGAGGGTTCGTGGCGCTGCCAGGTCTCATAAACATCACGACGCCGTCGTCGGATCGTGCATCGCTTCGGACCATGGACTCGTCGGCGCGCATCCTCTTGTCAGGCGAGGAGCCGTTTCCTTCAGCAGTAAGCGCTCGTTTCCCCGATGAGTTGAGCAAGCTGACGAGGGACTCGTTTGATGCTGACAAGCTCAGTGACGACCTCAGGATGGCGGGGCGTTTCTCAACGATCCTGAAATCAAGTACATTGATGTTCCTGACCTTGATTCTCCATGTTCCGGGAATCAGAGCCTTGGTGGTGTGCGGGTTGATGGTGTATTCGATACCCGGGCTGGAAGCTGGGAGCTGGGAAACCCTGGACAGGAACAGCGGGATTCCGGAACGGTTGAGGAAGATTTGGTTGTCGCTGGCTGGGTCATAGTAGAGTTCGCACCACAGAGGAGGTCTCGTGTCATTTTCGAGCTTCTCCCCCGGGATTCGCACGGAGAACTTGATGTCTCTGCTTGTTTGTGTGACTGCAAGGACCTTCTGCTCGGGCTGTTTTGGTTCCGCAACTTCGGCAGTCAACTGCAACCACTCGCAGCTATCGAGGTTGCCAGGGCTCACAGAGCGGGCCCGTGTTAGAGGCCGTACGAGAATGCGGATATCCTTGTCCTTTGGAACCGCCAGGTCATCCAGGTGGATGGCGTGGTTCTCGGCCGCGATGGCCTCGCTGATTTCCTTCTGCTCCTGGAAGCTCCTGAGGCGGGCGTCGATCTCGCTCTGGGAGTATGGCTCGGTCTTCTCCTCGGTTGCCACCTCGGAGGGCGGCTCAACGTGGATGGTCCTCATGGCGAAGGCGACCCGGTCTTGCCGGCCTCGCCACGGGAGCCTGGCTAGACACTGCTGCTGATGATGTGGATGGGGCGACCAAGCCGAGCCAGAGAGGAGTCACACAAGGAAGCTAGGGACAAGGAGATATGCGCGCGGGTATGTGCGGCTCAGGTGCCTAGCCCTGGGTACTCGAGACAACAACCAGTAGAGAGATGGAGACGGTCGATATGACACACAAGCCCTTTTCCTCGGGGTCTTGTTGTCGACACAGGCACAGGCTCAGGCTCAAGATAAGGTCAGGTCCTAGTAACGGGTGCTCCCGAGAGTTGGTATCCTGTCGCTGGATGGCCGCTTCAGGCGGCGGGGGGGCGGGGAGTAGTTAAATGTGGCTGCAGAGACACGAGAAGAGAGAGGAACAGTCCTAAAAACCCGACAAGCACAGACAAATAGAGACAGAGACCACCTGGCTTGCTGGCAATGCAAATGATGATGAAAATGCGGTTCGAAAAAAGAGTCAGATGCGGAATACGGAGAGGCAGTTGAGCAGGAACAGGCCCGGGGGACGAGCCCTGCTGACCGGGGTCTTGCGGTGCTTAGCAATTCTGGATTCAGCCTCAACTGACCCTAGCAGAGGAACAGGTGAACCGCGAGTCCTATGGCCCCCCAGCTGGCTACACTGCCTACTGCGAGGTGCAGTAGCAGGTGGATAGGCGGGAGGGTTCGTTGGGTGCAGGGGTGGAATGGGGAGCCCCGGAAGATGGCGAGGACCATAGTAGTAGGGGCACTGGCACTTTGGGTTCGAACTTGCAGCAGGAGCGAGGTAGGCTGCAGCTGCCTAGTCCTTGTGAGGGAGGCCGCCTGAGTCACCACGATATGGGCCAGAGTCGAGAGAAGGCTCACGGAGCAGGCCAGCTGTGAGCTTCAGTTCCGCCGTCCTGTGGCTCCGAGCGGCGTAGAGAGCGCAGCCGTAGTGGGAAAACAAGAAGCCTTTCTTCCGCAGGATGCAGGTGTGCTTGGCTGGTGGTCCAGTGGATCTGAGAAGAGAGCAGCCCCAGAGTCCCCGGGGATATCTGACGATTTGAGTGGGTTCCCAAGCAAGCACACAAGCTATGCTGGGATGCAGGCTCCAGATCCCGGGCAGGAAAGCCGCAAAGACAAACAAGAACAGCAGGGCACAACACGGACTGGAGTGTGACCAGCCGGGGCCAGAGTTCAAGGGCGTGATGAGGAGCGACGAGGCACGAGGATGGATTAGATGGAAGCAGGCAGACATGGAGGCCAGAGGCAGCTGACACCCGAGTCTCAGTCGGCCTGCCTGCCTGCCTGCCTGCCTGCCTGTCAGCCTGTCTGCATGTCCAATGTCCGTACGGATATGTGTAGGAGATAAGACGACAGTACCAGCTGTGTGCCGGCTGGCCGTCCGAGCTGCCAGCTGGCGCCATGCAGGCTGGGCAAAAGGTGCCCCATTGGGGGCCGTTTTCCAGACTGATGAGAGTAGCAATGTCAGGAATCAGGAAGCAGCGTCACTCGATGAGACTGGTGGTCAGCCCACATCAGCCGGCCAACCATGATGCATGGCCATGACCGCCCCCCGTCTGCCCGGTCTTCGTGATGCAGGCCGGGGCTACAAGACAGTAAGCTGGTTGGCCGCTTGTGGAGGCTGTTCATTGGCTATTGGCTGGGCTTGCGCCACTTCGCGTTCCGCCGCGCCCCTCTTGGATGCATCCTGAATTGCCTGGCTTGCCTGGGTACGGCGCAATGCCCCGAGGCGGAGGGGCAGAGGGGGCGGCTGTCGGGCAAAGAGCAACAGCCCACAGTGTCTGCGTGTCTTCTGTCTGTCTGTCTGTCTGTCTGTCAGCTTGTTGGGAAGGGGGACAGACAGCCTTTTTGAGCAACAAATCTCCCGAGAGAACGAGTCTTGATCTGGTCTCTGAGCAGTGGAGAGATGGTGCCATGTTCTTGAGTCTTATTGCTGTGTGGCATCCGTCTCCCTCCTCCAGGCTGAATTCAGGCTTCAGGCTTCAGTCATCCAGCCTTCGGGTTTCATCATCGACGTGTCTGCCAACTGAGTGTCTGGGAACGGGCTGGAGGGCCATAGACCCAGGGAACGCGGGCAGGGGGTCAGGGGGACAGGGGTCGGGCACCCGTGGCCGGGAGAAAGAATCGATCTTTTGCTGGGCGCTCTAGTCCCATCTGGGCACTAGCTCTGATGGTCGCACCCACCTCCTGCAGGGTTGCAGTGCAACCTCGCCTGCATAAGGGCGGCATGTGCCACCGCTAGCGCCTGGCCTGCGCCCAGATGAATGGCTCTGAGTGGTCCGGATGCAGAAGTGGTGGACCCACCCCTTCCAGACGGGCCATGGGCTTTTTGTGGGCCCAATGTGGGTGTTCTGGCCGTCGCCCACTGCATGTCCATCATTGTGAGTCCGGCTCGACTCCTGGTCTCGTCACCGTCAGAAAACCACCAAAGACCCCCGTCCCGCCCGCCTGCGCTGCTCTCCTCTCCCTCTCCTCACCAAGACTCTGAGCCCCGATCACCAGAGCAAATAGACCGTCCGTTTTCGACAATACTCCCTCTCCGATACCGATACCAATCCACTCGGCAAAGGCCAGAAACAGCAGTCTACGATCCCCTCAACAGCCCACACACGTCACCACCAGCTCAGTCACCCAGTCACCCAGTCACTCGACTCTTTTGCTCGTATTTCTCGCAACAGGAAAACGAACAAACAAGTCAAACCAAACACCACCCATCAAAATGTCTTGTCCCATCAGCTCTGTCTAAATGGCTCTCAACGTTTACACAAGCCGCCAACCAACCAACAACAACAACCAGACAACCCGGCTCTTTCTTCTCGGTTCCTCCTTTCTCAGTCTTTCATTCAGCCCAGATACCACTTCGACTTCATCCTTATCGCATTTCCTCTGACCAAGCAGCTTCTACGTGATACCCCTTGTGATACCCACTTTCCGTTTCTGGCGTCATCGGAATACCACAACTGCACGACTTTCTCGCATACCATGGACGATCCCGGCTGTGCTTGGCCCTTTTGGAAGTTTGGCTTGCAAAAGGATGACCTCACCACCACCCTACATGACCGCTTCAACACCATTCCCTCGGCCATCCAGGACCCAGAGGCATTCCACCATGATGTCTATGAAATCTCCACCAGAGCCTCAACTCTCACAGAGTTTGAGAACTTGATGGAAGAGCGCAAGAAGCTGCGCTTGGAGGAATTGAATGGTAAGGGTTTACGGAAGTCACATGCAAGGAGGTGGACCCTCGTTGACAATCAGCTTGACAGGCATGTTGGAGGATGCAAGTTTCGAGATCATCGGTAACCCATCCCTCATCGGCACCGAGCAGTGGCAGTATGCCATCCAGCTCTTCCGCACAAAGTCCCTGGACTCCCTGGTCCGGTACTTCTCGTCCTACCTGCCTCAGGAACACCCTTGGCACCATGACAGCGCGTCACCTATCAGCAGCACCGGCAGCTCGCAACCTGCCATCTTCGACTGTGACGGGCCCATGTTCTTTGATGAGCCCGAGGAAGACGATACATATTACACCAACGAACACTCCCAAACTTTCGACATCACAGAAATCTCTCTCGACCAACCGACTCGCTCAATGACTGTGCGGTCCGAGGATTCTGGCGTCTCCGTCTCCGAACGCGTCCAACAGAACCATAAGTACCTGGCCCGCACCTCCCAGCGGGCCATGTCCTTCTCCGAGTCCGAGTCTGAGCCTATACACATACATGACTCGATACCTGCACTTCACGACGACGACGTCACATCGCAGTCCGATGACCCCGAGACTCCATCAACGTCCGTCTCTGACTTGTCGGATACTGAGTCTCAAGGGAAGGACACGATGTTGACCACGATTGTCGACGACGATGCTCACGACGAATATCTCTCCATAACCCATGCTCAACTCTCTTCCATGGACTCGATGGAATCCGAAACTCCTACACCCAAACCCGAACGCACTCACTCATCTGCAGCTCCATTTTTCGACACGAGACTATCACCACTACGGGCTCGTAGTCTATCTTCCAGCCATACATATCCCCATCACGCACATCCGGCCCACGAGGACTTCAGCAGACAACATGCGACCACCCGACAGTTACGACGAAGGGACACCAGCGTCGATCGTCAGCGATCAAGGTACGAATCGCGCGGAAGGTCTAGCCGAGTGCAAAAGCCTACGGTTGAGCCACGAGGTATCCGCCAGCGAGGTAGGAGGCATGTGGGTGCCTAGATATGGGATCCCATGGTGTGGCAGTGATCGTTGGTGGACGGGTCGGTGGAGGCCCATGGTAGTGACGAGGGCACCCAAAGCATGTACATATATACATGGGGGACGCCGTTGTAAATACTGTAATGACTGTCGCAGCAATGCGCTAACGAACAAATTATTCCTAAACCTTTTAATCCCTTTTTTCATTTCTGATGGGTGGGACAACCGCCAATCTTGGAAGTAGTCATCGACGGGATGGGCAAGAGCACCTACCTAGGTGACGCTTATTGCCACCCAGGACTTTGAAGCTTCTTTTGGCCCGCTTGTTGCCTGCTACCGCGATGCTCTACATTTGCAATGATCAGGATCTTGAGTTTACGGTAACTAACCTAACATTATTAGGCTAAGCAAATATGTTTTGTGCTCAGTGAAGCCGAAGCACAAGTTACTACCCGATGATGGCAACTGGCCGCTGGTCGAATGGCGGCATTGTAGGTGAGTGCTCTCTCAGGTAAGCGAGAACAGATATCTAAGTCGCGAAACAGTTGACCGGAGCTCCCATAGTTCGCATCAACGAATGGCTTTCAAATTCATCTGCAGATTGTCTTCGGTAAGTCCGAGGTAAGTAACTGGCAAGGTGTCTTTCATCTCGGAGAAGGCGCAATTCCTGCGAGATTCATGAAGAAAGGATTGTGGCCTTTGTGGATGTGCAGTTTCACTCCCTCTTCGGCATCCCTGCCAATCTGACCACCACTGTGGGTGACCTGGCTTGAGTGATGCTCTGTCAGTATTGTTTCTCATAAAAAGTCTTTTATGACGTGGCCTTGGAGCCATTTCTACCTGTCTTGAACAGCCTAAAACCCAGTGAACGCAATGTTGAAAAGGGGCGGGCTTGGACGCATAGTTCTCGCAAAGCAACCAACCTCAACTCCACGTCAAGCCCTTCCCTCCTCATATGTGCACTCTCTGATCTTTTTCTTAATGCATATACCTGAACGTATATGCCTTGTCGCCCTGCTCCGACAGCTCCCGGCTGTCGAATCCGTCCTCGCCACCCTCGGCGAGCTTCTTCTCGCGCTGCTTGTTGATAGCAGCGTAGCTGACGTTAAGGATTACCGCGGCGAGTATCCCCACGCACACAAAACCCAGCTCCAGCCCGTGGCCGAGGATGTAGCGTGGGGAGTCCGGCTGGCGGTAGAAGTTTGACGCCATCGCGCCGCCTAGGTTACCCACGCCGATCTGGATCGCCATCCCTGCGCTGCGCTTGTAGCCCCCGGCGAGGTTATTGGACAGCCATGCGATGTTCCCTGGGAAGCTTGGGTAGATGGAACACACGATGATGAAGACTCCACCGTAGACCACGCGGGGGTGCTTTGTTGGGTCTGTGGAGATACACCTGGATACAAGTCAGTCTCCATCGTCTGGAAAGGGGGTTGAGTGGGGGGTGGGGGGTGTAGTGAGTGGCGGGCGACATAGCGACATACATGGCAAACCCTACGATCATCACACAGAGGAAGGGTACTATAAACGGGGTCCTCTTGCCCACGCGGTCAGACAGGTAGGCAAAGATGACAGCTAATATCGCGGCAGTAACGTAAATGGGAACGGTCATGAGCTGTGCGGTGCTCGAAGTATAGCCCAGATTCTTGATAATCGTTGGTAAGAACAGACTCGTTCCGTACAGTGGACAGACAATCTAGCAGGACTCTGTCAGCCAAGGCCTCCGGTCAGGAACAGCAGGACAAGCACTCACGCCCCAATATACGAATATATTCACCCAGATCTGCCAGTCTAGGAATGCCTGTCTGACATACTTCCACTGGAACTCATCAGCCTGGGCGACCTGGGTCGCCCTCGCCCCGGCGCTGCCCAGCTTGGCAGACTGGCCCTGGTATTTCAGGCGGAAGACCACAAACGCCCGCTCCTCCTCGGTCAGGAATTTGGCTGTCTCTGGGAAGTCGTGCAGAAGGAAGAACGCCGCGCAAGCGGCGACTACGGTTGCAATTCCTTCCACTGCGTGTTGGTTCACTGTCAGCCTCAAGTCATCCATCAGGTTGTGAGGGACTGAAACCTTAGGGAAATCAAACTAGGGAAATTCCAGGAAATCTCAAGGAAATCAAATCAGGGATATCTCGGGGAAATCTCACAGATAAAAATCCATCGCCACCCTTCTAGGTTTCCAACGCCATCCATTTTAGAAATACCAAACGCCAGGAGGCCGCTGAACGCACCAGCAACCGAGGCGGCGGAGAAAAACAGAGCCTGCCGGAACTGGATCTCATGTCTGCAGTACCACATGGTGAGGTAATATGCTACACCGGCTATTCATACACGAGTGTTAGTGACGATGCTAGAAGAATATATAGCACTGAATGTAGAAAAGCGCTTATGAGAGCGCTGAAGACTAATAATGGGGCCCTGGGGTGTTTGTATGAGAGTAGTATATAAGAGACAAAGTTGGCACCGCGATGATCACCTACGATACAAACCGGCCTCAGTGACACCCAGGAACAAGCGCGCAGCCAAAAGACCCTGATAGTTCCGCACGATGCCCATCAGCGTCATGACCGTGCCCCAGGCGACCATGATGATAGGCAGCCACCTGCTGGGGCGGAGCTTCTTCAGCAGGAGGTTGCTGGGCACCTCGAAGGCGGCGTAGGTGAAGAAGAAGGCCGTCAGGCACCAGTTGTACTCGTAGCTGCGCATGCCGAGGTCCTCCTGCAGGCCCTCGATCTTCGCGTTGCCGATGTTGCCGCGGTCGAGGAAGGACAGGAGGTACAGCAGCGACAGCATGGGGATCAGGCGCAGGTCCATCTTGCGCAGGATCGCCTTCTCGTCCAGGTGCCTGAACGAGTCGAGCGTCGTCCCCTCGGCCGTGGCCAGGGCGTCGATGCGGTCAATCTCGTCTTTTGCCCTTGGGTGGCGGCTGTGCGGAGGACTGTCGGAAACAGTGCCGACCCCGAACTCGTCCTGGGCGATGTCGGCTTTCTCATTCTGAGATCTGTCGAATGAGGCCATCTTGAATTACTTTTGGTACTTGGGAAGCATAGAACACTAAAGGAGCTAGACCGAGCATTGATAGACACAGCTTTATACAGAAGAAGAAGAAGAATAAGCCAAGTTGTCGGGAGTGAGACGAGGTGTTCAATGCTAGCTCGCAATAGATAATTAGCTGGTTGTGGACTTGGAGTCGATGACCAATTCCAAGGTCCCAGCGCCCATGTGATGCCCTCCCCCCGCTGCTGCTACCTGCATCCCCGTAATTATCTCCTCAGCAACCATGCGGGCGGCCCAGATCATCGGTACTGGGGAAGCAGTCCCTGAGTTGCTACTCGCCATTAGCTGCGGCTCTGGAGACAGTCCCGCCAGAAAGCTTAGCTCTAGCCCATTGTCTAGGTACTTAAGTAGGTATCTAGGTAATTCCCCGCACTCCGCACTGCTTGGCAAGCTGGCAGCTGCCCTGTCGATGTACTAGCCCTGAGGGCTCGGTCTATTTATTTATCAAGAGCCGATGATGCAATGGGCAACTACCCCGAGATTTTCGGGACTTTTATATTGTTCTCAAATATACCGAAAAAACTGATTCAAAACTAGGCGATCCGGGACTGTTGTCTCACCTGCCTAGGTACCTGGGCACCTAGGTAGGTATTACGACGTTCCCCCTCACCCTGCCTTGGGTCGCTCGTGTTGCGAACAGACCAGTTGATAGCCCTGCCACCCCGTAATACCCTTCAGTATTATTGAGATATGACACAACGTGCAAGCAATTTCTCTGACTGGCAGTGGTGAGTAGGAGTGACGAATGAGGCCCTAGGAATCTGGACTTGGACACGGATTCTATCAAGGTAATAAGTGAATGGGGTCTCAGGTCGCGAAGCTCAAGGTGCTGTTACAAGAACGACGGGATATATATAGCCAACTTTGAGATCCAGCCCTCCGGGCCCCAGCTCCCAACAAGCGAGCCAACAAACAGTTCTCAATACCAACAGAGACTCCATCCATCCGCATTTGAAATATGTAATGGTCAGAGAATAATAATACACGCTCATATTTCGATTCAAACTTAGACTTGGGTCCCACCCGCGGTTCATGCTATCATCTGTTTTCCGCGGGCAACTTGAACGAGTCAACTTGAACGAGTCAACGAACGCCGCGGGAAACTTGACCGGCCAATTGCCAGCACCGGAACACTATCAACACCACTCCTTAGGCGGCCTACTAATAAGGTCACATATCGGTAGCGTTTGTGAGGTGGGGGAGGGGGATGGCGATGGCGAAGTATAAAACCAGTAGATCTCGCATGCAACGTAACAGACTCTGTGCATCAACCTGCTGTGAGGTTTTACTATTCGCACTATATCCAGACAAGCCTCACACTAATACGTCGTCCTCGAAAGCACCTCTACACCTCGAAGAAGTCATTTCTTACCGGGTTTTCAGCCATGGGTTCCGTTGGCACCAATGAGACCTTTTGGGCCAAGCACGACAAATATGTCATGAGCACGGGCGTCCCTCCGTGCCCTGTGGTTGTCACCAGGGCCAAGGGTACCCGTCTGTACGACGAGTCTGGGCGGTCGATCCTGGACTTCACGTCGGGCCAGATGAGCTCACTGCTGGGCCACTCGCACCCTGAGATCGTGGAGGTGGTACGGCAGTCCGTGGGGGAGCTGGACCACCTCCTCTCCAACATGGTCACGCGGCCGGTGGTTGAACTGGCAGAGCGCCTCGCCAGGTTCCTGCCGCGCCCGCTCGAGAAGTCCTTCTTCCTCAACACGGGGTCCGAGACGACCGAGGCGGCCATCAAGATGGCCAAGATGTACACGGGGAACTTTGAGATCGTGGCGTTCAGCGCGTCTTACCACGGCCTGACGTACGGTTCTGGAAGCGCGACTTATTCGACGGGCAGGAGGAATGGCGGGCCCACGATGCCGGGGCAGCTGGCCTTTCCAGCACCGTACGCCTACCGATCCATATTCCGTAAGGCTGACGGGAGTTATGACTGGGAGAAGGAGATGGATTTTGGCTGGGCGATGATCGACCGGCAGTCCGTGGGATCGCTGGCGGCGTTTATCCTGGAGCCGATCCTCTCGACAGGAGGGATCCTGGTGCCGCCAAAGGGGTATCTGGCACGGCTGGCCGCTGAGTGCCGGAAGCGTGGGATGCTACTCATCCTCGACGAAGCACAGACGGGGGTGGGCCGGACCGGGAAGATGTTCTGCTTTGAACACGAGGAGGGAGTGGTGCCGGACATACTGTGCCTTTCAAAGACGCTGGGGTGCGGCTTGCCGCTGGCGTCGGTGAGCACGACTGCTGAGATCGAGAAGGGGCTCAAGGAGGGCGGGTTCCTCTGGTTGACGACACACTTGAACGACCCATTGACTGCAGCGGTGGGATGCAAGGTCCTTGAGATCGTGGAGAGGGACAGGATGGCGGAACAGGCGGCGGAGAGGGGAGAGCAGCTTCACAAGGGGTTGCTCAAGCTGCAGGAGAAGTACTGGTGCATCGGGGATGTTCGGGGGATAGGACTGATGCAAGGCATTGAGATCATCTCGGACAAGGAGGCAAAGACGCCAGGGCCCGAGATAGGACAGGCTGTCAGCGACAGAGCCATGGAGGTTGGGCTGTCGTGCAACGTGGTCAACCTGCCGGGGATGGGAGGGGTCTTCAGGCTCGCGCCCTCTGTCACGGTGTCTGCCGAGGAGATCGAGGAGGGACTGAGGATTCTAGACGAGTCGTTTGGATACGTGCTCAAGGATCGTGGCGCAGCAGGCAGCACTCCCTAGTATCGCACCGCGGTGTTTGGTGTTGTTGGCTGTGGCTCCATGGTGAATGAAACGGCGCGTCAAGCCTCAAATGCCAATCAGCTTAGACGCGATGTGTGATGGAGCATTGGATCTGAAACCAGCCCACGATGCTGCATATGTGGATGGATTGTGGAGTGATTATTGGCGATGGGGACTAGGGGATTAGTCCAACACCCACGAGCTGCCGGCAGCAAGTGTGCCGTGCTAGGCGGGAGATCTTCAGCAGTGGCGCCCAGGGAGAGGCCCAGAGACGAGCAGGAGGGAGAAGCTCTGCACAGCCAGACAGCTGTCATCCCTGCAGGTGGGGGCCCCAGCCCGTCCCCGGCCAATGGCACGGGCCCAGCCTGCGCCAAATGACGTGTGCCTTTCTGGCTTTCTGGTCCTCAGACCTCGTCAGACCTCGACCCTACAAAGCCAGCAGTCGACTTTTTGGTGGGATGAAGTCATGTGGTGGTTAGGACGGCCTCGTTAAGCCGCCAAAAACCAGGGCCTCAGCAGCAAGGCACCTGCAAGGAGCTGCAAGGTAGGCCACACAATGACGGCAGGGCCATCATTCCCTCCCTTTCTCACTCCCTCTCTGGGCACAGTCCAGTCCCGCTTGGCAAGCGCCGCCTGTCGCCCACTGGCCTGGCAAGCCTGGCCTGCTGCCACACCACGTCATCCTGCTGAGCCCACCCTGGCGCTTGACTGGGCATCCGGAATGTTCTCTGCGTGTGGTTTTTTGTCTTATTATATCAACAGCCCGGCCACCGTTCCGTTGTGTTGTTGTTGTTGCTGATCTTGTTGTTGTTTTGTAAAGCCTGTCTATTCATCTTCCTCCTTCCTCCTCTGTTAACATCCATCCGTAAATATTGTTGCACACGGTCTCCGACGTCCTCAACATAGTTTCATATTATTGAACTATTTGCCTCGCCCACAGTCAACCAACCCCCAACTTCTCTCAACATGGCTCTTGGTTTCGTCGCTATCGCCCATCTCGTGGCCGTCCTCTTCTCCATAATAGAACTCGGCCTCACGGCCTATGTCGTCAGCGTCTACGACGGCCGCTGGGACAATGGCTACTCCTACTACGGCAGCAACTCTCCCGATAGGGTCAACTTCATGGTCTTCAACTCTGTCTGGTCCCTGCTGGTCCTGGCCTACATCGGCCTCACACCCCTCTACATGACCAGCATCTTCCACCGCCTCGCTGCCCTTGGCCTGGAGGCTGTCACCATGATCTTCTGGTTCGCTGGCTCCATCGCCCTTGCCGTCTTCATCGGCGTGCCCAGGTGCCACGGCAACACCTTCTGTGGCTCCATCCAGGCCGCCGTCGCATTCGGCTTCTTCTTGTGGTGAGCTTGATCCCCACCCGAGACAGTTTAAAACAATCCAATCGAATGCTAATCCATCTCTAGGGCAATCTTCCTCTTCCTGGTGGTCCTCGACGGCATTGAGGCTATGAAGTCCCGCCGTCACTCAACGGGCACCGGTCACCACAGCCACACCAAGCCTTATGCTGGCGCCTAAACATCGCCTCCGAGCAGCCGGAACGGCCAAATCGAAGCTCGGTTGGAAGGGGTGTCGAATACCCCTGGTAATTCTTAGTATGTGCGCTGTTTGATCGTCTAGGACGAAGAATGGGAACAATCACCTTGCGGGAAGGAGAAAACTCCAGGCGTTATATTGGTCGCGAAGCGGGGCTCTGACTTCCAGTCACTATTTATACCCTCAAGATACCACATATATCTCTGATTTGCGCTGTCACTTTTAATTAATATCAATCACCGTCATCTGATGGCCACAAAACCTTGCATATTTCGAGTCGTCTTTGAGAGAGCATTGAAGACTGCTTGAGAACCTCAATAATAATGTGCTCGCATGTGATGTTGATATGTGCCAGTCCAATACGATCCCGCACAACCTTCAGTGCAGCGACGATCTGTGTCTATTTTCGTTTTGTAATCTCAATCTCCTGACATCGCGACTCAGGTTGTCAATTAACTTTGATGCGCAGGGTGCGTCCCCTTGTAAGGCAAACATCCGACGAACCGCCGCTAGACTTGGCATTGGCTTGGCTTCTCCGACGGGTTGGATCCGTTTGCCGGCTTGAGCCAGAGAGCACCCACAGTCGCCCACACGTGCCTCGCTAGCTATCGATGGCCCCCGGGAGCTTGACTTGGCTACCAAGGATGTCGATAGGAAAGGAGGCGGGGGGGCGAGCGTTGGAATCGGGTATATAAATCAAGGAGTATCTAAGTCGATCAAGGAGACTCGATCGATATGCCTTGAGGTCTACTCCAGGAGATCAGCGCTCTCGGACATTGGGTTCATTGAGGTACTCGTCCTGGAAGCCTGCGTCCAAAGTGCTCCTCTCAGAGCAATTGGGATATCCTCGGTAATAACTCTTGCTATACAGCCGTCAAGATGACGCTCGGAAAGCTGGTGGTCGCCGGTCTCCTGGCCCCGATCGGCCTGGCGACCCCCATCGTGCCTCACTCCCAGGCCAGGGGCCACAGCACCCAGCAACAGTTGATCAAGCAAGTCCAACTGGGCCCGCGGCCATACTTCCTGGTCGACGACATGGACCCATCTCCGCTCAAGGACGAGCTCGCCGCCTGTTCCGAGATGGAGATGCGGCCCTCTCGCTTCTCCATCGGCCACCGCGGCGGCGGAACGCTGCTGATCCCGGAGGAGACGCGAGAGTCTGAGCTCGCCGGCCTCAGGATGGGCGCCGAGGTGCTCGAGTGCGACGTCGTCTTCACTTCGGACCGACAGCTCGTCTGCCGCCACGACCAGTGCGACCTGCACTCGACCACCAACATCGTCGACATACCCGAGCTCAACGCCAAGTGCACCAAGCCCTTCACCCCGGCGGACCCGGCAGCCGGCACGCCCGCCAGCGCCAAGTGCTGCGCGAGCGACATCACCCTCGACGAGTTCAAGACGCTCTGCGGAAAGATGGACGGCTTCAACGCCACCGCCGAGACGCCCGCCGACTTTTTGCACGGCACCCCCAGCTGGCGCACCGACCTCTACGCAACCTGCGGGACCGTCCTGACCCACCGCGAGTTCATCTCCCTGGTCGACGAGTTCGGCGGGCCCGAGGTGCAGTTCACCCCGGAGCTCAAGACGCCCCAGGTCCCCATGCCCTTCGGCGGCAACGGGTCCGGCTACACCCAGCAGGCGTTTGCCCAGCAGATGGTCGACGAGTACGTGGAGGCGGGCGTCGACCTGAGGAGACTCTGGCCGCAGAGCTTCCTCTACGACGACATCTTGTACTGGATCGAGGCCGTGCCCGAGATCGCGCCCCAGGTCATCTTCCTGACCGAGACCGAGGGGGATATCGCGAACCTGTCCAGCTACGCCGCTGCCGGCGTCAAGATCATGGCCCCGCCGCTGCCGTTCTTGGTGTCTGTTGGCGAGGACGGCAAGTCGATTGTCCCGTCCGAGTATGCCGGTGAGGCCAAGCGGCTCGGGCTGAAGCTCGTCACTTGGTCGTTTGATCGGTCTGGCCCGCTGAGCCAAGTCAAGGAGAAGGATGACTATTACTTCACTTCGGTTGCTAATGTGACTAACAACGACGGGGACGTCTATAATCTGCTGGACGTTCTGGCGAGGGACGTCGGCGTCATGGCTGTGTTTTCGGACTGGTCAGCCACGGCCACGTATTATGCGAACTGTTTCGGCTTGTTCCCAACGTATTCCGATTGGGTAGACTAGGTCATCACAAACTATTGTACTACAGCGTTATGACATAGTGGCCACACGTGTACATGGCCGAATAGAATCCATGCTATACTCCAGGGCTGATGTGTACCAGGGTTCAACTTGTCACTTTGGTACTAAAGTTCACTCAACATCAGACTGTGGTTTTGGTGGCATCTTACGTGTGAATTGGCACAGTTCATATATGGGCTCATTTGCGAGCTTGGATTACAGTGGCTCATTACATTTTGTGCTGATCAGGCCGTGCAATCATATCGGCATTCGTCAGCAGGTACAAATCCAGATTCCTTCTCTTTAGCCCATTTCTGCCCATTAAAGACCCGCAAAATACAGCACACAAAGCTTCCACAGTTGTCCTTGATTGGGAGAATGTTGACTCAGGTTGGCCAGTTAAGCTGTGAGGTATTCGCCGACTCTGTTTCCTGCTAAAAGTACTACCTAGGTAATAGATGAACAGTGGGATTTCCCCGGAATTATCAAAGACATATAGGTGACAGATAAATCAGAAGGAAAGGTCCTATTGATTAATTTCATGTACTTGCTAGGATAACCTCGGCACCCTTGGGCGCTGTAGTTGAAAGTCCCAGGATGTTTAGGATAGCGACGTCACCTGGATCGATGCAACGGAGAGCTGAGCATTTTGTGCTACATTGCTCAAAGAGGGACTGGCTAGGTAAACCAGCCGGACCGCCTTGCTTCAATGAAGCAAGCATCTTTGCGCGAAGTACTGTCTCAAGTGTGGCGAGATATACACTCTGTCTCCAGATAGCATGGGTAAAATAGCAGATGCAAACATAGAGGGCCCCTGGGGGGTTTCCTACCTAGATATAGAAGGAACAGACTATTCTTGTGATCACTAGACTTGTACAGCAACTTTTAAACATGCTATAGGACACTTCCCCTCTTCAAGACAACCAACCTAACCCTGCCATGTGACTCGCTTCTCCCTCAAAAGTCCAACCATGCCCATGGGCAACAATCCTGGGTCGACAATACTCAGCCCGCCAAATCGCTCGATAATCTCCGGCCCGTACATGGCCGTGATCCAGCGCCAGGTCGCGTCCATGTCATGCCAGATAGGCTTGATGGCCTGTCCGCCCGCGGGAACCTCCCCGAGCGCCGTCTCGAGCTCGCTGACGTGGTCGATGCTTTCCTCGGTCGGCTGCGCCATGAGCTGCTGGAACACCCACAGAAGATCCTGGGGTGCGTGCTCGTCAGGAATCACGCCCAGGTCCTCGCGGTGGCCCACGAACTCGGCAGCATGGAAGAAGTTGTCCCGGTCTTGCTTCAGCTCGGGCTGCCACGCGCCCAGCTCGCCGTCCCGGAGCCGGTGGACCTTGCTACGTTCGAACTGGTGCTTGAAGCGGTTGTAGGCTTCCTTCTCCGCCTCGAGCATTTGCTCGAAGAGCTTGTCCTGCGACTCGAGCACCGAGTCCCGGATCTGGAGCAGTGGTATAAAGGGAGACTGGAGGTCTAGCCCGCCCAGCGCCACCGGGAAGTAGAAGTAGCCGTCGGGGACATCGGCAATGCCGAAGCGCTGCTGGATCGTCTTCCTCAGGTGGTCAATGATGCTGGAGGACTTGCCCATCCCGCCCGCGCCGGAGCCGGAGGAGAATATCTGCTGCTGGATGCGCTTGTGCGTCGCGAGCATGTCGTCGACGTGTTGGCGTCCGAAACAGTTTGCAGACTTCCCAAAGTTCGAGGAGAAGAACTTGGCCGCGAATGCATTCCAGGTCTGGATGAAGCTAAAGATGCTGCTCTTGTCGTTGAGCTGCTTCCGGAGTTCGTCAATGTGCGAGTCGACCATCTTGTGGTCAATCTCGAATCGCCCCGTCTGGGGCGACAGGAAAAGAAAGCCCCACCGAATATCTCCTTCAGGAAGTCTTTGGTCGATGCTGAGCTGAGAACTTTTATCCTTGGATATGCGAACAGTGCCAGTCTTTCTATCGTTGACAGAAGTGCCGGTCGCGTCGGTGAAGCGCTCAACGGCCTTCCAGGCGTCGACACCTGTGTTGTGATTGGGGGACCAGAACCACAGGTCATCACCGTACCGCCACAAGGGCTGGCCAGAAGCTGCCTGATTGACTGCCAAGTCCAGGCAGAATAGAACAGTCTCGCCCAAGACGTCACTGAGCGCGTGTGAGGAGGGAACACCACGGCGCCGGACTTTGGAAGAAGCCTGGTCCTCGTCAATGAACCGGAGCGGAGCCTGGAGATACTGCTCGAAGAATCCAAGCCAGTGCTGCGAGACCCCGAGGAAGCGCAGGACAGTGCAGATCGTCTCATGCGGCAGGAGCGACTCCCAGTCCTCAAATACAGCATGGAATGCCGTGAGCTCGCCATGCAGCCTCGTGTTGATAGCAACCTCAGTGGAAATGAGGTGAACGACCTGCTGTTTCAGCTGCATGAGTGTTTTTCCTTGCCCCGGAGAATTGTGCTCGTCGTCTTCATCTACATCGGACTCTAGACCATCAGCAACGGGGGAACTCGCTTCATAATCATCGGCCTCAAAGGCGCTGAAGTCTGCTCTTAGGCTCGGGCAAGCCCTCGCTCTCCTGGCTGACCTAGCACCAACCTTTCTTCGCTTGTACATCGTCCTGTACTGGGTTGAGACTTCCTCATACTCGGCTTCCACCTCTCCGTCCGCCATCTCCTTAACGTCGTCCACGCGTTTCAATAGCTTCGCGACGAAGTAGTCGCTGCTGTGTATCTTTTGACGCTCTTTTTGCAGACTGCGGCGACGGGGTACTCGTCCAAGATAGTACTCCAGTCGCTTCTTGTCCAGCTCTGGTATTTCTTTGTAGAGAGAAGCCCAGGCGCTGTCCTCCTTTCGGAACGAGACAAACGCATCTCTGAAGAAGACAGACCACTTGACACCGATGTATTGAAGGAAGATGCTCTGAAGAAGGTCTTCGTGCATCTGGACGGCGAATACCCCGCTTATCTTGCGGTGCTGTTCAACGGGGACACCATCAGAGCCCCATTTCCATGACCCAAGGGCGGCCAGGCGCAGGTTGAGGACATCGGAGATTTCAGACAAGATGACGTGATTTCCCAAGAAGTCCTTGAGGACCTCGCGTTTCTCGTTGGTCAACAAGTCGGAAGCCATCAGGCCTCGGATGGTCCACACGAGGCTGTACCGGTCCAGCTGGCCAGGGCGAGAAATCTCGACCTCGAAGGCTTGGACTGCTTCTCGCAGTTTTTGAAGAGCCTGCAATTTCTTGTTTCGATCTTCGCCGCGAGCCGAGGAGGAAAGCCCGAAGACGCTCTCGAGGTACTTGTTGAGTAAGCCGACGTCGACGTGGGCCGGCTCGAAGGCCTTGCTTTCCCATTCCTGTTTGGACTTGAGCCTTTTGCTGAGCTACCGACATCCTCAAATGCGTCGCCCATCTCAGTGTCCTCGCTTTTCTCTGCTGTGCTCTTTTGGTCACCCGAAAGCCATTCGGTTACCAACTGTCCATAGAGAGAGGCATACTGGTACTTGAGCGACTGGACCTCAAGATGGCGCAGAAGATCCTTCTCCCAATCTGAGAGAGTCTTGGTAGACACTGATGGATCTTGACGGGCCTGTGCGAGGAAGCGGTCGAGGTTCTTGAGCTGTACCTCGAGGCGGGGGTGCCTCGTCAGGCCTGTGGTGACCTTGGCATTCCCGTCTAGCTTGATGCCGAACGACTTCTTGACCCCATCACTTAGAAGGACCAGTCGTTCGATGGGGTCTGACTGAGATTTTATGGATGAGAGTGCCGATGCCTTGTCCTCTTCAAAGGCAGCGCGCTTTTTGGAGAGCTCGTCGAGCTTTGTGTCAGTGATCTGCTGCAGGGTCTCGGAAAAAACGCTGCCGCTCATGATGTCTGAGAATGGGTGGTTTGCTAGGCGAGACTGGGTTGATAGAGCAGTTTTACTTGTTAGAATAGATGGAAGAATGGGGATTGTGTTTTCAAGACACTGAAGGGGGCGGCCTCCAATTTATACATCCAAGTATGTCAAGTGGGAGCCCACTTGCACCGTTGTCAGCGTCCAATGAGAGGGCGCACATGCAGGACAGAGCAGGCAACAACCAGTTGGCCCTTGCCTTGGGTAGGACCAGTGACTCAACCAGCCCCAAGTGAGCTCGTTGGTCAGACCTCAGATGTAGGTTGCCGATTGTATTGTATATGATGAAACATATATCCCCTTTTGTTGTTTGTCGCCAGTTCTTACCCCGCCTTTAGGGAGCTTCCGGCACAAGACAACGACGCGGTCCTGTGGCGTTTCCGGCCATCAATGATTGCCAAGAGTGCCCAGGTGCTCAGATGCCCAGGTGTATTACCTCCAGTGCTAGCCTAGTACTTGTACATCCGGACATCGTCTCGTCCCCCAGACTCTCTGAGCAGTTTTCGGTTTTGCAACCCGTAATACACCCTGAGAAGCGCACATCCGGCCGCAACAAAGAGGAGTAGACCGGCATTAACCCAATGCCCGGTTGGATACCCCTTCTTCGCCTCCTCAGCCTTGTAGATCCATACCCCCGCAATCTGACCCGGGGCTCCCCCGAGCCCAATATTCAGAGCAATCGCAAGCCCAACCGAGGCCGTGCTAAAGATGTTGGACGACAGCCACCCCAAGAGCGGAGGTATGCAAGCGAAAGCCCCGGCAGCCGCAACTATGAGACACCCGTAGCGATGAGAGTACGCATCCGCTGGCAGGGCTGCCGAGGCTATAAAGCCGCAGGCACCAACTGTGGCGCTCACGGCCGAATGGAGACCTCTTGCATTGAAGCGATCGGCGGACCACGACACCAATATCTGGACCACGTACGCAACAGCATAAGGAGGAACACTCATCAGTTGGGCTTGGAGGTCCCTGTAGCCGAGACCAGCCGTGATGGAGGGCGTGAACAGGGATAAGCTGGAGAATGGCGTCGAGATGCCGAAGTAAACAGCATAGTGGCCCCAGAGCCTCCAGTCAAGCAGAGTCGCCTTCGTATCGTGCCACCAGTCTGATTGGTGTAGACCCTTGCTGCCCTCGACGTGGAGACGACGTAGTGCAAGCGCCCTCTCTTCGGCAGAGAGCCAATTGACGGTTTCGGGAAAGTCTGGCAGGAAGAAGAGAACGAAGAATGCGGACAAGCAGGAGGGCGCCCCTTCGATGATAAAGAGCCACCTCCAAGCAGATATTCCATGGACTTGATTCATATGGCCTACCCCGTAGGCGATAGCTCCACCAAAGGCTCCAGCAAGAGTGGCGCTGGCTAGAATAAAAGCGACGCGTATGCTTCTCTCATCTGTTTTGTACCAGAACGTGAGATAATACACCAGGCCGGGCTGGAAGGCGTTAGACATGGGACACGGGGAGAGGGTGGAGGCCCAAAAAGAGCAATCCAAGTATTGGGATGGTACCATAGGAAAGGACAGGGGCAATTACATACAAACAGACCGGCTTCGAAGACGCCCAAGAGGAAGCGGACGCCCGTAACTGTCCCGTAGTTGTGGGCCCCAGCCAGGCCAGTGGAGCATGCGCCCCAGCCAAACATTAGAATAGCAATCCAGCGTGAGGGGCGGAGCTTCTTCAGCAGGACTGGGCCAAGCATGTCAGCGTCTTAACCGGGCGATGCCTGAAGACAAGCTCAGAGGGATAAACACCAGAGACGAACCATTTGATGGCACCTCAAATGCACCATAGGCAACCAAAAATATCATTAACGAAATAGTGTCTAGTGGTGACGTTAGTCCTGCCGAGGATCCTGAAGTGTCGAGGTTACGTTCTAGAGCATTTGAAAAAATGACCAAAGACGGGCATCCGTTCCGTGAGATGATACTGACACTGGTAGTTCGTCATGCCAGTCTCTGACATGAGGTCGTGGTGTGTCGATGCGTTCAGAATTTTGGCGTTTCCGATGTTGGACCTGTCCAGGTAGCACAGGAAGTATATGGCGGCGGAGAGGGGCACAATGCGCTTGTCCTGCTTCCACAGCAGAGCCTTCTCCGCCTCGGGCGAGATGGGCGTGTCGTCTATTGCGTAGGCCTGTGTGCAAGAGAGAAAGAAGGTCGGGTCAGTTGATGAGGGCAAAGCCGGACGTGAGATGAGAGGGGACTACGTGTACACTGACCTCTTTGCCTCCATACTCTACATCTTCAACAACGTCCATCTGGGCACCGGGCTGAGCCTCGGCTGCCTTTGCCTGCGATGCGTCCATGTTGGCAGGCTATGCAAGGCAGGTTGCGCGACTATGAAGCCTCGGATCGTATGCGTGTGTGCGTGTGTGCGTGTGTGCGTGTGTGCGTGTCGTGAAACCGCAGGCTTGCCAACCAGTGTGCTCCGAGGGAACGAGAGGGTGCAATAATTATCTTTCGCTGCAAATCTAGCTGCCGAAGATTAAACCCGCCGGCAGCCTGTTCGGTATCCGTCGACCAACAGTAGTAGGGGTACTGGAGAAGCGATGGGGCCCATCCGGGGTGACATCCAATAGATCCAGCTTGCACACACTCGTATTGGGAAGATACGTTGGCTCACCCCCAGAAAAGTGATATTTCCCCCGCGTGCTTACTCCCCGCTGCACGAGGGGCTCCGCATGCGGAGCTTGGCTAGGCCATGTCGAGTACTGCGAAGTACGGAGGGGATCCGGGGCCCCGGATTATAGCGGCATAAAAATGATTGGGAAGGCACCTCAAATGTCCATACAGTAAGTTGGAATCTTTTGATATCGCATTCCAGTTGACAAGCCTCGAAGCGGTGATATGAGACGGCTGTAACCGAGTTAAGGTTCAAGCCGACAAATGCTTGGCCATCGACTTACACACACTGGCGTCTTGGGCGTCTTGGGCGTCCACCCATTCCCCACCGGCCAAGGAGAGAAGTCTGTAGTTGAGTCCGTGTAGATTTTGTTGTCCATATCATGCGGTCTTCACTGTCGGGTACCTAGATAGGTGCAGGTAGTCAACCTCAGATGAATTGTTTTAGTTTGTATTTACAGTCTAACTATATCCTTTTTACACCCTTAGTTCGGCCGATATGTGCTTTTTATTGCTTTCGTACCCCAGATTCAAGTTCGGCCTGGGCTCGTATCATTTGGATGTAAATGCTCGCTCAAGAGCAAAGATGCTGAGATATCCCCTGAATGCACAGAACGAAACAAGTTCAGCACGACTATCATGTCACTGCCGCTTGTCTGGGGCCTCCGATGTCCCGGACTCCTCTGTCACGCCGCCGCCGGCGTTTCCCGCTCCAGCGCCGCCGGGCGCCCTCTCCTCGTCCTTTGCCGGCCCCCGAGCAGGCTGCAGCGTCTGCAGACCAGTCTTGTGCTCGGTATGCTCCTTGCTCAGTTTGCGGCTCCCGACGAAGAAGCTGATGACCAGACCCAGCCCCGCAAAGGCCACGTAGAAAATGAACATGATCCGGATGGCGTTGAAGTATGCTCGCTGGGCAATGCCCTTCTGGGGCTGAGGAAGGTTGTCGACCGCCTCAACGCTCGACGCCGCGTTGGACCCGCTCAGCAGGCCCGCGACGTCTGGGCCGAGCTGGTCGAGGAGGTCCGGGTACTGCTGCTGCATTTCGTTCTGGAAGATGACTCCCCCAATGACCACCGACATGCTGGTGGCGACCTGGCGCACGAATCCGTATGTCGCAGTCGCGCTTGCGATGTCCTTCGGCTGGACGGTGGTCTGCAGCGCGATGAGAGGGGACTGGAAGTTGGGCCCCACGCCGAGGCCGAGGATTATCTGGAAAATCACGATCTTGGCCCAGTTTTCATAGGGGTCTAGGTCGATGAAAAGCCCATAACCAAGTGTCATGAATACAAAGCCGAAAATAATGGCCGGGACGTACTTGCCCGTCTTCTTGATGACGAAGCCCGTCACTGCCGCGGCCGCGCCCATGACAAACGTGAAAGGTAGAACATAGACTCCAGAGAGTAGAGGGTCGGCACCAAGCACTCCCTGGAAATATAAGGGCAAATAATAGCTGGCCGATATAAACACGAAGCCGTGGCAGGCGCTGAGACCGACAACGGCGAGGTTAGACGGCTGCTTGAATATACGGAGCGGGATGACGGGGAACTTGGCAACCCTGAGCTCGACCAGGAAGAACACGCCCACAAGGACAGCGCCAAAAATGATGAGGCAAATGACGGTCGGAGAGTCCCAAGGGAAGGTCACACCGCCGAACTCTAGGCCGAGCAGGATCATCAGAGTGCCACCCACTATGGTTAGTGAGCCCAGCCAGTCGATTGCTGCGAGGCCCTCCTTTACGCCCGTGCGTGGATTGTGAAGGTGCAGCGCAAAGAAGAGTATGAACATGGCTGACCCCGAAATAGGTAGGTTGATGTAGAAGCACCAGCGCCAAGTGGAATATTGGGTGAACACGCCGCCAAGCACTACGATGAAGTCAGTCTCCAGTCCTGTCTCAGAAATCACCCGTAGACCGCGGGGGATGTATGTATAAGCCAACCTACCCGGTCCGAATCCACCAGCTAGGGCCCACACTAAGCTCACGATGCCCAGGAACTGCCCTCTCTTCCTCATCGAAAACAGGTCACTGATGCAGATGTTGACCAAGATCAGAATGCCGCCGCCTCCAATGCCCTGCACCGCGCGGCCGACTATGAGCATGCCCATGTTGACACTGACACCTGCCAGCAGCGAACCAATCCAAAAGACGCCCACGGCGGTTAACAACACAGGCTTGCGCCCCCATATGTCAGAGATCTTACCCCAGCTCGGGGCCGCGGCGGCGTTGGCGAGCAGGTAGGCAGAGCCCACCCATGTGTAACCGGCGGTGGAGTCGAAATCCGCAGATATGCTGGGGACGGCCACGGTGACGATCGTAACGTCCAGCGCGGCCAGGAAGACACTCAAGCAGAGTGAGATCATGATGAGGGTCGTCTGGAGGGTTGTGCGCTTGTCCTCGGGCGATGCTGCATGTGCGCCACCGGCATCCCGCGCCGGGGCTGGGGCCGAATCATGGCTGCGCGGAGCGGCATGTGGTGCCTCGGCCTGGGCCTCATCTGCATCCTGATTCGAGTGCGGCCTCGCGGCGCTGCTTGCCTGTGTCTCACCCGGGCCTTTGTCGCTGTCCGGCGCTGCTGCGTGGTCTGGGTTCTGGAGGCTTGCGGAGCCCAGCGTTGTGGTGGACGTGCTGCCCCCTGAGACATGGTGGGCCTTCTCATCGTCGTTGTATTCGCCCTCAGCGGCTGGCCTTGCAGCCATTGCAACGCTGTATTACGGTTCCCAGGTGGCCTCCGTGCAACGGGGTCCCAGCCGTGCTGACGATTAACACAGAATTAAGCTTAGACTCGAGATCCAGGCGGTCGGAGACTGCCGAAGTATGTATCGGTAGGGCCTGTAGGCAGCTACTGGATGGCAAAAATATGCTACAGATGATGGAGGTGAGGTGTATTATGTGCAGCGAAATGAAAAACAGAGCAAACTAGGCGACAAGTACGTGATCTGTCGAGAGAAAATCTTCCGAAGCGGCAGGGTGTTGGAGGGAGTCGATCAGTGAGGCAAGAGTCGATTACACCTAAAAGTGGAGACCTCCTTGAACAGCCAAAGGCACGATGACTGACTGACTACTGACTGACTGAGGCACGCGATCCCGGTGGCGGCGGGTGTATTCAAAGGCGAGTGCCGAATACCCGCATGCAGCCGCTAAACGACCGTGCCAGACCCCTGGACGATTAATAATTCCTTCACCATCCATGGGGAAACCTCGAGCCTGCATTGACTTGGCCGATTGACTCTGCTGGCGTTGATGGCGCTACAGGCCCAGCGCAGTGTCGCCGTCATCATCATCGGTGAAGCCTATCCGAAGACCACGCTGCAGTTTTGTTTTTGGTGGTTCCCCGCCCCTGCGCAATGCAAACACGATCCTGTCATGCCATGTTCGCGGTGAGCAGACCTGCACGGCACCGCCGCTCCTGTTGGATTGTTTGGGGCAACTGGGCGTCTCAAAAGAGTTCGGACTCGGCCGTAGATCCGATACGGTACGGGTGGGTCGCAGAAGCGATCCAGAACCCTGCAGCGCAGCTGGGCCAGAACATTGGCAGTTCGGCTCGTACCGTATTTATCGGAGCTGGACGCACATGAGCTGTTATGCAACCACGCTGCCGGCGTTGACCTACCCAAGTAGCAGCCCCAGCCGCGAATGACTCTGAGTTCGGCGTTGGAAAGTGAGATCCGAGTAATTGAGCCTCGAAACGTCGCAGCTTTACCTCCGTCTTGTCGGAGATAAGCGCCGGCCAGACCTTCCGAGCCGATCGAGTTGAGCAACAGGATTCCCCAAAAGCTCCACTGGAACAGGAACAGTCTGGTGAGGCCTCTCCAGGGAGAGGTTCTCTCACATTGTGGCCGTCGATCGAACGTGTCGAAGGTGGTTGGGCCTACAGGTGACGCCCTACTGGACGTCACTGCTGTGTCCTGTTGGAGCTCTGGCCTCGGGAGCTCTGGCCTCGGAAGCTTCAGAGGGGACTCCGCGACTGCCTTGCGGCCCCAAGAACACATGAGGCGGGCGGCACAAGCATGTCGCGTCGTGGTCATGGTGTATTGCCTCAGTAAAGGAATCTCCAGCGTCAGGCTCTCTGTCAGCTAGTTCGATCACACCGAGATTGTCCAGCACACACCCTACTCAGCTGGTCACCGCGTTAAGCCATCTCTCTGATGGCACGACAGGAGCCGGTGGACGACGCGCCAACAGCTCCAGAGACGGGACTCTTTGCGCAGAAATATTTGCAACGAGATGCCAATGATGACTGATAGCCTCGACAGCTGCTTCTGGCCCTGGGTGGGTCGAAAGGAACCTTGCCTTGGAAGGCTTGGTGAATGCTGGCTCGAATATGCGAGCAGAGTGAACAAGAAGGCAAAGAGCCAAGGGACGAGATGTCTTTTGAGGAGACGCAGCGCTGAACAACCAAGTTGCCGTGGCTTTGAAGCTTGTGTCACGCCGTTCAAGGAGCTCGGGCATCGGGCAGCGAACTCAGCTTCCTTCACGCAGGGTCCCCGATAACTTTGAAATCCCCGAAGCTAAAGACGCACCCCACACACTACTCACATGTCACAAGCAAACGGGCAACACGGCTTACTCTGATTGAATTATTTTTATGCTTACCTCAGACCCAAGAATAAGAGACATGGGGTTGTAGCATTGTTATTTTTGGCATTCATTCTTATATCCCTCCCATAACAATCCCAGATGGCCGATTCGGCACGTGGCGTCAGGCATCAATCTGTGCGGGCCCTACTTCTGAGCCACTCATGTACACGACAGCATCCATCATGATCCGGGCCATTGGGTCGGTTCATGTGCAATTCACCCGATTTGTAGGCTCCTGCTCCGCCCCCAACGAGAGCATTGCCCCGATGCGACACGCAGGAGCTGTCCGCAGTTTTGTGCCGAGGGGCAGACTGCCAGTGGCAGACTTGCATTCTCAGGCACATGGCCGCACATTTCCCCCATGTTTCAGTGTCATCTCGATCTTGTGGGCTGCCATGTTTCACTCGTCCGATGGAACGCGGCGGAGAACCCGGACGGCCAAGACATGACGAGGAACTCCGATGGAGAAGTTCGGCCATCCAGCCCGTCCAGACTTCAGAGGAGCACGAGGGCAGAGGGGCTGGGGGTCCTGATCAAGGTGCTGATGCGGAGGCCGAGGCTCCTGCGCGGCTGGGCTATCCCAGCCTCGGGGACATGCTGGTTGGGTAATAATCCGTACTGTGTGGCTTGCCATCGGTTCTAGTGTACACCGGAATCTAGTGTAGATGGATGGTCGGACATGACGGCAATCTTGGAAGACCTACCATGTTGGGCGCTGTGTTGTGCAGCTGTCAGTGAGCCTGTCAGTTCTGTCAGTGTAGCCCGGGCCTGTCGAGTCAGCCAGAATGCGGCTCTAGCGCTCAACCTTTTGATCAGTCTTGTTGCTGTCTGTTTGTTCGCGTGTTCGCTTATTGTTACTACTAGTCCCACCACTCCGGCCCGAAACATATCAATCATGTTCTAAGCTTGACAGGTGCACAGACGAACCACAGACTAACTCCGAGCCGTTGGACCCCCTGTGCAAATTCTGCGCAAGTAGTAACCGTCACGTAACAAACGGCAGACGCCCGCAGCAGAGAAGAGGGGATCACCAAGGCCGCCGCCCCGACTGCTACCCGAATGCTGCCGTGTGCTAATCCTCGCTATGGGACAGCAGGACAGCAGCCAGCCTGGCCCACAACGGCCCTGGCGGCCCCCATAAACCCCACAGCCCGCGCGGGCCCCGTTGGGCGGATAAGGCGATAAGATAGCTAATCTCGCAGCCACAGCTCCTTCACCGCGATTCGAGTCAGGGCGACGTCGGCCAGAGCTGATGAGTTGTTGTCTGTCGGTGCAGCTGGTTGGCGCAATGCTTTGTTGGCCCTGCCCAAAGCGTTCGAATCGAGACACAGAAGAACGGTGGGATGAGGGAGAAAAGAAGACCCGCCTCTCTGACTCTCCGTCTCTCTGACTCTCCGTGTCTCTCTCCGTCTCTCTCTCTCTCTCTCATATCTTCCCCACTGGATGCTGACCATGAAATATTGTTTATTGTTGGAGTGAGTGCAAAAGGGGCAAGGTCTTCGGGCGGTATAATACCAAGGCCTGGTCGGGACAATCGCAATCACACGGGGCATAGTGCCAAAAGTACAGACATAGCTGGGAGACTACACTTCGGCTGCTTTTAAAAAAAAACAAGGCATTCGGGAAAGCCCAGGCCATAGAAAAGTCGGAAGTGACAGGGGTGCCGACCCAACAAAGCAATAGGCCAGGTACATGGACACCACCTAGTGCTACCCGGGGCAAGGGCCATTTTTACCAGCAAGCACATGTATCCGTGCCCACCGGCCGGTACACTATCGTAGAGCTGTTTTGGCGCACGAGCCAGATAGGGGACCACCCTCGCAGTTCCCACAGCTGGACCAGGAACCTCTGTTGGCGGCGCGCCAATGACAGCCCATGTCGGGCATGGAGATTGCGTAGTGTGGGGCATCGATTGCCATTTCGGGGAGGCTTCGCCTGCCTGCAGGAGCGTGGAGTACTTCGTGGTTCGTCCTTGCCAAGCGAGGAAGGCTCTGGGATCTTTTTCGAAATTCTTTCTTGACTTCCCGCTCCCCGGACACTTTTGGCTCATCTACCCTTGGCCGTGTGGTATTGGTTTGTCGAGTCGCGCCCATCGCAGCTGATAACCTACCTCCTTGTCTCACTTTCACCGACCTCCTATGTAATCTACCGGTACAGATTCCCCTTCCCTTACCCCCTCCACCACCTCCTCCTCGCCCTGCCCGTCGTCAGTCAGACAGATCTCACGCCCCCAAACTACACAGCCGGCAAGAGAGTATTGCTGAGATCCCATCTTTTGTCGGCCTGATACAGTCCCCGACCGGAACATTCTGTCTTGTTGGCGTGCGGCACAGCCCTGTTGGTCCTCCTCTCCGTCATCTGCCTCATTGCCCCCCCCCCATATCCTCACCTCGCCCATCGCCCTCGACCTCAACATTGCCAATACCAGTTCAATTGCTTATCTGCTACCCAGCAGTCGTCATTTGTTGGTATCCAGCTGCGTTGCAAGCTTCCCGGACCATTCGCGTGGCAGCGTCGAGAGCAGGCGCGACTTGGTATGTGTAGTCCTCGTCTCTGACATCCCCCCAAAAAGCACTGCTCACGGCATCGGTCGATTGGGGAGAGTACTACGGGGATAGAACCAACAATTCAATTCCACCTCCTCGCCCGAGTCAAGCAGCCGACTCCTTTGCAATAGTCCGAGCTGCGTCTCCTCTCTGCCCACAGTTCAAAACCCGTCATGTCGCTTGTCGTTTCTTGGCCATCGCTGACAGAATCTCTCGCTCAGATATACATATTCCGATTGCCAGCCACCGTTGACACGACCGTCCGCCAGTTTCTACAAATGCATTCCATGTAGAGTAGTCCCGTCCAATACCTGCTCGACCTCGATCTGCTCAACATGATTGCCTCCTCCCTCCTCCCGTCCCGATTTCGGGGCGAGCAGCCTGCCACCCAGGCGAAACCGCCCTCTTGGCTCAACACCAAGTTCACGCCCTTCCTCCGCTCCGTCTCTGCGATCACGGCCTCCCACCCAATCCACACTGTCGTTGTGGTTGCGCTGTTGGCCAGCTCATGTTATCTTGGCCTGCTGGAAGAGAGTCTGTTCGACGCGACGAGGACCGTCAGGACGGCCGACTGGTCCTCCCTGACGGAGGGCAGCCGCAGTCTTCATGCCGGTCCTGATACGGCATGGAAATGGCAGACCTCGGACTCGGACGCCGCCGTCGCCGCCGATGTTGATCACTTGGCCCTCCTGACTTTTGTCTTCCCCGACTCCCTATCCGACGATGCCGCAAAGACAGCCCCGCTGCTGGAGACTATCCCGCTGCCGGATAACGTATCTATCATCTCGCTGCCATCTACCTCCAACTCCCTGACCACCTATTCACAAGAGACGTCCATGGCTCTTGCCGTCCCCTACAAGCAGGCTGCTCGGTTCCTGGCCGCTGCGCAGGAGATCCCCAATGACATCTCGAGCGAGGAGACACGGGAGACCGAGCACGGCCGGGAGAAGAAGATGTGGATCATGAAAGCGGCCAAGGTCAGCCCGCGCAACAGCATTGTTGAGTGGGCCCAGAACGCCTGGTTTGACTTCATCGATCTGCTAAAGAATGCCGAGGCGCTCGATATCACCATCATGTTTCTCGGGTACATCTCCATGCATCTGACCTTCGTCTCCCTGTTCTTGTCCATGCGTCGCATGGGCTCCAACTTTTGGCTGGCCTTCACCACCCTTTTGTCCTCTGCGTTCGCTTTCATGTTCAGCTTGGTTGTCGTCACTAAGCTTGGCGTTCCGGTCTCCATGGTCCTGCTGTCCGAGGGTCTGCCGTTCCTGGTCATAACAATTGGATTCGAGAAGAACATCACTCTGACTCGGGCTGTTCTCAACCACTCCATCGAGCACAAGGCCGCCCAGGAAAAGAGTGGCAAGAGCAAGGATGCCACTTCCAACTACATCCAGTCCGCAATCCAGGTCGCCATCAAGGAGAAGGGCTTTGACATTATCAAGGACTATGTCATCGAGATTGTGGTGCTCGTCCTCGGGGCTGCCTCTGGTGTCCAGGGAGGCTTGCAGCAATTCTGCTTCCTTGCCGCGTGGATCCTTTTCTTCGACTGCATCCTGCTCTTCACCTTCTACACTGCAATTCTTTGCATCAAGCTCGAGATCAACCGGATCAGGCGCCACATTGAGATGCGACGAGCTCTCGAGGACGACGGCGTCAGCAAGCGTGTCGCGGAGAATGTTGCACAGAGCAATGACTGGCCTACCGCCGACGGCAAGAAGCCTGGCGCGTCTCTCTTTGGAAAGCAGATTAAGAGCACCAGTGTCCCCAAGTTCAAGGTTTTGATGGTCTCTGGATTCGTTTTGATCAACGCAATCAACCTTTGCACCGTACCTTTCCGGGACACCGATTCCCTGTCCACCATCTCGTCCTGGGCTGGTGGTCTCGGTGGCCTTGTCGCCAACCCGCCTGTGGATCCTTTCAAGGTTGCCTCCAACGGCCTCGATACTATACTTGCGCAGGAGAACGCCAACAACCGGGGGGTCGTGGTCACGATCTTGACCCCTATCAAGTACGAGCTGGAGTTCCCCTCGATCCACTACGGCAAGATTCCTCAAGCAAACGCTGATGACGTGGATGACCTGGGCTACGGACGAATGGTTGGCAGCATACTAAAGAGTCTGGAGGACCCCGTGCTGTCCAAGTGGATCGTTATTGCTCTGGCCATGAGCGTTGCTCTCAACGGATATCTCTTCAACGCCGCCAGGTGGGGTATCAAAGACCCAAACGTCCCTGAACACCCGATCAATGTCAAGGAGCTTGCTCGAGCTCAGAGATTCAACGACTCTGATCCCGCGACACCCGGCCCATTCGACAGGTCAGCTCGTCCGTCGCCTACCGAGGCCAACCCCCCCACGCCCGCTGCCACCGACGATGAGAGTGATGCATCAGCCTTTAAGCGCGTCGCTTCATCCATGTCCATCGTCAACGACGGCCCCCAACGCCCGTTGGAGGAGCTTCACAAGTTGCTTGCTGAGAAGCGTGTGCCTGAGATGAACGATGATGAAATTATCACCCTCGCGCTCAAGGGCAAGGTCCCCGGCCACAGCCTCGAGAGAACATTGAAGGACTGCACGCGCGCTGTCAAGATTCGTCGTGCTATCATCTCTCGCACCAAGGCTACTTCAGATCTCACCAACGTACTGGAGCGATCCAAACTCCCGTATCAGAACTACAACTGGGACCTTGTGCTTGGTGCTTGCTGCGAGAACGTCATCGGCTACATGCCCCTCCCGGTCGGTGTCGCGGGGCCGCTGGTCGTCGATGGCCAGAGCTACTTCATTCCTATGGCTACAACTGAAGGTGTCTTGGTTGCCAGCGCCAGTCGCGGGTGCAAGGCCATCAATGCTGGAGGTGGTGCTGTGACTGTGCTGACTGGTGATGGCATGACCCGCGGACCTTGTGTGACCTTCGAGACGCTAGAGCGAACTGGAGCTGCCAAACTGTGGCTCGACTCTGATGCCGGTCAGACTGCCATGAAGAACGCCTTCAACTCGACCAGTCGGTTTGCACGACTCCAGTCGATGACTTCTACTATTGCTGGAACCAACCTCTACATTCGTTTCAAGAGCAGGACTGGCGATGCTATGGGAATGAACATGATTTCCAAGGGTGTCGAGCATGCGCTTGATGTCATGGCCAATGAGCATGACTTCCAGGACATGCAGATTGTTTCTCTATCCGGTAACTACTGTATCGACAAGAAGCCCGCTGCTATCAACTGGATTGAAGGGAGAGGCAAGAGCGTCGTTGCAGAGGCCATTATTCCTGGTGATGTCGTTAAGTCGGTGCTAAAGACTGATGTCGACACCCTTGTCGAGCTCAACATTAACAAGAACCTGATCGGTTCTGCCATGGCTGCCAGTGTTGGAGGTTTCAACGCTCACGCCGCGAACCTCGTCGCCGCCGTCTTCATTGCCACTGGCCAGGACCCGGCGCAGGTCGTGGAGAGTGCAAACTGTATCACAATCATGAAGAAGTAAGCAAGATACCCTGCCGTGTGGAACCATGCATCGATGCTCTATTTGCTAACCATTGATAATAGTCTCCGGGGCTCGCTTCAAATTTCCGTCTCGATGCCCTCCATCGAAGTTGGCACACTTGGCGGTGGCACAATCCTAGAACCGCAGGCTGCCATGCTGGACATGCTGGGTGTCCGTGGTGCCCACCCAGTCACTCCAGGCGAGAACGCCCGCCGCCTCGCGCGCGTCATCGCCTCGATCGTCTTGGCTGGCGAGTTGTCGCTTAATGCCGCCTTGGCCGCCGGCCACCTGGTGAAGGCACACATGGCGCACAACAGGTCTGCACCGCCGACACGGACCAGCACCCCAGCGCCACCATCTATTTTGTCAATGACCAGCGTGAGCGCCGCCGCCGTGGAGAGGGCTAGACGTTAGGATATGTCAAGACACAACATGGAATTAGGGCGCCTCAGAATGTTGCGGTTAGAGAAGACCAAAAGCACAAAAGAGCATGTGATGGGTGCGCAAGCACAACATGTCCTCATCGAGTCAGCACGAGCGAACACTGCCTGCAACGCCACGCCTTAATTACTCATGTTTGGTATTGTTTACTTCACGTGTACATATGACCATAGAAATAAGTCACATACTGTCGTGCTTCGTCCTTTTCTTTTCAGTCGTGCCGTAAAAGTTTCATGTTGCTGACGACGGCAGTGAGCTTTGCTATGCAGTGCCGCCTCTTTGACTTGTTGCGGGAGGTGATTATGAGGGAGTCTACATGGGTCTGTCCGTGCCCATCCCTCTACTTCGTTCTATATTTCCGTCCGCCTCTGATTTTGCTCGCGGACGGCTATTCTGCCAATTTGTGTCCAGATGATCGAAGGAGCCAAGCTGGGACCTGAGCAAAGGTAAGGTCATCCCTCCCGCATCAGACGGTCGTGCACAACAATCCCCGGGGCATTGCCACTCTTGCCGCCAATACTGCCGAGCTTGCTCTGCTGCTCTGGTCCCGTCCCGAGTGCCTACGTTCTGTGGGCAGGTGGGCCGTCGGTACCTGCTCCGAGCTCCCGACTTCAGATGAAGCCATTACGAAACGCCCACTGGTGCCCATTGAAACATCAGCTCAGCCCACCCTTTGGCATTCGCCTCCCAAACCAGTCAAAGGCAATTCGATCGTTTGGGTAATGCGAGGTGGCAGAGTTATTATAGTACCCTTGATAGTTCTTGCATACCTACCTACCTACTCACTCAACCATCACACATTCATTGCGGTATCGTCTCATCCGAACTAACGGGCTTAAATACCAAGCTCAGAAACGGGTTCTTTTCACGTTCCTGACATCCGTGTCACACGTTCCTCGCTCTCTCTTGCTCTGTCCCTCTCTTTCCTTTTCTGACTGGGTTTTCTTCTCCACGGACGGACGTGTACGTACCTGGTAGGGTCTATAGGGCAAGCCCTATAACGGTCTGCTCCAAGCAAGCCTGGGCGGTCCTCGCTCGCCGAGACCGAGCAATCAAATGTGGGTGATGTGAGTAGAGTTTGGTTTTGGCGTCTTAAGTGACCACATTTGATAAGAAGACGAGGTCTCTCCGGGTGGCGAATAGGAACAGTACTGCCCGTCCTCCTCTTGCACTCTCTCGCTCTCCCTGTCTCCTTGCTGCCGTGACTTGGGTTGATCCCAAAGGCCTGTCCATAATCGCTTCCTTGCTTGTAATATCCTACATAACGATGCAACGATAATACTATGTTGCACTCTCTTCCTTTTCTATGTCACCGTTGTAGCTTTTGTACATGCGACTATGAGGCAACTCGTCTTGACAGTATGCCTCGCCCTGTCGGCGACGAGGTTGTCCCAGGCAACTGACTTGGTCGGTAAGTCTGGTCCGCCTTGCGCAACCCCCCCCCCCCCCCACGAAGAACCCATTCTGGAAACGGCCGTTCATCTCCATCATGTCCCTGGTTTTGAGCATGGCAACAGATTGGGGGAAACAAGACCCTGACTGACGTCTCTTCCACACGCCCTAGTCAACAGCCAGCCCTGGCCGGCGGTCCCGCTCTCACCCGGGCAGAACAAGATCATCCCCGTGCTGGTCGGCGGCACAGCCCTGACCTTCACGCCCAACAGCGTCGCCGCCAGCCCGGGGGATGTCATCCAGTTCCAGTTCGCGGCGCGGAACCACACCGTCACGCAGTCGCTGCCGACGTCGCCCTGCCGGCCCGTAGACGCGGCCGTGGGTGTCGCCCCGGGCGTCAACAGCGGCTTCATCCCCTTTGACGGCGGGGCGAGCGGCATGGTCGGCACCTTTAACGTCCCCGTCATGTCGGCCTCGCCCATGTTCCTGTATTGCGCGCAGGCGATGCACTGTCAGCAGGGCATGGTCATGACTGTTAATGCGTGAGTCCTCCAGGGGGGGGGGAGGTGGCCTCGCCGGAGCTGCTTATTCAACGCCCATCCTCAAGATATCACATGTACGCACGTGAACGACCTGGCTGACAGTTGAGGCTCGTCATAAACCCTCCACAGGCAATCGATAGACCTGATCAACTATTTCAACGCCGCCGCCGCAGCCCCGGCCAACATTCCAGCGCGCTCCGTCGCAGGCGGCATTGCGTCGACGATCCCGCTTGTCAACGCGGTCCTCCCTAAACCGCCTGCGCCGGCGAACAGCACGGCAAAAGCAACAGCGACAGCAACAGTATTCACGACGGTAGTCGTACCGGCTAGCCCGCCGCCGCCGCCACCTCCACCACCTCCGCCTCCTCCTCCGCCTCCGCCGCCTCCTGCGCCCTCTCCCCCGCCGCCAGCACAACCCCCTCTTGGTGGTGACGGGGCTGATCCATCGCAAACGACCATGTTCGTCCTTCCAGCCTAACAGTCGCTGAGATTCATGGTCTTCTGGGGTATACGCTGGAGGGAACATGGACAATAATGACTGGGATTTTGTAAATAATCGTCGATCTGAGGCTCGGTGTGCACATTACGTGAGTGGGCTTGGACATCAACAATGTTATCATCCCTGAGGGAGTCGGCTTATTAATGGGGATTAGAATTGTCAAAAACATGTAGCAGATGAAGTACAAAAAGCGCCGTGTCACCTTGCTGCACATACGCTGTGGAAATGAGCAGTGTGCTGCCTGCAGGTCGGCCGACTAGTCTTTGGGGGCCCAATGCTAGCGAGGACAAGGGCTGCCGTTGAGACCCAGTTCTGCAGTACCTAGACTGCTCACTGTCGACTGCTGACGGTCAGATGCAATACTTCCTCTTCGTTTCGGCTTCGTCAAATCCATTCAGGGTATGTTAATTTCATTGCACATTAATTTTCCTTCACACAATGCATCCAACTGCCACGCCGTACCCGCCTCTTTGGGCCCATTCCCAGGACTCCTTCGGCTGTGATGCTCAAGAGTAAACCATGCTTAGCCGACCCGGATAACGCCAGCTGCAATAAGCTTCTGGATCTTGGTGCGGACACCCGCGTTCTTCATGTGCTCGCGCAGGGCGGCAGGGTCGGACTGGGCCTGCTGCAGGATGGACTGCATGACTGGGTCCTGCATGATGGCCATGATCTGCGAAGGAGGTCAGCTGGGTTGCCAAATCGCAAAAGATTCTCCGTGTTCCACTTACATCGGGGTCCCGCATGATCCTCTCCCTGGTCTGCTCCTCAGTCTCGCCCTCGCGGCTCTCGTACATCTTGGCCAGCGCCTTCTGCTGCTGCTGCTCGATCTCCCTGGCGTTAGCGCCATTGTGGTGTTGGTTGTCAACCTCGGCGGCCACGTCACACGCGTCCATGCAGTCTGAGTATCTCTTCATCATGAAGAGCGCCTGGGCCTTGCGGATGTATGCGCGGATGAAGGTCTTGTCCTTCTTGATGGCGACGTTGCACTCGTCCACGGCACTGGGCAGCTCGCCGAGCTTGATCAGAGCCGCGGCCTTGTTCGAGTAACCTCGAGGGTCATCAGGGGCGCGCTTGGCCATGTCCTCATAAGCCTTGTATGCCTCTGTGTACTCGGCCTTCTTGAAGAAATCATTGCCTTGGACACGAGCCTCTTCGGCCTTCTCCGGATCGACAAGCGCCTTCTTGGCTTCCTCAAGCTTCCTCTTCTCCGCTGCGCGCAGCTTGTTCAGGATGTCGGGGGTGCGGTGCTCACGCAGAGACATCTGATAGTACTCGATGGCCTTTGGCAGCTCGCCCTGCTTCTCGTAGGCACTGCCGATGCGAGCCAGGGCCTTTGCGATGAGCTTGAAGTCAGCGTAGATCTCCCGGCCCTCGTTGACAGCCTGGTTGCAGGCCTCAATGCACTTGTCGTAGTCACCCTTCTCGAAATACGCCGCGCTCAGGTTGGTGAGGTAGGTAATGTCCTTGTGGGTGTCCCATGCCTTGGTGTAGTTCTCAATGGCGGCGTCGAAATTCCTCTTCTTGTACTCGGCAGTGCCCTGGGCCTTCAGCTTGTCGGCCTCCTCCTTGGCCTTCCTCTTGGCAATCGACTCCTCGTCCTCCTCCATGGGCTCGGGCTCCGGCTCCGGCTCAGGTGCCTTCTTGGCAGGCTCTGGCCTCTTGGGCTCGGGCATCTCCTCAGCCTGGTAGGGAGCACCGCCAGCCGGGCCAGCCTCGTCAGGCATGCCCATCTGCATGTCAACGCCCATGAGGACACCGAGAACCTGCAGGAATCTCGGGTCGCCGGTGAGCTCCTGAGGGTTCAGGGACTTGGGGTCTCGTTGGATCTGTTGGATCTTGTTCATGAAGACTGGGTCGGAAATGAAGGAGCTCGTCTTTGGGTTGGCAGCTAGCTTGGCAATCAGGTTGGGGTCGCTGAACATCTGACCAAGCCCGCCAGCGGGGTCACCCATGGGGTCTTCTGGAGTCTGCATGGCCCGCTCAATGTTGGCAATGTCCTTCTTCACAGCGGCATTGTTTGGGTCGAGCTCGGACGACTTCTTGTAGGCCTCCAGGGCGCCGGCAAGGTCACGCTTGCCGTGGAGAGCAGCGCCTTTTCGGCTCCAGCCCTTGGGCCAGTCAGGCTTGATCTCTGTGGTCTTCTCGGCATCCTTCAAGGCGTTCTCGTAGTCCCTCTTGGAGGCATAGGCTGCGGATCGGTTGCTGTAGAGGACGTGGTTCTCGGGTGTCAAGGCAATGGCCTGTGTGAATTTGTCGCTAGAGAGAAACAGGTATTAGAATCCAAGGGAACAGTAGGAGCATACAAGTCAAGACCATGACAGCTAGATACTCACACAGCCTCATCGAAGTTCTTTGCAGCAATGGCTGCGTTGCCCTGAGCTTTCAGCTCGTCTGCGGTCGACATGGTGGGGGCTGTTGCAACGGAGATGGTGGAGTATGATTGATCTTGGCTGGTTCTCAGAAGACACAGACAACCCGAATTCAAGGGATTTCGGAGTGATTTTGGAATCGTAGAAGGTTTGTGGAAGTGTCTGGGGACAAGGCCGAGGGTGTGGTGGTAGTGTGTTTGTTGTGATTAAGTTACCATCGGGTGGGTGGTTGGTGAGCGTGGTGCTCGTCCCGCGTTTTCATCCTGCAAGGACGGGCAGGCTTCAGCATGGAGATTTCTAGGCCCTTCCATCAACCTTGACCTTGAGCTCAGAAAATAGCGGCGATGCGGGGCAGCTTTTGCACCCTGGACCCCTGCACGCAGCCGCCGGGAAGCTTGGGCCAGCTTGGAGCTTCGAGGGGTGGCCTCTGACGACGAGAACAATCTAGCTTGCAGAGTTCATTCACCCTGCTCATAGCCCATCTGTGCTCAAAGCTCAAATTTCTACACATTAATAATTCCTGATGTTTCCAATCAGTATACAACCTGATCTCGAGCAACTCGGCCGAGTCTTGTCTGATCCCTTCGCCCGTCTCAGTCCTACCCAAGGCTACCAGCTCCTTGACAGACTTTGATCCCCTCGAGTGCTCCCCACACGATCTGCATCGGCACAACATAGAGGCCCCCCGCATATTCCATTGTCTTCATTACCCAAGATGTTGCACGCCTCGGGCTGCAGCTGGGGGCGACCAGGCTCTCCTTGACAACCCCATATCTGCCCACAGCCGATGTACCTCGTCGTCCATATTGAAGCCTGTGCTCTGCTGCATTTGTGTTCTGGGGATAGTGGTTTCTTCAGTTCTCTGGGACTCTGTGAATGCCCTGCCCTCCTCCGAATTGGCTTGGACAATCTTGCCGCTCGGTAGTTGCACCAGCTCGATACTCTCGTCCGTTTCATGAATCGTCTCTCCACCAGTCACCCGTGTCGTCATCTTCTTGCCCACAAACGAGGCCGAGGGCGGCAGGGCCTCCTGTACGGACCCAGAGGCCCTGCTTGACCCCTTCGTTCGCCCAAGGTAGAATACCCGGAGCAGGGGGATCGCCTGTGCAATGATATAAATTGCAACTTCTGCCTGGAAAAGACCCACGAGAGCCACCCAACCGTCTCCTGAGTGTCAGTGGATTTCTCATTTCTCCGCAACAATTTATATGGTAGGAACTTGACTCACAAGTCCAGTCCGGTGTCCCCAACTCTTCGGTGGCTTTCGGGCTATGGCTGGCCAGGACGGTCCTGCACAATTTCACAGACGTGAGATACTAAGCTCCAATTCCCAGGCCTGCAGTTCAGTGCCCTTGTGGTAGATACTCACCTGACCAGACAGACTATGCCTGCTAGACCCACCAGGCTCATGGTGATGCCCACGCCCCATTTCTCCTTGCTTGGGATGTAAATCTTGGCCAGAACTCTCCAAGGTAGGTAAGCCAGATAAGCATCAGCAAGTATTGTGACAGCAGCGTTAGCCACGTGTATCCAAACGGCTGTCTGCATAGGAACGCAAAAGCTGGATATCCCCTTGACGTCCGCACGTGCGTCACAGAGATCCAGCCACGTAACCACCGCGGCTGCAATATTCACGGCACAGACGAACAAGACGACAACCCAGAGGACTACTCGTGTCCTGCCACCCGAGAGCCGGATCAGCGTCACTGCAAAAGCAGTCTTGCTCAGGGCCATAGCAATGTAGAAGAAGCTGATTGACGAAAAGGCCAAAATCCACCCGTGCGAGGTGCCTTCAATGATCCTGAAGCCATACGAGGGGGCGGCGGCTGCCAAACCGTTGCCGCACAGCAGCAGGGCCCAGGAGGCGATCACTTGTTGTTTCTATCATCAACAAATCCATCCCGCTTCGATCCTGGCCAGGGTGTACTTTACATATATAGTCATCCCACCAGAGGCCCTTGTACAATCTTGTCCTCGCCCAGAGTCGAGTGAGCAGGAAGATTGTCGTTACTGCCCCAGAGAGTATATGGATCGCCTTGGCCAGCCCCTCCGAACCGGAGCGCAGGAAGAACGAGTCGAGCATCGTTAAAAGGCGGTGCAAGTGACTGGTTTCTGGTGAAGGCCTCGGGGCTTCTACTCCAGACTAGACGCGGCGAGAGATCAGGCGGGATGACACAGCGGCAACATTGAAGGATGTCAGAAAAGTGTGCGGTATTGGGATCAACGGCAAAGAGTAGAAAATGAAAAAAAAGAAAAAAAGAAAAAGTAGGTCCCGAGGGGCCGAGCTCTCGCTACGATGCGCAAAGCACGGCACGCTTGCCTACCTTCCACAACGGGGGGTCTCCAGTCCGACAGCTCATAGGTCGTTGGCTGGACCGCATTCACACCGCGGCAACCAACAACAGCATTAATATGGATCGCATTTCTGGATTGGCCAGCAACGTGCCGTTGGCCCCCGCCCGGTCGATTAGCATCAGAGGCAAAAGCTCCCACCGGTTCCCCGTTTTATTCGAGGTGCAGTGGATCGCATCAACTGGAACCGGCAGGACGGGCGCTCCTGAATATGATACATCATTGTCGTGCAACGCCAAGTGGCTCACGTGCCGAATTTCTGCAGGAAGAAATTGTTGCAGCAGAGTTTCCGGCGGCTTACGAGTCCTTCTAACGCTTGCTTCCTGCTGGGAGATCCCACACGTCAATCTAGATTTGTAGATGCGTGGAAACTGAGCAATTCATAGTATATCAAACATCTCTTATAATCTGGGTGGGGTACCCTATTTTATGCGTAGCCTTCTGAGCGATACGCACCTGCTCCACCGCTCCTGATTGAGGTTTCAAAATCACGGGCTCGAACCATGCATGATAATGTCTTCCAAATGTATTACGGCAGCAGAACACCCCGCCCGTGCGGCTCATGCTATTGAAAGCCCCCGGGCCACCCGGGCACCTGGGCACTCGCCCATGATCGAAAGGATCTTCTCTGATTTTGAACGCAAACCATAGCTTGAGATTAACTTGTTGGTTTGTACATATATGATGCTCAATCAAGAGTCATGTCTCAAGTTGAACCGGCTTCCAATGTCAACAGCCCATATATGTTGGTATTATGGTTTCAAATGTCACCTCACACCTATACAAGTGATGATAATTATTCCGCAATTCAACAGGTAGGAAATTGGTCTACCAGTACTGTTTATGTTCACACCGCAGAGGATTCAGTGCTAGTTGCTGCTGCGATTTGTTGCGTGTGGTTTCAAGCAGGTTGATGCGTCCAAAAGTGGCCCACGGGGGGGCTTGATCACTTCGACAACACATAGACTCGTCACGATTGAGTTCTCTCAGAACGCTCGATGGTTTTCAAGTGGGCCTTTAAGTGGGTTGTTTCATACAGCAGCATGCCTATCGGCATGCTAAATTGCTTCAAGAGCACGGCATCCTCAGAATATATGGCGAGCCGTGATCAGTAAGGTCCACACTGGTGAACATTTTATCCACAGATCCGACAAGGGTTGGAACTCGGGGATCAGGTTTCGAGGTCACTTGAAAATTTCCTCAGGCTCATATTCCAATATTCTTTGAGACTCTTCGGGAGGTGCAATAACTCTTATTGCGAGTACTAGATGAGGCATTTTCGGCGGTGGTACTAAATGCAGCGCGAACGATCAGTCGGAATATGGGCCGCGTTTTTTTGCTGAAAGGCGTTGGGAGTCGCAGAGTCTGATTTCTTTTATTTAAACTTGATGGTTGAGGGGTATCGATATACACTTCTGTTTCTTCATCCATGGTTCTGCTCATTGACGAGGCGAGGCAGAGACCCAAAGGACTATCGCTACCTAGGTAGCTGGCGAGGGCCTGGAATTATTTTACGGCGTCTCTCCCGATCGAACCATTGTGTAAAACTATAGGAACAAGTATTGAACGGAACATGTATCTTCATGGATGTATCTTGACAATAATACGGAGATAATCATCGAGCTCGAAGATCTCGTGAGAGAATTTGAAGTTACCCGTCACGACGCATCGGTCAAGTTGTGTGCATACGAGTATATCCCTAGCCGTCACAGCTTGGACTGAGCACGACCTACTTGTCCATGTCCACATTGAAGAATCATGGATGGTGTTCTCGTGGGTGCTCCGGAGATTTGGGATCAATCTACTTGTGAGGCTTATTGTGAAGAGAACGGATATTTACAGGGCAAAAAACGGATAGTACAGGGCCAAAAACGGATGGTACAGGGCAACTTTTTTATAAAAATAAAACTTTAAACTATAACTTTAAAAGAAATTTAATTGTAAGTAATAAAAAATACCTTATAATATAGTAGAAAAAATAAGCTATTTAAAAGTATTATTTTTAAAATTTTAACTTTAATATTTATATAATTATATAGAGAACGGAAATTCGCGCACTTAAAATTGGAAGGCGCGCACCTAAATATAACTAAGCAGGGCTATAGCTAATTAGAAAACTTTATTTTATTTGTTAGACCATCTAAATAGTGCTTTTTATATTTCGCCTAATATGCCTAGTAAAATTTTCTCTTTCTATTTAATTATATTTATTAACTACTATTTAATTATAAATTAAATTAACTATTTAAGTAATAGGAATTATTAATTAAGAATTAAATTTTTATTATATTTATTTAAATATTATTTTTTAAGTATTATAGTTAATAATATAAGTATTAAATTATTTTGGGCTTAAGCTATATTAGTAAGTTAATTATTATAACTAGAATTATAATATTATTGCTATTAATTATTACTTTTTAGTACTTTTTAATTCTTTTATATTTTTAAAGCTTTTTAATAATAGATATAATATTTATAAGAAATTTAAGGTTAAATTAAATAAAGTTATAAAGTTAGCTGGCTGGCTAATAGTCTTTTATAGTTTTAAGGTAAATTAGAGGATTTTGGCTTATAGCTATGGCGTATAGCAACCCTTAGTTTTAACTACCTATAATATTATTATAATTAAAATTAACTACTTTTGGCGAGAAGTTGCCTATATAATTAAGGCTATAGCAGGCAAGTAGAAGCTTGTAGTCTAGGAAGGAAAGTATGCCTATTATAGGCCCTAGATAGTGGTTGGGGTAGAGTAAGGCTAGGTTAAGTTAATTGTAAATTAATATAAATTCCTTTTTTAAATTGTTTATAACCCTTTTATGGTAAAGCTAAAGAAACTTGAATTTATATTTTAATAAAAATATTTTATAATTATATTAAAACCTAATATAATAAAGTTTTAGCTAGTAGAATAAAGGAAAGAAAGGTAGGGCATTTATATACTAATATAAGTAATATTAAATTAGCTTGAGAAGCAAGATTACTAGTATTATTATATTTAAAATAAAAAGGGAAGTATTATTGGTATCTTTTAGTATAAAAGGTAATAAATTATATGGATTTAAGAATAATATTTTACTTAATATTTTTCTTTTAATTATATTTATATAATTAATAATAAAAATATTATATTTTTAAAGTATAGCTATAATATATATAAAAAAGAACTTGCTTTTATTTTAAGATATTATTAATAATAAAAAGAAACTAAGCTTTTAGTAGCTTTTAAAGTAAGTTAAATTATTACTAGTAAAGTATAAGGCTATAAATTTAAGGGTTATTATTATTAATTATAATATTGCTTTAATTAATGCTATTAAGTATATATTTCTTTATATTTGCTATTAATTTTATATTTTTTATATTAATATAAATGTTATTTTTAATATTAAGAAGAAATGGTAAAGGGTATTAGGCTTGTGGAGTATAGAAGAAGAGGAAGCTAATAATAAGGAGGATTTAGGGGTTGAGGACTTAAATATAGCTTTATTTAACGCCCTAGTAAGAAGTAAGATAATTATTTTATTAAGGGTTTTAAATAAAGTTTTTTATATTTGCTAGGCCCTATTTAATTTATTTAAGTTTATAGAATATTTAATTAATTGCCAAGTCTTTAATTTAGCTTAGTATTATTTATAAGAGGAGTTTTTAAATTAGTAGGTAATAATTTAATATTTAAAGACCTATTATATAAATAAAAAAAGGGAGATTATAGCTAAATGGGCGGCCTATAAGACTTATAAAGTTTTTAATTTTGGCTTATATATAATATTTTTAATAGAAAATATATATTAAAAATTTAAAGTTTATTTGGGCTATAGGATGGGGAATATTTTTTACTTTATTAGGGCTATTTATAAGGTTTTAAAGGATATTATTTGCAACTTTAAACTAAAAGAGGTATATTAGAAAATATTTTTTTTTTAAAAGTTTAATAGGTAGAAATGGCTGGGAAGCCTTTTAGTATAGGTTTTATAGGCAGTTTTAAATCTTCTTTTAGGTATTAGAAAGGAGGCCATATAAATATTTAGGGGCAAGGTTATATAGGGTAATTGCTTGTAATTAATTTGCGCCTACCTTATATTTATATAATATAGCTTAATTTATGCTAATTAAATTACTAATAGGGAGGAGGCTAAATAGCCCCTTAAAAAGGTTAATATATATAAATTCTTTTAGCTTAATTATAATTTGTTAGTTAATAATTCTTTATTTGCAATTTATTTGTTAGAGTGGGTTAAATTAATTAAGGGACGCCTTTATAAAATAGCTATATTTGCAACTAATAAGGTAGGTGTTTTTAAGTGGAGTATAAGTTAAGTAATGGCTATAGTAAGTAAATAAATTAAGTTAATAATTATTAATTTAGGAAGTAAAGTAGGGGATAAAATGAGGGTAATAATGGCCTCTCTTTAATAAGTAAATTTAGCTTGGAAGTGGAATGACTTAATCTTATAGTTCCTGAATAAGGAGGATACTTATAATAGTAGTGCCTAGTAAGAAATTATTTGGTAAAACTAGTGGCTAGCAGCAAGGCTTATAAGGCAAGTAAACTACTAGTTAAAGTAATAATTTGCTCCTTTAAGTATATCTTTAAGCGCCCTACTAGTGGCTAAAAAGTAGTATATGGGGGTATAAAGGACTATTAACTAGTTGCTATAAGTAGACTTAATTATAAATAACCTTATTGGCAATAATAAGGGTATATAATTTGAAATTTAAATATATATATAGTTAAGTATAAATTATATTTAAAATATTATTTATTTAGGCCCTAATATATGCGATTTATATAATTTTTAACCTTTTTTTTATTAGTTAGTAAGGAAATGGTGCTAAGTACTAGTTGTGTGTAATGACCTTACTAATTATTATAGTGGGCCCTAGTTAAAATAAATTTGTGTATATATGTGGGCACCGCTTAGTTATATTTAGGTGCGCGCCTTTTAATTTTGGGTGCGTGAATTTCCGTTCTTATTATATATTATTATAAAGATTAATATTATTTTATTAAAATAAAATTTAAAAATATTATAATAATTTCTAATAACCCTATCCCTAATATATAATATTAATTAAATAATAATAAATAGTAAAGAACTTTTTAAAAAATTATATTTATAGATATTACTTAATAAAATTAAAAAATTAAAAAGTTGCCTTATACTATCCGTTTTTTGCCCTGCGAATATCCGTTTTCATTGTGAACGAAGCCATAAGACTACGAGTGCATGTGTGCGTCTGCGGCTCGAACATATGGGGTTGTTCTATCAAAGAAAAGGCCATTAGAAGTACTAAGTGTCTCTAGTGAACACTGCACAAGCGTTTAACAGATCGCCCAGGTGCCTTAACAGAACAGGGAGCAACCTCTTTCTACCCATGCCTGATGCTTAGAACGAGATGACCAATAGTCTGAAGGTTGAATTTCAGGAATCTTAACGCACATGCGGTCCCTCATCTTTGAAGACGCGCAAATTCTACACAGCCACCCTTGAGGACTTTCTGGATCAGTTCGCATCTCGCTCAGTCGGCAGTGCTAGCTTCCGGGCGGAAATTGTGGACCAGAACCTTTTGATATATCCAGTAGTACTTGGGGTGTGTGTTTCTTTTTGATGTCCATACACATGAAATGTATATGGCGCCTTCATATGGTGATGGACGCTCAAGACCCAGCGTTCTTTGTGTTAAAAAAAGCCAAAATTCCAATACAGATGCATAGAAAATATAATACATTCAGAAGGACTACATGCTTGCTTTTGAGGTCTTTACGAATGTATGACATCCATTATAAGTCAGAATTGGATATGAACTCCGGTATATCTCTCGCTGCCGCAGACGGGCCAACTTAGTCTCATCCTCCGAGGAACATCGAACAACTTGACATATCGCTCCAGTTCTCTAGTGGATGACCAATCAGATCAACAGGAACATCCGGCTGATGTGGAGGCCGTGAATATTTATTGATCCATTGTTTACATGGTAAGATATTTTCAAATGCTACATTGAAAATCCTTCAATTACAAGACATCTAGATTCAATTGGATATATAATACAGTCTGCCAAATCCATGGAGTTGACCACATGGTCGTGGGCGAGCTTTCCTAGTACCCTGTAATGTCTTTGATCGCGAAATACTGTCATGGACGGTTGTGTAATCTAATGAAAAGTCAATCTGGAGTCTCACATGTACCGAGCAGCAGCTTGTCTCTCCCCTAATCCCTACCTACATCACGTAGATACCAAACAGCCCTAACCCTCCTTGCTGTTGCGTACTGCACCCCGGTTGAACGCAGTCACGGTTTAGACAGAGATCAAATGAGAACCACAGGACAAAAATAGCTTGCGAGTGAAGAAGTGAGGTTGAGCTGTACACTGTACTCCAGTTAACTCCGGCATGTATAAGGGCTGGTAGCACGGGTGAGATGCTGTAACGAGACAGAGACATTGTGCTCCAACACGTGACGGCTGCCTAAAGCTGTGAGCACGACGCGTACCCAGCGACGACGGCCGTAACCGTTTTCCCGCCTCCCGCCCTTAGGCAGCCAGAACGTCACACGCCGATCCCAAAGCAGAGCGACGTGAGGCTCCAAGGGACCTTGTAGCACGCTGTGTGCGGTGTCATCTACCGGCAATTAATCTACACCTGAAGCGTTGCACAACACGGATCAGCTGGTAGCACGAGGAGCCCACCGCAAGCCCCCTTCCTCCCTTCCCCCTTGCGCGCCGCTGCGAGTGTGTACTTGGCGAGGCGTGTCGGTACATTGCGTACCATACCATACCATACCCGTGGACCACACCACACCAACTCAACTCTCACCTCTCACCTCTCACCTCCGACGTCCCAGCTCACACGTCCCACCTCACGCCGTTGCCTGCGCGGCCCCTCCAGCCACGCCATCCCGACGGAGAAAAGAACGTTGGGCAGCAGGAGATAGAAGGCCAGGCCCCTGCGTGACACCGGACTGCCACGGCAACTCTGTGCTTCGAAATTTAATTCCCGAAGGCCTCAGGGCTATCTATTTTCGGACGCGCCCGCTCGCCCGTGGCTGCGTGCCCCCCCGCCTTGTCTTGTCACCACCCGACACTTCTGCGCTGGCCAGGTTGCAGCACGACACACAGCATCGAGTTGACAGCCATAGGGTACGCGACGCGAGGTGGCACCCAGAGACAGACGGGCCAGCCAGCCAGCCAGACAAGCAAGCCAGCCAGCCAGCGCCTTGCACGCCCTGATCTATCACGTTGCGGAAAACCCCCACCCTCCCTCCCTCCTTTGCCCCGTCGGAACTGATCACAATCTGGGGCCCGTCGGTCCTCCCCCAACAGCCCGGCCATGACGCGTGACACAGAGCTGGACGATGAGACGACCGCGTCCGACGTGAGCGAGCCCGAACAAGGGCCCCGTCGCACCGCCACCTCATCAAGGGGGCGAACCGCGGCGCACCAGGCGGCGAGGCAGAAAGGCAAGGCGGCCGAGGACGACCCGCCCACGGCGTCCCCAAGGCCCTCCCCGGAGCCGGCTTCTCCTCCCGCCTCCAGGCCACCGCCCCGAGGGAACAGGGCCGGCACAGGCCGTGGCAGAGAATCCGCGTCGTCTCCCACGCCCTCCCCGGCACCCTCCCCCCGCCCGTCCAGGCCAACATCTGATAAGGCAAAGAAGACTGGAAGAGGGTCCGCATCCCCCACTCCGTCCCCCTCACCATCGCCGTCGCCCGCTCCATCGGCCTCCCCATCTCCGTCACCATCCCCATCCCCATCCCCCTCCCCCGAGCCGGAAGAGGGAGGCGCGCCGCCAAAGAAGAAGAGAGGAAACCCCGGGACGGCCAGGGCGTCATCGTCACCGGAGCCCGAGGACGGCGGCAGCCACCGCGTGCCGTCCAAGAAGGGCAGGCTGGGAGGTCTCAAGGGGACGAAGAAGGCGCTCGGTGTCGGGAGTGGCGCACCGGACGGTGGATCACCTCATGCTGGCGGCGGCGGGCTCGGTGGGGAGGCGGACGCCGCAGAGGAGGTAAAGGAAGAGACGCGGGAGGAGAAGGCCGCCCGGAGACGGGCAGAGCTGGACCGGGAGTTGCAGAGAAAGGCTGCTGCTGGTCCGGCCAAGAAGAAGCGGAAGTTTTGATATGAGATCATCAGAGGCTCACATACCGATACCGTTCGTTGATCAATAACCTCCAGAGAGAATACCAGACGGAGTACGTATTTGCAAGTTTTATTCGCTCTAACTAAAGTTATATCCAAGAAATTGCCTTCGGCAGGCCTCACTCTGACGGCTTAGAGCATCGCCTGGCAGGTGACATCCAACACGCTCTCGTCGACGTTCAAGCAAGACGCCTTGTTACCACCCGCGGGGCTCACGACGTCGATGTTGTCGGCGTAGATGTTACCGCAGACCTCCTTGCTCGAACAGGCAAAGAGACCGATGTTCGGCGAGTACTTCTTGCTCGTGGTGCCCTTGAAGTTGCGGAAGTAAATGTTCTCGATCGTCAGGGGCGAGGGATACTCCAGGCACAACGTGAGGTTCTCTGCTACTGTGTTAGCCACCTGCGGCGGACCCTGAAATAATGCATTCCGAAAGATTACAAAACGTGGTAGATGGGTATTCGTGATGGGAGAAGGATGGCACTGACTCTGTCCGTAGCACTGAGTGATCTCAATGGCGTAGTCGACATTGCTGATTGCCATGCCATCAAATGTGATGTTGTTGACACGGCCACTGCCGCCGCCTCCCTGCAAGTCACCAGACAGCGCGGAGGCGACATTGGGCCACACTTTGATACGGGCACCGTCCGAGGCGTTGGACATCGAAACGTTGGCTACATAAACGTCCTCGACAATGTCGAATTCTCCAGGGTACTGACCCAGCGAGCCGACGCTGATTCCGTGAGAGCCGTTGCACGAGAGAGACTCCACAAGGATATTCGTCGAGTTGGGTTTGAAGGAGACACAGTCTGTTTTTGAAGGTGTCAGCCATGTTAACACGTGTTCGACGCGGATCTCGTGGCGAGCATCGCTGGAATGTTCGGTGAACACGTACCATCACCGTTGTTGATGACAGAGTTCATGATAGTGATATCAGATGACCTGTAGGTATCCCAGCCGTCCGTGTTCTTGGCCTCGTGGGAGCTTGATGAGTATCCCGAGATATCGAAGTTGTTGAACACGACGTTGGTCGAGTTGGCCATGAATGTGTAGTATTGTGGCGAGTACCTCAGCACAAGGTCGCTCAAAATACTATTGTGGAGGCCATCGATGCCAATGCTACATGGAGAGGCATACCGTCAGCCTCGTGCAGTCTTTGAGCGACACGGATGAGAACCAGGAGTGTGACTTACAGGACTGGACGCAGAATGTACTTGTCTGCAGCATAAAGATCATACCAAACCTGACCACTGCCGTCGAGAGTGCCGCCTGTCGAACAAGTTAGCCTCGTCAGCCTCGATATGCATAGTAATAGTGTTTTGTGACGCAAGTCATCGCCTGAAACCCCAAGTGGAAGGTCTGTGGCGAGGCAGTCGCGCCGGATCGGGATCGAGGAGTGATTAAGTGACGTGTGTGATGAATTTGTTGCCCGGCTTCCGTGAGGCAGAGAGAAATGAGCACGGCCTCTTGTGAGATGATCTCGCACACACGTACGAGGCCGCTGGATGCCCGTGGCAGGCTGTTGGCAGGCTGTTGTTGCCCTGTACCGGTACAAGATTGCTGGGAGCTGCGAGGCTTTGCAGTAGGACCGTCATACCACAGTACCAGGTACCGCAGATGATCTCCCCGAACCCGTCACGGGCGTCGTGCCTACGGCCGCAAGCTCCCACTTGTGTCCACCCAACTCCTGTCCGGGCCAAAGCTGACAAGGGAAAGGGACGGTGCGAGGAACATCAATGATAGGTACACACCTCCGTAGATGAAAACGTCGTCTCCGCCCAGCTTGAAGAAAGAAGTGGCGTTTTGGAAGCCGAACTTGAAAGAGTTGGCCTGCCAGTAGTCGGTGTCGTCGGTGAACTTGATGGTACCCCGGATGTCTGTGGGTTTCTTTGTCAGCGGGCCGTCCCCTCTCATACACAGCTGCTGAAGGCAAGCTGCCTCGCGGCAGGTCTTGAAACAGTGACAGCAGGTACGCGACCACTAAGGCGGGCGAGGGCTACACATCCATGGCGCGGCGCAGGAGACAAAGCCGTGTGCTCAGCCCTGACGTGCGGGATGGCAGGTTCAGTGGGGACTCACCGATGTCAATGGACTTGAGGAAGGTCCAGTCCATGGCGGTGCCAATGGTGTAGGTGGCGTTCTCGCTGAACACGACGTGGCCGCCATTGTTGCAGTCGTTGAACGCAGCCAGGATGTGCTCTGAGTCGTCGAGCCCGTTGCCACTTGTCTGGACCACACACTGCTTCGTCCTCACTGGCGGGTTTGGAACCGGCACCCTAGGCTGGACAGGAGATGGCACCACCTGAGGGCGTGTGGCCGTAACCCCAGCCACCGAGGCCAGCAAGGCCGCACAAACGGTAGACTTCATGATGTGTAATTGCACAGGCGGATCCTTTCCTCGTACTGCGGTAACAGAGCCAGCCAGCCCAGTCAGCTAGTGGTCACAGACGGGGACACAATGACAAGGCCACCACAACACACAAGACTCACCTGGGCAATGTAGATATGGGGGTTGACTGGCGAGAGAGACCTTGGGCAGACACCAGAGCCGCTCAACACAGCTCAAGGGAGGAGGCCATTTTGTATTAGTTGGAAGGGTGAGTCTAGCTGTAATCAATTAAGCCTTTCGCCATGTGGCCCCGTTAGCCCTCGCGTCAAGCGCAGTGCTTTGCAGGGGTCGATGCCTACACAGCAGAATGCCCCAATTTCCGAAAATGCTTCTCGGGGTGGATAAGGCGAGATTCAGGGGGCCTGGGGGGCAGGCCGGTCAGCATCATCAGACTTCATGACTCTGTCGTTGGCCGTGAGCCCGGCCGTACGATCCGAGAGACGACCCCATTGGCTCCCGGCTGTCTGGATGTCGACGAAAACGGCCTGGATTGGGCCGTTTCTTGTTGCCGGCGTGATGATGCGTCACCAGGAACAGGGCCAGCCGACCAGCCGGCCAGCCAGAGCAAGGCCTCGGGGAGAAACCCCAGATCTGAGGGGAAAATCTGGGGAAAGACTGCCGGAAGTGCACACCACTTGCTTGCACTTGGCTGACAGAGGTGTTACTGTGGTGAGCTGTGGTGAGCTGTGATGAGCCCGCTGAGGCCCAGCGAGAGTCATTGGTGGAATTGCAGTGGCATTTCCTCCGTTTTAGTTCAGGCCCCAGGGTATACCTGGAGCCCCAGGCAGCCAGGCCCTCCCTCTCCTGAGCCCTGCTAGCTTGAGAAGGTATGGGGTTGTCAGGCTGTCAGGGTTGTTCGGAATCCTTCCTCGCCTTCCCCCCAACTTTCCGCTTGCCCACTTGCCCACCAAGCCGCCCACCTGCCCACTACCACCTTGCCACCTGCGGCTTCCCCTTGCAGGAGTGGCACCTGTGGCCCTGCCCCATGTGTTCGCCAAGTCGGGATGGTCCCGCCGCCCTGACAAGCACTTTTTGGTGTCTGGGCAGTCAACATCGACTCCGTACTCCGTACCTGCTGCGTACACACAGACACACATACAGAAGGAGTCTCACCGTCAACAACCTCACAATTCGAGACCTCCCACCGTCATCTTCAGCAGTGGGGGCTTGCGGTCCAAGCGCACTGCAAGACTCGGCACTACCCGCTTTTCTTACATACAGAGCCTCACCGCTGACACTGGACCTATCTGTCCTGTTGTCTTACTTCTTTCGCATCCCTGAGTTGATGACCTTGTGCAGGATCGAGCGAGCTCTGGACCACACCAGGAGCGGCCTCTGACTGCAGCCTCTGGTGAGAAATGCCCGTGGCCTCCTGCAACACTCCAGACTTGCTTTTCTCTTTCACACAGGACGATCCCAGCGGAACGGGGAACAGCACGTTGGTTTCCGTGCAGGTTGGCAGCCTTCACCCTGAACTCGAAGGGCATTCATTGCATGCATCCGACCCTCAACCAACAACCTCGTACAACCGCGCACAACGCCTGAACGCGCAGTCCAGCTTCCACCGACTAGTGATGCAATGCACTGTCCTTCAAACCATCCCCCACCACGGTCCTCACTCGTCACATCACAGGTGCCGTCCACAACTGATCAGGTCTGATCTTCATCACCCAAGCGCCCTGACAACAATGTTGGGCCTTGGGTTGTACCAGTACTCGGCGTGCCCGCAGCATGCATGGCCTCATCACTTGGGTCAACGGATATTGTCCCCGGGCAGTCGATTGCATCCTGCAGTAGGTCGAGTGGCCGACTCCAACCCGGAAAGACGCCGCGCGCGCCCTTGTCGAATGAGCATGTGATCTCATTTGTTGTTTTCTGGGTACTAGGTATGCCCAGGTGTACCATTATACACGCATCGTGGTTTGCTCTCCTCGTTGAAGAATCGCAGGGGCGAGCCACATGTCGGAATCAACAACCGAAGACCGGTGCCTGCTCTAGCCGTCTCGGGCTGACTTGTGCAGTTGACCAACAAGTCAATCTCATCTTGACAAGAGGAACTAGCAACTAGACTGCAAGCCATGCTCCGGCATCTGATGTCCAGGCGGCGGACGGCCGCTATGCTCTCCGCATCAGTCGCTTGTCACAATATGACTGCTGTCTTCCCACCGGCCATTGCTTGAGCAAATCAGAGTCTGCTCGCTTCTGGCTGCTGCTTTGCTAACCAGGTCCCTGGGTCTCGGTTATCGAGGTTGTGCAATGCCAGGAGCGTCTGAAGAGATACCTTGGTCCAAGGTTTACGTACCTAGGTATCCAACCTTCTCTTGGACTGATCGCGGGATTTGTGATATGTGTGCTCAGCTAGCTTTGTTGACCTGTCACCTCAGTCGGGGACCGGTGAGCAAGCCAAAACAGCGATGGCACCCCCGAGTATCTTGTACACGGGTCACGGCAGCTGTTCTTGTCCGGAAGAACTTGGCGGACGACAAGCATGGTTTGTCATGACCCTCGTCCATGGCGATTTCATAGATGCTCAGCGACCTGGCCATTCAACCGGCTCAACTGCTTTCACCCGACATGCACGCGGGGTATCATCCGCGGCTGTAGCGTCTGGGTTCGCACCTCCCCCTCCCCCGGGCTGGACTGGCCAACCCATGGAGCACAAGGGCATGAAAATTTGGCAAAAATAAAATGATTGCATCTGTCTGAATCCTCGTGGCGGCTCCAAGATGTGCTGTTACGATCACTTTTAAATTGACCCGCAAGGACATGTTGACCTGACCCTTCTGCAGGTCGTTGTTTCGATACACTTCACGCATACATTCCCCGCGGCTAGTGAGATATGTGTCAAAGACCCCCCCCCCCGGGGGGGGGCGAGGGGCTCATATGGCTTTGGGATTAATCGACTCACTCCTGGGCGATGTAACCACACCCCGGCCGGCGTTTCTCTGTACCACGAGACAATTCACCATGTCATGTCACTGATACGTGATGCCTCGTGTATCCTCCGAAGACCAGGCATCTTGTTACCGTTGCACAGCTACCCTCCTCCTCTTGGCATCATGCAACCTCAATGACACCCCGCCGCCCTGCGATATGACGCAAGACGGGGCACAGAGATTTCAGAAGAATATTCTGGCCGGCGATTTTGTGGAATAGTCGACATATGGCGGGAACACACTAGAGCAGCTCCTGGCTCACCCGCAGCCCGTTCCGTGAACACCTTTGGTCTGACCACCCGTGCGGCAGCTGCTGCTGCATCGCCCATCACGTTGAGCTGACCTGCGTCAAGTCACTAGATGCCGGTCATTTTTCTTCTCGCCACACTCATTACGGACTCTCTCACCTTTGACCTTGCTAAACACGGTCTATTTAATGACCAAACAACGAGATGGGCAAGCCGAGCGGCGAGACTCTGCGGAATGCAACATCCAATGTTTCGGTGTTGTAATTATAGCAGTGACGGGCCTCGTATGTGTGTTTGGCCTCAGCCTAGTACTGCTGAAGGTAAGTGGCATCTTCTAGTGGAATATGTGCGATTTGGCGAGGCCGAAGCCCATCAAAGCAGGAACAGGCCGGATTATGCGAGATGCTGGTATTTGATCTCTGTCCAAGCTGATGCCCAGCACATCCTTCGGCGTCCTCCGGCGGCTTTAACGCAAACGGTCCTCAGGAAGGGCCGGCGGGGATGGGTGAAACAAGCTGTCTGTGGCTAATGGACTACTAATATTGTCAAATCCTGGGCACGTGCGGGCGCTCCAGACCTTTCTGCCAAGACCACCTGAACTCGGGACGGCAACTCGACTTCCAAGACTCGGGTGAAAACGCACTCAGCAACTCAGTATGCCTTCAACCCACCTATATGTAATTTTCTCCCTCTTTCCCCTTTAAGGTTGGGACAGCGACATCCCCAAGGTCGACCGCCAGTCGAGGACAGAATTGACCAGACGGTCTTTGCCGCGACCCCAGATGCTCTGACCCGCCGGTACGGAACGCTAAAGATGATGTGAGCGCACAGACATGGAGGATCGCTCGGTTGACAGGCAGCGGTATCCCTGCGGAGGCTCCCGTATGCTGGAATCTAGTAGTGTATAGGGTCTCAGCAGCGAGCCCCCTGGCCCCGCCCCCCAACAGCGCTGTCAACGCCCTGTGAGACGCCTGCCCGGCAGCCGAGGTCGGCTACTAACAGCTCGATATTCTATTGGTTGACCGTTGACGAACTGATCTTGGTTCGTTCTCGCTCGCCCTTTCGGGTCATGCCGTCCTTGCAGTAAGTACCTAGGTAGCTTTGGACGTGAGTCCCGCCCGGTGGGTGTGCCCGGTGTAACGCGGACTTTTAATGCTGTGCGCATGCGCAGGGAAGACAGTGCGGCCACCTTGACTATTGTTCTTTGTCGCCGCCTGGAGGTTTTCTTTGCGAAGAAATTGGCGAAATATACGCAGAGATATGTGGGAGTTTGGAGTCGGTCCTTATACCCGCCCGGTATCAGACTAGGTACAAGTACTCGCTGGCCAGTAGGAAGTATGCAACGACAAGCTGCCCCTCTCATATCTGGCACAAACATCAAACATGCCACAACCATGTTGGCAATGCTACCTCACGGAAGCAACTCAACGCTTATTCCGGGTTCCTGGAGACTTGACAGATTAGCGACACGCCGCCACCATGATGTGTCAGAAGGCACTGGTTGAGATCACAAAGGAGATTTCCGGACACGACATGACCGATCCGGAGCAGTGCTCGCTGAGATGGCATGTAGTATGATTGGGCGGCGATTGACGCGCTTGACTTGTCCTGATGGTGGCTACATCCACGAATGGAACAAGCCGATGAGTGCTGTCATGGAACACGAATTTCGGCGCAATAACATTGAACCAGTCTGGTCAAATGAATCCATTTCGCGTTCGCACAATGTTGTTGAGGAGTTGCCGCCCATGGCAGATACCCTACCCTAGGCAGGCTTAAATCCCGATAGTTTGCGAGAACGTCGGCTCGTATTCCAACAAAGGAACCGGCATCGTATCTCGGACTGAAGGGGAAACGAGCGTCGCCGCACATATCTGAGCCCACATGTCCCTTTGCATCAAGGCCCAGGCATACTGCCTTCCAGACTGATCCCAAGCCCGAACGTTTGATAGACCTGGGTACTGTACCCGCCATGCTTCAGGATTCGGAATGCGATGGATTATAAGCCAGAGCAGGAGTGACATTCGTAATCCCTCCCTTGTCATGACAAGGAGAGCAGTATTGGAGTGTGCCATTCATGTGTCTTGGCTAGCAACATGGATTTTGACAACCCAGGCGCATGGAGCAGGCCCGCATGGAGCAGGCCCGCATGGGACCAGGCTCGTAGTCTGCCGCCTCGCAATGCCAAGTCGCGACGGCCGTGGATCGACATTGCAGAAGCCAAGCTGCCATTCTGCCTTTTGAGGATGGGGCAGAGGCCCGTAGGAATGTAATGCGCAACAGTTCGCGCGCACTCCGCCCGCACAGCGTCATTTTGGTCTGATAGCAAGGTGGATTAGAGTCAAGACGAAGTCACATTGAAGCCGAGACTCCATATCAGTCGAATAGTAAGTCTTCAAAGTTGAATGTCATCATCATAGCAAAAGTACCAATCTCCCACACTCAAACGACGCCGACCCCCTCCTGGCCTTGTTCAAATCCAGACCCTTTTCAATGTTGTACGACTCAGAATATCCCCCAAAACAGCCCGAAATGCAACACCTCAAACCCACTCGAGAAGCAGAGTGGCACCCAATAGGAAACATGCGCGGAGGCTGGAATGCCCAAATGAGACTGTAACAGGCAAGGAGACAAGAACCTGGTCCTACACCACCATCAACCGTACATGCAGGCCCCCGATAGAGCACCTACCTAGGTATTCGCCCCCACCCCGTGCCCATTTAAGCCCCTGGCCCGCAGCCAAGCCAAAAAAGAAAGGCACCCCCGTCAGAAACAACGCACAGACATGATGGAACTAGTGCAGGTAGATAGCCTCAGGCCCTGGAGGCCGTACATCTTGACAGATCGGCAGACGTCCGCGGACCTCGACAAGACAGCCGACAGGCCACTAGTGCCGCCCACCCTCGCTGCCCCCCCCCCTGACACCCCCTTTCCGCACTCCCCGGGACGAACCCCCCGGTGATGGCCGCCCGAACCCCGCGGGGGAGGCTGGGCTCCTGTTCCTTTTAGGGCTGAGCACCAGCCTGCGCGTCGGCGTCGCATGCAGCAACGGGTACGCCAACCAACCCTGAACGAACATGCCCCAAGCTGCGGCGCATGAAAGCACTAGTGTAGGAAAACATCGAACGACATTTGCCTGCAGATGCTGCAGCGTGTCGCATTCCTTCTCGTAGTCCAGTTCTTGAGGAGGCATGCTGCAAACAGAGAGGGAGAGAGAGAGAGAGAGAGATTGCGAGAGAAAAGACCGGAGGATGGCGAGGAGGGCTGGGGGATACGCCAGCTGGCGGGATATCGGAGAGGAGGGGAGAGTCTCATCCTCAGTATGGCCCCTCGTTCACCCAGGGGTTTCCTGTCATCAGGGCTGCTTCCTCGGCCGTCATATTCCTGCCGCCGAGGAACAGAGGGACCTCGATTCCCGAGGGGGGCTCGAAGGCGCCCCCTACCTGGCTGAGCGTGTAGGCCGGTTGCGGCGGGTAGCCTGTAGGTGACAGTGCCGCTGCCGCCGGGTGGTGGTAGCTGGCATCGTTGCGGACGAGAAACGCCGGCATGTACGAGTGGTACTCGTTTTCGCATGAGAGCTCGCCCATCTGCGAGTCGTGGCCGGAGCCCGGGGGCGTAGTTGGCTCGGCAGCAGGGTCGGCATCGCCTGCCAGCCCTTGCCCGTGCGTGTCGTGTGCGCTCTCCGGCAGCCGGGGCTGGAAGTAGTTGATGTCCAGGTGCCCTTGTCGGCCGCGTGGCATCCCGCCGTGTCCGTTCAGGATGGGAGGAGCTTGTATCTGAAAGGGGGAGGACGTGTTCGCGGCAAATTGGGCGGGGTATTCAGGGTAGAAGTGGCCGTCCTCATCTGCTGCATATAAGTGAGGCCTGTATTGCTGAAGGCGTTGGTTCCGCTGCCGAGCTGCTTCTTGTTGCTGTTCAGCTTTCGTTCTTTTCCGGTTCTGGGCGGCTTGATAACCACCTTTTCTGCCTGAGACGGCCTTGACGTTCCCATCGATCGCTCGATCTCCCCGCGTGTTCCGCCCACCACTCTTGCTGTTACCCTTGCGATACCTGGTGGTGCTCTCAACGCCGCTATAATACCTCGATTCGAGAAACCACTCAGTTGACTTTCTCCCATCCGCCCCCGAAGCGTCCAGAGACAGACTCCCGTCGCTGTTCAGGGGCGGCTGATTTGAAGACCGCTTCGTGAATGCCTACAGAATTGTCACTTGTCAGCCGCACTCCTTCCACCTCCACACACCGGTAAAAGAATCGCCTACCCCATTCATCGACAAATTATGGCGGATGGAGTTCTGCCACCCTTTTCCGGCACTCTTTGCCTTGTCTGTGTTCTCCCGGAACCACTGGTAGATCTCCTGCAGAGTCATCGACTTGTTGGGCCGTGACATGAAGGCTCTGTAGATGAGCTGCGCGTACGGCTCGTCATTCTTACCTCCCACAGGCTCAGTCGATGACCTAGACCTGCGAACATCCTCGGCGTCGTAGAGGTTTGGGTTGTAGGCCATGTCCGCGTCCATGTCGACATCAGGGTCAGAAAGTGGCGCCGTGTCCTCCCGTCGGATGCAGATGGCGTCGCTTCCCATGGCTAGAGTGCTGCTGCATGGAGACAGGGTTGGTATTGCGACAGCATCTGGGTGGCTACGGGGGTCGTATACCGGTAATCCATGTGCCAAAGGAAAGGCAAGGTCGTCTGCTTGGATGCTTTGGTAGGACAGTCCTGGCTTGCTCGCTTCCACAGTGTAGGGCGTAGAGGAAGACTGCGCTCGATCCACAGCTGAGATGGAAGTGAAGCAACTCGCGGGGTGGAGTGGCTGCTGGTACGGGGGATCTTGAGAGGGGGCGCAACACTCCACAGACGTCCATTCTTCCGCCCGCTGGGTCTGTACGTCCGGGTCATACAAGGATAGCCTGTCGCTGCGGTTGACGACATTGTAGGTGAGGCTTTGCCGACGGGTAGAGACGCTCTCAGCGGCTGCCTTGGATATAGTGTCAGGGCTGTAGCCGTCGAAGCCAGTCGAGTGGCCCCTCTGGACGTTTTGCAGCCGTTGCGACAGGGCCTCTGTGTCATATCCATCATATTTGGAATGAGGATCCAAAACCAGTTGCCGTTGCGTTGGAGATGAGCCATCGCGCCCAGTTCCATCTACTGAGCCGTCTTGATCATCAGACGAGGCCGTGACTGCCGCCGTGCGGCGCTGATCATGAGCTTGGGGAGGGATAGTGGCAGGCAGGTAGGTACCGTTGATGCTCGGGCTGACGTCTGTGATAGCCTCAAGAGATGCTTGTGTCGTGCAGAAGGAATACTCATGTTTCAGATGGACGTTGCCGCACGATGAGTATGGTCCGGAGGCGTCGGGGGAGGCGATCGGCGGGAAGCCACCCACGCTTTCAGCGTCTTGAGCCATCTTGTCTCCGTTGTACTGCATTACAATGCTCAGGATTGACGGCGATAGCAACTGCAACTCGCGATAAATGTGGTCTCTGTCTCGGCTATGAAACAATAGATGTTGTTGAGTCATCCGGATCATTCCTGTTTGGCGGCCAAGGTTGGGATAGAGTGAAACAATGATAGCGACGAGTCAAGAGGAAACCAGAGACAACAACTTGCGGGATTGATTTGGGTGTCAGGCAGGTGCTTGCTTGTGGTGCTTGATATGACGAACTGCAGCACGGGGAGACAATCCAGAAGCTGACGGTGAATGGGAGCCTGCAGACCGCGGCGTGTGTAGGTAGGAGCTCTGCTCGAACATTTGTGGTTCGGAGGATACTGCCTTCACTAATATCTGCTTTCCTCTCTCCTCCCTCCGTCCATCCCGTCCTTATTCGTCTTCCTCCGATAGGATGAAGAAGACGATCTGGGCCAGTGGTTGACCCAGATTGGCCTTCGATGTCACTCAAACCAAATGGGTCGTAAATCTGCCTGTAGCCCACATAAGGAACGCTATTTCCAGACAAAGACAGGCAAGGGTAGCCCAGGCTACGTCTTGGTCGGCATACGCTGAAGCAGACCTCGGGACAGGGGGTTTTGTGAGAGAGGGGTACATCTGAACCTTCGAGGAGTGCTCCTAGCGAATGCAAGGCCAGTGATGCAAATGACAAGTAACCTGCCAGCTCATACATGCTTCAACAGAGCCCGGTACAGTATACATTCTACTTTGTACTTCCACGCTGGGAATGCGGGGCTGACTGGTCCTCCTCTACACACAAACCCAGGCAGGTGTGTAAGTTAGTGTGCGTGCCTGCTGCGTGCGTGCTTGTGTGCTGGCATTGGTTGCGCGTGCGTGGGCGGGCAGTGTAGTAATAAAAGCCCATGCAAACGAGGTATGGCTTGCTGCCATATCGACACTGATGAGACGGTGTGGACTGGGCCAGATAGCATACTGTCGCCTGGCAGATGAAGGTGTGAGTTACATCTGAGGATCTGTTCCCACTGCCCCAAGATACTACGGGATCTCCCATGGCTGCTAAGCACCTAAAGTGCTCGCATATGTACCAAAGCAGCCACAAAGCCGTTGAGGCCACCCTACTCGCACGCCGGCCAAGGTGTCAGCCCAAGACGTAACGGGGGGCTCAGCCTGGGTAGCATGGGGGTAGGGCATGGGGATGTCATCGCTACCACTGAGCTCAGAGTGACACCAAGGCGAGGTAAAAGGAAACGTAAGGAAAAGGCGAGCTTTGTGGCACAACAGGCGGGCATAAAGAACTGTGTACCTTTGATAGAGGAAAGGTGAGGCTTGACATGGCTTCTGCCTGGCAGCTCAAAGAGACAGGTACCTAATCGTGCCTTTTGCCTAACGGAAGCCAGGCAAGTGTAGATTTGGGCAGCACTTCTCTGGGATGGTGACCCTCCTCCATCGTCCCCAGGCGGATCCGGGCTTCTTGTGCCTGTCAGAGCCGTGACGGCTGAGTCGCTGAGACGTACGGGAGGCTGCATTCGATCCCGCCAGCGCTACCAATGATTTCGTTTGAAAGAAGGCTGCGGGACAGACCATGACCATGTATCCAAGGGGCAAGAGATGTGGACCATTCCCGCTTGAAGGAAGATGGCTTGCATGAAGACGGGAAGGTGAAGCATCTGGAAGAGACTAGAAAAGTCGGTCCGGATCTATCGTTAATCAGTCTCAGCTGGGTCATGGTTGCATGCATCTCAAAGAATGGCCAGAGGAAGGGAGTGAGCCTCTTCAGCAATTTGACCTCACCGCCCCCGCTGGACTGCCTCGTGGGATGTCGACAGTGGATACAAACACAACATCCGCCCGAGTGTTGAAACCACGCAGTCGTGTACCCATTGGAGGCCAACGGTCAACCAGTGCAAGTGTAAGGGGACCATGATAAGGGTGTACAAGAGCAATTAGCGGCATCAGCCTTCCCAACAGGGAGCCGCAGGCAGCTGAAGGTGTCACAGGTCACTTGCCGGGCGAGCGCGGCCAGACTCGATGGCTGAGAGCATAACGGTGGCGCGGTTAAGATCAGTGTGTCGGGACGCGGACAGCGGGTTGAGGAGGCCGCGATAGTACCGGTGAGGTTTCACAGAAAGCCTATTGCCTGCCATTAGTTCCATGCGCCTCACACCATTTGCAACGTATGATGCAGTTACATAAGTGCCCGTGACAATGGCCATCACAACAATGACCACCCTTCCAGCATCGTATCTGTTTGCCCGCCAGATGATGGCACTAAGGATACCAGGTCTACCCCTGCCATGAAATGGCCTCATGTGGTTAAACGACTGACCATGTATTCGTTCCCTGCCGGCCCCCACGTCGGCGTGTGCATCAGACAGCTGACCTTTCAGGTGGAGGTACTCTTGGGCCAGATGCTTGCATGCACATCTCGAACAGAGACTCCTCGTCGCTGACGTTACTTTCTGTAGTAAATCTGCACAAAAGTCGTTAATCTTTCATCTGTCCTTGTGACATAACAATCGGGGCTTCATCGATTTCGCTACGAACCTTCTTGAACTGGAAATGTAATTGAAGAATGCCCTTTAGACGGTTCGGTCAGCAATTGTGCGATTTGACGCCAGCTGGATGGACAAAGTGACGTACCTTGTCAAAGCTGCTGCGGAAGCCCCGATCCCTCTTCGCTGAGTAGTCCCATTCCCGGTCCACGATTCGAAATGCAATGTCTTCATACGGCGGACCTGCGATGAATCGGAGCAGGCACGTATCCTCCTCTCCAGCCGCGGCAAAGGACTCTCCTCTCCGGCGGCCGCCTTCCCTAATGATCTTGAATGTGGGTGCCTTGGTCTTGTCGATCAAGTCGGGGTAGAAGATGTTGAACTTGTACCCTTGGACCACCTTGGGGGGCGGGTTGTCGTGATCGTAGTGGGTTTGGTTATATTTATTCCACTCGTATCCCATCTGAACACGATTGAAGTATTGGGGTTTGCGAGGTCGATATTTGTCGGCCCATTTCGGGCTCGCGGCGCTGGGGACAGCCTCCTCTGCCGTGAAGATCTCCTCATTTTCGCTTATCCCGCGCGCAACCTCACGTTCGTAGAGGGCCCTGGTAGCCTGGGAAAAGTCTTGCGCGCCACTCGAAGCAAACCGTGCAGTCCCAGGTGGCGGATTACTGCCCTCAGGGTCAGCGAACCCTGCACCAGCGGCGGCGGAGGAAGAAGCGGCCGGCGGGTTCGGCGCTCGTGAAGTGCTCCCTGTTGAGGCGATCACAGCCCTGGAACTGTCACCGCTAGCCGACGCGAGAGCATCAGCTTTGGCTGGGTTCACCAGCCTGAACTGCTCGATGCGGCTCTCCTTGACAGCTTCGCAAATTTTCTTGAGCTTCGCCTTCGCCTTGTAAACTAGCAGGTTTCTCAGGAGCCCCTGCCAGTAGTCGGTGTCGATCTGCTCGTCCGACTGTAATTTCGCCTTGATCTGCTTCTCCAAGCTCTCGAGTTGCTCAAACGTCTTCGGACCAAGAATCCTGTCGACGTCTGAGGATACAGAGCTGACTGCGCGACCTTCGTGATCATTTCCCTGCAACTTGGTCCTCCGATCGTTGCAAAGTACGAGAAGAGAGCTCCAATACTCGCGATTCCTCTGACTGGTCTCCAGGGTGTGGAAGGATTTGATGCCCTCCTCCAGCTCCTTCAGCGCTGCCAAGCTTGACCCATCCACTATGCTCTCGGGTGATGGCACTTCGATCTCGAAATCCCCCTCATCATCGTCGATGACGTCCCGGTCGCTGTCGATATAACGGAGATTGAAAGCCAGATAGTCGGCGGGTTTGGCCCGTCCCTCTCGGACTCGTATGTCGGCCTTCTTCTTGGACTGCTTGAGGACGAACTTGTCTTCATCGGCCACGAACTTCCTAGATTGATCGTCTTGGCTTAGAAAGCGGGCGGCATTGGCTGCGGCGTTCGAAGAGCTTGGTTTCGAGGGCTTGGAGATGCGGTTGGTTGGATCGCGCCGTGGGCCTGTGATGTCCCTGCCTAGCCGTTGGGGCGATTTCCCACCATCTATCATTGCCTGTCGTCCAGGGTCCATGGCTTTTGGCGACGGGTAGAGCAGCAGACTGTTTCAAGGAAAGGTTCGTGTGGGCTTGCTACAAGCGCCTCGACTTGCTGCTGTGACGCAAAGGTCAACAAGACGGGAACCAGTTCAGGTCGTCGCTTACCCCTAGACACGCCGGACACGCTTGGCATCAGCTTATGTAAGCGGGCCATCAACGACTCCAGGCTAGGACGCCCCCAACTGCACTTGAGCAATTGCATGAGATGCATGTGAATAGCCATTCAGACGAGCTGATCACATACCGTCTGACAGTTGATTAGGTACTTAGCTACCTACGTGACTCCTCAACGATATAATACGGTGAGCTGGATCAGCAGAATCAAATCTTTCTATTTCACTGCGTCAGTAAAGACTTTTGAGATTTGTCTCCCCTTCTGAATCGGAACATGCGCAAGTGAGCACGTAAGGACACATATGATTAACGCTAGCTTTTACGAACCCGACATGCCCATGTATGACCCTCTATCCTTCATTCTCAAATTCTCCCTCTTGGTCCTTGCCTGTATCAGCTTCTGAAGAGGATCCATGTGTGCAACTGCTGCTAGACTGGTGATCGTCATGGTTCCTTGAACTGGCGCTTGGGAGGGGCACGTGAGACGGAGGGTGAGCCATGGTCGTCACCGGGTCTTGTACACTTGTTGCCACCGGCAGGAGTGTATGGTGAAAGGCAAGTGTTGACGGCGGTGCGAAGCTTGATTACATTCTCGACGACCATTAGAGATGTGTGAGTATAATGGCACGTGTGAAAACGATTTATGATTATTATGTGGCAAATATCTTCCTCAAAACCAAATGCGGGCCGGAGATCTACTCCATCCCTTGCCAATAACCAATCAAACAACCCATATATCTTCAACACACTTTTTACTTCTCATTGCCCGTGGGTGATTTACCACTCAGCGTTGGCCATGACATTCCGGGTCTTCATGAGCTTGACCTTGCCAACGGCGCCTGGAGGAAGGTTCCTGCCAGCGGCAATCAGAGCATCGATTGCCGAGTTTCCGGTGCTGCCCTGGGCCTGGCCTCCTGCTGCGCCCTGGTTCTGCGCACCCGCAGCCTGAGCACCCGCGCCGGCGTTGGCATTACCGCCTTTAGCGTTGCCAGCTGCGGCCTGTTGGGCGTTTGCTCCGTTGCCAGCCTGGGCTTCTTCCTCCTCATCATCATTGGCGTTGCCGGCCTGGCCTTGGGCGTTCTCCTCATCGTCGGCATTTGCTGCGTTGCCAGCCTGAGCGTTCTCCTCATTGTTGGCGTTGGCATTTCCACCCTTGGCCTGTCCGTTCTGAGCATTCTCATTGGCGTTGGCGTCCTCAGCGTTGGCATCCTCAGCGTTGGCGTTTCCACCCTTGGCCTGTCCGTTCTGAGCATTCTCATTGGCGTTGGCGTCCTCAGCGTTGGCATCCTCAGCGTTGGCATCCTCGGCGTTGGCATCCTCGGCGTTGGCATCCTCAGCGTTGGCATCCTCAGCGTTGGCGTTTCCACCCTTGGCCTGTCCGTTCTGAGCATTCTCATTGGCGTTGGCGTCCTCAGCGTTGGCATCCTCAGCGTTGGCGTTTCCACCCTTGGCCTGTCCGTTCTGAGCATTCTCATTGGCGTTGGCGTCCTCAGCATTATCGTCGTCGTCGTTGGCTTGGCCCTTGCCCTTGCCCTTTCCCTTGCCCTGCTGCTCGGCTCCGGCCTCAGCTGTGGCATTGCCGGCGTTGCCAGCGGCGGCTTCGCCTATATTACTCGAGTTAGCGTCGGTGCATATGGAGGATGCAAGTATAGTGTCAGGTGGACTGAATACGTTCCGAGGGCTGTCAACTTACCAGCGGCGGCGGCATCTCCGGCCTCAGCACCTTTGCCCTTCTTTCCCTCCGCAGCGGCAGCCTCACCGGCGGCGGCGGCATCTCCGGCCTCAGCACCTTTGCCTTTCTTGCCCTCCGCAGCGGCAGCCTCACCGGCGGCGGCGGCGGCATCTCCGGCCTCAGCACCTTTGCCCTTCTTGCCCTTCGCAGCGGCAGCGCAGCCTGCATTGGCAGCATCTCCGGCCTCAGCACCCTTGCCCTTCTTGCCCTCGGCGGCTGGGAAAGAGTTAGTGAAGCCGTCTCTCAGGAATATAGACGAGAAGTCATCTTACCTCCGGCCTCAGCGGTAGCGTTGCCCGCAGCACCAGCAGCACCAGCGTCTGTGTGTGCAGTTAGCCTTCTACCCTACGTGGATGACAAGGTGATTCGACAAGGTGATCTTCTTGGGGCTTGTGGACTTACTGGCTGCCTCGCCTGCAGCTGCAGCCTCTCCAGCTGCGGCGGCGCCCTCGCCTTGGGCCTGCCCCTTGCCATTATCCTTGCCGTTATTCTTGCCTTGCCCCTTGCCTTGGCCCTGTTCCTCCTCGTCGTCGGCCTCGGCATCATTGCCCTGGGCCTCTTCTTGGGCGTCTGCGGCGTCGTCGCCGGCCGCGGCCTCAGCGGCCCCGGCAGCTCCGTCATTGGCCTTGCCTTTTCCTTGGCCCTTTGCGGCCTGCTCCTGTCCAGCGGCCGCATCAGCAGCATCGTCGCCGGCTCCCGCTCTGGCACCGCCAAGCAGGTCTGAGAGGGTGGAGAGTAGGTCTCGTTCCCTCAGGGCGTTCGCGTTGGCGTTAGGAAGGATGTCGCGGACGGCATGCTCGCCGCGGCGGACGTGTACGGTGCCATAGTTGGCCGAGACGGCCGAGCTCATGACGAGAGCTGACAGGACGGCATGCTGCCACGAGAAGTTTGTGTTGACATGCATAGTGACTGTGTATTTCCTGATATGGGTGGAATGTCTTATCAAAAGATCGAAAGAAGTGAATATAAAGTGGAAAAGGGAAGAAAGGAACGTCGTCTAGCCGGTAGACTGGAAAGAACCACTAAACAATCAAACCTGTAGGACGAAGAAGCTTGATGATGGCAGAACGAATAACGCAGAAACGGTGAGCCCGGGAATCTCTTGATATATCTCAACTACCCGAGTACCTGGGTATTGAAGAAGCACGAGCCATCCATCTGCCTAATTATGGTGTCACGGGCGACCAGTGCGATGTAGTCGTGCTCCCCGCCTCCAAGGTTCGATGCTGCTGGGTACGTACCGCTTGCCCCCGTTGGAAACGTGGTTACGGAAGGCTGACCCGAAACATGGCTAAGGACCGCGAGGTTGGCGATTTGCCAAACATCAACGGGATGATCAACGTCAGATGTTGATTAGGTTCGAGTAGGCATCGACTGCTGCTGCTGCTGCTGCTGTTTAGTGCTCAGCATTGCTCATAGGTGAAAAAGAAGGGGGGGGGGGGGCGTGTAGGCATGACCAGGCTCTCGACAACATTCTGGGATCGGTGCTTGGCCCGAGGCGCTGTCTCGGATCACTGCTTCAGGATCCCTTCTGCGCGGGTGAGGGAGAAGGTCATCGCCAATAAGATCCGCGGAAGATCTCAGGGAGATCCTGGGGCCTTGCGGTGGGGTGCAAGGGGAGTCAGCAGCGGTTGAGCGGCTCTGCGGAGACCTCAGGGGCAATGGGGCGCTGGATTTAAGGTTAAACCAAGGGTGTCACCCGTTGAAGCTTGGCCCTCTGGGGGGGTGGTCAAATCCCAGGCAACCAGGGCTGCCAGGCTGGAGCAGGCAGTGGAGCACTTGCGGGTGGGATCAGCAGGTCCGAGAGAGGGGAGCCAATAAGATGGGCGGCGGCCCGCCAAGTCGAGGCCCAGAAACGAGCAGAGTCAGGGCCGATCAGTGCTTGACCCGCCACAGCGGCAGAGCGGTGGAGGCCTGGAGGCTCAGCACAACGTCGGGGTAACAAAGGAGGCGTGGATGTACGGTCTGGGCGTCCCAGCACCCGGGGATCTAACATGACGGGATGCCCAGCAGTTTCACGTCGGCGTGCTGTGACAGCAGCTTCCCAGATGGCTGTCATGTCAACCACAGGATGCCAAGCGGGCGGCCAAGCAGCTAACAGGCTCGTAGCGTGCCTTTCAGACGATCCAGATAGGCCTTGGGATCTGGGCACGCCGCCTCTGTCGCCCAACTTTGGCATCTTGACACTCGGGATGAACAAACCCGGTCGTCAGGTTTTCATCCTGACTTCTATTCCTGTCCATCTCGAGCCAGCACCACACCAGCACCCCCGGGGCCAACCCCGTCGCATGGCTCAACGACACAAACATGGATTTGCAGATGCGCGTTGTTTTCCAGGCTTGGTCCTCAAGCCGCGGTCCAGCACCGCGGTACAAGCCAAGAGAGCCAATGTTGGTTGCGATTCGTAGATCCAAACCCGCGCCCACCCAACGCTGAAAATCATCTGGCATTTGCCCGGCTGGACGCAATGCAGGAGCTATTTCAAGCCTGCCACAGAACGATGCGCCTTCCAGACGAACTAGAGGCTTGCGTGACAGACAGAATGGGGAGGAGGAAGCGGCGTCCGAGAATCACAGAATCTTGGTACCGGTACTTCTTTCCTCTTTTGGAGCCACCAGGGCACGCACCATCGCACGGTGATCATCGTGCATCACCCGCGCGCATACCCAGGAATGCTCGTAACACTTGGGCCAGCATGGTCTGAGGAGCACACGTGCTATAACAGCCCAGGTGCCAACATTTGAACGTGCGTGTGCCTTGGATCACATGATTGAATGAGCTCGAGGACAGACAATTGCCGACGTGGAACATGCTGTGTTTCTCCTCTAGGACCGCCACGGTGTCAGTCAAGAAACCATCCGCTGACTCCCTCCCCCCCCTAGCGCCACAAAGGAGACACTGCTGGGCGTGCATAGCTCCTAGTAGGACAATTTTATTATTTGCGGGTGTCGAATCATATTCTGTGTGCTCTAATGCTCTTGACCTGAGAGTGTTCTTGGGGTCCCCGGGTGTGCCGGCGGCGCCTTGGCATAGTTGCCGTCTCGATCACTTGAGCCCGCCCGGCTTTGCAGCAGCGTTGTTCCATGATCACCGTGCATCATTTCCTCGTCAATGCTCTATTGTGGAGTGAGGGTTGACATCATGTATTGGCGTGTGGCGAGTTCATTCTGTTATGTCACTGTTTCCTGTTAGTCCATGGCCTCCTTCTCTGGGCATGTTTCGGCCCCTACAGGATTCCGCTATCCTTGCAACCCATCAACCACCACATATTCACTCGCCATGAACGCTGCAATGGCTGGAGATCGACAGCCTCGATTCAAGGTGGAGCGTTTGATCTACTTTCCTGTCTTGAAACCGTGATACTAGGCGACATAGCCTCAATCAATTTGCCCTCTCCTCTCCCCAAAGACAATTTGCATTCTGGCCCCTTAGCCCCTGGATGCTTGGGTCACTATCCTATGCCCTCGGGGTTAATACTTCTACTTCACCACCACTACCTGTCTCGTCTGCAGTGGATGGAAGCCTGCGCAATGCGAGGCCGCTCGCGGTGAGACGGTTCCGTGTCTCTCTTCCTCATGAAATTAAGCCTTTGTCAGCCCGAGTATCATGCGCTGATGCGTGCAGATTACATTTGCATGCATTATTGACCATCCCTTATGATCAAAAACCTGAGAGGGCAGACATACTGAATATTTTGCATGGTGCCATGCGAATGAGCCGCATGTTTCATGTAGATAGTCATCACTCAAAGCCGGGTGTAAATCTCGGAAATCCACGAGCCGAGAGTATGATATTTCTCTCCTTGGTCTGGAATCTGGGATGATGCTTTGTTCAGCCTTGCACTACGTTCTACCCAGGTACCTAGGTAGGCGAGCAATGGGGTAATCCAGCCGTGGTCTCATACCGCAATCATTATTCCAAGGGTTTCAACGGACCACAAAGGTTAACACGCACACGGACCACAAATGGCGGAATGTGAGTTTTTGGTAGTCATTCAACCATCGGAATCTTCAGCAGCCGACTGCTTCGACGAGGGTACAGGCTTCCATTATTCTCTTCCTCTAGGTCATTCTTATATTCATCCACTGTGATCTATGTGTTCAGCTCAGCACCCGTAACATTGCAGAACATTAAAAATAGCATAAAAGCTCGAGAAAATGATATAAACACTCGGTTCTGATCATGTAGGTCATCATGCGAGACACAAAGGCTGCATAGTCTACGCTATGGGAGATCATCCTCAAAAGGCTTGGCCTGACGAGCTTATCACCAGAGCTAGAGAATGAGATCCCACAAAAGATCATCCCATAGTCGATCATCTTATAGAGGATCATCCGCCTCTCAGCTCATTTCCATGGACCAGTTCGCTCTCACAGAGATTATTCGAATCGAGGATTACTATTCTGCTCAAGTGCTAGTGGGATCTCACCATTTACGATTTTGAAGTTACTAACAGTAATCTTATGGGTCGAGAATGTGGCCAATTTCCAGTTATTTCCATAATTTAAAAGGCTTCATAGTTCAGTCGTTGAGGTGCGGACTCCTGTCAACTGGTAGGGAGGACTACTCATGATTGCCAGGGAGAGTAGTAGAAGCAAATTTTCTAGTTGACTTGGCTAAAGTCAATAAATGGCTCAAATCAAACAAAACCACTCACATTATCCCGAGTTCACCGCACGTTTCTACCCATCGCCCCAATTTCACTTACTCAGTGGCAGACGACATTCTACCATCCTCGTGGGCACCAGCAGCGAGTCAACTTAAATGATAATGAGAAGAAGATCATTGGCATTTATGCTCATCGACAGGATACCGGATGCAATAGTTAGCGAGCACATATTTACTACTTTGGTAAGTCGATACCTCTGTACTATCAATGATAGCTTCCGAAGAAGTCCCCAGTCTTCAGAGCGAACGATGGGGACCATGAAGCCGAGACGGAGATGAACAACGGCATTGATGATGGCCCATTTCCTCAACGCTATCGAGTCGATCACACCCAAGCTCAAATTGGTGCTCCCGTAGGGACACACGGGATTATGGCATCTACCGTTCAGGGGGCATCTTCACCACGCCGCCCGACAAGCTCCCTCATCGGCACCATCGCCGCCGGCTGCGCCAAGACGGTCGCATACCCGCCCTTCCGGCGCCTGCTCGCCAGGACAAGCGAGAGCCAGTCTTGGACATGGTGTGAGATCTGTCCCGACGTGGTGGTAGCCTCCACGCCCAACGGCAGCGGCTGGTCTCTCGCCGCCCACTGGGCCATGTTCTTCGGCGCGTGGCGGCTCAGAAATGGCAAAGGGGGCGAGATCGCCTTTCCGGGCACGCTGGCCGCCTACGAAATCTGGGCTCCAAGTTCACGGAAGCGAGTACGAGAGCGCTAGGCGGCATCGTCGTCTACTCCTCGGCGGTGAGACCGGAGGCGTGTGGCGGCGGCAAGACCTTCGACGTGGCGGACACCGAAGGGCCGGGACCCACGCGAGAGCGTTGGCCGCAGATCGCGGTTCGATTCGGGCGTGAGTGACGATTCGAGATCTGCTCGCCCCCACCCCTTCACGTTCTTCTGTTGCCTGCCTCCTGGGCATCGTGCCTAGCTCTTCCCGTTCTCTTCCGATCATTTGGGCCCTAAGAATCTTGGGGCCGGATCTGCATTTGATTCGCCTGTCCGGCTTTGTACAACGTCGTGCTTGGGCACAGTGTCTCAGGGGAACGTGCATGGTGGTGAGAGCCCTGCACACTACACTGGCACACGGCTGGAGATACCATGTGCGGTCAAGATGGAGCACCTGGTTTTTATCTTCCCGAGACACCATGACAGCGAGTTCCTATCATTCTTGCCATTTTATTTGAGCGCATCCTTTACTAAAGTGGAGTCCCTGCAAAAGAGCTGGCACTGACTCTTTCGTTGTCTGGCCACTGGCAGTGAAAGGGGTTGCTTCACCGTCCGATTCCGCTCGGGGATGTCTTACTAGTTAGTGACTTTGCTCGCGAAAGCAGAAAATTGCCTGAATCAGCAGGCGTAAAAAGCGCCAGCATTTTGAATACGAGCCAGCTCGACAGATACGGTTGGTTACTGGCTCACATTTGATCGCCACCTGAGCCTTTGTCGGCTGCGCGCAAGAGGCTGGGTTTATTGAGAAGAGCAAACAGGAGGAAGCATATTTGAGCGCATTTGAACTTTTTCGAAAAGCTAGAATGGTTCCATAGCCAAGTTGAATCATTGGTGGGTTACTTCCAGGTCGTTACACGGTCTTGAGCACTTTACTGTCTTATCTGGCTTGGGATGTTCCCGACAGAGCTTTGAAACCGGGGCATCTTGTGCGACAAACATATAGCTGTCTAACTCGGAACCCTGCATCTCGTGAATCTTCGATCAGCCAGAATCGTTTTATGAAGATATTACACCATGTTTGATTTGCATTGTTTAATCGACCGTGCCTACTTATATCTGTACTTTCCCTATAAGTCTCGAATCGTGTCGGACGTACTAAATTGTTGACTTTCGTGTGGTACTTGTCTTGGTCAGCGTCAAAACAACTGCCTTTGCCTGCATTTTGAAGCAACCTGAAGAGCTACCGGTCTCCCCAGACGGGTAATCAACTCTCGAGAAATCATGCCAATGTGTAGGAGCATTCCGCACCGGAAACTGGCCGGTGCAATAGTTGTATCAGCTTCGGGTGGAGCTCAAAATACTAGTGAAATACTTTCCAGGACATGTCTAATCTCTCAGCGTCCAGAATACACAGTAAGATGTGGTCTGAGCTTATAGATCAACTGGCCCGGGAGACTAGAAGATATTTCATGCAGAAGGAAATGCCACAAAGGGTTCGTGCCAAATGATCGTAAATTCAGAGTTGGTGTGCTGGGCTTAGCCTTGCATTGAATATGTTCACAAAACGGCTTTTTCCCTTCCTGCTTCAGAGGCCTGTTTTTACAGAATTTTGAAAAGGGCCAAACTGCAGGGTGAGAAGTCTGACTATTATAGACCCGGGGGCCACGCCAACGCCGACGTTGTGCTGTGCGAGATTGACCCCACGTCCTCCGTCCGAGCTGACAGCTGTGCCGATGTCCGAAGCCCGCATATATATATATATCACACATATGAAGGACCCCTACGCAGCCGTTGGAACGTTTCGGGGAGTCAGACCGGATTAGGCAACATCTCTCGGCTTTTTCCTCCTAACTTAAGAAACTTTGGAAAATGGCAGCGCGACATGTTAGCTCATTCTCGTTGCGTCCCCAACGGCTGCTAAAGACTCAACAATGGAATTATAGTCTCCCCATCGAGACAAGATACTTGGCACCAAGAATTAGCAGAACTCATTCAAAAATGATGCACAAAAGCACATTTCGGCCAAAGACAGAGATTGACCGTAAACCGCCGAGCGAAACCTCAAAAGCAAAACGGTCAGAGGCAACGAACTCTAGGGGACGAGTGACCCGGTTCTGGAAAGACGCACCAAAGAAAAGACCATATGTTTTTCAAATGTGCACTTCACTCCTGATCTGGTTCACTGCCGACGTGATATCCCAGCAGATTGGAGACACAGAATACGATGCGGCACAAACCGGACGGATGTTGATCATCGGAGGCTCAGCATCGATTCCTATGTTCAAATGGTAACGGCAAAATATGAAATGAAAAGCAAACCTAGAGCACTGCTAACTTCATCTCTCAGGTTCTCGTTCATCTCCACCCGTGTTCAGGTCAGATCTGGGCTCCCTAAGGTCATCAACACTATCCTTACCGCCACGATACGTACAGCTATTACATGCTGCTTCATAACACCAGCCATGAGTGCCTACTTCTTCAGCATGCATTCTATAATGTTAGGAAACAGTATGGCAAGCACCTGGGAACATCTGCAGTACACTTTCCCAAAGAGTCTGGAATGGACGTTCCGATACTGGCCCATGGTCAATGTCATAAACTTCTCTTTAATACCTATACAATTCAGGGGAAGTTTCCAGGCATTGGCGGGCCTGGTATGGCAAACTTATTTGGCTTGGTTGAACAGGCGCACGATGGACATGGAGAAGGTTGAGGAGGGACAGTGCGAGTGTACAGAAGAGTCCAATGTGCTGATGAGTCAGGCACCGCTGGAAGCCCCAATTGAGTTTTGAAGGTGGGCACACTGGCCCATGGGATCATACGCTTCGCAATATGAATCGTAAAACCGTAGGTTAAAATTACGCAGTTGACGTCAACTGTTCTACAGCCAGACTCCAGGAACCAACAATCACACGAACTGAGAACGGGGGACAGCGACATGGCCAGCCGATGTTCAGCAATAGACCCGTTTACCATGATGAATGATTTATTCTCCCACATTCTCCCACAGTGCAGTCTCAGCTTGTGAGTCCAGGTCAATTCTCACGGTGAGTTGGTTGCAATTACCATTTGAGAGGTAGATCAATTCCATTCGTACATCTCCAGCTGCCCATGTGTCCGATCATTTATGCTTGAGGATGCCGGTCACGGTGTGTCTAGGGTCCTCGCCACCCCGCTTTCATTCGTACTGACTGGATACGAAGATATAGAGCAATACAAACAGGACTTCGAGTCAGTACGACGCATAGAACACACGAACCCAGCAGCCCATCGCTCGTGCATGGGATCTCGCGTTCAGGGTCGCACCAGATTGGCGAGGGCCGTTGTATTTACGACCCGTCCAATGCAAACAGGTGCAGATCTGGGCGCTGGAAAAGCGAGATTGACAAGCCGCCGTGGCTCTGCAGTTCAGGGACAATGTCACCCCACAACACATGTTGTCTCAGCCATGTCTGTCTCCGCTCTGGGCATGTGTTGGTATAGCACATGCACACAACCACACCTGCCCGCACCCACGGCTGCATGTATCTCTGTTCTCTCGCAGGATCAAATGGGTCTATCGTATTCTCATGCCCCTTGCCTGGTCGGAAAAAAGGAGCAGTCTCCCGATATCGATGACTCGGGGCGGAATAGGACCGAACGCCTGGGTTTTCGGCCGTACCCGGCTGGTCGGTCGTCTCCACCTCTGTTCGCGTGGTTGCTCCACACATTCCAGGCCAGAAGTCGGGATGGCCACGGTTCCAAGCCTCGCGTGTTAGTCACCGCGAAATGGTGGACCTCCTGAAGAGAATTTTTGCCTGCCGCGGGTTCTGTAATGGCGAGAGAAGTGAATGCGGTTTAGCACCAGGGCGGGATCATGCCGCCATGGCGCGCCCTAAGCAGAACATAGCCTTGGCCCCTGGTGCCAGCGCCACCTGTTCTGGGCTATTCCAGCTTGGATATCGTGAGCTACGGTGAATTCATAGTGGGGTGTCTTCCTGAGGGTCAGTATTTGACCTCCCCTGCCTGTCCAGACAACCCAATTATGAGACGGTTTCCTGCCAACTCAATTACCAGCTGCGTCTCGCCAAAGTCCGTCGTCCACTGTCTCTTGGGTGACTGCTGTCTTGCGCCTTCCCGAGACATTGCCTGCGTCACCAATTCACACCCAGCACCTGTCACCGAGGTACCTCACCCGCTCATGTACTGCGTCACCAAACGGAGCTCTGGGTCTCTGCCTCGACCATCGCTGTAACTCCCTTGCCACGTCCTCAGCTCAGTGCTGTCACCTGTCGGACATTGAAAAGAAGACCTCGTCCCACCCGGTTGAATCACGCACGATTCGAGGAACAAGCCCTGGAACAGACTCCGTGGGCAAACTGACCACACACGACTCGGACGGGACAGTTTGGAAAGAAGAAAGGACCTGCGAGCGCGCTGTCAGGCCTCTTGTAGGACCGGTCTTTACTGACTGCTCTCATTCGTCACTTCACCTTCTCATTTCCCCCTCGTCTCACAGAGTATGGCCTTCGACTCCCCCGATGCAGAGGACACCTGCTTAAAAAACCACCCTTATAGACACACCGTCTCGTCAACCCTCACCGGTGACGAGTGCACGCCGACCGCCTCTGGTGACCTCGAGAAGATAGACTCTCGTCATCATGAGGATGACGACCACATCGACGTCAACAGGGAGCACCGACGATACGGCGGGGACTTGATCAAGCATGAGCAGAGCCGCCATGACGCAAACGACTATGACCTGAGCCTCTCCAACCGCACGACATCAACCAGTGCCTACGCAGGCCGGGCGCCGTCAACGCTGCCTGAGCGCGTCGCCTCACGGATGTCGACCTCGTCTTCGGCGCTGACATTCCCCGAAGGCGGCCTCCAAGGATGGCTGGCCGTCGCGGGCTCGTTCTGTGCTATGCTCTCAGTCTTTGGGCTCATCAACTCATCGGCTGTCTTCGAGTCGTACTTTTCGGAACACCAGCTCGCTCACCACAGCGCCTCCGAGATCGGCTGGATATTTAGCATCTACCTTTTCTGCGTTTTCTTCGTCGGCATACAGGTTGGACCCATATTCGACCGATGTGGAGCCAGGTGGCTGGTGGCAGTAGGGAGTCTACTTATCGTGTTGAGTCTCATGCTGCTCGGGCTGTGTACAGGTGAGCAGCGCGTGCCAGGGCAGTTTTCACGGCAAGGTTTCAGATTTTGCTAACGCCACGTACAGAATACTACCAAATCTTGCTCACATACTCGGTGATGGGTGGCCTCGGAGGAGCCCTCCTCAACTCGCCAGCGTACGGAACCATCGCCCACTTCTTCGATGTACGGCGGGGTTTTGCAACAGGAATCGCCACCACGGCCGGAGGAATCGGTGGTATTGTGTTTCCCATCATGATGCAGAAGCTTCTGCCGCGGCTCGGGTTTGCCTGGAGCACTCGCATCCTTGGCTTCATCCTCTTAGGTTGCGCGGTGCCCTCGAATCTCTGGATCAGGACCCGGCTCCCTCCGAGGCGACAAATCAACAAGCCCGTTGACCAATCTGGTTGGCGAACCAAGATAGCGAGCGTTCTCCCGGACTTCGGAGTGTTCCGCGACAAGAGGTTCGCACTCGCCGCCACGGGCATCTTCTTTATGGAATGGGGCCTTTTCATCCCCATAACGTTCATCGTGTCATACGCCGCAGCTCATGGCAAGGACGCAACGAATTCTTACACGCTGCTATCGCTCCTAAATGCTGGCTCGGTAGCCGGCCGGCTCCTCCCCGGGTTGATGGCAGATCGAGTTGGCCGTTTCAACGTTATCATTATCACCATAACGTTGTGCTGTGCGAGTGTATTGGGACTTTGGCTGCCCGCTGGCGACTCACATACCATAATCATCGCCTTTGCCGTTATCTTCGGCTTTGCGAGCGGCAGCAATCTGGGACTTGTGCCTGTGTGTCTAGGCCAGCTGTGCGATGCGAGAGACTATGCGCGTTACATCTCCACGGCGAACTTCCTGGCAAGTTTTGGAACCCTTAGCAGCGTACCCATAGGAGGTGCGTTGCTCGGTGACGGTGGAAGAGACGGCTGGCTGGCGCTCGTATTGTTTTCGGGCCTGTCCTATTGTGTCGCCTTGTTGTGTTATGTGTCTGCCCGTGTTCTGGCCGTGGGATGGAATCTCAGGACTGTCTTCTAAGTGCAGAGACCCTTCGTCATTACGGAATGGTTGCATGCGAGACAGACTGGCCATGGTAAATAAGGGTTTGTACGCCGTCACTCGTATCCCGCAGAAGGGCTAGCGAATCGCTTTGTAGAATATCTCGTTCATAGCTGAAGTCTCGCGGCACGAAGTGCAATATGTTAATAGAAGGTACATATGATGCTCTGCTCACCGTATGAAGGCGCCATGTATGTCCTCGGACGTATACAGAATAGAAGCGAAACCAGATATGATGCTCTGCGAGCTATCAAGTATCTTGAATTGTTGCCTCTAAGAAGCGTCGACTGCTTTTAAAGGTAGGGCGGCCACTCACTGGATTTACTACTTTCAGTCCACTCAATGTGGTGTGGTGTATGTAAGCTTATACACTTCACCCACTACATCAAAGACTTTCGAAGCCTAGGTACCAGATTATAATAAGAAGCCTAACGTATGTAGTTTAGTAGGTTTAAACGTAAATAGGTTGGTATATAGATAGAGGGAGGAGGAGGGAGACTCAAAATTAACACGGATCCAGTGACTACTTGCATTTTACACATTGACTGCTGCGCAAAAGACGCCTCGGACAAAAGATCATGACTTCAACATTGCTGTGCCACGGTACCCTCATGTGAAGAGCATGGCTGACTAAATAGTGTTCACCATGGCTGCTTCAGAATGACAGATTTAGTCGCGAACCAACAAGATAGTACTCCATAATGATGGGGCTCACCATGAACTACTCTAGTACCCACCAAAGAAAGCAATGTATGGAAGTCCGCCAACTTGAAATCCAGCATTCATAAGCCCGTACCGTCACACTACAACCATACCCATTCCAACTTCGTATGTCGCAAGTGCCTTGTCTAGATGATACATGAAAATCGTCACACTCTTCAACGGCTGACCAAAATATGGGTCAGTCATCACTCGATCTATTGGCATGTCTTACCTGCCCACCGCATCGCGCTTAGGCAGGTTGCATAATCCGTGTTACAGCGTTTACTGTCACACTTGTGACCGAGCAAGCATCCATGGCTCTGTTTCACGAGTTGGTGCCGGCTCCAAGAGCGTACGGCCGCACGAACTCAATGTAACATGGGGGAAGATGATAATGAGGGTCTGCGTCGACGGACAGGCCTTCGGGCAACGATTACTCTCTCTGCGCGCGACAGGATATTTCTCCATATCAGTGACTCAGTGAAGCCACAAAAGTCTTGAGTTTGTGTCTTCTTGTCATGAGAACTGTTATGAATTTCAACACATCAATGTACTCCGTAGAGGTTGCTCGGAAGAACTATCAAAGTGAGAACGACGCTAAGATCATGACCGATTCAATGAACCTTTTCTGAGCCCCGAGGAGCGAATCTCGGTGTACCGCACGCAGCTAGAGCTTGAGAATAGACAAAAAGGTATGAACTCAAAAGTTTCACTGGTCCAATGGCTCCAGAGCGCCAGGCAGAGCTTATATCCCTTCAGCGGCTACATTGGAACTTCAAGTTCCGAATGCCAACAACCACCAGACCTCCCTTTGCCCCCTGAGAACTTCGAGGACAGGACAGGCTAGGTTGATCTTATGCCCGGTTTGCTGCACGCGAGATGAACACCTGACACGAATTAAGAGATCGAGTCACATTGGAACCCAAACGCTACCAAGCACCATTATGTCGATGTAATCGCCCACATGCGCAGCTACGAAGACCTTGAATTGCGAATTCCCGCGGCTGAGGTTATCAGCACTTCAAATCATAGTATGAAATCCAGGACGGCCACATTTCTCTTCCCTTCAGTGCCTTCCACATGCTGCCCAACAAACATGGATAGAACATTCTGCTCCAACCTCGGGCTATCAATGAGTGGTTCGCCCGAGAAACCATTGCCAACCCATACGTCCTCGTACTCCGAATATCCCTGAGACTTCGCTGCTTTCAATATTCGTACAGCCGGTGCACTTGTATGAGGCAGAATAAGCAGCAAGTCGCCGGTTTTCGTGACTGCCAGTCGACCTCGCCGTGGCTTATCTATAGGGCGGACAGCCCTCGATGTCCAGGACCCTGTAGGCAGCGATTAGCTCACATCCTCAATAATTATTCAGAGGAAATGCTGAAACCATGGGAGCTTACCACTAGGCGTACGGTAGTAGTGTCTCCACACGTTGATGCCGTCCAACGTGTCGCGATTCAAGATGTGGACTCCACCGTCCTGGTCTACCGCCTGCGCCTCCTGATTCATCAACCCGCTGCCCTTGGGAATCTCAAAAGCCACGATCCCTTCGGATGAGTTATCGATGGTCTCCCCCTTCCTTAGGTCAGCAATCACACTTCCCTGGCCGTTCTTCCACGTATACCCCAGATCCTCGGAATAAGCATAGCAGATGTTATGATTATTCTCTGCCCCATTCGGCCCGGCCTGCTGTTTATGCTTGGTATCATTGGGGTCGTCCCAGCCTTCGTAGTGCACGAAGCCCCGGTACACCCACGTCACATGCAGCCTGCCATCCCTAAAATCCCACCCGTGGACGTATGGGTTGCTCTGCACGCCTGTCAACGGCGTGCCGACAAACTCCCAGAAGCCGGTCGAGGAACGGTACAGATAGAGATGGTCGGAACCGAGGCCGGCTTTACCATCGCGTAGGGACATGAACATGGTGCTGTCGCCCAGGGCGCCAAGGCGTGGGTAGGTCACATAGCCGAAGTGCTTGTGGGTGCTAGGGAGGCCGGGCAGATAGTCAAGGGTTGGTGTGAAGAGTGATGGGGACCACTCGAATGCCGCGGGGTCTTGGGCGACGCCACGTATCGAGTATCGGTATCGTAGGCTATGGTGAGTGTCAGGTCGCACGAGGCTGACGGAGAAATCACGCGCGAGACTCACACGTCACAGTGATGGTCGTAGGAAAGATGGATAGTCCCGTCCCCCGGGCAGATTCCAATTTGGACCGTGTTGTGGCCATCATCCGTAGTCTGCGGGTAGTCTTCGAACACAAGGACTTGCCATGGCCCTGAGGGCAGCTGTCTCCTAGCAAGATGCACGAAAAGAGGCTCTGGAGCCGGGCCAGTGCTCAAGGCACTGTAGAAGACAGCATACTGCCAGCCAATAAAGGACGTGATGGCATCCTGCTGGAATGCGTATCCATTTATGGCATGATTCCGATGGGCTGGATCATCCCCTAGCACCGTGACTTCTGGATCCGGCAGCATGGTTTGCGACACCTGACAGGCTTGACAGGCTGATACCGGACGACGTACAGAGGCGGTGCCAAGACACCGGTTTCCCACGAGGTACAAAAGATGGGATTTCTGTTGCGACAGGGATCTAACTCGGTCAGGAGGAACCAAGCAACTAGGGAGGCCCGCGGGACGGGAGCCAATTGTTTTCGAAGCCTGAGCTCCCGCGTGGGCACTTGGCGGCTCTTCTTTAGACTTTTTGGGGTTAAATACCCAGGAAGACGGGATCGATTATAATTCGTGGAGAAACTAATCGCCGTCGAGATGGTCGCTTCGTGGATGCCTTGGCATATAAGAAGACTCTCGATCGTCTCTTGGCCAGGGTTGCTTGATATCGACAGGACAAAAGTCCAGGGACACCAAGAGGTTGGAACTTGTGGGGCGCAGCCGTGGAGGCGGTTGATGTGCTCACGTGGTGGGAGACGTTGTACGGAGTAACAGCAGTCTTGCTCGAAGCCATCGTGCTCGCTTTGCCGTACCCCGAGAACCCCGATGTGGCTGTACCTGCTTAAGTAGGTAGGCGCTGGGATAAAAACGACCGAGGGCGACCTAGCCTCTGGGACCGACCAAAGTCTGCGACCGATACCCAAGGTGCCCGCCGAGACGGGCCAGCGTCGCAGCGGCGACACGAGAAGCATCAGAGCAATTCCAAAGCAGTCGACAAGTCGCAGACATTTATTTCTTGGAAAACCTTATCAGCATTACTACCTTCTATTTGTCCTATCACTTTTCCGGCCCCTTTTTCCGAGGCAGAGACTGCAGCGAAAAAAAAGACAAGAGGATCAATATGCGGAGAAGCGATCCACTTCCCCAGATCTGCCCCGGATTGGAGAATGAGATGTGCGGAGACCAGGGGTCCATGTCTGCCAAGTTTCTAGACCCCAACAACGCTTACTGGCAACCCTCCGGCTAAAGTCGCCTGATTGGCAAGCCAGCCGGGTGTATGGCCCGTTTCGACCCTGATCTAGTGTCCTGTCCGACTGCTGCCAAGGGTATAATCTGTACCGCTGAGGAGAACAACAGGAATCAGCATGGCTGATCACCGTAACCCCGGGAAATCATGCCATCTGATCACAGAAGCGCGCTCAGTTGGCCCTTGGGATCTTGACGCCTCCCCGATCCTCCTCGTCCTTAGGGCAGCGCGTGGCTCTGGCCAAACACCCAGCTGCGTCTCCGCCTCGTCCAACGACGCCAAGGTGGCTTAAGACTTGCCCCGAAATGGGGACCTCAGCTGGGGTAACATTCAACCTCCTTGGTGGGAAATCAGCCAGCCGTCTTGGAACGAGGACAAGCTTTTGCGTGGTGAGCCTTGAGGATGAAGCCTCTGCCGCCCTCCAACGGCCTCGGATGGCGGCGTGATGGGGGCCTGGGGCCGTGTGGGGAAGCTGGCTGGGGCGGCCCCCGGGACCACCTTGCTGCTCGACTCCCAAGCACTGGGCACCCAATTCATCCGGATGCATCGTGGGGTGGCCAGGCTCTAAGGTGGTATCTAGTGCAGGTTAGACACCTTATTCACCGAAGCGAGCTAGGCACGCCCACTCTCACACGCGTGGCTATATGAGACCTCGCATCTCCGGCTGCATGTTGTCTCGAAATTTGGACCGCTCCCCGATTTCCTGTCGTTAGACTTCTCTTTTTCTTCTCACTCCGACCAGTGGGAGAGTTCGGGTCGTAATCCAGCCTTTATTGGTCAGATATCTTGTCGATTGAGACGTGTATCCAACCCCTCACCTCGGTCACACAGACGCAACCTCCTTCCAGACCGACCCGCGGCAGCTCGCTGCCCACCGCCGCCAGGATGTCTATCGGAGTCAAGATACTGCAAAAGATCGTCAAGAATGAGGCTATGGCCCATGACCCGCCTGAGATCTATGGATGGCGCGTATATCTACTGGCCTTCTCAGCCTGCTTCGGCGCCATGTCCTTCGGTTGGGACTCGTCCGTGATTGGTGGTGTCATCGTGATGGATCCCTTCATCAAGGACTACAACCTTGGTGACCCCAAGAGTCCAGCCTCAGCCAACCTGTCCGCAAACATCGTCTCCACCCTGCAAGCCGGTTGTTTCGTCGGTGCTCTCGCCGCCAGCCCTCTGACCGACAAGTACGGTCGCAAGTGGTGCCTCATCGGTCTGTCCTTCATCGTCCTCCTCGGAGTGATCATGCAGGCTGCTGCGAGCGGACATCTGGCGGCCATGTATATCGGCCGGTTCATCGCTGGTCTCGGAGTCGGTGCCGCCTCAGCAATCAACCCACTGTACGTGAGCGAGAACGCGCCGCGTGCCATCAGGGGCCTGTTGACGGGCATGTACCAGCTCTTCATCGTGACTGGCGGCATGATCGCTTTCTGGATCAACTACTCGGTCAACGTCCACATGTCGGGCAAGGTCATGTACATATTCCCGCTTGCGATCCAGGCGCTCCCGGCCCTGCTGCTCTGCTTCTGCATGCTCCTCTGCAACGAGTCCCCCCGCTGGCTCGCCCGCCAAGACCGCTGGGAGGAGAGCAAGAATGTGCTGGCGCATTTGCGCAACCTCGACACCTCGCACCCCTATCTCGAGGAGGAGTTCACCGAGATCGTCGAACAGCTCGAGCACGAGCGCCGCCTCATCGGTGACGCGACGGCTGCGAACCTGCACAGGGAGATGTGGACCATCAAGGGCAACCGCAACCGCGCTCTCATCAGCATCGGCCTCATGATCTGCCAACAGATGACGGGTACCAACGCCATCAACACATACGCCCCGACCATCTTCAAGAACCTCGGTATCACAGGCACGTCGACCAGTCTCTTCAGCACTGGTATCTACGGCATCGTCAAGGTCTTGAGCTGCATTTGCTTCTTGCTGTTCCTCGCGGACTCGTTCGGCCGCAGGCGGTCGCTGCTGATGAGCTCCATCGCCCAAGGTGTCTGTATGTTCTACATCGGCCTGTACGTCCGGATATCGCCACCGGTCGAAGGCCAAGCCGTGCCCCCTGCAGGTTACGTCGCGCTGGTCTGCATCTTCGTCTTTGCCATGTAAGTAGCCGGCCCCTCCCCGGTCCCCTGACAAAATTGCTACGCAGGAGCGCGCAGACTAATCACCGCGCCGCAGGTTCTTCCAGTTCGGCTGGGGCCCAGCATGCTGGATCTATGCCTCCGAGATCCCGACTGCCCGTCTCCGATCCATGAATGTCTCATATGCTGCGGCGACCCAGTGGCTCTTCAACTTTGTCGTCGCCCGAGCCGTGCCAAGCATGCTCGTGACCGTCGGCGAGCACGGCTATGGGTGAGTTGCGCCCCCGCCTCCAGATCCCTGCGATTGCAAGAAACCACTTCTAACAGGGCTTGTGAATACAGCACATATCTCATTTTCGGCAGCTTCTGCTTCTCCATGTTCTTCTTCGTCTGGTTCCTGGTGCCTGAGACCAAGGGTCTATCGCTGGAGGCCATGGACGAGCTTTTCGGCGTCACCGACCACAAGGCCCCTTCTCTTGAAGACGGCATCGGCTCGCGGGATGAGAAGCCCCACCCCGTCGCCGAGCAGTCGGAGATCCAGAGGGATGACAAGTTGTAGACGAGGGATTAATAAGAACTTCAACGTGCGCTTCTAAGTAGTGAAGCAGGAAGTCTCGTTCCAATTTTATAGCTTTTGGGTATCCGTATTGAAAGAAATGACTGGCACCGTTTCACTTTATTGCCGCTGTTGCACTCTATTGCCGCTGTTGGTGACTTCGAAGTCGAGAGAGGGGTCGCATGCACGCGAGTCTCGGTTGTCATCTTCTTTCGTCGTCCTGACCAACCGTGTAACCTCTGGCCACGCCGCTCCTCCCTTCCTCGATGGGGGCACTTTTCTCGTCTTCGAAATCAGTGCCAAGTCCTTGCCATGTCCTCTGCGATCGTAGGTATTCTGCGCCAGGGCTAAACACGCCGTTGATAGTTGCCAATTCCGATTTCGCTCGCATGGCCAGCGCATCTGATTGCTTGGCAGTTGCTGGGGCCTTGTCATTCTCGTTTTCCGTGTCGTCCTTGGCTTCGCGAGCCGCGCGAGCCGCCGCACGCATAGGCCGAGCATTGGACACGAGCCTGCCCGTGCGGAGGTCGAACACCGGTACATCGTCCTCGCTGTCGTCCGTGTCCAAGCCTGGTTCACCGTCCCCTTTGTCCTTGCCATCCGTCTTGTCCTGCCCTGTGCCTTCAGGCTTCTCTTCGACGGCCTTTACATTTTCAATACCACCCCACCAGCTCAGTCCCCAGACGCGTTCCTCATCCGGCATGAGAGCCACTTCCAGCTCAAAAGGTGTCAGGACTGGCCTGTAGAATCCCGCGTCCTCCTCCACGAGGCTGCTCTCCCAGCAACCGACGACCACCCAGCCGTCCATCTCGGCGAAGTTGGCCAGCTTGGCCGAGTTGAGCTTGCCCACGACGACGGTGTAGCTCTTCTTGCCCGCGGCGGCAATCTGCTTCCTTATCGCATCGATTGAAGACAGGTAGTTGGCCACTGACAGCGTGTTGACCAGGATGCCTATTATTCCGGCGGTGGTAAGGTTCAGCAGCTTCGCATATCGGCGGCCGAGTAGGGCGCGGGTCGTTCGGGCGGGAGAGTAGTACGAGGACGGAGAGTCGGGTGTCGAGTAGATGTGTAGAGAGGCCACGCGGGAAGAAAGTGCCAAGAGCAGGGCGGTTGGCGGTGATGAGACGTGGAATATGGAGTACTGCTTCAGGTCGATTCCGGACGTCTCATCAACGACCACCTGGGTATCTTCCGAGTCTAGGATCATTCGGTTCGGTATGGGACCCAAAGGATCGCGCTGTATGCTGGTAGAAAGCAGCTCCTTGTAACCTCGTTCCCGGGCGCGTCGATACAGTTCGGGCACATGGTCCTGGTACGCAACGTCTGCCATCAGGACAATCTTGGATTCCTTATCCGGGAGCTCAGACTCGAGGGACTGCAGGGCGTCATCGAGGTCGAGGGCATGTTTGGTGAAAACGTAGATGACGGGCAGCCTCGAGGTTGGTGACAGGCAGGAGCGGCCAAAATGAACGACGACGTGGGCATCGACGTGCTCGGCGGCTATCTCATCGACACAGCATGAGCTGTAAGAGGTGTCTGCAAGGATGTATATCTTTTCCTGCTGTTGGTCCTTGCCGCCCGAGGATTCCTTGTCGCCGCCGTCCTCTCCGGCTTGCGGTGTAGAATCCAACTCTTGTTGCAACAATGCCACGACCTTTGGGGCATCGCCCAGCATGTGATCGGGGAACTGAAGGGCGATCCGCCTGTAGGTGCCATGGCGGACCTCTCGGGCAACTCGTGCGACTTCGTATGTTTCTCGAATCTCGTCGTCTGACCTCGGGCCGCGAGCGTCGGCTACTGGTTCCTGATACTCGAAGAGATGATCGTCTGGGGTGGAGAGCACCGGCGCTGCCTTGAGTTCGTTGGCCATGGCGCTTTGGGTTGGGCCCTGTGGTGTGTGCCTCGTCCTGAAAGCCGGTCGAGGAACGCGCCCGTGATGAAGCTCTGGGTCGCAATGTCGCGTGAATCCATGGTGGGGGCGGGGTAGGAAAAATTTCAGTAATCGATGGCGGCGTTATTGGTGGATTAGGGCGGCCTTGGCGACCTGGCTCAGGGGTCTGCCTACCTGGGGGGGCTGAGGGGGAGGTCGTCTAGGCCTTCCGACTCCCGCAAAGCTTGGCCTTCAGCCCTACCCAGATACCACATGGCTGGTGTCTCCCGTCTCCCAAGCACGAAACTCGTTGGGAAGTCTAAGAGCAGATATCGGACGGGCGTGGACTTGGCCTTGTCTGCTGAAGTGCCCAGGTGGGCAGAAACACTCCAGATTCCTCCCCATGCAGTAGATGCGATTGCCGTGGTCACATCTCGTAAACCAGAACAAATACATGCTTGTGCTTGTAACGGGCGCGTTCGCTTGTCCCTGCAATCGGTGACATAATGTCGTGGCCCTGGTCGTCGTCCCGTTTCCACCGCTTCATGAACGACACGTTGCATTCTCGACTCTTCAACTCTGCAGCCCCAGTCTAGATGCTCCAAGATATCACAACCCCTTGGAGCAGAAACGATGGCCTCATCCAAAGCGCCCAGTCCTGGGCCACCGCTCGAGAAGCCCTCAGAGCCCATGGGAAACATGAGCCTGGACGGCGTCTCGTCGAACCAGCTATCCTCTCCTGAGCACAACCAGGACCACTTGGATCAGGATGAAAAGACAAGCAGCAGTATTAAACGGTTTTTTGGAAACATGATGATTGCCAGGATTGGCCGCGCTTCCTGGCAGTCCGTGGAATCTACAGCCAGAATTCCCTTTTACCTGTCCCCATGGGGTGACAACACACCCTTCACCCTCCCGAATGTCCGCAAGCGGGATCTTGCTCTTGCAGGAGTTTCCCACTTTGGACTCGACGCCCTGGGGGTCTCTGCCGTCACCATCATGGAAAAGGCCGTTGAGGAGACTGCCGAGCAGGGTGTAGACGAGGGCCTGGCCAGGATCACGGGCAGATACGGCAAGAGACATGAAGTCATACGCAAGATTGGCGTGAACAGCGTCACACTGAAAATCAGGCATAAACTCTTTGGAGAGGGTGCCGAGCTCGTCTTCCAAGGAGTCAGGAGCACCGACGACTGGATGGGCTGCGCCAAAGGATGGTTCTGCCCGTACTTGGTAAGCGGCCTTTGGATACAATCTTTGCCCCTCGGAGAACGTACATGCCCCTTGGCCATGTTGTGGCCCACCTCTCGCTTTGTTGGAACGAAGCTACTCCCTCGATCTTTTGAGAGCTGACTCCGTGTGCTGTAGTACGCCAGCGGGAGGGAGCCAGAGATACCAAGACGCAAGGACTTTGCCATGGCCCGGCTTTTACGGCCGCGATTGGCGGCGGATGCGAGCATTGCGCCAACATTGCTGAGCTCGTTTACCGACGCAGACACTCCAATCCTGTCGCCGCTTGGTTGTCCTTGGGAGGACCCGAGTTTCAAGCCCACGGCGCCTGCCTACCCAAAGTTCAGGCGAGTGGCTGTTTTTATCACAGGCATCTCACCGTATCGATATATCACAACGCAGACGGCATGGTCGCACTGCAGGATACCCAACGAAGCAAAGCTGACCTTTCATTTGTTCACACACGTCCCTGCCATTGTGCTACCGGTTAGGGACCAGTCGCCCATTCTGGCCTGGAGCCCCTGGACGATTGCACAGATGTTTCAGAAGAAGACCAAGTACGGAGTTGCGATGCATGTCCAGGAGCTCTTGGACTTCATCGAGACGACAATAGACGAGGAGGTGGCCAGGGAGAACCCAGAGTGGCGAGACATCGTGGAGGCTGCCCTGAGGTCAATGCTGAGCTGTGTTCTGAGCGTTCCAGATGCTATCTGCGAGGCATCCAAGAAGAATTGTGAGCTCGAGAGAGCTGGTGTCGTTTTCTTCAGATATTAAGGCTGCCTCGCAAGGCACTACCTTCTCGGTTGCATTCCAAGGTTGCTTCAGCATAGAAAAACTCGTGTCATGTTACCAATAGCAAACATTGGACACGGATCACGGCACAGATCTCAAATGTGGCTTGACTCAGGTCCACTGATTCGTGGAAGATGGTCCAGTCAAGACCAACTGTTTCGAGAACTGACATATATCGCATGGTCAGTGACTGCTTGAACACTGTTTTATCCTTGGCGCAAGGGAATCTCCGTCGAATAACTTGATATTGACGCCGAGGTTCTACTCGGGGGCAGGTGCACGAGCTGCTTTGCAGCAGGCGGCCTCTCTGTCTCTCTGCCCCTCTGCAGCGAAGCCTGGTTCAGCGCCGGAGGCCCTACTGATGGCAACCACACGTGTTTCAACTTCTGGGTAAACATTCGAGCATTACACGGCTTGGCCACCGTGGCACCCTTGGCCTGCAGCACTGCGAACGGGCTCGTAGGCCGTCAGGGTCTCGCAGCTTCAGCAAGCGAGGACACAGCCACCTTACTATTCACACTTGGCGCGGCTCACTGCAGGCAGGGACCCTTGACCCACTCCAGACTGAAATGCAACGCAACGTGTTTGTCTGTGATCCACATGTTGACTAACGAAGACCATTCTCGAAACCACTCAGTAGTCCCCACAGGGCATCACCAGCCCTTGGCGCCCTGTGATGAGGCGGCTGAGCCGCAGCTTATTCGGTGGAGATCACAGGTCACCGCCCACGTATTGACGTCAAAGTCTCCCCCTCGCGAGACGAGTCCCCCTGAATCTCAGTGGAGATTCGCGCGGGGACGGATTTGCAATCCGGAAGTCGGTGAGAAGTTGATACGTGACCACATGGCAGAAACGACGTATAAAGAAGACGACCTTCCCCGCGAAAGGCAGCACATTCAGAGTCTGAAACACTATCTCAGGAAACAAATCTCATATTAAAGTTCAGCCAGGCTATCTCTTTACCAAACTCATCATGTCTAACTTCCACCACACCTGCGAGATCCCCAGCATCCGCATCGACGATGGCCACATCCTCCGGTGCCGTGTTGCCCGGGAGGACGGCGAGTACGTTGATGCCGACATCGACCTGAACTCGTGCATCGGCAATGACAACGGTCAGTCCAAGGCTCCCTGTCATCGGGTCTTTGTATTCGAACGTGAAACTAATGAAATACAGGCCACTTCGCTTGGGGAGGCCAGAGTAAGACGAACCCCTGACGCTTTCAAAGTGCCCAGCTTCATCCAAGCCGAACACATACTAACGAAACCTTCTCAGACTTCTCCGAGACCGCTGAGGATGTTCGCTTCCACATTGAGGGCGACAACCAGCCCATCCTGCGTGCCAGGCTCCAGACTATCGAGGGCGAGTATGAGGACCGGGACATCAACCTGACCGAGAGGATCATGAACCGTGATGGAAACCTCTGCTTCGAGAACTAAATAGGCCATAAGCATGTGAAGTCGTCGCAAGACTTGAGCAGCTTCTGGAATTGAGAGCAAACCGACCAAGAGGAGCCTATGTCGTGATGAGGTCCGACAATAAAATTGACTTCCAAAGACTCGTTTCGGTATAAATTGTGACGATGGGCCGGATCTACTTTTTCTATGCTGTAATAAGCCTTCTTCAACAGGCCTGATGATATCACCCTGCAAAGTTCAGACTTCTGTCATTCTGAATACCGTCTCCAGTAGGTATAAAACACAGCTCCAAGCATACATGGCACTGCAACTTTAATATCAACACCAGATGCTTCACTTACCCCCTCGTAATCACTGCTCACCCTTCAAGACGTAGTTGACCACTAACCTGTGCAGGTCCTGTTGCTTAGAGAAGCAAGCAGCGTGGATACTACCCTAGGGTAGGATGAGGATTAGCTCAAATATATCGCCATCGAAGACAACGACACGATAGCACTTGGCGCGATGTAAGACCTGCTGCCTATGTTGAGCAGGGAAAGCAAAAGTCTGGTAATGAACATGATAATAACAGCTCGGGAGGGAACACGGTACTTGGCGTCTACATTGCCAAAATACTGCGCTGTTCCTGTATTCGAAGTCAGCAAGCGCGATACCCTAGGGTAGTAGGGTGTAAGGAACCAAAATGCTAGTAGTACACAGAGTAGAGTACTTATATGAACTCTTACATAGAGGAACATGGAGTTGTGAGGAGCTTCCAAACCCACCGCCGTCCTGTGCCCAGGCCCACATGAGTTGTGACAGAGAACAGGCCTGTTTTGCTCCAAGGGGATGTATCAATCCTACCATACCTATCGAAGAGAGTTTGGCGGCTCCGTGGAGCACTTCAGTGCACTCAAGCTCTATTTCTATAAAAAGAAAATTGGACCTTCTTGCCCGCAAATACCAACTATCGGCGCCAGTTTCAGCTCGAATGATCGTGATTAATGATTTTGCCCACTTCATCGCTCCCCTGTCTCGCTCAGAGTGAAGGTAAACAGTTTGGAAACCTGAACCATATCATTTACAGGCATTTAACCTATACTAAGTCCCAAAGCACACGGACTGGATCCTGGGTCCGCCCGGGGGGGGGAGTTGGGTCCAAGAGGTGCGACAAGTCGAACCCGGCAAAGCATGAGTTCAAAACATGACTTAATCGCTGTACGTGTGCATGTGACGATTGAAAGGTCCCAGAAAATAAGTTTTCTTCAGTCTCAATAAGTGAGGCGATATCAAAAAGCTTTGTAACGAGGATCCATCGAAGAAAACTGCTACAGTCGCCTCCGTTGCCAGGCATCAGCTTTGATAGTACGGCGCCCAACAGCTCTCTGATCTGTTCACTATAATTAGTCGTGCCCCTTTGCCCAGAATTGCGAATCGCGGGTAAGAGTCGCACTGCCATTTCTAGTTAGACACTTGCGAGGCTGTTTCCGGTTAGTCAGATACGAGATGGTCACCCGTGCACCAATCAATGCTGAATGCTGCCTACAACTTATCTACTATGAGCTAGGTAGCCTATTCTTTGCGATTTAGGGTCGACGCTCATGCTTACTTACATGCTGTCTGATCCTCCCAGCCTAGCCGCTTCACGGGTGAGTATGCCTGTCAGCAGCGCTGGATCTCGACTCCCTGCCCAAGTGTGGCTTGGATGGACCGCCCGGGCGTGTCATACCGGTCCCGAGAATGAGACCAGGACCAGTTGACCACTGCTCAAGTGGCTATCGGACTGCCTCGTATGAATCTAGCCCTTTTCGAAATGGGACCGTGAGCCTGCAGGCTGAGAAGGCACGCCCACCCTCAGAGTTAATGTCGAGACTGCTGATTGTGGATATTATATATCATGAGACTGGAAGCCCCTGATACTTAGGTAGCAATTAGCCAAACAATATTCATCAATTCCATTAAACCCATCTAGAAGCCACGACACCGTCGCTTCGTTTACTTCTACCTCGCCATCCAATCCAGTTCTCGAGGTCTCAAATTTACGTTTACAATCAATAACATGTCTGGCCACTGCCCTCTCCAAAGTATTGTCAACTGCACCGTAGAGACCTGCCCTCTCAGCTGTGGTCAGGTGGATTACTTGCCAACAGTTGCTGGAAATGCTGTCTATGCTGCGGCTTTTGGTCTGCTTCTGATATTACAACTCGGACTGGGAATCAAGTACAAGACCTGGGGATTCATGGTCGGTATGATCTGTGGTCTCGTGCTTGAGGTCGTAGGTTATACCGGCAGGATTCTGCTCCACGAGAATCCATTTGACTTCAACAACTTCATCATGTAAACCTTTCCCTCCTGCTGCGGAACCAATACTTGTCAAATTTTGAGAATAGCACGCTGATTACCGTCACAGATACCTCGTCCCGTTGACAATCGGCCCGGCCTTCTTGACCGGAGCTCTCTACCTCTGCCTCTCGCGCATAATAATTGTTTATGGCCGGAACATCTCTCGCTTCAGCCCGCGAACCTACGCAATCACATTCATGACAAGCGACTTCATCTCGCTCGTCCTTCAAGGCGCCGGCGGCGGGCTCGCAGCCACAGCGAATTCTCACTCTGCGAGCGAAACGGGAAGGGCTATCATGGTTGCCGGGGTGGTTTTCCAAGTTGTCTCGCTGATTATCTTTATGGCATTATGGCTGGAATTCATATTACGCCTCAGCAGAGTGGGCGAGGGAGCCAAGAACGTACATTTCACCGAGCTGAGAGACACGAAGAGGTTTACTTGCTTCCAGTACGCACTTGCTGCTGCTGTCGTGCTCATCTTCATTCGTTCGGTCTACCGTGTTGCGGAACTGCAGCAGGGTTTCAACGGGCCAATTGCCAATAACGAGGTTTCTTTCATGATATTGGAAGGGCCGATGATCATACTGGCAGTGCTTGCGATGACGATTCTTCACCCTGGTACTGCTTTTGGGGGTCTGTGGGAAAGGGCGGCTTGGTCTGTTCGGCAACCGTCCAAGGCTGCACTGGAAGCGAGCGGCTCGTCAATGAATTATGTGCACCTACAAGGGAAGCATAAATCTTGAAGACGTCGCGATAAGGTTGAGCGTCGGAACATCTTGGCGATCATCGATGCCTCGACAACACTGAAGCTGCCCAGGGGGCGAGGTGCACCCAAATCTAAGCAATATGGGTAGGAAAAGTGTGAATTCTAGACACTAGAATCGCGATCTCTGCCTTTCAATCCGAGGAAATATCATAGATCTTGCTTCCATCTCCAGAGCGATGTATTCAATGAGTTCTCGCGCATTCATAGCTTCAAATACTCTGTACTTGTCTGCCACTCTCCCAGCAAGCCCAATGGCTTCGTCTGGAACACGAACTCGATCGTGCCTGGGCAAGCCGGACTGGGCACTACAGTGAAATCAACATTCCGAGAGTCAAAAGGCGTCTCATTCGGGTTGTAGATCCGTGATTCATCGCTGGGAAGAGGAAGCCCATACACTCTCGAAGTCTCGGCTGGCAAACCACGTTCGTCGAGCTGCATTTCTTCCAGCTCGATCACGCGCTTGGCCGTCACGTACGCGTAATGTCCATTCCAAAGACCTTCCCTCCGAGGCGCAAATTTCAGCAATTGCAGCGCACGTCTTCGTATTGTGGGATGACGGCACTTAAGCGCGGCATAATGAAGAGGCCCGAGGATCTGTATCTCAAACGACAGAGGTTGTGGTGCTGGCCTTTCCGTGTCGGGCTTGGCGAATTGCTCGGCATAATTCACAAGCTCTTCAAAGTCCTTGTGGTAACAGTCTGTGGCTGTCTCGCCAGCTATAGTGCAGACTCGTATCCAAATGTAGATGACTTTGTAATGCACGAGAAGTAGGTTGAGCGCGTCTTGTTGAACCGGCTTGCCGCAAGTCTCCAGTTTTTCAACAAGCCTGTTCAGCTGGCCGTACCATGCATCCAGCCTTGTTTGAAGTTTGAACTGTTCAACGAAATCTTCCATATCTGTTTCGAAAATAGCTGCTTTGGAGATGGCATCGTTCATGAACCGAATGCAGATATCCGAAATCTCAACGAGCCGTCGTCTAGAATCTGTAAGGTCCTGGTGAGGAGAGTCTTCTGTAGCCGTGAGAAGGTATATAGGCGGCATCATTCTGGCGGCCAGAGAGCAGAGCACGTTGAGACTTGAGAACACCGGAACGATGTGCTCTTCAATGACGTTCAGATCATTTGGCGACATAGTGGATATGGATCCACGGCACGACTCGGAGTCTGTATGGAATGTGCGATGGATCGTGGCGAGAATGTTGAAGCCGCTCTGAGCGTGGAGCAGAGCAGTTTCAATGTTGCCTCTGAGGAACTCGATACATGTGAAAAGAAGGCAGCAGACCAGAGATACCAAGTGTGAGTCGGGACGCTTTTGAATCTGAGCTGAAAGGCTGTTTACTGCTGCTCTCCATTGCCGCTGGCCCTCAGGATTGGCATCAATATAACCTGCTGGATTTCGTAAAGACGATTCGACATCTTGATAGATGATGCTAATAGCTGATACGGCATGTTGGACCGCTGGTTCGGAGTGTGATAACTGCAACACAAGCTTGCTCCAGAATTGTGAATTAAATTGTCCATCCAAGCTCACAGCAAGATTCTGGTGGAAGAAGCAAATGCCGTGGTCACTTTTGAAGAGTAGCGGCCGAATTTCGACAGGAGGCAAATACACTGTGAATAGGCGGCGACGTGGTGTTGCCACACATGCGGTGCTGTACTCACAATGTCTACCTCCAACTGTACATCGTTGACAAATAGGCTTTCCTTCATCACATTTGACTCGTCGAGCTTTACAGGTAATGCATCCAGTGCGAACTTTGGAGGTGCTTGCTCGGGTTCTCTTCGGCTTAAGAATTAATTCCTGTGTCATGGTGGATATGGCTTGGTAGAGGGAGAGTTGGGATTCTAAGGAAGACCAAATGAATCAGAATGAAACCTTGAAAGTGAGGATACGAGGGGCACGCCAATTGGGGCTCAAACGAATAGGTCAATGGACACCAGTAGAGGCTTAGAATAAGGGGCACGGCCAAGTTTGAAGCTTGTATTGCGGCCTGAGGGAAAGTTGCGACTCATGATTGATTCGGAACAAGTACCAAGGGCTCTCACATGGGGAAAACGCGTTCTTATGTACTGCGCCACAGGCCTCCATAAGCGCTAGTTCTCGAGGCGGAGTTTAAGGATGCCAAGAATGGATTGGCGCGCACTGCATGTCTTTGTTACAAATGACGCTCACAATTGCAGAGGCATTAAACGTTTGATTTGATATAATGAGAGGGTGTATCTATGTTCCAATATCACAGCATGGTTAACTGAGCCCCACTGGAATGTTCCGTATTGAACCATCTGGTGGTCTCATAGGGTAAAGGAACACCAGAGAAGTTTGGAGCAGTCCTCGATACTCTGGGTAGGCAAGTAATCAGGAGATGAGAGCACAACCATCGGCATTGTCTCTTTCTTAAGCTTGTGTCTTCTAACATTTACCACTGTATGAAGAGCCCACATCATGATACACCTTCAGGACGTATATAAGGAAACCTGTGAAACAACAACCTCAGGACTAGGTAGCTTGCAAGTTGGAAGGAAACGTGCTGTCAGTCATCAGCAGGGCAGGCTTAAGGGATTATACAAGTATGAGTACCAGCATCACATGAATTTTGGAATTCCTTTCCCTTCGTCTGATCAAGAGCCGTCTGGTGGGGTCGGTCGCACTAACGTTGGAAGAGCTCTGCCAGACCCCATGGTAAATCACTGCAGCTTGCCGTGCAGCGCACTTGATTTTGGATCAAACGAAAGAAGACCGAAACAATAGCACACAAATCACAACTCAGGTCAGTCCGAAACCCCTTCAAAGCTGGTAGCAGCATTCTCACAGCTTGACCAGGTTTACGGCAAGCCGAACTGAGTCCCGAGGTCAGGTTGAACCAGCTACGAAACACGACAGGCTCGAGGTCAGTCACTGGCTGGCATCGCGAATTATCACGGTGCGTGCCACAACAACGGCCCTTGCAGTCGACGACCTTTCAACCAGGGTAGCACCTGTTCCTTCACATTCAAACAAAAGTCAAGATGGCGAGCAGCAGCAGCAGGATTATGGATGAGTTTGCTAATGTAGACGTCCTTAAGTCACAGCCAATACCCATTCCAGCTCTTTCCATCATCATTGAGAGCACTGGAGAGATGGCCTTAGCTATCAACCATCATTGGTTTGTACTTCAATCAGCTCATCAGGATCCCTTTGCCAGTGCTGACGATACAAAGCCCTGTCTGTAGCAAGAAGGGCAACAGGCGATGTGTCAAGCTAGGGCACATCATCGAGTGTGACATTCACAAAGGCAAATTTCATAGCCGACTCTTTGTGTGCGTGTCATGTTCTGAAGCCTGTGCCCGCGAGGAGAAGGCTATCAAGAGAGACCAAGGCTCTTGCAGCGGTGATGACGGGGATGACGACAAACAGCAGAAGAAGGATCGGAAAGGAGGCAAACCCAAGCCCTCCCACCAAAAGACTATCAAACAGCTTCGGAGGGAGCTGAAAGAGGAGAAGAGAAAGTCATCCGCCGACTAGGAAACGGGAAACACCATCGACATGCGACCACGCCAGTAATGACAGCCTCAAGGCTTAATGAGACACACGACCCTGAGACGAGCACAAGACTGGATGGAAAGACGGCATGAGCTATAGAATGTACAATTGGAATCAACTTGACCAGAGAATCGCAGCGTGTTGGAGCCAGGCTGAGGCCAAGGACCAGATGTTGAACGTGTATGAAACTGAAGGCTGGAATTCGGGCATGGCCGAGCCAGCATCGTCCATCTTTTCCCACATTCTTCAGTGATCATACCGCAGGTTTGAATGTGCTTTGTCTCCTAGTGCTGCCTCTGTGGCCGAAATGCGGGCTTGAAACCAAGAAAAAGGCGTCTCGGACAGGTTCCAGCCCACTGGGGGCGAGGCGGCCACGTTCGGGGCCGCCCAACCAATCCCTCGGCTCAGCATCCGATAGATTGGAGCACTGGCTGGGCCCCGCGATCTCACCTGGATTTGGAATTTGTTGGCTGGCAGTCACCATTTCTGGCCGGCCCGGCCTGGACCTGCAATGGGTTGGTGAGGTTTGACCTTGCGCCATGTGGGCCAAACGACCTCAAGACGGCGGTCCACTTTGCCGCCCCGACGTGGCCGCCTCGCAGCACCACCGCTCAACCAATCACCCTGCGGTTCCTGAATGGTCTGGCCCAAGGTTGGTGGCCGTTTCTGGCCACATGTTTCCATGCGTGCTCATGTGGTTTCAGACCAGGGCTTCTCCGGCTACGACGGCGCTCACTGTGAGTTGAAGGAGCGGTTCAATGTTCCCAACCAACTATAACAAGAGCGCCGATCCCGTCCTTACCCAGCCTCTCAGGTTCAATTCTTCACCAGCACCACCCACACTCATTTACCAGTCCTTCGTTTCCGGGTCGCATACGCCTACGCCTTCAGCCATGTGTTTGCATTCCAACTAGAGTCGGTCATTCGGGCCCACGACCCCATGCATCCTCGCCCGTTCATCCCTGCCGTTCGTTTAAACCCTGGGAGTTACGACTTGCACTCTTTCTCACTCATCTACACGAGCAATCGAGACAGTAGATCACAATCATTTTCGCTTCGTTTAACCAGTCGACCGTGTCGAACACATTCTTTTACAAATGATGGATACATGTTAATGCCACTCGCTCTCAACCACACTCATTCATTACCTTGAACCTTGTCAACTACACCAGAACCAACCAACTACGATCAATCATTTCCCACACTCCTTGAGTGTGTTGCCTGTACATGGATCTCCGAAACTCCCTCCTTTTGCATTCCTCCGGCGTATCATGCGAACACCTGGCGGTGTTTTCATAGAGCCATTTGATTCTGTTGCTTGTCACACAGCTCCGTTAGTAGCACCTGGACTGAATAGCAAGTCGTTGATCGCTAATTGTACTTAGGGCTATTTTTCTTATTTTTCCCACTTAGAAATGGACATTCTCTCGTTTATCTTCTGTTCATTCAACACTCTTTCATCCCCGCGGAGGAACAACAACCTTGTATGTGTCGGTGGCTTTTGATAATTTGATCAAGGTGAGTCTACGCGCGGGCCGAGTGCAAGCAAGCACCTGAGCCCTGGAGGTCTGAGTTCCACTGACTTCTTTTCTAGAATAATTCCACGACTTGACGACCTGAAATTCCGCATCTGACGTTCTGAATATTTGCAGTTGCACTCATCCCTCATTCCTCGCATTCACGTTAAATATCACGGCTCTCCATTCATGATTCACCAACTCACGACGCTCATTCCGATAATGGCATGACAAATCACGCATTTCTGATGTCCTTCAGACGAAATTAACGATACATATCACACTCGCTTGTATATAGTCGCTCTTTACATATTAGCTTTATATATAACATAACGCTAAGGTTCTATATTTGTAATTATATTGTGTTTATTCCATACTATTACTAGTGTGGGTGGTTTCGTTTTTAATCCCTATATATATAAAATGTATGTGGCGCCTTTATACAGTGGTAAACGCTCAAGGCCCAGCATTTAAAGAAATACAGTGCCAATAACAGTGGAAAGAGAATATAGTACGTGGGCACGTGGCTGAGCCTCGTACCGCACTACTATTACTAGTATTATACTTTTTAAACACTACCTAGGTAGTTTTTAAGTATTGGCTACTGTATGCATGGAGCCTTTGGATTTTAAATATCTGGTTTTGCTTCTATTCCGCAAATGTCCGAAGATATAGAAGTACATGGTGTACCCTAGGGTAGCTGCACGGCCTCCAGAAGTGGCCCTTATCCATCTGCAGACCTACACCACAACGTGATCTGAACGACCGGTGGCTCACGCAATAAGTCGCGATGGCAAAGTTTGCCCGGGCTTAAGACGCAGCAATTGGCCGACCTCGGGAGTCTTGTTTCCCCCTCCCTTTCTTCTGAATACTACAAATGTCAAAATGTCTCTTCTAGCCTTTCCGAGTCAGGAGCATTAATGTGTCTCAGACCTGAACTTCTCAGATGGCTCTGCGGGCTTTGCACAGTCCCAAGTTTCGATAAGTACGAATAATTAAGGGGCTGCTTCTTCCCACAACTTCTAGAAGTATTGTGGAGCTGGGCCCCTGGAGAGGCATCAAAGCCCAACGCTGGCGAATTATCGTACTGTGGACGCGCCGTCTATCATGTCGACTTCCGATACCGTTGTTTTCGTATCCTATTATGGATCTTCAATGGGTCGCTGTGTATCACAATACTCGTATCGGAAACACCATAATTCCATCAGTAGGTATCTGTCTCTCCGTTAACCCAGAAGAAGAGAATCGGTGTAGCGGCCGGGTATTTTCTTAGCCATCATTGGTGGAGAGCGTCATGATCAACTCCTGTTGCCAAGACTGGCCCAATAAACCAAGACTGAATTGATTAACTCGGTAGCACCATTGGTGGAGAAACCCTGCTGGTGCCCACTTAGGAAACCTCAACTTCTGTTCTCAAACCGTCCTTTCATTTCCAGGCTGAGAACCTTGGAATGAGATTATATGACGGCCTTCAAGACCCTCAACACTCGCTGGTATCGAGTGATTTCGCTGTAGTTTACCTGGTCTACAGAACCCTTGCACCATGTTTGAAGCCACTATTGCCCTCCTCTTGCTAGTTCCCTGCATTGCAGGACACGGAGTGCTTCAGAAGCCAGCTCCTCGCAAGGTATGTTGCCGTAGGGACACCGGAGATCATATTTGCTGAACAAGTCTAACTTGACCGGATGACTAGTCCGGTGACGCTACTCTGGCACTCTGCGGCAAAGCGGTTACGGACAAACTCGACTCTGGTAAGACATGTCCCACGCTCAAATCACCCATCAGCTCGATTGATGATCCCACAAATTATCATGCTTATTCATTGACACATTCAGATCCCAACGGTCCCATCGAGAACTCGGTCAAGGTTGCAGACGCAGATTACAAGTGCAACCTGTACCAGTGCCGCGGCTACCAATATGAGGACAATGTCGACAAAGTCCAAGTCTACTCAGGCGGCGATGTAGTGACATTCCATGTAGACCTTGTGGCAGCTCACAAGCCCGGCTGGGCGGTAAGACTCCCGTATCCTATGTCGGACTTTGTCTCTCTGCCTAGGTATCGACTTGCCGACTTCAGAGACTGACTATGACAACAGAATGTCTCCATCATTGACCTGGAGAAGAACACTGCCATCGGTAGCCCCGTGAAAGCATGGGATGTGTGGCCAGACGATGTCCCCGGCGGCGGAGACGATGGTTCGTCTATATCACAACCTTGCCGAACTCCGAGAACAGGGTCACTGACTAGAGCTTATAGTTGACTTCAACATCACAATCCCGGACGGCCTTGGGTCCGCATGCAACGTTGGCGGAAAATGTGCACTGCAATGGTACTGGTGGTCGAACAGTAACTCTCAGACCTATGAGAGCTGTGTCGATTTCTATGTGAAGGAGTAGCTTATCGGCATGTCAGCTCAGTAAAGAGTTTCCATCTCGAGAGCTGCTACTCACTCGCATTGGCATTTGTTGGTGCGATCTTCTTTACTCGGGGGACAGCATTTCGGTTTTCTGCCTACCCTCCTTCCCTTGTACATATGTTTCATGGTGCCAATATATGCAGCATACCTAGGTAGCTAGTAGGCATACAACATGACAATAGGTCACTGTCGATCAGCTTGTGTCCCATCTGCATTTCCCCGCGCCCCAACAACCGAGTACCGGACACGGTCACCCTCGCCCAGACACGTCCAATCCGGTGCTTTAAGCTTCACACAAGTACTTTTCATTCATAACATATGCTATCTGCGTATCCCAAAACTTTCCTGCGTTTAACTTTCGATGATAAAACATCAATAGAACATTAACAAGTATCGCCTGCACTCACCCTCTCCACTCCGATCATCCCACCTAGATTGTGCGGAGAACTTCGAACACCACTGGCATAGTCCGTCCCAACAGAAAGAGCTCGATAGAATGACTACCGAACGCTCCCAACTGACTTCAAGGGTGATACCCTCGATCGTTCTTGGAGATGGTGCCCCGGGCACTCTTTCCGGTCCACCGCCACCTCTTTCACAGAAGGATGCTCGTTCTAGGGCTTTGGAGCGATTCTCGGTCGCCGACAATGCCATTGTAACCGGGGGCACAGGCGACCTTGGCTTCACCGCGTGCCGCGCTCTGCTCGAGCACGGCGCCAAAGGACTGGTGATATTTGACCTCGACGAGGCGGAAGGCGCCGCCAAGGTAAACTTGCTCAGGGAGAGCTTCCCCGACGCCAAGGTCGAGTTCATGAGGGTAGATGTCACGGAAGCAGACACGGTGAAACGGGCAGTGCAGGAGACGGCCAAGATCCTCGGGGGCGTGGATGTGCTCGTCTGTTTCGCGGGCGTTGTTTCCACCGTTCACGCGGTCGATATGACCCCCGAGCAATTCCGACTCATTGTGGACATCAACCTGACGGGATCTTTCCTTTGCGCTCAGGCGGCAGCCCGGGTGATGATCGAGCAGAAGCGACGAGGGAGTATCATAATGACTGCCTCGATCTCAGGTCATAGGCCGAACTATCCCCAACCTCAAGTCAGTTACAACGTCTCCAAGGCCGGGGTCTTGGCTTTGAAGGATTCGTTGGCTGCGGAATGGTGAGTACCGTGATTGCCCTCTTATAAATCTTCGTCTCTCATATTATTAGTGCGTTCCAGGATGCATAGCTTCAGTGTTCGTATCAGCTGATTAACATTTGCTAGGGGGGTTTATGGGATCCGGGTTAATACGATCTCGCCGGGATATATGAACACAATCCTTAATGAGGGTTCGATGCTGGACTGGCACAAGACTCAGTGGTTTCACAAGCACCCCATGAAACGCATGGGTGAGCCTGAAGAGCTCATGGGAGCTGTGGTCATGCTCGCCAGCAGGTCTAGCACTTACATCACTGGAGAGGATATTAGGATTGATGGGGGCCACCTGATCATGATGTAGGCTCCCCGGGGTCATTTGGTGGACGTATTGAAGCATCGATACTATTCAAGTTATTTCGTAGAGGGAAAATTTCTAGTCTTTCGCTACTATTCACGGACTCGGATGACACCTCTGTGTTGATCAGCAACCCCAGCTCACTTAACTTCTTCCTTTCAATCTGTCTTCTCTGATAATGTCGGCCGCCCTCTCCGCCACAGCATAGACGGTTGACTGAATGTTTCCAGCAGGCTCGAGTGGGAAAATACTAGCATCGACAACGCGCAGGTTACCAACACCATAGACCCTGAGTCGTGTGTCGACAACGCCACCAGCCTCCTTGGGACGCACTATAGCATTTAGAGTCAGTGGTGAAAGATATCAAGGAGCAGCCTCATGCCGATACAGGACAGAATAGGTCATAAGATAGGTATAACCTGTCTTGGGACCTGTGGCTGCCTGGGCTTTTTCGGTCGTTATAGGCTGAGAATATGGATTGTTTGTTCCTGAAGGGTAAAGTGTTGGATCCAGAAGATGCTTACTAGAAGTACTGCCGCTGAGGTGGAAGACTGAAATCTGACGACTGCTGACGACATCTCTTGCAGACTCCAAGTCGCGCCCACTATTCTGGAGACGCTTGCCGTTGGGCTTGAGGATATTGGAAAATGGTTTGGTGTTGATTAACTTCTCCACAAACTGGACACCCTTTGCGAGAAGTTCCGTGTCCACCCTCTCGGAATTGTACTGCGGATCCCATATGGGCTTGTCTTCCACATTTGGAGAGACGATATGACAATTTCCGCGAGAAAATGGGTGATTGAGAATGGTCATGACGGTAATGTAGTTCTCGGGTTCCACAGGCGTGATGTAGTCCCTCACAGATTGAGGGTTATCTGGAATAATCAGTTGAGTAGGGAACAACATTAGCTGATAAGCCGGCTCCGTGGTCGTCTCTAGGGCATCCCTGATCACTTTCCGGTCCACTTCAGAGCAGTGGCTTAAAGTGTCACTCGTATGGTTTTCACCGTGAGATTCAAAGAACTCGGTGCGAGCTTCGCTAGACAGGACACCGGTTGAATCGACCACTTCATATTACCCAGGTCAGCAAACTTCAACTTTGAGCTATGATCAGGACATGGCAACATACTTGGTACGTATGCCGAGGAAATGATACTCTGACCCAAAGGCCCATCCTGACTAGCTTGGTACTGAGACACGACCGCCTCAAGTAGACCAGGATCCCGAAGAATGTCCCCGGACATGATATTGTCCGCTACCTCGAAGCTCTCGCAGACGATGGGATGATCCTGCAGGTTGCAACCGACGTTTGAATTCTCAATGATGACTGGGATGTCTTGCTTCGTCAAGATTTCCCTGTCACCTACGCCAGACAGCTCGAGAATCTGCGGGGTCTGGAGAGCGCCAGCGGACAAGATTACCTCGATCCCGGCGCGAATGCAACGCGTGACTCCATCCTTGGAGCGAACTTCCACTCCTTTAGCAATCGCTTGACTCGTCGAATCATCTGATTTGTCCAGAATGATTCTACTGGCTAAAGTATCTGTCAGTATCGAGAGGTTTGGGCGGGCTCTGACCTCTTCCGTCAGGTATGCAGATACTGCTGAGGCTCTGGTCTTTTTAACAGGGTCGATGGATGCGGCTTGCTGAAACGCTCCCACTGCGACTCCCGTCCTTGGATCAGAAGTCAACTTCAGGCCCAGCTCCTCAAATGCATCCATCCATGCAGTGTTGTTGGGTCCAAATCCGTCCCCGAGGGACACAGCAAGTGGACCTGATTCTGCATCCGAGATACAAGGGTCGTGGTAAGAATCGGTTCTGCATGCTTCTCTTGCGACTTTAGACGGCAGATGTGTCTTGGCGAACTTGCGGTAGTAGGGCCAAAGAGTTTCAAAGTTCCAGCCATGGTTCCCCAATGTCTCCCATGCATCAATGATGGGTTTTCCAGGATAAACCATCATCGAGAAGTTCAGAGCAGAGGAGCCTCCAAGCATTCTGCCTCTGGCCTGGCTGATGGTACGATTGTTCAGGTATGGCTTGTTTCGGTCCAAGAGTGTGAGTACAAATTTGTGAAGTACAGTGAAGTTGGTATTTTACGAACCTGTGGGACTGAGGAGAAATTCCAATCGTATTCATCTTTTCCATACAAAGCTCCCATCATTCCGGGTATGACAACAGCAGGGTCTTTGCTCTTGTCCCCTCCTGCCTCGACTACGAGCACAGAAACATCAGGGTCTTCGCTCAGACGAGAAGCAACCACAAGGCCAGCAGTACCGCCGCCAACAATGATGTAGTCATACAAGTCATGTAGTGCCATTTTGATATTCGATGCGTATAGCTTTCTTGCTTTCACGGTGTTGGGCCAAAGCTGCTGAAGGGTGAAAAGGCATGAGGTACACCAGGAAAATTCTGAACTGGCCAGGATTTATGTGTGCTCTGAAATCAAATGATCTGTTCAAACTGTTCGATATTCCAGATGCTGGCATGCAGATGGGTGGATACAGACATCAGCACTAAGGCCTCAAATGGAATTCTGATTACATCCTGGATCGCCTTGAGATAACAAACTCAGGGGCGGTGCGCAAGTCATTAGAGGGATCTTTGATGCTTAACACAACATCTGATGACACATTTTGCAGTGTCTTGAAAAATGTTACGAATTTGGACGGGATCTTAGGTACTGGCAAAACTGAATATGCGTAAAGAACAATGCATTTAGGGTGGGACACCAAATATAGCTTTAATGATAATGAAAAAGTGTCCAAGCAATCACATCCCTATCAAGACAATTGTATCACAGCATTTTCCTTTAGGTACTGAAGCCGGGGGCGAGGGCTTCGCACCCGGGTCTGGGGGCCTCCCGCCCCGACCTCGCGGTTTACGGTTTGCTTGCAATAATCAAGAAAGAAGACAGAATGGTCACTTCTAGGTACTAATCAAATAAGAATAAGGAGGGATGAATTCTACTAAAAAGCTCTTAGGGGAGAGGTACCTATTTATGTAGCCTATGTCTAGGGCCGCTACCGGCGGCCATTAAGACAGTACTTACTTAATAGCTATAATATATATAAAATAAATCTTATATTAAAACCTATTATTCTACTATATTCTAATAATTTTATAATTTTATAGTTTTATTTATAAATATATTAATATTTTTAAAGTTTTTTTATTATATTAAGTTTTTATTAATATTTTTTTAAATATTAATTTATTATTTATAATATTATTACTTAAATAATATATTAAAAATATAATTTAATTACATATAAATCAAAACTATATACTATATATATACTTAATATACATCTAGTAACTATCTAATAAATTAGCTAGCTACTAGAGTAGGATTTTAGGTTAAAGACTTAAAGCTTCTAAGCAGTATATCAGACCTAGCTGCCACAGTATCTGGGTACCTAGGTACATGGTAACCCCCCTGTTAGGGAGGGATAAGGTCCCAGGGGAAGACCCTCATGGCGCAACGTTCTCTTTTGGCGAAACCCCTCATGGGACGACCTTCTATGCAAAGGATATACTTATAGGTACCTACTTCAGTAGATCTGCATAATCATGGTGGATGGCATTTTCCCTCACAGATGTTGCGAACGGCAGCCTCGTGCGAGTGTTGAAGCAGGCAGGATCCATGTGGCACTCCCAGTGGTGTCTGATCCCGCCATTGGCCCGTGCACCCTATGGAGAATGACAGTAGGGACCAGGGAAGCTACCGTGTAGGGTGGGTTGCACGTCACCTCCCTAACACATGCCAGCTGCCTCGAGCTTGTGACCACACCTTTCGGAGGGTGGTAGCGTCTCCAACATCAACCTGCACAGCCAGGAATCTTCTTCCATCGTTGCTTGATGCTAACTGTGATTTGCCTTGCCCTTGCCCTTACCCTTTCCGCTTCCCTTTCAGAGCAACAAGTGAACCAGCACTACTAAATGCTCCCGCAGAGAGTCGCCGTCAAGAGCTCGCGAAGCCCATGCGATAAATCGATTCAAGGTCAACGCAATCATGGCATCGAAATCTTCCTTCCTCCCACGCCTTTCCCTTTCTCGTCCCGACAGCTCCCTGCCCTTGTTCAACAGCCCGTCGCTTTATCCCGGCCTCCAAACACAGCACAGCGAATATGACCTAGACGAATTATCGCCACAAGCGGAAAGAGACGATCTCCTTTCGCACACATTTGACGGGCCTGCGTCGTCTAGTCTGCCCTCCAACCGCAAGCCTACGGGTTCCTTGAACCGCCGACCATCTAACTCTTCCTCCGGCGGCTCTACCGATGCAAAGATCCGCAAGGAGAGAGGCAGCGGCAGAGTGCTATTTGCCGGGCCCCCTCCACCTATCGCCATGTCAAGGGTTATGTACCGTGATACGGAGGAACACTACATCGACGAAGAGGAGGAATCAGGGCCAGGCGCCGCTTCATGGCTCCCTAATACCGCGCGGAAGGCCATCAAAAGCGTCATATGGGATCGCTCAGCCGTTCACACCTCGCGACGCCACGACGCGGCCCCAGTTACCTACGATCGAAACTCAGTGTGGCGTAGCCTACAGAGGCGTGAGCGCGCTATAGTTGAAAATGTGCAGCATTTCCTCCAGATCCAGGAGGATATCCTGACACGCGTTCAGCCCGGCGACGATGTCCACGAACACAGCAGTGGCAGTGCCACCCCAACAAGTGCGAGCATTTCTTCGTCGCGGCGGCTGCACCGGTCGGTAATAGAACCTGCGACGAGGTCGGGACCGGCCGGAGAAATCATCCCTGTGCGCCAGCCCCGACGAAAGAAGGCCGGAATCAGTGACGCGAGGAAAGGCATTGCAGCAAGCATGGCAGAGCTGGCGAATTTGAAGGTGGAAGAAGACGCATCACTACTGAGCGCACTGTCCACAAGAAAACAGGCTCTTGCGAAACTGCGCAAGCTGTCCACAAAACACGACAACGTTGCGGAGGAGCTGACCGCACTGGAGACAGACGAGGCGGAGCCACTCGCCAGGGAGCTTGAGGATCTTGGAAGTGAGCACCGCGGTGTGTGTTCTGAGATCGAACATCTACAGAAGAGACTCACTGAACTGAGGACAAGACGGCGTCACTTGGAAAGCAGAATGGATGGTGTCAGGAACCGACGCGAGGCAGGGCTGAGTGGGTACAAAAATGCGCTCAGAGAGATCGAAGATACGACAAATACCTTCCTCACGCGACCGCCAGTGAAGCCATTGGATGTAGAGGCACTCGCTGACAGCACCATGTCAAAAGAGTTGCTGCCGGCCGGAGGTACCGAGTTCTTGCGTCTCCGCCCTGAGCGACGGACAGTTGACATGGCCCGCGAATGGTGGGAAAATGAGATCAGTATTCTGGAGAAGCGGAAGGTACAGGTAGATATAGAACGAGCCGCCCTCGAGGAAGGCGGGCGGGTCTGGGAGGAGGTCGTCCAACTCGTCTTGGACTTTGAGAATGAGCTCCGGAAGCTGATGTCTGAAATGATGGCGTCGTCGATCCACGGCGGAAAGGGCGACGACCACGAGTTCCCGCCAAAGGAGACGATCCTGAAATTGCAGTATGAAAAGATCAATACCGTAATAACGGGTCTGGAACAGCGGCTGCACATTGCGGAAGACAGCGGCTGGAACCTGCTCATTGCTGCCATCGGCGCGGAGCTCGAGGCCTTTAAACAGGCACAGAAGATCAATAGGGACATGCTCAAGGAATCCGGCATCATAATGGACGGTCTTGGCCCGAGCGACATACCAAGGGAGAACTCGGGTGTATCGGCAAGCACCAATAATTCTTTTCATACTGTCAACGGCGGCAGCGCGAACCTGAATGAGCTCCAGCAGCAGCTCCTTGACCTCCCAAACAATCGGGAGGATGACTCGGCTGAGAGCGATAACGAGGTCCCTGCGGACTTGTTAGTCGCACAATCAGAGAGCCAGGAGGGACACCACGGGGACGAGAAGACCGACGAAAGCGACAACGAGGTCCCTGAGGACCTGTTGGTTGCGCAAGTCGCTAGTGACAACATTCCGTGATAATAACGAGGGCAGAGTAGACTGTGATTAAGAATTATAGCAATGGTAGCAATGAGAGCAGGAAATTATGATTATGAAGATGATACACTCGCCTCAAGTCTACAGGTACTACGTGGGTGGTTACTTGTAAGGTGTTTTGCAGCAGATTCCCCAGCTGGAGGTCTGCCCAAACTACTCATACTTAAATAGGTATCCTGTGGCAATTTGTCTCCTAGGAGGCTGTTCTATAGCAGACTGTTATTTCGCAGAGACGCATAATATAGTGAGTGCAGGGGATGCATGAGCTCTGCTCCTATATGATATTGCACAACGGTTAATTTGTGATGAATAGCACGCGGATCAGACGTGTGGAGTACTTTAATAATTTCCAACGAGGGCAGAAGAGCGAAAAGCGGAGATGGTCTCCTGCCATGGTATTTCAATGTTGACTTGTGAAAGCAGATAAACAATTCCTAGACGCCAGCCCTCGTAAACCCATATGGCATCCAAGACAAGCTATGGTCGTTGTCCTGGCTTGATGATCTTGTGGAGGCAGTGGTCATTATCCCGTACCATGATATTGCCGCCCTATATCTACCTGTTCCGCTCGAACCAGCCGCTCTGGCCGGCGGTCACAACAGCCCAGTCCATCGCCGTCTCTCCTACAGCCAGGTACCGGCTAACCCATTTCTGAGTCTCGTTGCTGTCACCTGCTATCTTCTCCGACTTGAAACTGGGCCTAGGAATCCCCAGCCCGGGGCCGGAGTTAGCCTCTTGTTGTCCGGCTGTAATTCTGTATACAGATGGCGGCGTCTGGTTGGGGGTGTTGGTGTTGAAGGGGGGCAGGCTTCACTCACGTCAAGCCGGTGGAGCGTCGAATTCCGGCGAGGATGGTCGAGACTGTACGAGGCCGCGGGTCAGCTGCTGCTTCCGCGACGATGGTCAGATACTGTATTTGCGGGAGGGGGCCTACTAAGGATGGCATCGACGCCATAGTGGACAAGTCTTCCCAGCTTCGACCACAGCCCCAAAGTCAGCAAATCGAGGAGCTGGAGAGATGTTGTTGTTTAGCACCCATGGCGCATGTGACGATGCATGGATGGCCGGCCATTGGGCAGAGGAGGGGCTGGCAAGATCCATGGATTGGGGGTCCTGGGGCGCCGCAAGGGGAGGGAGGGGGAGGGGGAGGGGGGAGTTGACCCACAACCATCTTGACGTGGCTTTTGTCTTGACTCTTGTTTGTGAGGCAGACAGGCGAGGGCGAGGCTTTGGGTGATGCGGCGGAGGGGGATGGGACGTAGGGACGTAGAGGCAGGGAGCAGGTGGGTGGGCTGTTTGGCTCTGGTCTCGGCGCTTCTGCCGGAGTTATCGTTTACGCAAGGTTGAGAGGTCTGGGTGGATGCTCGTGTCAGTGTCCGGATGGTGCTGTGCAGATGCCGCCGGTGTCGAGTCGTTGATGCCAAGGGTAGGAGGCTCGAGGCACGAGGGCGCAGGTCCCGCGAACAGGCACCCCCGGTAGCTTCCGAAACCGCGGCAGAGCATCCGCGCGCGAGTACCGCAGTACCACAGTACGTACATCCCACGGGCGGGGATTACATAATGACACAGACCACGCAGGTGCAGCTTGTCACCGGCAGGCGTGTGTTATCGCGGCCTGGTGATTGGCGACGTGGAGCTCCGTCCCCGTAGCCCCCATTGCATTGGGAAGGAGGGGTCGCAAACCACAGCAGCTTGGGTGGTGGGCAGCAAGTGGGATGTGGCTTTTTTTGGGGCGGGAGTTTGGGGGTACATGAGTCTGACACCTGCTGGCACGGGCTGGCTGCATGGCATGTTGAGATGGAAGCCCGCTTCCAAGGCCCGTAATGGAAGCAACGTTGAGGGACTTTTTTCTTTCTCTCTGTGCATTTTTTTTTCCAACAGCTCCCAGCTGCAGCCGAGACAAGCCAAGCAATCGCAGGATTTCTAAAAAGGGCTGCCCAATCCCATCAGTTAATAATAACTCTCTCCCCCCTCGCCTCCTCCTTGCGGAACCTCCTTGCGGAGCTCAGGGACCAAGCATCTCGATTCTCGACACTCCCAAACTTTACCGTTTACCACAGCACAAACCTTAGACTCGACAACCGCGTGTTGGAGCCGTTTAAGCCGGGAACAGGTGAGCTGATTCTCCAATTAATTGTGACTGCCCTCAGTCGGGGATGACGTTGGACTGCGACTGTTGAGGCTGGCGGGCCGTGGACTGTGCGGCAGGCCTGGACCCCGCCAAACGCCCTGACACCCCGGCAGCCTACCTAGAGCTATGCTGCGTGGTGTGACGGTGGCAGCATTCCCGAGACAGCTTTTTTCCTCGCCGATATACAGGCTGCCCATAACCCACCTCGTCCTCCCTGCCTTCTTTTCCTTCTGCGTCGCCATCTCCTTTTCTACCACTCGGACCCTCACCGAGCACAATAAATCAGTCACGACACAGGGCTGACATTTAAGATCCTCACTGCACCAGACCAGACACCCATACCGGACCTCCGTTTGCCCCTCTCGACTCAGCTCTCGACCTAAGATACCTGCAAATATCCCGCATCCCCGAAACCAAAAAAAAAAAGTCAGCATCAGCTCTCACCTACCAACCTCTTTCTGTTCCTGCCGCTTCGCCTTTCTTCGTTCACGCTTTTACCTTGAAGACTCTCGATCCTAACTCAGTGAATCCCTCAGCCCAACTGACAAGATGGCCACTGCTCTCGACCACCTTGCCCTTGGCGGCAGAATCGACTGGCTCGCCTCGCTCGACACTGCCTTCCAGCCCGCCAAGAACTACCGCCGAACCTCCATTGTAAGACTCCCGCAGTACATGCAGGACCTGGCTTCGTAGTGGGCACCCAAGCTAATCGTCAATACCAGATCTGCACGATTGGCCCCAAGAGCAACTCTGTCGAGGTTCTGAACAAGCTCCGAACCGCCGGTCTTAACGTGGTCCGAATGTAAGATTGCCCCAGCCCCAGCTGTAGCTCCAGAAACAGCTACCCCGTGCTTCCGCAAGGCTAACGCGAGACCTCCAGGAACTTCTCCCACGTACGTGTTCATGACACTTGTCCGTGAACCAAAAGACAAGATAAGCTGACGGCCTTTAGGGCGAATACGAGTACCACCAGTCTGTCATTGACAATGCTCGCGCCGCCGAGAAGTCCCAGCCTGGCCGCCAGGTCGCCATTGCCCTTGACACCAAGGGACCTGTACGTGAAGGTCACCGCACAATGATCGGAAAATAGAAGACTTACCATTGCGTGAATAGGAGATCCGAACGGGAAACACAACAGGGGATGCCGACCTTCCCATCTCCGCTGGCACAGAGATGAACATCACAACCGACGACAAGTACAAGACGGCATGTGACACCGAGAACATGTACGTTGACTACAAGAACATTACCAAGGTCATCCAGAAGGGCCGAACCATCTACGTCGATGACGGTATCCTGGCGTTTGAGGTGTTGGACATTGTCGATGACAAGACCCTCCGCGTCCGATGCAAGAACAACGGCTTCATCTCCTCAAGAAAGGGTGTCAACCTGCCCAACACTGACGTCGATCTTCCTGCCCTTTCCGAGAAGGACAAGAACGACCTGCGCTTCGGCGTCAAGAACAACGTCGACATGGTCTTCGCCTCGTTCATCCGTCGTGGTGAGGACATCAAGTCCATCCGGGAGGTTCTCGGAGAGGAGGGCAAGCACATCCAGATCATTGCCAAGATCGAGAACCGACAAGGTCTGAACAACTTTGCCGAGATCCTTAAGGAGACTGATGGTGTCATGGTCGCCCGTGGTGACCTTGGTATCGAGATCCCCGCCGCTGAGGTGTTCGCCGCCCAGAAGAAGATGATTGCCATGTGCAACCTTGCTGGCAAGCCCGTCATCTGCGCCACCCAGATGCTCGAGAGCATGATCAAGAACCCCCGCCCAACTCGTGCTGAGATTAGCGACGTCGGCAACGCCGTCACTGACGGCGCAGACTGTGTCATGCTGTCTGGCGAGACCGCCAAGGGCTCTTACCCTTGCGAGGCCGTCTATGAGATGAGCGAAGGTACGTTGCTCCCACGCCGCAACCCGTCTGAAGGATCTGGTGCTAACACACTGCTGCAGCTTGCCTCAAGGCCGAGAACACCATCCCATACGTCTCCCACTTCGAGGAGCTGTGCTCGCAGATCAAGCGCCCCATCAGCGTCGTCGAGTCTTGCGCCATGTCTGCCGTGCGTGCGTCGCTCGACCTCAACGCCGGTGGTATCATCGTCCTCTCCACATCTGGCGAGTCCGCTCGTCTGCTCTCCAAGTACCGCCCCGTGTGCCCCATCTTCATGGTGACCCGTAACGCCAGCGCCTCCCGGTATGCTCATCTGTACCGTGGCGTGTACCCCTTCCACTTCCCCGAAGAAAAGCCCGACTTCTCCAAGGTTAACTGGCAGGAGGATGTCGACCGCCGTATCAAGTGGGCTGTGGCGAGGGCTAAGGAGCTCAACGTCCTGTCCAAGAACGACACCGTCGTCGTTGTTCAGGGCTGGAAGGGTGGCATGGGTAACACCAACACCCTGCGGATCGTCAAGGCTGACACCGAGGACCTCGGTATCGGCAAGCTCGAGGGCTAATCGGTCGACGATTGTCTGGATTGCATCTCCTAGTGTAATGGATGTTTTTGGTTGAGGAAAGTAAGAAAATGAGCCGTCTGCGCTACACAAGGCGCTGCGCCGCAATGGTATGAGGCTGTATGCTTTCATGAGGGATACATCGGATAGACTTTAGCAGGACGGAATTGAATGGAAAAAAAGAAGAATTCATGACCAGCTTTTGTTTCCCGTAGCAGCCTACCGAGCTGGTCGGCCCGCGAGAATCTTCAGCCGCACGTCATATGAGTGTCTAAACACTCGTGGGAAGTACTGGGGCCGGCTTGCTGGAAAGCAGGCAGAGACCTTGCGGGTCGTGATTTACCCACGGTTCAAAAACGAGGTTCAGAAGATGCAGCCAAGACTTGCAAGACAAAGATGGGGCCCTGTCTCATTATATCCCCGAACGGGCGAGTGGGAGCGAGCTTTGACCTCGGTACTTCCCTCCGTTCCTGCCCGAGAGGTCTCCATATTAGCTCCCTGCCCGGCCTATCACTGCACTCTCTTGGACTAATGCAGCGGGATTATTTCCCCATTTCTGTCTGTCATGGTATTTTCCGTCGAATAACATGGGAAATTCTAAAAATTCCCATGGCTGCTTGCTACCGTGTTTCGGGTTTCCCTTGTGGGTTGCTAGGTGGGTGTTCATGGAGAACCATGTGGTTGTCTAGACCCTTAACAACCGCCCCCCACCAAGCGACATGTGTCCCGAGGTCAATTCAATCAGCCTGCCCACCGGCCTCAAGCAGCCGATCATGTGCTGTAGGGCCTAACCCGCGGCCCGTGACCTCTGACAACCTCAGGAGTTATGCCTGGAAACTAATTGATGTCACATCCTTTGTCCGAGTTCGTCCTGACTCTGCATTGTGCACGCATCAGACGAAGTGCAGAGGCAACCTTCGGGAAGTCTAATCCTTTTTCGACGTTTGCTTCATCACGGTCAATGGGCTGAAGATGGCCGTATCGGAACGCTCGATAGGTCTTTCGTCTCAGTTCCGACTGCCAGTAGGCTGCAAAGACTTCAGTCTGGCTGTCTTTGCAGGCCCTTAGATTCTTGTCTGTAGGAGGAGGTCACTATGCGAGATGCGCAGGTACCTAGGCACTCAGTAAATTTCTGTCTATACTAAGAAAGACCTCGGGAATCACTGGCCAGTGTCAGAGTGTACCAGACTGCTGGGTCATCACCTTCGATATATGCCAGATACTAGTGCTAGGTACAAAGCCGTGCACATTCCTAAGCTTCTTCTAGCCATGCGGTTTGCTGTCTCATTTCCAAGGCTGTCACAGACGCACCAGCCATACTGCTTCTCAGAGAACTCTACCACTAGTATTGCTAGTTATATAGGAGTTAAACATGCTCAGAGTGTCTCATATAAATCAGATATTGAGAGGATCAGTTAGTGACGTTATCACTGGGTAGGGATCATTTTACATCTCTTGATCTGGTGATTATCAGTGTATGAGGACGCACACTGGTGAAGCGATAGTCTTGTTCACAAATTGTGTGCATGTGCGGTAACATCTTAGACCTTGCTCTCGTGCTTCTTTCGGATGCTGCACTGCCCTGGCATCAGGCCACTTGCTTATGCTAATTCCATCCATGATTTCGGGAAGTACTATGCAATCATTGCATGCTACACAATTCCCCATTCCCTGGCTTCCTTCCTTCACTCAAAACGACTGCCACCTGAGGGCCTGGGCCATGAGATCAACACAACTTGACATGTGCCAAAAATGCCGTAGCTTTGAGTGGTCTTCTTGCTATTACCAGCAAAGCCATGTATGCAAGAGGACTTTCTATCTAGATTCTAAATGACAAGAGATCACTTCTTACTGCCACGGCATGACCTAACAGATGACCTCAAGCCATTAAAAAATCTATCAGAGGACGACAGCACGGCAATGATGATGTGACAAGGTCGACCAAGCCTCTATCCAGCAATGTCATACCACATCAGCCAGGAGCAACAACTGTGCAACATTTGGCAAGGATCTTGATAATAGCCTCTTCTTCCCATACTTATATCAGAAACCCCTGGTCGTATCGGCTGTCGTGCACCTGTAGACCCCAGACACAGGACTGATCTGGAGCGTTTCTTGCTTCTCCAACGAGTAGTCTAGTGGCCTCAAGTGGCCTGACTCCTGGGACATCCAATGGTCTTTTCTGGAAAGGTGGCTTGTGAGATCGGCGGCGGTGTTGGTTGCCATAAGCAACAAATCCCGGTTCGTTGTGGACCAGTCAAGAGCCATAGATCACGTCAGCTGGCCAAGAAATACCTAGGCAATCAACCCAATCTGGGCCCACGCCCGCACAACGGCCTGAGACTCCAATAGTGAGACAGCCTACCAGAGCGGAGATGATTGACGCCCCGACACCTTCAATACCAGATGCCGGGCCGGAGCTCATATTTATGCAGCGAATTATGCAGCGGCTTGAGCGGAATTCGGCACCGCTGCAGACCGCAACTAGCCTTGTGCAAGAGGTTGTTGTGTGCGAAGAAGGCAGGAGGGGTGGCAAAGCCGGAGTTCATTGCTGATGTGGTGTGAGGCGGGAACGGGTTTCCGTATTCGCATCCTTGCTCGGTCTCGGTCGCACCGAGCATTTTCGGTTGTAATTACATTCAGACTAGTAGATGCATTCTCCTGCAGAAGCTATTGATGAATTCCGTCCCGTTGTTGAAATCTGTCAGACCAGTTCGTTTCTTGCCAAAATTGACGTGACATTTGTTCGATCGAGGTCATATCTGTAACTCATGTTACTACAAGCTTTCCTCAGTGACATTGTATGCGCCGTACAGTCCTTGGACGCCTGTCATAAACACACCATCGGAAGCACAGTGTCACTCGGCTGCAATAGTAAGGTCTCGGCAGTGCGCGCCGAGCTGGGATAGCACCTGCAGAGAGGGAGCTGAGTTTCTCGGCCTGAACCGTCCCTAATTTGTGAGCCTTCAAAACTTTATACTGCTGAAGCACCCAAATCGCTTCACCATGGAATAGCATCGAAACACCACCTTCGAAATGGCTGACAGGTCCAGACATAGTAGCAAGGGTTGCTGCACCCTATGGCTGGGGCAAATCACGGCGGCGATCCAGGCTCATCACACGATGATACCATGGCAGACCATCACACCACATCAAGCACAACGGAGACCGACTACGAGAAGCACCATGAAATAGTGCATGATGACACAGACCGAGAAAATAAGATCGAGATCGCAGCAGCAGAGGGCCATGACGCAGACACCCCTTCCAACATTGGCTACCTCCTCGACGAGCGAGGCGAGCTGAAGAGGCAGCGTTCCATCGCTGAGCAGGCGAGCCTGGCGCTGGCCAAGACCAGGAGTAACGCGTCCCACCACCAGAACGGCGCCAGCGACCTCGAGAAGGGCGCCACGACGGACGGCGACGGTGAAAAGGACGCGCACGCGGGCGAGAGCGATCCGAACGTCGTCTGGTGGGACGGCCCCGACGACCCAGAGAATCCTATGAACTGGCCCAGCTGGCGAAAGGTCCTGACTTGCACTATCATCTCCTTTCTGACCTTTGTCACGCCGCTCGCGTCCTCCATATTCGCCCCTGGCGTGCCGGAACTGATGAGGGACTTCCGTTCCGACAGCAACCTACTGGCCTCGTTCGTCGTGTCCGTCTATGTGCTGGGCTTCGCATTTGGACCATTGATCATGTAAGCAACTTCTGGATACATATTTTACCCCTTCAAGAACAAACCTTGCAACATACACTGTTCTTAGCCCAGAGAACACAGACTGTAAGGGCTATAGGTTCCAAAATATACTATGCCTCCCTTCTAGCCTATTCTTTGCTGTGTTGGTATAAAGCTAATCTTCTGTTCTTGGATGGCTAATTCCTAATGCTGCAGGGGTTCGTATTCACTATGTACTCCTTTTCCAGTCTGTTTTGCGAGAAAACGCTGCATGTATCAGGTGTCTGTGTCCTTGAGCAATGTGTATCTTTTTCACTTGGGCCTCTGAAGAGCCATTTTCCCAAGGACCGACAAAAACTATCGATGAGGACCTCAGTCTTCCTGTCGAAGAATTAACTGACACATCTCTTAGCCCCTATGAGTGAGCTTTACGGAAGGTCAATTGTCTATCACGTCAGCAACGTGGGTTTCGTGGCCTTCCTCGTTGGCTGCGCGCGCGCCCCAGACTTGAACAGCCTGATTGTCTTCCGGTTCTTCTGCGGCTGCTTCGGCGCCAGTCCGCTCACAAACGGCGGTGGCTCGATCGCCGATATCATCCGCCGTAAGCAGCTCCTGGAAACGATTTCTGCCCTTTGACAACAAGCATGCCCCATTCTTAGCCTATACAATAAACACTTTAGGGGCTGTAGTTTTAAAATCTCGTGGCCTACTCTTTCCGTGCTGATATGAAGCTAATCCTCTGGGTCTCTGATGGCTAACTCTTAATGCTGCAGAGGAGAAGCGAGGAAGCGCCATGGCTGCATTCAGCATCGGCCCACTGCTCGGCCCCATCATTGGTCCCGTCGCCGGTGGGTTCCTCACCGAAGCCAAAGGCTGGAGATGGGTGTTCTACGTGCTGGCCATGGTAGGCGGTGCTGTGACAATCATGATGTTCATCTTTATGCGCGAGACGTACGCCCCCGTGATCCTGCAGCAGAAAACCCTCAGGCTGCGAAAGGAGACGGGCAACGAGCTACTGCGGTCGAAGCTCGACATCGGCTTATCTCCGCGCGACCATTTCTATCGCAGCATTGTCCGGCCTTTGAAGATGCTCATCAGATCGCCTATTGTTGCGGTCTTTGCGGTATACATCGCAGTGGTCTACGGGTACCTTTACCTCATGTTCACTTCCATGACAGAAGTTTTCCAGCAGACATATCATTTTAGCACCAGCATCACGGGTCTTGTTTTCCTTGGAATGGGCGTTGGCTCCATGGCTGGACTTGTCTACTTCTCGGCTACATCCGATCGCCACATCCAGAAAATGTCGAAGCTGGAGGGAAAGGGGATGAAGCCAGAATACCGCCTGAAGCAACTACCAGTCGGCGCTTTTATGCTCCCCGCTGGATTCTTCCTTTACGGATGGACCGCCCAATATCACGTCCACTGGATCGTGCCTATTCTAGCAACTGGCATCATTGGGATGGGTAAGCAGCTTGTGGATACAATATCTACCCCTTCAAAAGCAGGAATACCCTACTCCTAGCCTACTGGACAAATACTTCAGGGCTGCAAGGTTTCAAGATATGATATGGACACCCCACTCTTTCCCTTGTTGATATGAGGCTCTTCCTTTACTTATTTGATGGCTGACTGCAACGTGTAGGGAACATCATCATTTTCATGAGCCTCCAGCTGTGAGTGAGCCCTTGCAGAAAACCACCCGGACTGTTGTAGCTACGATATGAAGACGGCACTAACGTAAATCTTTATACAATAGATACCTTGTTGATGCGTTCACCATATTTGCCGCTAGCTCACTCGCCGCCAATACCGTCGTCCGATCCGTAGCAGGTGCTGTGTTGCCGTTGGCAGGGTTGTCGATGTATGATGTTCTAGGTTTGGGATGGGGCAACAGCTTGTTGGGCTTCATTGCACTGGCGCTGGCTCCATTGCCTTTTTGGATCAGTGAGCAACTCCCGATTACCATTTTCACGCCCGCTCGAGGAGATACACACGTGCGTTGAAGGCTAACTCTGATTGTTACAGTGGCCAAAGGAGAGTGGATGAGGACAAAGTGGGAGCTCAAGGACCTTTAGACGGGATTGCATTTCCTAGTCGTTTGATTTTGGTATAGGCGCCACATACATTTTATATGTATGGGGATTAAAAACGAAACCACTTGATTTTGGCATATCGGGACTAACACGGTCTCTAGCATGAAGGCGCCTCGTGACCATGGCTTTTGGCATTCTTACTTAGATGCGTCGGTCTCCGTCCGGCTAATGGGTATCAGTCAGTATTCTGGATTTTGCTTCGTTATAGGTGTCTCTCAGGATACTTGTGGGACAGGCAAGTAGACACCTGTTACATCCGGTCAGAGATCACTAGGAAGATTGCAAACCATTGGAGCTTGTCCTTTTCTCACTGTCACTACAAAAGGTTTCAGGAGCCGCCGTCACATTGGTCAACCGCATTTGCATGTGAGTGATGGACATGTGAATCCGCTGGCACGTATTAATTCCGTGTTGCCACAGACTCGGCAGAGAGACCATTGTCTCGTCTCGACCATTAGCCGGCCAATCTGCCATAGTAGATAGCATATCCATTATCGGAGTCGAGACTCAGCACCCCTGCATCGTGAACCCCCGATTGTTTCTGGAGTGTTTCTCATCTGCACAATGTTTCCAGCCAATTGGAACAAAACCACGCAGGGCGCTTATTGTCAAATCCGTTGGAACGGCCTTGGAGCCTGCCTGCGCGGGGTGGGGGAACAGATCCACGGTTTCACGGGCACCTGCGTTCTGTTTCAAGATCGCCCCCCTCGGCAACCAGACCCCAAGAAACTGACAGGGGCTGCCGGGGCTACCCCAGCACACCGCGAGCCGCAATGCTCGGACAGCCCCATACAAAGGCGAGAGCGTTGTGGTTGCCACTTGGCGAAACCAAACATTGCAGCATCCATCCCTCTTGCGCGTCCTTGCGAACTCCCGGCTCCCCAGAGGCAGAGGCGAAGGCATCCAGACTCATGTACGCGCCGTGCCAAGTTGCAAATGCCGTCTCAGGGTCCTATTGTGTCTGACCTGTGTGACCGTCCGATACTAGTTCTGTCTGATGTAGAAATTTCCACTGGTGGATATGGAGCTGGTCTGATATGCGTGATTTAGGTTGGAGACTTCATAAGATGGCAGGAGAGCCGAACTTGTGGTTCAGCTGTGTTCATCCAACTCAGGTTCAACCTTTACTTTGAGGCCAGGAGCCATTCTTTCTCTTCTCTGTTGGTCTTTTGACGACCTTTTTATTCGCCAGATTTTATTATACACCGCAGCTGGACTGTACTACGTTTCTCTTGAACTTTCTCTGCCACGTGGTTGTATCGATAATCCGCGACTCTTAGGCTATCAAAATGAAGTTCCTCACCTCTATCCTGCTTCTCATTTCATCCTCCTCGGTCCTGGCAATTCCCACAGGGATGCCACTAATCAGGACCAACGGGAACACATCACCATCTACCTGCACAGGAGGAGGCGGTGGTATAACAAACAACGCCGGCCAAGGCTCGTCAAACTCCACAACAGGTGGCGGCAATGGTGGAGGAGCCTCAGGGAACATCAACCCAAGCCTGGTCCCAGACTTTGGCGTGGCTCAGAATGCCAATGCCAACGCGAGGCAGCAAGGGTCGTGCGACGGCTTCAATGCGGCCAGTCAGTCGGTCGTCAACATCCCGTGCTCATGCCCGCCATCCCGGGCGGCGTTTCTCGCCGCGCTGGATAAGAACGTTGCCGCAGGCAGCGTGCAGGGCGACAAGGTCGAGTTCAACAACGACGCCAGCGACCAGAGCGCCGCGACCAACAAGCAGCGGGCGACAGCTATGCTGGTCACACTGCAGAACCTGAATGGTGCTGGTGTCGGCTGCCCTGCCGCGAGTGCGCCTAACTTTGCGGTCATGCAGAAGACCGGGGTGCTCGCGTCGAAGGCATTTGTGCAGTAGACTACATTCATTGCTGAGGAGTTCAAATCTCATCAAATTGGAGACGAGATTATGAAGGGTTTCTTTGGAGTCTGGGGCTGTGGATTAGAAAATCTGAGACCTCGGGAGTTCAGATGTCGGGCGTCTGTGTATGGCTTGGGCACCAAGATCTTTTTCAACTGTTTATATATACCAAGGTCAATTAAATAAGACCGTCTATGAGAACAAACATTTGGTCTTGTTGCATTCATCTGCAGGTAGGTAGATGGTCATAGGGGTCCTCATGTCTTCCCAAGGGTTGCCCATTTTTCGCTGTACAGGTGTGTGGGCCGCGCCACTCTAAGGCCCTTATTTTTACCCCCCCCCACCTTCCCCCCCCAAAAAGACTCTTTCCGGCAGTCCAGGTTTTCAAGGCCTCGGAATGGGCCAGGCACTTGGTCGTTGATATGATCTTGACGCGCTCTTTCCTTAAGAGTTAAGGCTAACCCGGTGTTGACATGACGCTCGAGACCAGCGAGCCTCGCTCCTCCCCAGAGTCAAGCAAGAGGCCCGCTATCTTGGTTCAAATTCAGTAAGCCCCATGCTTCCCTACGGCACCTACCTACCTAGCTACCTAGGTACCTACCTAGGTACTTAGGTAGGTTCATACGTAGGTAGGTAGGTTCATACGTAGGTAGGTGGGTGATTTTCAGAAGTCCCTTTAATCTTTTCATCCAGACCAACAACTTTCATCATTGTTCTCCGCATCGTTGCAGTAAAGATACATCCCACAGAACACATCAATTGGAATTCTGACGCATAATATTTTCGGCACTTCGAAGCTATCAACACTACCGACATCATGGATTCAAGTTCTGGGACTTTCACGTGCATTTGTGGACGGTCCTTCGCGGCTCACACCTCGCTTCGTCAACATTGTCAAGATAAAAAGACCGCGCCGGACCACAAGGCGGTCCTTGATATCCAGCGGGTCCCATGTAAAGTGTCCAGTGTCAGATCCCCAATACTGAGTTTCAGTCCCGTCTTCTTGCTCCCAGACTGTGAATTGACGGCTTTCGTTTCACCTACATGGTATTGACCACGTCAAAAAAGCAGGACCTTCTACAAATCCTCCACGCCAAAGACAAATGGATGGCTGATGGTACTGGAGATTTTATCAACATCGTCGATACGAGGAGCGCATCGCTCAGGCTATCGGGTTCAGATCAATTCATCTCGTTCGTCAATGGATGTGACCTGATATGCAGCTACAACTGGTTGACGAAGGAGTCAAGAATCCTTGCTCCAGGTTTAGATCCCCAATCTAGCAAGCAATTGACTAATCGAGACTGATGAGGGTACATAGGTGAACCGCCTGCCCTCAAAGGTACTTCAGGTACTGAGCCGCCTTTCCTGCAACTTACGAATCCGGAATTTCCTGCGACGCTCAAGGAAGACCGAGGTTTTTATATCGTTGATTAGAACGCGGCCAAAAATCCCGGTCACTCTTTCGAAGCTGTATTTGAAGCTGCAGATCGTATGCAACAGACGTTGGCAGTCCCTTTCCATGGGACTCAAGTAGACGTCCTTGTTGACGGAAAGAGCTTGTCCTGTTTATATCAGTTCTGCACTGGATGCCCCAGCAGCACGTTCCGTCTCGATTTGCATCTCGTCGAAAACACCTTGATCATCGAGAATTCGTTGAAGTCGCCTTCCGTGTTTCGGGGTGCCGGCCGTGCGACCTCAAACTGGACCAAGAGTTTCCAAAAAGCCGTGGCAGAGATGCCTCAGGCTTATCAGCACACCTCGTGTCATCACCGTGTCATCCAGTACGGCTTTTGGGGACTGAAACTGGTCGTCCGTCATGAAGTCGAAGGCGCTCTAGTTGACCCGACATCCAGCGGTGCGGGGACGAGACGTAAAAGTGTTGTAAAGTTTCGGATCGGCTCGCCCGATTTGGGGATACTAAGACTGGGTCAGTACTACGACATGTGGTTTGCGCGGACACGATACATAGTCGTGGCCCAACATGAGCAGGGGACTTTCGACCGACCTCGTGTCCTGGATATGCAAGATGAGATCCTCGAGTGGGAGAACAACTACAAAAACATGCTGCTTCGAACAGCCGTGCTGCTTCGACAGCTTCGGGACATCGTGCGCGGGACAACAAACAAGGCCTGTGTGGTGATCTGTCTGAGACCTGGCTACCGCGCCAAATTGCTGATTCACGAGGCTACCTCTGGGAGCCAGCCACTACCGGACACCATGGTTAAGAAGTTTTGGCACAAACAAAAAAGTTGAAGCTGTCTCTGTATTGTTACACGTCTTATAGGATAAGTCCGTGGGAAGATAGGACACAGCGACGGGTGCGTGTTTGTCCACCACTGGCGGAAAAGCTTGGCAAGTTGGAACAGGACGGTGCGCCGCCATGTCATAGTTCTGTTTTGACTGAAAGACATGTCACAAGCGACAGAGATTGATGTAGCGATTCAGAAGAAGGCTCTTGTCACATCGGTTAAGCCACTATGTGAGATGTTTCAGCTCATCCTATCCGTGCCTTTGTTTCTACTGAGTGCCGATGTTGGCTTGTAGGGAGCATCTCAACTGGGATGGCTCTCCTTTGGCAATCGAAAGCTGCCACATTTCAAACGTTCATAATCTATACAAGATTAGGGGGACGAGTTACATACAAAGTCCCAACCTCTAGATCGTACTTGCGACGTTTCATGGTCCAACAGCAAGGCGTCCTTCTGCATCAAACCTTGCACTTTCATTCACTACAGCAGCAGTTCTGCGTTCTTCGGTATATACTATCAACCGCAGCCCGGAACCGAGATTGCATTCATTCCAATTGTACCAAATGTGGGAGTAATTTAAGAACGGTGAAAGGAACGAGACGAGTCGCAGCAATGGAGAGTAGATAACATCCTGTACACATCTGAGGTAATCAATCAAAATCCTTGTGAGGTTATCGCGGCTAGTACCGGGTCAACCCCAACGAACCAGGCGCGCCTAAGAGTTCACAGGGAGATTTTTGTCCCACCCTGGTCCCTGTAAAAGCTGCCCATCAAAGGCGTTGACGACCTGCGGGTAGGGATGTGCCTTACTACTGGATTGAGGTGGGATGATTTCAGTGCGGAGAAAGATGGCGAGAGGAGTGCAGAGCGGCAGTCTGGCTGTCTGGATCGTCATCCACGGCTTGGATGGTGAGACCAAGAAGATGTGGGGTGACGTGTGTTGGGCTTCCCCATAGACAAGCAACCGCCAAGGCGTCCCCATGAAATAGGCCACCGTCTTTCTCCGCAGGGCGCCGCAGCGTTAATAATTAGGGCGCGATCAAGTGCAAGATAGCGGCCGGATATGCTTGGCTGGATTCGGCTAGAATGGACCCTTGCTACCTACGGAGTAAATATTTTTGAGTCAGATTTTGACCCGGGTCGGCCGGCCTTGTTATCAGTTCCGAGTCGCAACTTTCTCTACCTATTACTAAGGTACTCACTCACTCAGTGTACCAGGAACTGCACTGGAGGCGCACCTTGAATTTTCTTCTTATAACATATCTGCTCACCGCTACTACCTCAAGTGCTCGAACAAGTGCTCAAGACGACGCTGCTGCAGGAGCCTGCCACGATGGACGAGACCACTCCGTTGCTGCCAGACGCAGCGACTGCCCCCATTCCCAGAGACGACCAATTACACAGAGTGCCGAGCAAGCACGACTTTGTCGATTTTGATCCGAATGGCGACGATGAAAATCCGCTGGACTGGCCTCAGAGTTACAAATGGATGATTGTGACATTACTGGCATTAATGGCCTTCACAGTGTAAGGAAGAAGAAATTTCATCCACCGAAATTTGCCACATTCCGGCACGTGCTGATACACCAAAACAGAACCTTCACGTGTATCGGCGTGGTGCCAATAGCGCAAACCATCGTGGACGATCTCGAACACGGACACGCCTCCAGTTCTGCGAGCGTGCTGCTCGTGACGATCTGGGAACTTGGTGAGGCCGCCGGCCCCTTATTCATCGCTCCACTCTCTGAGCTTTATGGGCGTTACCCGGTCATCAACATCGCCAACACGCTCTTCACGGCATTCACGGTGCTCGCTGCGCTCAGCCCGACCACAGGCATCTTGATCTTCGCACGAGCTCTCACTGGCGTCGCAGTCGCCACCAACGTCCTCAGCCCGGCTATTGTCGGCGATATCTTCGTCTCCGAAAAGCGTGGCGGAGCCATGAGCCTGATCCAGCTCGCGCCGCTTATAGGGGGAGCCGCTGGGCCAGCCATCGCCGGTGCTGTGGCTCAGACACTGGGCTGGAGGAAGACGCTCTGGATGAGCGCTGTCCTTGCGGGCGCCTGCGAGGTGGCCTTTCTGATTTGTTTCCGCGAAACGTACAGGGTGGAGATCCTGAAGCGGAAGGCTGCCCGGCTCAGGAGAGAGACCGGCAACTCTGCGCTCAGGTCTGAGTTCGATGCTGAGGAGGGCGGGCACAGCTGGAAGCTCATCGGGGAATCTGTATTGCGCCCTTTCGTTGTGCTCAAGAGCAGCTTTGCCCTGCAAATTCTGGCACTATTCGGCTCGTTCACTTTCACCTACTTCTACATCATGTCGACAAGTCTGCCGCCAATTTTGCAGCAGTATTACGACTTCACACCAGCAGCCACAGGCTCTGCTTTTCTCGCATTTTCGATTGGATCCACCGCATCTGTTCTGATGTGCAATGTGTATCTTGACAAGGTCTACATCAAATTGCGCAACATGCATCAAGGAGTTGGACAGCCAGAATATCGCTTGCCATTCATTATCCTGGGTAGCATTCTCTTCCCCATTCCTGTTCTCATGTATGGCTGGGCGACTCAATTGCATTTGCACGTTTCGGTCCTGCTCGGCGCCGTGGTGCTGCTGGGAAGCTTCCTGATGCTTTCATTCCTGCCACTGATGGCATACGTCGTTGATGCGTTTGGAGTCTACTCAGCCTCTGCAGTATCTGCTGTCATTGTCACGAGATGTCTCATGGGGACTTTCGTGCCGCTGGCTACCGAGCCTCTCGTGTCGAAGTTTGGGTACGGCTGGGGCTTCACTATCTTCGCAGCGATAAGTGCTGCTACGATTCCGATTCCTTTGGCGATGTTCAGATATGGATACAAGTGGCGTCAACAATCCAAGTACACGAGAGATTGAACCCAAGATGATAATGGCTGTCACAGACAACAGAATGTCATGCCATTCAGGGCATGCAAGATGGGATTCGAAGTGCGGAGACTATGATGATGAGGCCTCAAAAGCCATTTGCTTTTTTGTGGGTGCATAGCCAGCCCTTTGGGTTTCAAAAGTGTTTATAGTTTTTAGCATATATAATTAGAGCGTGCTTTTCTGAAGTATTATAATGGCTTCAACAAGATGAGTTCTTCAACCAGCAGTCCTTGGGTTTGACTCAGCTCACACGGTAGAGTCCTGATACTCGATACACCTCACGCACCAGGCCGTTCGGCAGTATCATCCACATGCTTGCCACAGTTCATCGAATATTTTTGCAACGATGACCAGTTCGAGCCTTTACCATGCCACGAACTGAAATCCACACAGGCGGGCTACTCCGAAATTCTGGCAAGAGTCAATCAGAGTGATGCAGGTCAAATGCCGAGACACCTTTGCAGTAGCTGCCCAAGTGGTTTCGTCTAGCTGATTTCGCTCTTAACTATTTTGTATGTGACTGAAGTTGTGTGCGGCGCCTTCATAGGAACATACAATTTAGATGCTGATAGGGCTGTAAAAGAATGTGATCGCCGTTGCAATAGACTTTGGAGAAAAGAAAAAAAAGGCACACACCAGAAGAGAAGAAGGTTTTGATAATATTCTGGTTTCGTTACTATTCCATACACATCGGAAGCCATACACGGTGCCTCCATACAGTGGTAAACGCTCAAAGTTCCAGTTTGAAAGTTATGCCTTCAAGGTCTCATTCCTTTCCAAAATCTCGACAAACAATTGTATCTTCTTAGTCTTCGTCGCCGGCCCCTTGATGTTCATTAGCCTGAACAAAAAAGGAAACCGCTTCGTGCGCCCAAGGGTTTCCCAAAAAGCTTTTGCCCGGACATTCGCATCGAGTGCCGCCTGGAACTCCTCGTCAGGCTCCGCGGTCTTCATTCGATACGCAGCATCCCACCTCCCATCTGCTTTCGCCCGGTTGACCTCGGCCAGCCCACCCTCACGCATCCGGCCCTCGCCCATCAACCTCTCTACAACCTCCCGATTCACCTGCGACCAGCGGCTACGTGCCCGTCGCGGCGTGAAGCATCTCTCCTGGTAGTCGTCGTCGTGGCCCCGTGCAGTGCTGTCCACCCAGCCGAAGCAGAGGGCTGCGTCTCTTGCGGCGGTGTATTCGATTCCCGGAGCGGAGGACTTGGACTTGCGGAGGAGGAGGCGGACGCCATCATCGGGCGGGTCGTTGGCGAGGAAGTCTTCCCATTCCTTGAGTGTAAATGGCCCGACCAGGACCTTGTCCGCAAGGGCTACCATGCCGCGAGTTTGGAAAGGGCTGAGAGCACGAAGCCGTTCCCCCCTTGGCCACGCGGGGCAGCGCGGCACGCCGTAGCTAGGGTTGCTGTGTTTGCGAGTAGGTTTTAAAAGAGCCCTTGACAGCCAGATAAACATTTGAGTCAGCTCAGACCAAGCTGACGGGATCGATCTTGTGCAGGAGTGACTTGTAAGTGGGTGCAGATGCCTGAAGGGTACCGCAGTCTGCCCTTGTCTTGGATTGACGTCGGGACCGTACTACTGCTAGTAGCACTTAGAAGTAGCACCGGTCCGTTCAATGCTTGCAGCGGGGTTTCAACCCTCGAGGATCAGCTCGACGTTGAAGAAGAAAAAGTAGCCTCAACGTGTGTATACCCAGCTTTTTATTACGGAGACATTCTTCCACGATGTTATCACATAATACAAATAGTTCATTAAAATATCGTGCTGTGGTCATGGACGGGTCGGGGATTGCATTGCTTTAGCTAGGTAGATGCCACCAGTTCGGTGTCGAAACTAGCACTGACGTGCCAAGAAGACAGAATCACACGAGCGTTAATTACCAAAGCTTTTGAAGTTTGATATCATTCCTCCTACATGGTTGAACCAAGCATGAATAACAAGCCAAGGCACTAAGAGGCCAAGCACTTGCTTTACGGCCTCCATCGGAAGCCGGGATGCTTCCAGTCCAGATCCGACGTCTCTTCCGGAGAGTAGCCCGCCAGCTCTTCCTCAATGCTCCGGCTCTCCCGCTTCTTGTTGTCACGCTTCATCCAGAATAGGGTCAAGGTTGCGGTGATCAGGATGGTGCTTCCAGTAGCGAGGTTGAGCCCGTTTCCAATGTGGTAGTTGGGTGCATCCCAGCTCAGGAAGGACCAGGTGGCGACGAGTCCGCCGATATTGCCAAACATGACTGTTGTGAGGAAACATCAGTGGGTTGCTCAAACAGGGCGAATGTGCTTAAACGAGCCAGAGCGGCCGACGAATGGGAGACTTACCATTTGTTCCAATGGCCGCGCTTCGTGCCGTGTCACTCACGACGTTGGCGCTGACTTGCGCATTGGTGAGGGAACCGAGCATGAAGGCGGATGCAGTGATGATGAAAGTGGCGCCGTAGCGGACCTGGGGGTTTTCACTGGCAAGGAACATGATGTAGCCGACCATGATGAAGGGAGCCGCGCCCATGATGAAGACTTGGCGCCTGTCAATCTTGGAGCTGATGAGCGGCAGAAGCAGCGTGAAGAAGGCGCCCACGATATAAGGGGGCACAGTGTAAAGCTGCTGTTTGATGACGGTCTCCTTGGGGTAAATGGTCCTGACGATTGTTGGGAGGAAGAAAGCCAGGCCTTGGACAGTGACGTTGTTGAGCAAGAAGATAAAGGAAGTCGAAAGAGTAATTGGATTGAAGATTCCACGGAAGATCTTCGTTTTGTCGATCTTGTCAAGGACTTGTGTTTGCCCAACACGCTCAGACTTGACGCGGGCGATAGCTAATTCCTTCTCCTCTTGGCTGAGCCAGCGAGCGGTCTCAGGCCTATCGGTGAGAGTAAAGAAGGAGATGAGCGCGAGGCCGACTGTAATGATACCCTCGATTCCGAAAATCATTCGCCATGTGTGAAGACTGCCAAAGCCTGGCAGCTTCAGGATCGCCGACGCGAGGAGGCCACCAAATGCACCTGCTAGAGGTGCCATAACAATGTCTGGGTAGTTCACAAGTCAGTAAGAAGTCCCCTTCGGTGATCCCTAGGAGTGTCTGGGTTCGTACACATTGCCAGGCGGAAAGCAAGCTCGCTCCGTCGGTACCATCGAGACATATAATAGGCAATGCCGGGTAGCATTCCAGCCTCAAAAACCCCAAGGACGAAACGCACGCCAGAGGCCTGTGCCTCGGTGTGGACGAATGCAGTGCCGATTGATGATATGCCGAAGCCCAGGGAGGTCAGGGGAATGAACCAGCCGGGACCCATCCATTTGCAAAGGATGTTTGCTGGGATCTCAAAGATAATGTAGCTGATGTAGAAGATGGAGAGAAGTGCGTTATAACCGTTGCCCACAAGTTTCAAGTCCTTTTCGAGTCCTGCAAGACGGGCGTTTCCTAATCTCATATTAGTGCTTCCACCACATATATGAAGCTTCTTCAGATGGTACAACGACGACATACCGATGTTGGCACGATCGATGAAGCAGAAAAGATACAACAAAGCCACAGTCGGGACGATCATCAGGTCAATCTTGCGGCGAAGCTTGGTCTCAGCCGCTGGGTCCAACTGGACTAGGGATTGGCCATATCTGCGGAACAGGAAATCAGTAAATGACGCGTGGTGAATAGAGACAGCCAGCGTACTTGTCTGTAGCATATTGACCCTGCCCAGCAGCAGTCCCAACCCCCGTCCCCGTGTCCTGATGAACATAGGACACACCTTCGTCCTTGTCAGAGCTCACCATGGCGTTGTTGTCGGAAGTGCTACCGGTGCTTTGAGATGCACGTGTGGCGGTAAGAGGATGCTCGGAAACAAGGAGCCACCAGCAAGATTAAGAGGACAGACAACGTTTTAAGGGTACCGTCCTCGAACGAAGAAACTCTCGAAGGGATGGAGGAGCAGTGCAAGAGCCGGAAACCTAAATAGGTGGAGAGGCGTGGGGCAAACGGCCCTTTTCTGCATCACAGGGCAAAGCTGGGAGTCAACCTCTGTGCATGGATGTTGACGGGGGCCTCGTCGGATGTCGCACCACTGCGACCCATCTGTCTATCTCAGGGTGCAGGGCAATCCAACAGCAAGGGCAGCTGGGTTTCTGCCACGCGTTGTCTAGCCCCTTTTACGGCGGTTGTGGCCTATCAGTTGCATCCTTGGCATCGCCGTCCATGACGGTGTGGGAAGGCCTGGAAGGCAGACCGTGGCAGCTACGTGGGCCCTTTTCCGTACAGGCGGTAGTCTAGTTCCCACCAGGTGACAGCTTTGGGATGGTCCCCGGTCCCACTGGGCGTCCTATGCCTATTGTGTTGACGGCATTTGATTGCGGTTATCCACCGTGGACGCCATAGTGCCTTGCTCTCCAGGCTTCCCCGCATTCCTCCCCGGATTTCCCGCCCCAGAATTTTGGAGACTTTTCGGACAAGCCAAGATCTCTAGTGCCCATCTCTGTCTCCGGTTCACGATAGGATCCACGCAAAGATGATGTTGGCATGTTGGCATGTTGGCATGTCTCTCTAGGAAGGTGAGTGTTGCCCGCATATCATCGACTATACTTAAACACCTGGGCACGCCCGCATCATGCAAGATAGCGAACGGCCACCAAAAAAGATCATCTGCGGGTTGCAACGCCATGACTTGGCCTGGCACTTTTTAAAACCCACTCTGCATGTACCCAAGTACAGGGGTGACAGATCATAATGAGGAAGTTTCCTTACCCACCCGCCATAACACTTGCAAATAATTTGCCTTATTTGGCCCCTCCTCTGCAGTGCATGTGCAGGCTGCCAGGCTGGAGTGTGACTCTCAAGAGACGCCAGTTTTGTGGATAATTGCTTAGCACAAGCTTGCGTCTACGGGAGCCGAGACCACTCCCGAAACTCAGCTCCCAAGCAACAAGACCTGTGCCACAGCTGGTCGTCTATCTTGGCATGCAACCATCAAAGCCAGTAGTGCCTGCTCAGAGGCTGGCCCTGGCGCACCCCGGCAAACCCGAGGCTTTACCAATCCATGGGTGACCTTTCCCTCGGTCCAGTGTTCTATTTGACTTCATGCCATCATGACAGGGCTGAAATTAGCCGCCGTGTCGTTCAAATCACAAAACTTCAGCTGCATTCACATAGTAGTAGTCTGAATCTGTTCGTATTCCTGGCGCGTCACCCTCAAACAGGTAGCTACTGATCAACTATTGTGTTGTTTTAGTACGATGGAATGTGGTGCATTTAGATGGGGAAGACATGCGGCAAAGACCTACTCAAGTGCTGCATGTGTATGGAGCGCGTTCAACATTGTTGAGAACATAAGGCGAGCCGATTTTAATTAAAAACAGCTACCTGAAAACTTACGAAACCAGTGAAATGCTTCGCGAGGAACATACATTTGATCACGTCTTTTGAGATATGGGTTGCCATAAGCGATGATTGCTAGCTAGTGTTGGTGCACTGGTCCTCCAATGCTACGCAAACCAACTGCGTGTTGTATGCCCGGTCTCATCCAACCGATGACCCGGCCGAGGCCGGGCCCGAGGCTATTCGGCACGTCGGCTTATTTCTTAGGTATTACATGTAGAGACCACGACTTACCCGCAACATCGCTGCCTCCCTGCGTGCACCTCCCTGCGTGCAGTATGCAGACGGATCAGGAATGTGCTTTTGACATGATCGACAGGAGCTTCAGGATGGCACCACATTTAGCAAATGCAGTCTTTTTGGCCGACCAACTCGCCACCTTAATGGCTGTTGATAACAAGGAGACCATGAACTGCCAGTTGACGTGTAAAGTTTCGTGCAGTCTGAAGGCAATCTTGAACATGAGAATTAGACTCTAATTATGAGTACCCTGCATTGATGGACAGGAGCTAGCATCCTTGTTGAGGCGGGGCCGAATCACCTTCAAATATCACCATTACACTGCACTAATGGATTCCATTCTCCTGATACGCGTATGCCACATCTTGGTGGTATGGGGACACGACGGCCCTGTGGCTTGCAGATGCTCATGTCACATGCTCGGGGGTCAATTGTCACCTTCTGGTTGTGGTTGAAATCGAACATCATGATCGGTAGAGGTATGCAGGAATGCCTAAATACTTAGCCCTGGCTCAACGTTCAACCTGAACTTGACGGCCGGTTGTCCTTCTCACAGTTGTATTCGTAACATCGTTGCACCAATGCCGCGTCATCATCCGAATCCCTTCCGCGCTCACCACCTGAGCACGGCCTCCGAGTCAGTCGTACATGTATTCAGATGTCAAGAAATCAGATGACGGGAGAGGCAGGCTCATAGATATAGCACACAACCTTTCCGCGAAGGTCAGCCATAGATATAGGGCAGTACAACTCAGATTATCTACATTGGTCTCTGCGAAAATGGGGTTTGAAGTATGTTCTAATCGCAGCCGACTGGCCACTCTCACGCCAGCCCAAACAGTGGCACCTGGTACCTGCTTGAATCGGTCAAAGCACACATTACAGCTTTGACCTATCTGCCGAGTAATCACTGACTCAGATCAAGTGGAGTATCCCACAGACGTAGAAGATCTCTTCCAGCTGGCGATACGGATGGCCTTTAGCTGGTCCAGAGAAATAGCCACGATTCTGTAATTTTCAAATAACCTAGTAGTCATTACCCCTGATAGTTACGTGCCCAGAGACATTTTTACTATAATTTTGTGGATCGAAATACCACAAATTGCCCCGGGTGTGCAAAGAGCTTGACTGCATTCCTGTTTCACATGTCCTCTCGAATGCATTCATTTTGCGGCTGTCAGGCAAAATGCTTCCTTAATTGACTCAGAAGGGAATGGATCTATTGAAGGGAGGAGGAGGAAGAGAATCAAGTGGAGATTCTCGATTCAATGAGATAAGTGACATCGAAGCAAATTTGAGTTGTGACATGTTCATTGTTCCGGCGCCAGTCAGTCGGTAGGAAGTACCTACTTTCGTATTTATGTACATATAGTTTTGACCCTCGCAAGAAAAAAGATGAAACAAGAATAACACAGGAACGGAAAGCGTATCAGAGAGAATATCAGCCAGCATAAATATTTTATTTTGAAGATTAAAGTACACCATTGCGAATAATGACAGCCGAGACAAAGTAGGTACCTAGGTCAGCAGTCTTACATGTACAAGGGCTGCTGCCTGCCGCGGAAAACCAACACACCTGGGCAGAGTACAATTTCGACGACCTGTAAACGCTGCATCATGATCTGGGCCATCTCTCGACCTCCGGGAGCCTACATCGCTTCACGAGAAATCGGGAACAGCCACATGCCATGGTCTTGGAGTTGGATGGGGTAGACCACCTGCGCCGGGGCCCAATGTCACCATCCCGTCGGACCCGAAGCCCGTTGCTACGCTCGCTGCTATGCAGCACCCTGCTCTTCAGCGCCCAACCGTCGATGTGCGATTCCATTGATCGGGAGAGGGAAGCTGCTGCAACACCGACGACGGTCCCGGACTTTGTTACCCGTTATGGTAAGTTTATGTCTACGTCCATGCCATCCGGTGCCCAACAGCATGACTCGAGCCAGCCTCAAAGCCCATGCTGACCATTTTGATAGCACCACTCGTCTGGCTGCACTCAGACGACCCATTCAGGCCGTCAGACCTGCTCCAACATGTGCGCCACACTTCGCCCATGGTCAATGGCACGCCCGTGGATGGGCTGCCTGAGATGGACCTGGACAACTTGGCCCTGCTCAATGATAGGGGGCTCGACGGATTCCCGGTCGCGCTGACGGCTGATCCCGAAGATGTCACGGAGTTGCCGCCATGGATTCAAGGGGAAGCGCCTGACGAGTCGGGCACGCTTCGAAACGCGACTGCCTGTGTTGTGGTCGTCGTGGAGTCTGAAGGAGACCCAAACGACGTGGCCGCGTTCTACTTCTACTTCTACTCCTATAACCGCGGCGCCAATATTACTCGGGTGCTGGAACCAATAAGAGGCATGATAGAGAAAGAAACCGAATCCGGCACCTACTTTGGTGACCACGTTGGAGACTGGTAATCGCTGTTTTTCTTTCCATTCTGACTCGGTACCGGAAACCGTTGACTTGCTGATAGTCTACATCAAGGGAGCATAACATGATTCGGTTTCGGGATGGGAAACCCACTGGCATCTACTTCAGCCAGCACTCTGATGGGGCTGCATATCAATGGGACGATGTTGCTCTGTCAAAAGAAGACGACCGGGTGAGTTCGACGGGGACGTATTCAGTGGAGACCAGGACAATGACTCTGACATCACGGTCTAGCCACTTGTCTACAGTGCATGGGGCTCCCATGCGAACTATATTTCAGAAGGGTAGGTGACAATCCATTGTTACTGACCTGAATGATTCGGGCTGACCCCTCCTATTCCAGAACTCATGTCCACGATGCGGTGATACAGGACTATTGTGATGCAGGCCAGCGATGGGACCCCGTCTCCTCGGCATACTTCTATCGCTTTGATGCCGTCACTTCCGAGCTGGCCCAGGTCTTCCCACCTGGAGCACCACAAGGATCGAACTTCACGTCAGCAATCTACTTCTCCGGGCTCTGGGGCGACACCATGTACCCGGACAGCGACCCTCGCCAAAAGATCATCCGCCGCTTCGGCCTGAGACGCTACGTCTCCGGCCCGACTGGCCCGATGTCGAAGCAGCTCGTGAGAAAGGCCCTGTTTCCCGATCACCGGGAGCCGAAGTCCTGGCTGCAGTGGGGCGTCGGCCTCGTCATGGCTCTCTATCCATGCTGTCTGCGTGGTTGGAGAATTTGGGTATCAGGCGCAATGCTTATTGCTGTCTTGGTCTCGATCGTGGTCGGCATCATAGTCGCTGTAAGGCGGTACAGGTCAAGGAAGAAGGGCTACGAAAAGGTCAATACTGGCGCAGATGTACCGCTGAATGACCTGCGCTATCGAGACGAAGCCACCGTGCATGGTCGAACTTCTCAGGAGGACCACGATAAGCTGTCATAGGGCGTAAACCTCGTGCTTGGTAGATTCAAGATGGCTTTTGATGATTGAAGGCATGATGCTAGATTGCTTGATTTTCCGGGAGTAAGGAGCTTGGGAGAAATGTGAGTCTGGCCCGGGTTATATAGTTATAGAGTACTACTGAGGTGATAGAAGGCGATGCTGTCTAAGATAGATACGCGCATCATGGTTAGTCAAGCTGAGCCACTGATGGCAGGATGGGCACCGTGGTGTGGTCCTTCGTGGAGTCGATTTGAGGGACATATATCGAGTCCCATCAAGTCCATTTCGAGCCCATACAAGGACTACCTGCTGAATATGAGAAGCGTAGTCCTGGAGTAAGCGGACTCGAACATTATACGACTGCTTCTAGGTAATCAAAACCTTGTGCGTCTCTCAGAATTTAGTGGCAACCTTGGAAGCCCTTGTGAGTGTGTGAAAAGCCCCCGCCCGGAGCCGGGGAACTAGGGACTGGTAATACAGCTTGTCGCCAGTCCTTTCGTCCTCTTCTAGCGTACGTGAAACAATTCAAGTTGGCCTATGTGGGTTTTGGTACGCCTCTAGCTCTTGGCTTACAATACGAGGCTCGTACCATTTCAAATCAGCTTGAGGCTAATGTGACCATGCCAGCTTGATCCAGGTTGTCCAAATGCGATTATAGAGATTGAAGACACCACTGATATTATGAATTCGAGTTGAAAGCAGGCCGCTGAGTGTTCATCGTGGATCGCAGGTGACTTATGAAATTATGGACGACCCTAGTGCCCAACGCAATCGTCATTGTAGAGACTCTGCTTGGTACCTAGGTAGCCTCAGTACTGCCTTCCACAGTACGCAGTTATGAAGACGTCAACATTACAGTACCTAGGCACTCTTATCGGCACCTTGACCTCCAGGACAGAAGGCAACCCTTGGTAAGTCGTGGATCGGGTGTATTACTTAATAAGTAGCCTGTGGATGAGCCCCTGGGAGGATACCCAGGCGCATGGTACCCTTCGTTGCACATCAGGATCGAGGGGCTGCCATTCTGGGAGACACGCGATCTCCGTCCTACAGCTTAAATATCTTCTGCAGCTCAAATAAAGCCTCCCTTGCCCAAAAGCTCCAACTGAGACGTGGTGTGCAATTTGAAGAGTTAAGCGAAAAACCATTTCGCCGTGCTTAGAGATTGCATTTGACGCTTTTGATGAGAAAGAAGCCAGCAAATTGATAATTTCCGTTCTGGTCGTGTGGAGACAGCTCAAGTGCTTCAAATTTGCGTAAAGCTGAGGTTCGGAATGACGAGGTGATTCATGGAGGCTGGGGACCTACCTGCCCGTTGAGGTTAGAGAATGCCTGAGGGCGAGGATCTTCGGCAAATGGCACGCCTTAATCACACCGGCACCGATGTCGTGCTTATCAAACGGCCCACAGCTCCGGTGTCCAAGCTCTACCACGTCAACTCTATTTCCATCCCCCTCCCTAACAACCATCTGCAGACTGCAGGTCAGTGAAAAAGCCCGAGGTATCGGGCATCGGTTGTGAGCCTGGAACATTCAATCCACGGAAGGAAACATGGATGCGGAAAAGAACGGGTTGCCGCCGTACAGCGCTGTCGCTGGTTCGCCGGAGCAGCCATGGCTCCAGCAGGGCCGACGGCATGTGCGACGCTCGCGTGCAGTGCGGCTGATGGCGCTGTCATTCCTGGCCTTCATCGTGTACGCCCAGTGGAGGCAGATTCCGGCTTCTCCAAACGGCGACAGCCAGGGCGTGTCGCTCAATGGCCTGTCCATATCGAAGCTTCAGGCCGACCTTGCTGTCTGCTCGAAGCTGCGCACGAAACCCAGCGACCCAATCGGCCTGGGCCGTGAGCGTAACGCCAGATATATTGATGGCCACAAGCCCACGCTCATACGCAACGCCAAAGTCTGGGTTGGTGAACCAGTCGAGGGCACGTCTCCCGAGGCCGCACGGGCTGGACAAGGCTGGGAGTGGATCGATGCCGACGTCTTCTTGGAACATGGCCTCATCAAGGAGGTCGGAAAGGATATTGCTCTTGCAAACCTGCCCAAGGATACCATCACCTGGGATGCAAAGGGACGACAGCTCACTGCCGGTGTTATCGATATGCACAGCCATTCTGGAGTCGACTCCCTACCAGAACTGAGAGGAAACAGCGATGTCAATGAGATGTCTTCGGATATTACGCCCTACGTCCGCTCAATCGATGGGATTCAGCCTACGGACCACCAAATCCAAGTCATCAAGTCCGGCGGCGTGACAACTAGCCTGGTCCTCCCTGGATCCGGAAATAACATCGGCGGCGAGGCATATGTGATCAAGCATGCAGTAGGCAAGCCCGACGGCCGCGAGGAGATCAGCGCCGAGGACATGCTCGCAGACCCAGACAGGAATTGGAGATACATGAAGATGGCCTGCGGCGAGAATGCCAAGCGCGTCTATGGAAAGGTTGGGGAAAGGGGTCCGGTCAGCAGGCTGGGTGAGTCCTGGGAGTTCCGACACGCCTTCGAGCAGGCGGCGAAGGTCAACCGTGAGCAGGACGACTGGTGCAACGCTGCGGATGCCCTGGGCGTGGAGAACATGCACTCCTACCTCCCACAGGATCTGAAGTGGGAATCCCTGGCGGCTGCGTTGAGGGGACAGGTGCACATCAACACCCACTGCTACACCATTCCAGACCTGGAGGCAATGGTGGATCACACAAATGAGTTTCAGTTCCCCGTGCGAGCTTTCCATCACGCGCATCAGACGTTCCTCGTGCCCGAGGTGAGATTTCCCTAGCTGGTAAATTGCTACTATTTGAGCACTTGGAGCTGACGCCAGAGCAGATTCTCAAACGCACGTGGGGAGGCCGACCTCCTGCGTCAGCCATCTTCGCCACCAATATGTACTACAAGGCGGAGGCTTACATCGGATCCGAGTACGCTGGGAAAGTTCTGTACGAGGAAGGTCTCACGCCGGTCTATGTCAGCGACAACCCGGTCTTGAATGCCCAGCACGTCATCTTCGAGGCGGCCAAAGGCTACAAATTCGGTCTGCCTTACCATGCTGCCCTGGCTGGTGTAACGAGTGAGCCTGCCGATCTTCTCGGTCTCGGGAAGAGGCTTGGAAAGATCAAGCCTGGGTACGACGCCGACGTTGTGGTCTGGGACAGCGATCCGTTGAGTGTCGGAGCGACTCCTGTCCAGGTCTGGATTGACGGGACTAGCCAGTGGGACGACCCAGTCGAGCTGAAGAAGCCCGTTACTGCGCCTCTCGTGCCCGACTCGGCCCTCAACAAGACGAACGAGGAGACGGCGCAGCTCAAAGATGTCCTCTTCACCGGTGTATCCAAGGTGCTTCTCTCTGGCTACGACAAGGTTGCCAGCTCTGAAGAGACATTCACCGTCGCCGTATCTGGAGGTAAGATCACCTGCTTCGGGCCTTGCGAAGCCGAACTGCACTCCGCCACCACCGCAGGCACCAAGGTGATCCACCTCAAGAACGGCTACCTGACCGATAGCTTCATCGCGTTCGGGTCAACAATCGGCCTCAACGAGATCGATGCCGAGTCGAGCACGGACGACGGTGACAACTCGGACGTATTCAGCCGCGCCGCGGACGGGCTGGCCCTCGACAACAAGAAGCTCAAGGTCGCGCACGAGTTCGGCGTCACGCGGGCCATCACGGCGCCCAAGTTCGCAGGCGGGTCCAACGTTGCGCGGCAGGGCGTGAGCGTGGGCTTTTCCACGGGCGCCAGGACCGCCCTGGACGAGGGCGCCGTGTGGGCCGACGACGTTGCGGTGCACTACACGCTCAGCCTGGCCGCCAAGAGGGGCAAGACTCCGTCCATCTCAAGCGCCGTCGGGGCGTTCCGCCGTAAGCTACTTGATGCCCTCAACTCCACCGAAGAGGCCAAGGACTCGTACTCGGAGGAGGCGTACCTGAAGAAGGTTGTCGCGGGCGACCTGCCACTCGTGGTCACCGTCCACAGCGCGGACGCCATCGCGTCAATCCTGAAGGTGAAGCAGGTGGTCGAGAAGGAGGGCGCCAAGCTCCGGCTGTCCATCATCGGCGGCGCTGAGTCCTGGATTCTCGCCCACGATCTGGCTGCCGCCGGCGTCGGCGTCGTGCTTGCTCCTGCGGATAGCTACGCCAGCGAGTGGGACCAGCGCCGTGCGCTCTCTGGCGCGCCCTTGACTAACGGTACGGCCATTGACAAGCTGATTGATGCTGGCGTGGTCACTGCCATTGGGCTGGAGGAGGACTGGATCATCCGTGATCTTGCTCTGTTGGCAGGCCGGGCTTATAGGAATGGCGAAGGGCGGCTTAGTGAGAAGGATGCCCTGGCACTCATTTCAACGAATGTGTATAAGATGCTGGGTATCGAGGTGCCAAAGGCGAAGCAGGGCCATTTCATAGTGTCTGAAGGCAGTCCACTCGAAATAGGATCCAGGGTCAAGGCTGTTGGTGGTGGGCTTGGGAGGGTCTCTGTGTTTGAGTAGTGTGGCGGTGACCGGGCAAGAATAGTGTGCGCTTTTGATCATCACAAGAGAATTTGAAATCCATATTATCTGATCGTCGACTCCCGTGGTGAACTTCCCCCGTGGAAGCGTTTAGTCTACCTAGGTGAGCAGCGCGAAATACCTGGTGCTCAGCAAGGCACATTCCGAGCATATTGATGTCCGCGAGACTTGCCAATTGGCCGTTCTGCTCTGAGTACTGAGGTAAACCAAGTCGCCATGACTGGCCAGGCAGCGCTTTAAGACCGCACGTGATGGTCCTATGTGCTCTCTACAGTAATGGATAGCGTCAGATATGCTCAGACGACCCGGAGGGTCGGTGTTGGCACTTGTCCGATTCACTGTCTCAGAAAAACGAAGCAGAGCCCCCCCCTAGTAAAAGTACCCCTATCAAAAATTTTAAAGGTTTATTAAAAAAGTAGTCTTTTTTATATAACTTTCTTAATATTTAACTTTAAAATATATAAAAAATATATTTATAATTCTTATAAATATCTTTATTAGGTTGAATTTTTAAAATAATTTTTATATAAAGTTTATATATTATTAGGATTATAGACTAATTACTTATAAGACTACCTAATAGGTCCGTGCATCTTCTTATCTTATTAACTTAAGTAGTCTCTATACCTCTTATAATAAAAGTAGAGTAATAAATATTCTAAAAATATAGCTATATAGAAATTTTAGTAAGGATTATAAATATTTTTTTTTATATTTTTAAGTTAAGTATTAAGAAAGTTATATAAAAAGACTACTTTTTTAATAAACCTTTAAAAATTTTGACAGGGGTAATTTTACAGGGGGGGGCTCTGCTTCGTTTTTCTGAGACAGCAGTCCGACGGCGTTGCAGCGAGCCAATCGCTCTCGGTCGGGCAGTTTCAACTCGGTCCCGAACCATCGGATTCGGATACACGTCTGAACGAAACCAACCAGAATCGTTCGCGACGGAGCTTTGTCAGTCTGCTTAAGAGCGAGGGCCCGAACGGCTTGACCAACAGTATCCAGAGAACCATGTTTGATAATCCAGCTGCCTGCACTTTAAAGAAATCGGTCCTGCAACACAACCAGCGCCCTGGAAAACTTTGGTCCTTAATGAACACAATTTTATTCTTTTCTTCGAAAAACTCTCGAGACTTTCTGCCCCACAGTCCCGCGTCGAACATCTAGCAAAATGGGTTCAATATGCCCGATGCAAAACGGAGGTGGCTTCCGCGGCCCCCCTATCCCTTTGGTTGTCGTCCCTGTGGTCTATCAGTTGATGCGATCGAACCCAGATCTGAAAGTCACCAAGTACGTGAAGGATCTGATGTGCAAAGGTGGCCCAGTCAGTGTTGCCGAGAATGCTCATTATATAATCCAATGTATGCATATTCCGTCCTCTTAACGCATGAATGTGAGGCGGTTCCATAGCTGTTCTCAAACAACTAACCTATACTAGATATGCTCTCCAAGCTCCCGTCCAATGTCATCTACTGGTTCGGCACCAAGGTGCTGCAGCTGAAGCCTGAGATCGCCATGCAGACGACGGAATTCCTGAAGTCAAGGACAGAACTAGGGCCTCCAACAGAGCACAGCCTGGCACAGAGCGATATTGAAAGACTTGCAACTTCAGAGGCTCTAACCATCCCGTCAGACGTAGAGCGACGTCTTGCAAAGCTCGAGATGGACTACCAGATGCTGCAGGAGCAGCACACGGACTCACTCAAGCTGTTGGCCTACAAGACGGAGGAGGTTATAGAACTGCCAAGAGAGCTTCCGCCACCAACGCCAGCCGAGTCACCAGCCCCCTTCCCCCCTGGTCCAAAGGAGCCGGGCCAGCTAGAAGCACCTGTCGAGCTGCCTTGGTCTTGTAGGCCAGCTGCAGGCGACCTTGAGACTCAGGCACTACTGCAAGAGATTGGGCTCCGGCTTGGGAGGGTTGTCCTGGAATGGGCTGGCGATATGATGAAGCAGAGCCTGATGTCTGGCGGGTCTACGAAGTTCCCGAGCGACTCCAAGCTGGGGGGAGCACGTGAAGATCTTGGCAGCCGACTCGCAAACTCGCTTACGACCTGAGCATATTGGGTGATTCTCTGGAAGACACGGAAATCCCGAAACATTGCTGATCCGAGGCGATGATTTCCGCCCGGTGACAGCAGACAGCAGAGAGAGCTGAGCTTCTTGCCTGAGTGATCGACGACGCGACAGCAAGCGACAATTTCACAGATCAACCAATTATGCTTGGAGCAACAAAAAAAACCAAGCCGATGCAGACGAAGGTTGTAACACAGCTGATGGAAATGTCAAGTCAGATCAAGTCTACTGTTGAGAGAGAGGACGAAAACGACCCTGGGGCCGACATAGCACCGGAGGCGGGCCGCCGAAGTAGCCTAGGGTAGACGGCCGGCCGGCCGCTCGAGGGTGGAACAAGCCGCACTCTGGATAATGGGAGCAGCATCGGAATGGGCTGAATGGCTGAATGGATGGGGCGGCCAATATAACTTAAACCCTGAATCAAATGGCACCCGCTCGTGCAACCTGCACCCAGGCTGCCAGGTGGGATCGGCCAAGGACGAACCAGTCATTCTCAGGATCCGAGAGGGGACAGGGAGGGGTCTAAAAATAGACAGCCCTTGCTCAGATGGGAGGGGGAGAGGGGATCCTCTAGTTCGGACCGAGCCTATATTGCCGGGCCGCCCGGGGCGAATCGATACGAAGAGATGGACGATCAGATGAACGGGACTGGCTGGCAGCTGGGGGTGTGGGATGGATAGAGGTTATTGTGTTGTGTTATATTGTATCACCACCTTTTTTCTCTTTCTTTCTTCTTGTTCAAATCTTTCAAATTATCTGTTTACGACAGGAACATGCGGTGACAGAAAGAGGATGGGCAAAGTGATACGTAGGATTTGTTGGTTGGCCTAGACGTAATGTGTGCCGGGGTGACGACATGTCAGTGGCTCTGGAGGTAACCTTGTACACGCACACTTCTCCATTCGGGTGTGCTGCCGACGGGATCGTTTGCTGCAATCTCTCAAGCCAGCCAAGCGCGCCCCAACCATGGGAGAATTGGAGGGGGATGGGGGACGGGGAACGCGATCCCAAAGTCATTGTAACGGATATCTATGTCTCTTTGGTCTCTTGATACCAGTGTCAGGCCTGTTGCACTGCAGCCGCAGGGAATCAGGAGGCCCTAAAATAGGGTGGCAACCACTGGGCGGACCAGTCTACTGCGGCACTAGTGCACGCGTACTTTAGCTAGGTACCTAGGTACTTGCTTAAGTACTTAAGCACGCAGCAGGCAGGATCGAGGAACCGGAGGAGGAGGAGGAGGAGGATCATGGTAGAGGGCAACTCGCACCCCACCCACACCACAGGTACCTAGGTACCTGCCCACCCAGCTTGGGGCAGGAGGGCAACAGAACGGCTGGCTCCTTCTGGCTCACATGGCATTGGCACCGGGGCAGGGGTTGGGTTGGGCAGCTCCAACGGCCCCCAACCCAACAAGGCAAGAAGGGTGCTAACGGTCACCGGCTAACGGTGCTTACATGTCATGCCCCCCAGCCTGCAGCAGTCTTCCCGCCTGCAGGCCCCGTCACATAAGATGGCAAGCTCACTTTCTGGAGCCCTGGCCGCAAAAATAAAGATGACGATGTCTCGGCCCTGATCCTCTCGCCAAAGACTGACTGTGCGCAAAACAACCTGACGACCTGACAACCCGCCGCCGCCGCTGGAGCAGCCCGCGATGCCGCCAGACGAGACCATGTCTTCCTCGACACGTCCTCCAGGCCCGACTGCCTCTCCAGGATTCCAGACTACCCGCAAAAGGGAATCCTTCGCCTCCCCCTGGCCCACCCCACCAATGAGGCGTTGCATGCGGGCCCAGCGCAGGCTCGAGGACTGCCATGTGGCCCAGTCCTCGCAACAAAATATCTCCCGCCGGTCCGCCGACCTGCGCTTCGCCCTCTACGCCCCGGACTCGCCCCGGCCCATGTCCTCCTCCAGCCGGCACTCTGATGACCCAGGACGTGCCAATCGTGATCGTGATGGTGACGGCGACGGCGACGGTCCCCCACACGCTCCCCCAGACCGCCACCGCCCTCCCCCGACCAGAGACAGACAGCGACACCGCCTGACCATGGAACGCAGGCCCACCTCCATCATCGGATCTGCCTGTCTGGCCCTCGAGTCCACCGTTGCCAAGACTGTCGCCGACGTCACAAACTTTGTCCGCCACTGCCGCCCCGCCAGGGCCGACCTCACCCCCATCACCAGGGAGCTGTCCGAGCTCCAGATGGTCCTGGAGCTGCTCAACGACTTCGGACAGTATGGCCAGTACGCCCAGCACCGAGGGCACGGGGGGCTCAGGCAGCAGGATGCCATCCCCCCAGAGCTACAGGCTCACCTCCGGCCCATCCTCAGCAACTGCATCACCATAGTTCTTCGCATCGACGGCGTGCTTCGCCGTCATGACCAGAGTGAGGCTGATGGTGCCGCCAAGTGGACCGCACAGGGCAAGGCCGAGATGGCAGAGCTGCGGCCCTCGCTGGAAACTCATCGTGGCGCGTTGGGCCATATCTCTGATCTCATATCCATATCCATATCTATCTCGAGACGGTCCAGGGATGGCGACTCCAGGAGCCCGCAGGGACCAGAGCTTCAGGTCGAGGATGTAATCGAGGACCTCCAGGAGGTGAGGTCCTCCATACTAGTCAGCGACAGCAACGCAACCCTGGCCCGGCAGCACTTCGCCCTGCAGATTCACCTTGGTCAGATAATCGCCTATGCGCAGACCCTCGGCGAACCAGATGCGTGGGACGAGGCGGTAAAGAGAATCGATGGCGCCGAGGAGGACAGACAGACGGCGCCCTCAGAACCAACCTCGGAGCCAGCATCTCCGGTCTTGTCCATAAGAGAGAGGCCATCACGCGATCGCCTCGTCGAGAGCCTGCGCCCGAGACCTAAATCATACTCACCAGCACTGTCCAGCGCGACCATCGGCGCAGCGAGGTCAACCAACCACACCACCACACTTAGCATTCCTAACAGGAATGCATTCATAGTATCGCCGCTTACCACAGGGGGGCTTTCTATCAACACCTTTGGGGGCTCAAATCGAGAACAGGGCTCCATATCACCAATGACATACAAAGCACCATCCAATCAGGACACCATGACGAGCGCTTCGAGCCCTGCCAAGGGAGAGCCGGAACCCATCTCGCCAATGAGTTTCGGAAAACCCACATCGGTGGAGGAACCAGAAGAAGCACTCGCATCCATAGAAACGCCGCCGACCGATCCGGGAGTGTTCGACATAGAACACAAGGCCATTCCCTCTGAGTTGCTTAGGTCAGGGGTGAATGAGAACGGGATAGGAATTATACCGAGCAGGGTGAGCACAGCAGCTTCCAGCTACAGGGAGGAGGAAATCACAGAGGAGGCTCTGGCATTCGCCCAGGTGCCCGTGCACGTGATGGGGCGGTTATCAGTAAACTTGGTTGGGCATGTGTACACCAACACATCAGGCCGGAGCGTGTCGGATGGGACGAGTTTCGACAGGTCCATCTCGACATTTGAGACGGAGGGCGAGATGGAAGAGGCCGAGGGCGAAGGGTATGCAGCGTCGACCGGAACGAGCGACACCGGCAGCCTCCGGGATGGGCACCTCCAATTCTCCCAAATTGACGTGACACAAGTGACACCACCAGCCACCCATGAAGCACACCCCGGCGAGCAGGTCTTGCCGCAGCAGGCGGCCGGACATGCACCGATGCAGGTGCTGCAACAACCTCCTCCCCCGCGCGAGCTTCGCCAACAGGCCTCCATGTCCACCGTGAACACCGCCAACACCGCCAACACCATGAACACACAGACCTTCCTGCAGGGCAAGCCACTGCCGCGGACGCCGCTCGTGTACATACCGCAATATCCAGGGCCCTTTATCCGGAAGAAGGTGGTGGTGGTAGGCAACTTCAGCTGCGGCAAGACGTGCTTGATCACGCGCATGTCCAGAGGCCACTATCCGAGGGGCGACAGCGACCGCAGCGGCGTGACAGAGACTCTCAAGGTGTCGGTCGATGAGGACCCGGTCGAGCTCTCGCTGTGGGATATCCGCGGCATAGACTACGACCCGTCGTGGCTCAGCAACGCGCAGGTGGCGCTGATCTGCTTTAGTGTCAACATCGCGTCTACTGACGCGAAGGGGAAGCATCTCGGTCGGGTAAGTTGAAAATGCGCCCCCAGTTGCCCGAGTGGATGAATATGTATATCCCGAGGTTCAAGTGCACCGCTAATCAAGTTTTGGACAAACACAGTGGGTGACAGAGGTCAACCGCAACTGCCCCGGCGCGGCCATCATCCTCGTCGGCCTCAAAAGTGACATCCGATGGCACGCAAAGACGATCGAGAAGCTGCGCAAGCACGGCAAGACGCTGGTGACACAGGAGCAAGGCGAGCAGCTCCGCGACAGCATCGGCGCCATCCGGTACCTCGAGTGCTCCGCGCGCACAGGTGATGGCGTGCTCGAGCTCCTCGAGGAGGTTACCAGGCTCTCGCTCATGGTCAACAATGAGGGCTTGAAGAAGGGCCACCGCCGGCCGCTATCACGGATCGGCAAATTCCTCGGCCTGGGGAGCCGAGGCGGCTGACCGGACGGCCATCCCAGTGTTGGCCCGACCAGTGAGCCAAGATAACGGGTGGTGGTAACTGAGGGGCAGGGGATCCCCTTCCGCATAATACATGGATATCTTTCAGATTCCCCTTGGGATTTTATTTTGGCGCCAACAAGCATTGGCACTGCAGGTTTGCAATACTTCATTCATCATGACACGCCTGGCGTTTATGAATAGGGAACTGGGCACAATCGGGCTGTACGTAGCATGGAAAGGGATCTCGACTTGTGTGCATATATTGCTTCTCATTCTTGTTGAGTTGCACGTGGGAGTTTGCGGGACGCTCGGCCCAGGCCTCGGGGTTGCCTGGTATCGGCAGAAACATGATAGTTTATGACAGATATAAACTTTCCATGCCGATCAATTACCATGCATCAGACTGTTGTGATGGTGATAAGTCTTTCAAGAACAACTCGAGACGTCAACTGATGGACATCCTTAAGAACCAGCCAAGCTTTCTGAGGAGGAATGGGTCAACGATATCCCTGTCATCCGTGGATATATTGAATACGGTTCATAAGATCAGGGGACTTACAAAAGAAAGGACCCTGGACTTGCCGTACTCGACCAGGACGGCAGATGGACTTATGTATATGTACCTGATGGACTCGGGAGACTCGATGGATGATGGCTGTGGCCCAAGCTTCCCGATCAGCCTTTCTATGGTGCAGCCTTTCCGCCCCCTATACATAGGTGGCCAGCCCGTTCCCCATGCGCACGACGAGTGCCGTGCCGGACAGTGCCTCTGCAACCATAATGTCGCTGCCTCAGCCTCATCCACAGCCGGGACCACGACCGGCACCACGTGCGACAAGAAGGCACATTTTGGGACAGAGGTGCCTAGGAGGGCCCTTCGCTATCCCCTCCTGGCCTATGGCATCCTGGCATTCGCGTGCCACGTGCCACTGCATCCAGGCCTGCGGGTCGTGCCTGAGGGACCCGCGCGAGCGGCGGGAGGTCGTCGCCTTCCTGGAGGACATGGAGCAGCTATCGGGGTGGAGGTGCAAGTACGTGATCAAGAGGCTCAGGGAGGAATGGTCAGAGGACTATGTCGGGCATTGATCGGCTCGAGAACCACCCGGCATGATTGCCATTGTGGCTTCTGGTCACCGCCACCAAGTCCTGGAGATATCCGCCAGGGACAGAAGTCCGGGCCAAGCAGTGATATCGTCAACCCGCACACACCCAACGCCCTATTTACTGGTATCTGACCTGCACAAGTGCCCACCTGCGTGCGACTCGGGTCTGTGCTGACAGCCGCAGCATCATTGGGTCTTGGGTCTGCGAGGCTGCGACTGGGGAAGACGGCCAAACTTGCCCTCCACCCTCATGGGCCCCGCACCCGGTTGTCTGGCGCGAGACATGCCTACTTAAGTATTCTGGCGAGAGGGGCAATTCTCTCCGCGGGACCCTCCTTCTCCGCATTCTTGGGGAAGCTTGACGGCACACGCCCTGCGGGGTAGTATAAAATGGTCCACAGCTTGGAGACGACAGGGGATAGGCATGGCGTACTATTTCCAAATGTGGCCGTCTTAACAAGCCAGAACTCGCCGATATTGTTTGTACTGCTCTGATTGAGTAAGTACCTAGTTTATTACACGCACTCGGGGATAGTGCTGGTGCCGGCGCCTGGCACACTGCCAACCTGAAGCATTGGCATACTTAAGTACGAGGACACATGACATGGGGAACAAGAATATAAAACCACTCATAAGCTGGTCGTGGCAGGAGGATGTCTAGGGCCAAGGGTCTGACAACTGGAGCTTTGAATAGGTTTCCGATTCTGGTCTATGGAAGCCATCATTTTGAGTTATATACACCGGCTTTTCTCATGGAGGGAATGTACAGAACGTATACGTACCGAGGCAGATCAAGAGAGCATACGCTTTTGAAGCTGTGAGGCACTGCTCCTTGGTGTCGCCTGTTGTATGCGGTGGCGCATTAGCAAGGTGGAAGTCGTGATTGGGGTGCCACGAGGCTGATGTACCACACTTCAGATGCCTACAGAGGCAAGACACATCCTCATATTAGCTTGTTTGATTAGAGTACTTAGTATGTCTGATGGGATGGAAGACAGTGTGACAGCGTGGCATGTATAGCTTGAGGTATTATGTATCTGCTCTAAAGTTCTTCTCTCTATCCGAACCGAGACCCGACACGAGAGAGAACAGGCCTTCTCGTTGGATTGCTTACCTCGATCGGCATCCCTGGGGAAGTGCAACGTATGTCTGGGTCAATCTCGCCGTCCCACAGCCTCGCGGGTATTACTTTCTTGTTTGGGAGAAGGGACTCACATCACACCCCGGCCTTCTCTTCTTTTTCTCCGACTGAGGCCCACGCGGAGGCATCTTAGAAAGTGTGCGCTCACCCACCATGGCCAGAGACAGAGAAGCAAGGGGGATGGGAAAGGCCAAGCCCAAGCTCGGCGAGTGACGGTGGGCTCACTGGTTTATAGCTGTGTTGGGCAGAGAGGGAAAGAATCCCGCGCTGCCGCTTGTCAGGGCGCAGGGTTGCTTCTGGCTTGTGGGGGTGGGGAAGCCCCTATTTGTCACCCTACTGAACCCCCAAAAGTCTTCTTTGCTCTTAGAATAGCCTCCTCCTGAGTCCCGACCTACCCGGCTTTATCGGTGTGTGGACAGGCGGGAAGCTTGTGAAAGGCAGAAGGGGTCGCCACAGCCCAGATGAGGTGAACGTGGTGTGTCTACTGTGTCAAGCATTTGCGTCAATAGCCTAGATAGATCCGTGCCATCTGCGTGTCTCAAATTATACCGAATCTACCAAAGCAGGGCACCATCTCCATGGAACCGTTGGGAGCTTCGTACCCGTTACACCAACGACCCGATGGCTAACATCACCGGGCGCCGGAGAGGAAGATGAAGGATGACCACAGATCGTGAATATTTATTGAGACGATGCCCATGCTGCGTAGTGCCCGTTGTGAATGTGCTTTTCTGGCAAGATTCCTTCTCTTCTCGTTCCAGCCCCATCATCATCCCAAGGAGTCCCTGTTGATTCCAAGAGGCTCTGCTTAGACGTGTAGTTCCTCATCAGCCACAAGCTTCTAACCTCGGACCTTATACCTCATGACACATCGGCCATATGCCCTCTCTCAGCTTCTTTCCTTGAACAAGAAGACACGCCCAGATCCCACCATCGTCATGGGGGCCCCTTAGGCCGCCGCCCTGCTGTTGTTGCTCTTCTCCAAGTTCATTGAATACCCTTTTGTAGTAGAGCACATCCGAGATCCTGAAGGTAAGGAAGATCAGAGTCCCTGGACAGGAAAATAGCAATCACGAGCTGACAGTCCCGCTCAGGCCTGTGAGGGCCTCCAACTTCAGCCCTCTTACCGGCATGTCTAATGTCCCCTTCACGATCCTGGCGCACTCGGGCGACCGGTCAAGGCGCCTGGCAGTGCTGCACAAGGACCGACCCATCCTGCGGTCCGGACCCAATACCCTCTCGTCCGGCCCCGGATGAGCTCAGCATCGACTACTGCATGTCGACCAAGTTCCTCGCACTCGATGCCATCGCTGCCATCGGGTTAAGCGACCGCCTCGGCTCCCTGGACCAGGGCACCGACCGCGTCGTCACCCAGCGCAAGGACGGCACCACGCACGAGACCAACCTGCGCGGGTGCCTGTAACCCACCACCCGCATGCAGTCCCTCCTTATCTGGTCCTAACAGGACCGCCAATGTGATTCCCTTCTACCGGTGCATGGATGATTCCTCGCGTGGCTGGGACAACATGACCCTGGGCCGCGGCAACAAGCGTCTTGAGTGGTACCGCGCCGGCTAGAAGCTGCACGAGTCGGGTTCGCCCGACCTGCTCGAGTGGGGTGAGATCCTGGCCAAGGTCAACATCATGATGAACGCCGGTAGCGTCACCACCGTCATCGTCATCGCCAACGTCACCTGCCAGCTTCTCGAGAACCCCGAGTGCCTGCGCCGCCTCCGCGAGGAGCTCGACGCAGTCCTCGACCCGGTGGTCGCCCCTTACGACAAGGTCAAGCACCTCCCCTGCCTGCGCGCCTGCTTCGACGAGTCCCTGGGTCTCGTCCCGCCCACGCCCCGCGCCCTGCCCCGCGCCACACCGCCAGAGTGCTCCATGATCATGGGCCAGTGGATCGTCGCAAGCACCACCGTAAGCATCTCTGCCATGGTCGCCCACCGCGACGAGAGCGTCTCCTATGAGCCTTAAAAGCACATTCCCGACCGCTGGCTGGGAGAGAAGGGCAAGGATTTTCAGCCTTAATTCGAAACGTTCAGCGCAGGAGCTAGGGTAAGCCATACTGTCCTCGTTCCATAGCCCAGACATAGCGCTATCATGTTTGTATGGAGCTGTTGCTTCCTGATATTCGGATAGCCGACTCTGGATGCTTTAGGGTTGCATTGGTCGTAACATCTCGTACCTGGAGCAGACCGTCTGTGTGGCAAGCATAATACACAAATATGAGATGACCATGGCGCCTGGATTCGAGATGCAGAGACAGAAGACGATGAACCACATCCTGGGGCCGACGCCTGTGAAGAGGTGGAGGAGGCAACTTGATGGGTGATAGACTAGTGTCAGGCGCTTCAGGAGTTCAAGATGTCAGAATCATCTGGGTTCTTTCGAGTTTGATAGAATCGAGTTATTACCTAAATGTGTTTCCCGTGCCCTTGAGAGATGCAAAAGAGTCCAGCAAGGTGAAACCAACGCCTCGCAATGCTCTCTCTTAGTCCCAGTACCGAATAACACCATCTGCTCCTGCTGAAACCAGCTTGGATGTCTCCTGGGGGTGCCACTTCACACAAGTGACAGGATCCTTCGTCTCGATCTTGTGGTACATCTTGCACGTCTTCCAGTCCCAGAAGACAAGGTATCCCGCCGTGTCACCGCTGGCAATGAACTGTCCGTCGGGACTGATGTCGATGTCGATTGCCGTTCCCGCGTTGTTGTGCCCTCGGTAGCTCTTCTTGCGGTTCTGGCGGAATTTGTCGTTCGCGTTATACACAACAATCTGGTTGTCGGAAGATTGGTATGCAACGTATTTTCCAGAAGGATGCAGGGCAGACCGCGTCATCGGGTACATGTATGTCTCGGCGATGTACTTGATGGGGACTGGGATGTTGTAGTCCCACGCTCGCAGGGACTTGTCGTCCGACGTCGTCATAAAACGGTCACCGTCTTGTGTGAAGGTGATGGTGTTGATAGCTGCCAAGTGATGGTCGTACTCCTGGACAGTCTCGTTGCCCGCACGCGTGTCGAACTGAACGATCTTCTTGTCGGACATGCCAGCCAGAAACTCGTGGCCGTGTTCGGCTGTCGGGTTGAAAACCAGGCAGTGTGGGGTTTTGCCCGTGCTAAATTTGCTGATGCACTTTCCAGTCTCGGTGTCCCAGAGCTTCATCTGCCTGTCATACGACCCGGACAAGAACCTCGTGCCATCGTTGTTGAAAGACAGATCTGATATGGCCTTGGAGTGGCCAGAGAATGTCCGCAGCAGCTCCTTCTGGTGGTAGACGTCCCAGATCTTGATTGTCGTGTCCGCCGAGCCAGACAGCAACAGGTGACCACTGTGTGGGAAGAACCGCAGCGATGTGACGGCCTTGGTGTGGTTCTTCCATGTGTGCACGATCTTCTTAGGAATGTAGTTCGTTATGCTGCCCGGTTCCTTCCGCAGATCGATGTCCAAATCTTGTGGAACGTGCATGTACGTCCGGCCCTGGTAATCGTACTCGCTCTCGCCGTGGAACGTCGTGGTCTCGTCGCCCAGCTCCTCGACTGCTTTCCGCCTTGCCAATGCCTCTGTGGGTGCGGCAACCACAGCGCCACTCTGAACCACATCATCCCCGTCCTCGTCCTCGTAGACGATCTCGTATTCCTCATCGCTGCCCAGTTGCGCCTCCTCGTCGACCTCCTCATACTCGGTTCTCTTGTACTTTGCCCAGGGCCCCTTGTACTCGCCATCGCCCTCCGCAATAAGCGCGCTGCCCTTACCCTCCCTCTTTGCTCGGATGGCAGCAGCCTCCTCCTTGATCTGCTTGCCGCTCTTGTCTTCCCTCTCTGGACCCTCGCCGCGTTCTACCGCGCGATGTTTGGCTCGAAAGGCATGCTCGCTCAGATATGTCTCGGTCGCATATCCTGTCAGTACGTTCTTGCGCTTGAGAGAAGGGTGGGCGGCCTCGTCGCGAAAGGGGTTGGCAGGCCCAACTTTAGGTCGCGCGAGGTCTTCGCCAGTGTAGGGAACGACTGCATGGTCCGGCTCGGCTTCTTGTCGGACGATGAGGGCGTCTTGAGGCGCCATGTTTGGCGGATATGCGCCAAAGTCGGCCATACTGATGTTTTCAGGACTTCGGATTTTCAGGTTGGAAATTTGGTCTCGTTGGTCAGAACGTGGAGGCGCTTGTGACGCCGTGCAAGAGTAAGGACCAAGAACTTGTTTGCATTCACATTCGGATAGCCACTATCAGGGTCCCTGCTTATTTACCCTAAGTGCTCTGCAATTCCTAGAAAGTGGCAGCCGCGGCAGGCAGGCAGGCCTGCTCTCAGTGCACCCCAGTGCCCAGGTCCCGCTTGGGTCGCGCTACCTAACACTTAAGGTTGTTAGTATTGCTCCTTACCGCAAGACTTTGGGATCTACCTCCAGACAACCTTGGAATTTTCTAATTAGGTAACTTCTGATGGGTGAACCTTTCATAAAAGACCGTCGGATGAATAAACCTCCTATATGAAACATTATATGAGTACACCTACTATTGGATCACCTATAGAACAGGTTCCCAGGGGATGGCATTATAAAATTGAGCAGCCTCAATTATCTCCATCTGCGGGACGATCTCATGTGGAAATACCTTGTAGAAGGTAGGTAATAAGCCACGAGGGGCAGTGTGCTGCGAAACCTGTACGCCAGCGGACAAGAAAGGTAACGATGAAGCAAAACCGCCGTGAAGAAATCATCCCGGCTACAATTTGCTGTTATGGTCCCCATTCCCAATAACAGAAGCAGATACACGAATTAGTACAACATGCTCAGTTGTAAAAAACGACGAATATGAGTATGCGCTAGGCAGGTTACTTTGTCCATGTTTGGATCTTTGCACGCTGTGCTCAACGGAGAGTCCGCGAGAATCCCCATGTTGTGTCCAAGACGAGCGTAATCCAGCTCGAGTCCAATCTGCAGCGGAGTCTCCCAAGGGCCCTAACAACTATGAAAATGTGGCACTGGACAGCATGATCACCAGTAATCACCGAGGTTTTGAGTAGATATCGTGATAATCATCCGTAACTGCATTTGCTTCCGTATAATCCATTGATTCCTCTCCGCCACGCCGATTATTACACGACCGTACACGAGTGATCATCGCGACATTGACACATTGTATCGTATCTACCATTCATGCCCCCATCAACTCATCAGCCAACGGCGCCTTGATGAGAGGTCATGCGCTGCCGCCGTCTTCCTTCCCCGGAACCAACACAACCCCCAACCATCATCCCCTCTGCATTTGCTGATCCAACTAGGGATATCCACGTCCTCATTGGCACCTGTCTGGTCTAGTGGTCCGCTTCCCCATTCGCACCGGAACTGGGCCACTAAGCAGTCGCCTCGTAGCGGTGTAAGGGCATTTCCCCTCTTCCCTCGTGAGCTGCACTGTGGCCCCCATCCTCTTCACAGGGTCTCGCCCAAGAGCCTTGAAGCAAGCCGGGCTCTTGGGCCATGGCTATACATGAGAGATCGCTCCAGGGGCGTCTCTTAATTGGCCTCGTCCTTAATGAGGGCAACGATCATCTTGTACAAGTAGAAGAAGAACATGAGCAGGTGGAAGCCGAGCTTGATGAATGACTCCTTCTTATGAACGTTCAGCTTCCTGAAGATCTCGGTTGCGTCCAGCAGGTGCGTGTTCTCGATGATCCTAGAGCACATCATGTCAGCCACTCGTTCACCACGCGACTCGAGCTCCGGAGCTCAAGGCGCATCCATCCCCGTGCCTGTTGGTGGGTGACGTACTTCTTGGCGTTCCAGGCCAGCAGTGGGAGGTTGACTATCAGAGGAATCCAGTATCCGTTGATCAGGAACAAGAAAGTCAAGAATCCGTGCACGGCTGCTTCTGGGATGATGTAGGTGTTCAGGCGGTTGCAGAGGTCGATAGGGTTGATGTAGTCACTGCAGACAGGTCGCGTTAGCTTGATCATGGCACGCAGGACCAGCACTGGCCGGGCCTATTGCTGGCGTGGGGTTGGCCAGGAGGGACAGGGAGTGGGCTTCGTACCATTCGAGATCGCTGTACATGATGGTGAAGAAGACCTGGAGGAACAAGTTGACGGCGTTTATGAGCACCGAAAACAGAAAGAGCCACGCCTCGCCAGACATCTTGACGGTTGGATTGGAGCTATATGCCTAATTGAGCGGTACGACACGGGGTCTCTGGAGCTGCGGCTGCCGGGGGGTTGGACTCGAAGCGACGCGAGGTGCAATGGTGTTGCGTATGTAAGGATATGGGACACAGATCTGGATATCCCGCAGCAGAGGTGGGCAGGCAAGGTGGAGAACCGGCCGAGTGCGAGCTTATCACGGGCGGGCAGACAAGACGGGCGGACAGGCGCAGGATTTTTCTCGGATGTCAACAACGGTTAAATCGCAGCCTCGATAGGAGGCAATACAACAGGACGGCGCAGGTGGAAGGGTTATAGGTGGCGGCGGTCCCGATGCGAATGTCTGTCCTCGAGGTTTGGGTTTTTGCAGACTGTCCGAAGCGGCGGTGGCAGGTCGAGGAAGGGGAGGGCGAGGGCGAGGTAAGTCGAGGTCGGTAAGGCGCGAATGCGGCGGGATGATGTCGCTGGCCCTCCCACACTAAGCTACACTGGGAACTGTCGACGCAAAATTGCTGCCTTTCCAAGGTTCAGAGCTTGCCCGCCGCCAATGTTTGGGGTGGGCAGGGGGAGGGGGGAGGGGGGGAGGGGGCCGTCACTCGGGCGATCCCTCTGGCCCCGACAGCCAATTGCAGAGCTCCGAGGATTGGATAGCTCGGGCCCGCTGGGGGCAGAGCTGGGCCAGCATGTGGCGCGAGCTCTGCTCCGCCAGGCCTGCTGTGCCACCTGGGTCGCCAACAGGCAGTCATGGCAGTCTGGCTCAGGACCGCCACCAGATAAGGTGTGGCCCCAGCCATGGCAGACCATATATTGGATGGGCCACGGGGGCTGCCTAGGCGTCCAAGATGGCAGCGCACCTTGGTTTAGCAGTGCACTCATCAATTCAACATTGTACAGGCGGATGAGCCGTTGCCAGGAGACTACGGCGGACGAGCTGTCTCACATGGGCGACCACAGCATTGCAGGAGTGGCACTTGTGCAGATTGTCGAGAGAATCGGGCCTGCAGAAAACCCACAGATTGCCCATGTTGCCCCGGCTACATATGCTTTGCACATTGATCAACGCTCCTAAGCCGCCACGCATTAAACAATCATGTCAACTACAACCCCCCACACGTCCGCACGTCTACTCGGCGCCATTTGTCGGCTTTTCGGGGACCGGTATAGGGCCACCAGGAGAGTTCGGAAGACGTGCGGTCAGTACCTCCACACCATCCTCAGTAACAAGCAAGGTGTGCTCTAGACGGATACATCAGCCATGTGTGATCTCCACAGGACCTGCGGCAATGGTGGAGCAGGGTGGGGAGAGAGCGAGAAAACTTACCGAACTGGGCCGTCTTCTTTCCGTCAATGGTCGTGCTGGTCCAGTTGTCCGGCCAGGTGATATCCCGGTATTTGCCCAGCGCAATCATGGGCTCAATGGTGAAGGTCTGGCCAGGCTTACACTCGCCAACCGCCTTGTTCTTGGCGTAGTGAGGGATGTTTGGCGGGCAGTGGAAGATCGTGTTGATGCCGTGGCCGACATAGGTCCGGATAACGCTGGTGTTCTTGGTCTTGGCATGCTTCTCGATCGCGTTACCAAAGTCACGGTACAGCGTGCCCGGCTTCACGAGCTTGATGGCCTCATCCAGACACTCCCTGGCAGCCTCCACGACGCGCACGGTGTCGGGGTCAGCCCTGGCCCGGTCGCCCACGTAGTATGTCTCGTTCAGGTCACCGTGGTAGCCCTCATGGTAGAGCGTGACGTCCAGGTTGACAATGTCGCCGTCCATAAGAATGCGCTGGTCGGGAATACCGTGACAGATGACCTCGTTGATGGACGTGCAAACAGACTTGGGGAAGTGGTTGTAGTTCAGGGGCGATGGGTAGGACTGGGTCCACCGTCAGTATCTGTGTTGCTCACGCCCTCCAGCCGAGTCCTTCATCTGGCCACACGAGCAGTACTCACGTTGCGCTTGATGCACTCCTCGTGTACGATCCTGTCGATCTCGTCGGTGGAAATGCCAGGTCGGACCGCAGCAGCGGCAATGTCGAGGACTTCCCGCGCCAGCCGGCAGACCTTGCGCATCGCATCCTGGGCCTTCTTGTCTAGGATCTCGACCTTGTTACGGTTCACGAGGGACCGTCCTGCCTTGGGAATGCCATCGGCGGCGTAGTCGGGGTGGGGGATCGTCTTTGGGATTTCACGTCGCGGCGAGAGAGGGTACACGGGCCGGAGAGGGCCGGTGTAGGAAAAGTTCGGGAAGGGGTTGTAGTAGCCGGTCTCTGGGTCAGGTTTAGATACAAATTTTGGCGGGATATTCAAGGTGTTTTGGATTATACTGTTTTCTTGCTTGTGCATTGACTTGTGGGTGCCCTGGACAGAGAGAATGGTTAGCCACGAGTGCTGCCTGCTGCCGGCTGCCGCCCACGTCGCGGGGCTGAGAGGACGTCCGTTGTCTCCCGGCCCAGAGATGAACTAACCCAGCTCTTCTTGAAGCAGTCCTGGGAGCAGAAGAAGCTGTCCTTGATCCCCAGTTTCAGGCACGTCGGGCACTGGAGCGACCCGGCATCGTTGTCGCAGTCGACGCCGAGGCACTTGCGCTTGGACGGGGGCTCGTCGGTCATGGTGGGCAAACGGTTCGCGGGAGTGGAGGGAATGCAACAGACTCGAGTCTGGGAATCCAGCGAGGGTGGATTTATATTGCTGTTATGGCAAGCCGTCACAGAAGATCCAGCCGCAGAAATTATGGGTTTGGACAAGTAGCAACCACTTTTTGCGCCTCACTGCCTCGCGGTCAGTCACCCTGCAGTCGCTAAACCCGCGCTCACTGAAAATGTAAGTGGGCTGGCTACATAAGTGGGCGAGCAGGCCAGAATCAGAGCATGTCGGGGACAGGGGTGGCAGGGATTGCACCTGAACCCACCCACCACCCGCGCCTTGCGGTCGCCCGAGGACCCTGCGCCTGCAACCCAAAGGGTAGGAGGGACAAAGGCCCAGGAAAGCTTCGCCTAACCCTGAGATTAGGAGCCGGGCGGGTCGGAGGCAGGGAGGCAGACCCCGGCAGTAGCCGTGCCTCGATCGGCCGAGAGCACTGCGACATCATAGAGACCACGATGCTATCGGCCGGCCCTGGAGGCATCGACTCTGCTTAATGTATGTTCTGACAAGCGTGGGTGGACTGGAAGGTTGACAGGAGGACCGTCAGTGCATCACTTCTTCCGCTTCCGACCCTGCTGAGATCTGGCGGGTGCTCTTCAGAGATGTGCTGAAGTTATTCGCAGAGAGAAAAGTTGCTGCTGCTGCTTGTGGTCTTGGTCGTTCCGTACCCTGAAGTTCCGCCCTTCCGACATCCGAAAATCTCCTGACCATAAGAGCTTCATAGACTTTCACCGAGCAAGACATTTGGGCAGTCATATGTGATCTCCCTGTCACCAGGCCCTTTTTATTTTTCCCTTCTTTTTTTAGTAAAATACGCAATCCATCATGTCGTCAACAAAGGTTGTCGTGGTGGGAGCCGGTCCCGTCGGCTCACTAGCAGCTCTGTATGCTGCACAAAGAGGCCATGAGGTTGAGATCTACGAGCTCAGAAATGGTATGGAATGCCCCAGATGATTTATGCACATTCTTTTTTTTTTCTCCCAGCCCTACTCCCGTGTGCATTAGGTTCCAGCAGTCACTGTGAGGCCGGAGGTAGAAGCTGCCAGCGAGGCCTTTGTGAACTTTTGCTCGGGACTGCCTCGGGTCTTGACTCACAGCTAACGATGATGCATAGACTTGAGAGACCCCTCGACAGTGCCACTGAACTTCACAAAATCCATCAACCTGGCTCTCTCGGTACGTGGCATAACTGCCATGCAAAATGCAGAGCCAAACACCCCAGAAGGAGAGCGCAAACTGTTGGACCATGTCCTGGCCGCTACGATTCCCATGAGAGGACGCATGATCCACGGCAGGAAAGCAAGCGGCGAGTTGTACGAGGAGGCACAGGACTATGATGTACACGGACGGGTAAGCACCCGCAAACACCATTTCCTCGTGGCGGATCTTGAAGCTGACAGCACTCCAAGACAATTTTCGCCGTAGATCGTGGCGGCCTCAACAAGCGCCTCCTCGACGTGCTCGAGAGCATGCCCAACGTAAAGTTCTTCTTCAACCACAAGCTCACAGGCGCGGATTTCCGCAAGCAAAAGGCATGGTTCGAGCACAAGGATGGCTCCTCCGAGGGCCGGCCAACGGAGATCGAGATCTCATTCGACTTCATGATTGGGGCCGACGGCGCTCACTCCTCGGTGCGGTACCACATGATGAAGTACACGCGAATGGACTACGAGCAGCGGTACATCGACGCCCAGTGGTGCGAGTTCCAGATCCAGCCCCGGGAGCACTTTGATGCCACCAACCCGATGAGCCAGTTCCGCATCAGTCCGAATCACCTGCACATCTGGCCCGGGAAGGAGTTCATGTTCATTGCCATCCCGTCCGAGGATGGCACATTCACCTGCACGCTGTTCGCCCCAGCAGAGAAGTATGCATACCTCGAGTCAGACCCTGAAAACGTCCCGGCCTTCTTCGACAAGTACTTCCCCGGCGTGACCGAACTCATCCCTGCCGCCGACCTGGTCGACAGCTTCAAGCGGAACCCTCACCTGCCCCTAATCACCATCAAGTGCAAGCCCCACCACTTCTCGTCGTCGGTCGTGCTGGTCGGCGACGCCGCGCACGCCATGGTGCCCTTCTACGGACAGGGCATGAACGCCGGCCTGGAGGACGTGCAAACACTCTTCACATTCCTGGACAAGCACGCTGGTGGCGACAGGGCCAGAGCTTTGGACGAGTACACAGCCCACAGAGTACCAGACGCGCACAGCATCAACGACCTGGCGCTGCAAAACTACGTCGAGATGCGCGCCAGCGTCTTGAGCCCGACGTACAGGCTGAGAAAGTTCCTGGAAGAGAGTCTTAGCAAGTACCTGCCCGGCCTGGGCTGGCAGACAAAGTACAGCCGGGTGTCGTTCAGCAACGAGAGGTACTCGGAGGTCATCGCAAGGAGTGACTACCAGGGCAAGATTTTGATGAGGGTTTTTGGGGCCACGGTTGGAGTCCCCTTGCTTGCTGGTGGCGCGATGCTGTGGTTTAGGTACAGACGGGTTGCAGAGGCCTCAGTCAAGGCCGCAGGCGAATGGCTGGTCAACATCCTGAGCCGGTGATTCCATTCATCTCCATGAACCCTACATTCTTCGGGAGAAGTTATTTGTAAAGAGAATTTGTACGAGATAGGTTGTTGAGAAGCCTAATCTGACGATACCGAAATCGCCTCGCGAAATGACAGTTTACCGGGGATTTTATCGATGGTCTTGGGTAGGTTGTCTCGTCCCACACACAGAGTTAATGTGTGAGATCTTCGATTACTCGCACCACCTTCCACATCCTCAAGATCCGCCTGCTTTGAGGTTTCCGTCGACCCGGCTCTAATGTGTCCCGCCACCGACCCTGTTGCGCCTTCGTGATCTTCGTCTCCGTATACAACTCGAGCAGATCCGGTACAAAAAGTACAAGACCACCCCAATGATACAGCCCACAACGAACCCCCCTCCAAATTGAACCCCGAACGACTGGTTCCCAATCGCACTCCATGTGTCCGCACCCGAGTCGTCGTCAGCATCTGAGCCACTGTCGTTGGCTGGGTCTGTTGTAGACGGATCCCCCGTCATGCTGCCGAATTTCGTGTCATCGCTTAAGGCAATCGTCTGAGGATAGCCGAGTGTGGTCAGGATATTCGGAATTATGATCAGGAGGACATAGAGGAGCTCTTGTGGCACAAGCGTCATCGTCCGATATTGTCAAGACAGCCCCGGGCTCCCAAATTCCCCAGGAAGTTGAATTTGAGCGCGTCAATATGATCCAGATCAGCTAGGGCTCATGCATCCGAAATGCTCGTTCAAAAAAGCTGATTCATGTCGGTTCGACTTGTTGATGTCTCTGCGAGTCGCTCACGACGATCTGCGCGACGCAAGATCACAGGTTGCCATGAAGTGATGCCGCTCGGATCTGGGAGCTTCGTGGTAGCGTGTATCCGGTGCGAACTATCGGCACTCTCGCACCGAGCGGCGCTTGGAGAAGACTTGCTTCGCTCGTAGCCCGTGTAGAATTTTAGAATCGAGCCAGATAGTCCGCGGCTCCGGCAACGATTGACCGTTCCTTGGTCTTCGCTTAGCAAACGTAAAGTATGGACTAGGGTCTAGCTTTATCGGAGACAGGCGAGGTGAACGTCGGGGTTTTGTTGAGATGCACACGAGAACTTCGTCACACTGCTGATTTGGAGGTCGAGAAATGGAGACTGTTGTACACGACAGGCAGCCTCGACTTTTTTCTTCTTCTCTTCCCCTGTCCGGAAAAAAGTTTCTGTCTGACTGTGCATTGCAGGTATAAAAAAGCGTCCCCAACGGCAATTGTAGGGCTAGTACTGTTGTGTGGCCGCAACTCGCCGGCATCTGTCAGACAAACCTTGTGAAACAGTTTCGCGTCGGTGTGACTCAACCTCCGTCTGACACCTGAACCATCGCACAATAGGGAACAGCCGGTGGGCTGTGAACCTCACTGAGTAGTTTGAAGTACTAGAAGACCTTTATTTACCGGCACTAGTAAATAGCGAAGTAAAAGTTTAATCATTAATTCTAAAATTACTAATTCTCAATTTAAACTTGTTCATCAATAGTATAATAGATACCCTAGCTAAGACATTATAATAACTAATTCACAACTTGTTTATTTATTCCTAGCAGTTTTCAAACCCATCCCGTCACGACTATCCGTATCTAATACTGAAGTGATCTCCCCTAGCCAGCCTGATATAAAGCCAAAGCGTAGATGTGAGGGTTAACAGCGCTCAGGTTGAAAGGAGTGACATATAAGTCCTCATCAGTCAATGCCAGGAACATGGTACCGTTAATAGCTGGGTCGCCCTCGAAGGTGGAGACATTGGGCTGGATAGTGTAGGCCGAGTTGCCATTGAGGTTCAACAGGGGGGAGTAGGTCACGTTAAGCTGCGAAGCCCAGAGCGCGAACTTGGGCGCGCCGGCCGAGGTCGAGGTGACGTAGCTGTTATTGGGTCCAACGGCCTGCCCGGGTTCATCCCACTGAAGGAAGACCTGGCGACCAGGGTATGACAGTGGCTGGGTGCGATTGTGAGTGATGGCCGGGGAGCAGTTCTCGCCAACAACATCCGAGTCGGCACAGAGCTCCTCGGGCTCGATGTCATCGGTGTTCAGGGTATTGGCGTAGTCGCCGAGAGTCTCGTTCCAGACATCAGCACCGTTGATTCGGGCGGCGTTGGGCTGATTCAGGATGTGGAGGGCCGGAAAATTCTGCCATATAAGCTGCTGAGTGCCCTCGGGACAGGACGAGATGTAAGGCGCGAGCAGTGTCCAAGCCCAGGACTGAGGAATACCAACCTCGAACCAGACGGGCATGGGGAATTGACCGTTAAACTGTCGGAAGATCATCTGCTGACGGGCTTCAGTGGTGATGGACTGCAACAGGATCTGCCCGACCTCACGCGAGTCGAGGTGGTTGAGAAAACCGTAGACGCCGGACTCGCCCCATCGAGTCAGCTTCTGAGAGAAGTCGACGTACTCGCGCACGTTCATCGATGGGTAGTTGTACGTGCATTGCTTAGGTGCGTTGTCACCAAGCATGTTGGTTAGGATAGTAGCATGGCCAACTTCCTGCTCAGCCATATACTGCAGCAAATATCGGTCCTCAGCGGTCAGGCCGGCAGCCTCAAAGTCCTCATCGGAATAAGTGGCGAGACCGTAGTGAAACAAATCCAGCTCAATCCATTCCTGATACAGGCCGACGGCGATGGACTGGTAGTCGAAATCAGACTGAACCCGGTAAACGGGCTGAGACCCGTCGGTGCCCAGCCCACCAGCAGGTGTGTACGGCGCCGGTTGGTCGGCGTGGAGGTATCCATCTGCAGGGTAGTCGTACTTTGCTGGGTTTGGTGGTAAAGCCGGGATGGAGGAAGCAAGGACGTTTGTAGACTGGGCTCCGGTGGTTGTTGGCGAGGGACCAGTGTACGGGCCGTGACTTGTAACATTGGTATGAGGGATAGCTGGTACCGTCATGGCCGCGGCCGACGTGATTGTCGTTGCTGGGGTAGAGACCACGCGCTCTTCAATGACGGGCGCGGCAAACACCGGGCGTGTAATGGCGAGAATACTGCCCACTGCTAAGAACCCAGCCATGATTGTGACGGTTACGATGAATGAAGGATCCAGAACCTGTCTGTCATCGAACACGGCAGAAGAACTGATTCAATATATACACTATTACACTTCTGGAAGGAATATCCACGTCCTCGAGCTCAACCTCTCTATGACGAGGTGCCATCGGGCTGTGGGGTGCGAGCTCATCGACATCTTGAGCCAGGCATGCATCGGTCCATGTACCTAAGTAGGTGATTCCATGGCTCTGGTCAACTTCTGCTTGGAAATCAGGTACAGGCTTCAGAGATTCAAAGGCGCACAAGGATCTTCTCAAGATGTGATCGACAGGATGTTAAAGATGCTCTGTGGAGTAGGTACACGTGCAGGTGACAGTCACACTGCGTGTTGTTCCGTAGCACTTACGTCGTTGACTTTCAAACCACAAAAGTCCTACCCTGTCCATGCAACCTGTGACTGTGACCTTTGTGTTCGGACACAGCTTGACGTAGGGCTCTCATGATTCCAAAGTGGCAATCGTAGTACCACCATTTATCCCTTGGTATTCTCGTGGCAGTACACGCACAAATATCCGATTTTGAGAAAGCCGCATTGTCATCGACTTGCTTGATCCTGATGGACAAGAAGAAGCACGTGGGGAAAGGTGGGTCACATCAACATTGGAAGTTATCTTTGCCGTCAAGGATGCAAAATGTGGAGTTTGCCGAGGTGCCACAAGACCACACGCTACAACAAAACAGTTGCAATGTGTGGTACAGCAAGTCAGTGCGACGAATAGGATGGCTGTGAACAAGTGACATCTACTATTACCTTTGCATTACCGTAAAGAGTCGACCAAAAAGTTCGTAATTGCCTTGACTGTGCCAGAACACCTCTCGGCGATCTCGGATAACTCAGCATTCGCTTATGTAGATGCGCGGGAAAACCTCGTATTCAATGACGGGTACATAGACGATCTCCCGTGCCACTGGCAGTGGCGGTTGGAAGTGGGGGGAAATCTGGGTTTTAGTAAATCACATCAACGCAAAATACCACATGGCAGTTGCATTTAGTGGCGTGTTTCTTGCCGACTTGCAAATCTGGCAGGGAGAAGTCCCTGTTCCTAAAAACACATAACCTACATAAAAGCCTAAGTAACTAGGTACCTAATACGAAATCAGGCAGCTCTAAGCAGAATTATACAAAGGGTGTACAGAGAGAGGCTCCTAGAAACTGTGGCGGCATAGATGCAAGATCCTGGCGAGGTGATGACTGTTATCCCCGGCACCCCGGCACCACACCTTGAGCCTCATGCTTGCTTTAAGGCTTTTCAGGATTAGTCCACAGCACTATAGCAGTTTGGGCCCATATAAATCTGGACTCCCTCCATACTAGCACCCCTGTCCGGAGGTTTTGCTCCACACCTGCATGAGAAGGAAATGGAATCCAAATCGACAGCCAAGATGATCATCGGACGAACCGGCCTCGATGAATTGATTGTCAACGCATACTGACGTCTCCCTGACAGCCGAGCGCTACCAAGCACTGACAGAGTACGCTTCGGTAATTTGCATCGTACTTCTAAGTTGTTCGCCTTACCTTAAGGAGCATTTTCACGCCCGCTGCACGTGCCGATGCAACGCAATGAGGGCCTCTCCGTTGACATGGTGGCCTGACCGAGAAACGTGTACTCGTTAATTGAATCTTCTTCGCTATCTCAGCAAACATTTGAAAATCATTAAAGTAGTTTCGTTCTCAAGTCGTATATATCCCAAAGGCAAGGACTGACTTGAAAAACTGATAGGTGAATTCCGTAGCTACAGTAAATGACGCACGTCTGCGAGCAGCCAAGCGCAAGACTCATGCCAATCACATACCTGTTTGAGTAGGTACATTATACTTGAAGCTAGCTACCATGGATTTCATCTCCCCAAGATTCCAGGATATAAATTTTAGGAATTACTTGAGTGATGCCGTTTCTATGACTTAGCGCATAGCGTGGTTCAAATATTTGAGTGTCCCCAGAGACCGCAAGAGATGAAACTTGAGGCTATCACCACCATCGCAGGAGACAAGACCGTTGAAAATTTGACTGCTCGAATAAGAACCTGGTCAAGTTTCGCGCATATTAGCTTCAACAATGTCTTGCGGATGTGGACTCCGGGAGCGGTGATTTGTTTCCAAACCTGTCTTGACATGAAGGTCGTGCTGTTTATTTGCCTGTCCCGACAAGGAGATCCACGCCATTTTTTCCGACCCTCATCAATGCTTCAGGGTACAGGTTGCGGAGCATATACCCTTTGAAGATATCCGCTCCTCAGCCTCACCTGGGCAGGGTTTGGCTCTACCAACCCTACAATCATAGACCTAAGCGAGATGAGTTTCAAGGGCTCTAAATATGGACTCCAACGTGCTGCTTTTAGCTGCCATCAAGCAAACCTACGAGGCGAGCATTCCGGCGATGTGATCAATATTCGCAAATCTTTCAAGTCAATACTTGAGGGAAATAGACAGGATGTAAATTTCGGGCTCCACACAATCGGAGTCGGCCCCAATCCAAGTTATGAAATTGTGTGGGCACACCGTCCCGAGTCAGGGGATTCTTTTTCACGATGGCACCATGATCTATTTGTAACCATCTCTCATACAGATACGAGTCGACAGTTAGAAACAGGGACCAGCTGTGTAAAAAGGGAGACTGCAACGGACTTCAGCGAAGCTTGGAACCTGGACGCCGAAATTTGCCACCATGGCAGGCCAAACACCCACGCGACAGCAATGTGCCTGGCGACCAGCAGCGACCGGAGCTTCCGAGCTCAATTATTGCACTTGCAGTTCAGCCGCTTTGCAATATGAGTAACTAGGCGCGCGCATCTCGTCCTGGATCTTATCATCTTGTCGCAGAACGGCATTCGGACTTGCACTTGAGCACAACCCGCCGAGATGGCAACCACCGAGGCCGGGGTTCTAGTCACGATATGGATCCTCTTTGCTCTCTCCACGACGTTCCTTGGCCTGCGCCTGTGGTGTCGTCACCACTATACTGCGGGTGTCTGGTGGGATGACTTCATCCTCATCGGCGGCTGGGGCTGCGTCGTCGCCGCCAATATATCCGCATCCATCTACGTCGCCGCTCATCCCGCCGATGGCAATTTCAGCCTTCTGTTCGCCAAGGTTGCGGCTGCAATCGCCTGCGCGCTGACCAAGACCGCTTTCTGCACCACAATTTTGAGGCTGCTGAGCCCGGCACACCACCCTGCGTGGAGATGGTTTGCCTGGTACCTCATGGTATCTTTCGACTTGGCGACTATCCTGCTAGTCATCCGGCAGTGGGCTAGGCAGTGTGTGTTCGAGTATGAAGACGGCGATGTGCGGTTGACGAACCCATTGGGCAGAGGTCAATGTTGGCCAAATGAGGTTGTGACTGGAATTGCAGATTTCCACATGGCTTATTCCGCGGCCACAGAGTGAGTGCACCCGGTTCTGGTGAAAATGTCCAGATATATTGCCTCGTCATGTGCTAAGCATTGACTGTAATTTCCAGCTTCATCCTATCCCTTATTCCCTTGCATCTCATTTGCCGCCTCCGGCTTAGTCGAACAGAGAAAGTAGGAGCGGCCACGGCTATGGGCTGTGGAATACTGTAAGGCTACCTACTTAGGTGGTTACCACCCATGACATGGTAATCTCTCTGTACTAAGCTCAAGTGCTGATAGTGATCCAACAGAGTGTCCATCGTTCCACTGTGCAAGCTGATTGTCTCGCAGCGAATGCGAGGCACTCCAGGATTCACAAGTAAGTTCATGTTCATACCAATGACGGCAAGTCTCGAATTTAACATTATTTAGAATGGTTCATTGTGTCAATGTGCCTCGACATCATCGAGCCGCTTTTGACCATCGTTGCGCAATCTATACCCATTCTCCGCGTGCTCCTCCGTGACAGAGCCACAGGCCGCGAAAGCTCAAGATATGTTACCATTCTGGAGGAAGAGAGCTCGAGTTGCGTGAGCAAGCTCAAGTCACCCGCTGAGCGATACACCTCAAGTCTAGCCAGTAAATCCCGCCTTAACTACCCGCAACTGGAGACAAGGCCAGTAGGCTACGATGAGACATGGGAGCAAATACCGAGTCCTGCAAGCCAGAACTTCCGACGCCGTAGTGTCGTGGCCCTGCATGAGATGGAACCCCCAGTCAGACCATATCCGGCCGTGTCAATTATTCTTGACACTCAATTCGGTGATCTGAAAGAGGAATGGGTAGGTTGAGACTCCGCGGCACATGAGGGTCCAACGGACTTTCAATGATTTCAATCAAAGAACGCTGCTTTACAAATCCATGATGCGTAGAACCCTATCTGAGCAAATTTGCGTATGTCGCTGGACTTCTGGCGAAGCATAGGGGCTCTGTGCCTTGTTCTGCCAATCCGAATTGGTCTCAGTGACCGATTCTTTCTTCAAACAACTCTAGAGCTTTGTGCCTCTCGCCACTTGACAAAGCCCCCGAGAAGTTTCTGTTCTTTCTGGTCCGGGTGAGAACCGATCATCTACTGCGTGTTAGATGGAAAGCGTCTGCTCTCGCCGGAAACAGGAGGATAAGACACGTCCTGGCGTGCAGCCCCGACTCTTGATCGGCCCAGGGGCATCTTGCCCAAAGTGAATATGCAGCCGCCATTTTCCACACTTTCGTTAGCTTTAGCAGTATCCCGACAGAGGTGAGAGAATGCAAGACAAGCACCATCTCACCAGCAGCTCCGGCGCCGACGTCGCTTGGCCTCGCTGCACAGCCTTGACGATGCCCTTGTCCTCCACCTTCCGCACCGCCACAAAACCCTCCAGTATGTCTCCTAAAGGTAAGCCAAGTTGTCGTATGCTCAGTCTGAGACTGTAGCAGGCGTCGAGACCAGTCGTGGGAATTCTCTGGCCCCCAGATAGCGCTAGACCGCCAATAGGATCGCACTCGACAACATTGATCGCTATAAATTAAATGTTAGGCAACACTTCTGCCCAGTGTTTGAATAACTTGCTCGGTCAAGGATAGGTAGCTTTGGGAACATTTGCCAGAAGTCTGAAATTCGTAACAGCCGCCTCACCATCAAGGCCTGCGATTGAAGCAACAGAGATGCATGCTGGCCATGCAGTCAGTGTTGCCGAGTTCTAAGCGCCGCAAGTCGAATTTGTTGAGGAGATAGGCTCCAGCTACATTATACCTTTTATTTAACTGTTTGGCTTTTTCTCAAGTCCAAAAGTACACATCTTATGTCTCATATCTTGTAAATGAAGTAAATATTTACGTAATGTAAGGGTTTCATTTCTAATTCATAACTATATCACACAAAATAAAAGTAAACTATCTTAACCGAAGCCTTATTCTGAAATCCTGGCCCTCTTTAACAGAAGAAAACCCCAGAACCGGTTTGCCCAAGTCGACTTCTGGCAAGCCCGGCTGCCCGACCATCTCGAAGTCGAATCGCCTAAGAAGCGTCGTAATGAATATCAACGTGGCATGCTTCGCGGCATGACGTCCAGTACAAAGGGTCTTTCCACCACCGAACAGTCGCCAGCTCGGGCTACACGTCAGCACCTTGGTCTTCTCGCCTGCGAACCTGCCAGGTCGGAAGCTCCTGCTGCCCTCACCGTAGACAGAGGCATCAAAGTGGTTTCGTTTTTAATCCCCATACATATAAAATGTATGTGGCACCTTCATATAAAGGTAAAGGCTCAAGACCCAGCGTTTAAAAAAGATATAGTGCCAATAACAGTGCAGAGAGAATACAGTAAAGTTCTTGCGAAACCAGTCAATTAGGAGCTTTAACAATGCAACACACCTTCCTGAATGCCCAGCCGGCTGCCATGTAAGATATGCAGGAGAGGCTTATGTGCTGTGATACTGGACTAAACTCCAGACATATCGATTTTAGTTTAGCTATATAAATTATTAATAGGAGAGGGGACTTATAATATAAAAATATAATATTATTTAGTATCCCTTCTAAGTATAAGGTTAAAAGATTTATAATTATAATTTTATAATTAGTTTTTTATTTAATTATATTATATTATTATAACTTTATTTAGTTTTATTTAAGCTTTTTTTAAGTTTTTTTAACTTTAATATTTTTAAGGGAGTTAAAGCTTTATATTTTTTAATTTTAAGTTTAAAATTCTTATAAATCTTAATATATTTTAAATTAAGTTTATAATCCTTTAATTCTTTTAGAAATATATTAACTATTTTAAATATTAATAACTTCTTTTAAAGTAAAAGTTTATCTTTATATAGTTATAAATTTAATTATTAATAGTTATTTCTTTTTCTATTTATAATAGAGTTATTAGAATTATAAATTTAAATAATAGAGTATAGTTACCTTACTTAATTATCTTTTAGTTTAGTTAAGGAATTACTTTTAAGTAGTTTTACTTATAGAGCTAATAGATAGGTATTTATTTATAGAGTAGAGCTAGAACTTATATATATTCCTAATTAGGGGAATAGTAGCTTTATCTTTATTTATTTTAGCTAACTTGTATTTAAAAAGCCTAAGTTATATAGTAATATTATATATAGTATTTAATAGTATTAAGATTAAGTAGCGTATAGTTTATAATAGCTTTAACCTTTAATAGACTAGGTATAGCTTAGTATATTAATATAGAAAGGTATCTTTTAATAATAAATAGTATTATAGATAATTATAAAGTTATTATAAAAGTTTTATATAGTAAACTTAATTAAGTTAATCTTTAAAAGATATATTATATTTTATCTCTTTAAAACTTTAATTATTTACTTTTAACTTAATAATAGAATTAAAAAATATAAATAGTTTATATTATTTAATATTATATTAAATACTTTATTTAAGGAACTTAACTTTAATTAATTATAATTCTTATAATTATAATAGTTATAAGGTTTATATTTTAATTTTAATATAATTATAATTAATAATTTAATATATAATTATTATTTTTAATTAATCTTAATTTAATATATTAATATTTTATATCTTTATAAGATTAATTACTTCCACTATTCTTAATAACTTTATAAAGTTATAATTTATTATAATAGTTTAAAAGTTATTGTTTATATAAAATTAAAGATTTATAATATTAATAACTATATATTTAATATTAATATAAGAGACTTTTAATAATAGTGAAAAGTTAGACCTACTTACTCTTTTAAAGGAAATTTTTAATTTTATACTCTTTAATAAAGTTTCTTAAAAAATTCGCTAAGTTTAATTAGGTATTAATATAAGTTTTTAATAAAGGTTAAAGTTACTTTAATCTTTAAGTTTATTAAATTTTAAAAATTTAAAAGTATATAAAGTTATATAAAAATATATTAAAATAGAAGGTATTTTATAAAAGTAAGGTACTTATAAAATAAGTTAAACTTACTTAATTTAGTAAAATAAAATTTAACTAATTAATTAAAATATTTCGACTTTAAAAATTTTATTAGCTATTATTAATAAGAGTTAATAAGTAGTTTAAGTTTTATATATAATTAGTAAAAATAATTTAAGTATTTAAATATTAAGTTTAATAAAATAATAAAACATTTAAATTAAATAAAGTTATAAAAGTTAATACTTATTTATTTAATAATTATATTTATTTATTTAAATTTCTTTAATTATTTATTTAATATAATAATTTATATATAAAGTTATATAAAAATATATATTTAATTAAAATTCTTTAAATTTTTAATACTTTTAATATAATTTATTTTAAACTTTTAATACTTTTATTTTTATTTTTAAGATTTTTATCTTTACTTTTAAAACCTTTTAATTTTAATTTTAATTTTAATTTTTAAATATTAATTATTTATTTAAATATTAATTACTTATTTAAATATTAATTATTTATTTAAATATTAATTAAATATTTAAATATTAATTAAATATTAAAAATTAAAAAATATATTTTTAACTTTTAATATATTTTTAAAACTTTCAACTTTTAATATTTAATTAATATTTAAATACTTAATTAATACTTAAATAAAAGTTAATATTTACAAATTTAAAAATTTAAAAATAATATTAAAAGGATATTAAAAATATTAAAAAAGTTTAAAAAAAGTTTATATTAAAAATATTAAAAGTTTAAAAAATATAAAGTTTTAAATATTAACTTAAAAGATATTTATAAATATAAAAGAGTTATTTAAAAAAAATTAATATTAAGTAAGTAGTTAATAAAAATTAAATAAATAGATATAATTATTAAATAAGTGGATATTAGCTTAACTAAAAGGTGTAGATGTGTGCCTGTGTGAACGCGGAAGTGGGGTAGGGACCATGGGGCGGGGACATTAATGGCCGGTTGTGTTATACACCCAAGTATATTAATCTGGTTTCCAGCACAATGGAGGCTGGCATTCTTTACCAATCTTACCTTCACACCCACATCCCAAAATGACAGATGCCAGTGGTTCCCGCATCCGTGTCGCCATCATCGGCGGTGGACTTGCTGGAACGACCGTCGCGAATGCCCTGATCCAGATTCCACACCTTGAGGTTCAGGTCTATGAATCAGCGCCCACCTTCTCAGAACGCGGAGCAGCTGTTGGTTTCGACTCGCATGCATTGGGAGTCCTGGAACTCATACTGCCCGGTCAAAAAGATGAAATCTTGAAGAAAGCGAAGGCAGTTGCGCTGAACTCGGTCCGCAATGTCATGGTAAGCATCCATCTCCGCCATCTTGAGACCGTCACCAGGACTAATGCGACGTCGGCGGAAGGGTTCAGGACCGAGCGCCGGCCAGATCGTCGCTGACCTAGATGGCGAGGATTCCGGTGTGATCGTCCACCGTGCTTCTTTGCTCCGCGAACTCGTGGCACGCTTACCCAAGGAAGCCTTGCACACTGATAAGAAGCTTGCTAAGTTGGATCTCAAGCACGGTACTGGTGCGATCCAGGTGACTTTCTACGACGGCACAACCAGCGAATCCGACGTCGTCATAGGCGCGGATGGCATATTCAGTACGGTGCGCTCGCACGTCCTCCAGGATAGCACCAACGACTTCGCCGCGTCGCCTGCAGGGTTCTGGGATTCCAGGATCCTTGTACCGTTCGAGAAGGCAAAAGCTATTCTAGGCGCGGAAAAGTTCGAGGTTGACCGGCAGTGCGGTTACATTGGAGACGGTGCTTTTGTCATGCACGATGTTCTGGAGGACCGGACTGTAGTGCAGTGCATCATCTCTGCCATCGAGCGCGAGCCGACGCGCGATAGGAAACGGGCCTTGACAAGAGAGAGCCTAACAAAGACTCTGGGTGCGTGGCTTGATGGCCCGATCGGAAAGGAAATTATAGAGGTAAAGTTATATTCACCCCAGACCCGATGCTGTGCTTACCTAGCGAGTAGCTTTCTCTTGAACAGCAGGACCTACATGGCTATTCTCAGTGGGAACATAAAGCAACTCCAACGTATTCTCACGGTAATACATGTTTGATCGGCGACGCAGCTCATGCTATGACTCCATGGCAAGGTTCAGGGGCAGCTATGGCATTCGAAGACGTGGCCGTTCTTCAAGAGCTTTTGAGAAACACCGGCTCTCCAGCTGACATCTGTGCGGCATTGAAGGCCTATGATATGGTTCGACGACCACGCTGCCAGAGAGTCATCAACTCCAGCAGGGAGACTGGCATCATCCTCTGTGGGAAGGACGCGAAGGCAGATTTGGATCCACAAAAAATAGGTGAGGCTTTGGCGCACATGTGGGATTTCATCATGGGCTTGGATATGAGAGCACACCGGGCCGATGCTTTGAAGACATTCAGGGAGATGGACAGGGCTTAGGAGACAACAAGCCTGTCACGAAACATATTGCTCCTTGTAATGCATCACACTATACCAAGATCTCAGGATGTTGTGAAGGTATTGCTACTGAAGCTAGTGTTTGGCTATTTGGGCTCTAATTAATAGCATGCCAAACGCGCCATCATGTCGCTATCATTAATACATTCTGCTTGCCCCTGCTGCTTTTGCTTCTCTTTGTCCTTCCAAGCGCACGGAATGAACAAGCTCAGCAGTGTTGGTCTGGATTGTGGCGGGGCACGGCGATCTGTGGACAGCCTGCCGTAAGACAAGCTGGATTGAGCGTTCCGCGGCGCATTGCATTAGTGCTGACAGGCAGATGTGCCTTGTTACAACGTCTCAGTCCTTTGATAACCAATAGAATAAGCACCTGGGGCATGTTGTGTGATTTGGGGGCTGTCGCACAATATTTGAATCGTGGGGGCTGTCACACAATCAACAGGCACCAGCATCTCCGAGGTCGACATCAGGCTGCAATCGGAAGATCGCAGGAAAATCTCCACTTTCGCCGTTGAATAGAAGTTCGACCCGTGGGTATCAGTTCCTCTTACCCACTGCTGGCGCAGTGGGGGCTACAGGGGGCAAGGGACGGCCTGCCCCCCGGCAATATGTATATTTGAAGCTTCTGATACGACTTTACTTCTTGTGTAGCCGAGTGACGACTTGGTCTAATTCACATGATGATGCTGAATGGCATCAGATCTAATTCACATAAATATTTATAGAATATGAAGCGACTGTTCAGAGACTGTGTTTAAGTGACGCTCTTTGATACGGCCAGGTAGACCTGACCACCACCCAGGAGACCAGCCCGCGGTCGAGGCCTAGAACGGAGTAGTCGTATTACAATGTGAGGAACTCAAGAATAATGCTATATGTAGATTGCATGACGAGGCTACAATCCACGCCGTATATATGACACTCTCTGGAGAAGCTTAATCAACCCTTTCGTGAGGAGTAACATGTGCTATTCCTATGTGTCCCTCTTTGCCTTCCAATATCCATTCATGTGGAGTTCTTGAGATGGCCCACTCCTCAATAGAACTCCACTTAGCGCAGACTGATCGTGAGTTGGATTTGGTGGCCGGTTGTGGTGCATTAGGATCATCCCACGCGAACGAGTATAAGCCAGTGTTTCCATGACACATGATAGTAAGTCGAAGCGTTTCGAGGCAGTGATCTGTAACTCATCAGTTCCGAAATATCAAGCAAGATTAAGGTGTAAATTGCATACATACCCAAATGCCCATGAAGATAAAGGTCTTGTGCTAACGTCAGGTTGGGGTAATACTTGTCGCGAAACAAATAAAACCTGAGTTGTCGCTGGGACCTGTTAGCTTATCTTCCCAGAAACGCTGAATAGGTGACATGCCAAACAATGTAGCTCGTGATATACCCCGATCGTAGCGGCATATCCACCTCCTTTGACCGCGGCTAGATTCTCGAGTGACTCCCCGCCGCGACGAAGCTCCTCGTAACTGGCATTGAAGTAAAGAGCTTCCGATCCGAGTCAGTTGCGGTTGCAGCACGGTCATGATGTTATTACATACGCCTGATCAAAGCTCCCCATGCATGTTCCAGCTCCTCTCTGGGTGGCCCAGAATATTTGCTAAACTTTCTGTGGTCCGTAGCATGTTCTGCGTTGATCTCATACTCGACGGAGGACTGGATTGGTGCTAAAATCCTCGTCAGAAGGTGGCGAAATCATCTTGTCACCTGAAGGAGACCTACACCAGCTTTTATATCTTTGCAATATTTTAATGGCATCTGCATCGACGTAGCTCCAGCTCCGAGTCCAAAGAAAGATAACCAAGAGGTGAAGCAGGATCATGTAGACACGAGTCAATGAGAGAATGCCATGGGACTTGACTCTTTGCGCTGCCGGGAGGAATCTGTCCTCGCATACTTTGAAGGGAGCTTCTTCTTCGTCTTCCTCGGGCGTGCTCCTCAGAGGGAGGAATGGGAAATTTGACTTGATGGGCATTTTGGATCTGTTGAGAAGTCTAAGTGCGATGTTCAATGGATGGGCTTGCAATGAGGACATGTGTGTACTATACAGCTTCGACTAACAGACAGGAGCAGGCCTCGCTCGGGGACAGGACGCGAAGATGTTTAGGAAAAAGGGGAAGGAAGAATAAAGGGGAAAGCGTCCGACCCGGTCCTAGATCTGTCAGTAAGGCTTACAGCGGGACCCGATCGTCATGATCATATCCTGATAAGGGAGGGGTAGCATTGACGACCCAACATCCCGGAGGGACATCTTGCGCTCGCCGAGCAAAGGCCGTGGCACCGCAGCCTTTTCTTGGATACCTAGATATATAATGTATCACTTCTAACACCCTGCCTACGTTTCTGGAGTAGTCCTGAGTTTCTCCAATTTTCCTTAGACTTCGACCTTCTCACTTCAGTGATAAAATCGCAAGCATCATGCACTTCTACCAGTTTCTCATGGCAGCACTTGCCTTGGTCGCCGTTAATGCTATGCCTATCGAAGGTATGTGGTTCCAATTCATTTCTCCCAGACTGGACAATGTCGTCTGACCAACTCAGATCCCGAGTCATTCGAAGATTGGTCTATGGCTCCTGAGGCCGACAGGCCTGTTGCCGAGGGTGCCGACAACGTTGCTGTTATGTTTTGAGGATAGGAAATCTTGATGCCATTCGAGGCTCCTATGAACGGGTATTTGATATCCTACAGTCAGATCGAGTAGTTTGATGATTCAGACGCGTGGGGACAGAATGTGATAGATTTTCAGGCTTGCACCCTCTGATTCCTCCGTGTATGCGTAGAACATGTGCAATTCATACTGCGGTGACGAGATTGTGGCTACGGGGTAGGTTCTGTTGAACCTAGAGTACACACTAGGGGACGGGAAGGAGGGCGGGAGGAACCGACGGCAGTGGCGACATCCCTGACAATCAGCCACGGCGCATGTCAGGTATCTATGGTGGTCCCACCACCTTCTACGTGTTTTTTCAGCCTTGTTTGTGGTTTTACTGTGTTCGAAAGACCTCTGATGAACTAATTCAGACCTCACAGCCAACACGAGTGGATAAAAATTCATCGTAGTCGAGTGGTCATCTAAAAACAACATCATTGGCTTGTGTACGACACGTCATGACACTGTTTCTCCTCTGCAGGAAGTAATTCCAGTTTTCCGTTGCATCCAGTTCCACGTTGCATAAGTCCACTTCTAGAAGAAGGCCATCATTGGATGCATTGTAAGACTCTTGCGGCTGATTTTCATTCCGCCGACCTTATCATGTAGGATCGCGCAGCAGCGCAGCTTACATTGACTGTGATTCTTGGCCCCCAAGTGCGGGGCAGGTTGTCTTGAAGGATTTGGAGGATCAGGTCATGATTGGATGCCTTGTGGGATTCTTCCGGCTCAAATCTCACCCGGGACCGACGTTGCACCGCGGCACATCATGTACAACCACCACGCATCGAAGGATCGTGGCAATAGAGCTGTTGTATGCGGAAGGCAGAGCGAAGCAGCTGAAATTGACAGTGCTTGGCCCCCTAGTGCGGGGCAGGTTGTATGAAAGGATTCTGCAATGCTGCATGCGAGTGGGTAGATTTCGACTCGAGTGATCCCAAATTAAAATTCGCACCATTCAGATGAGATTACAGAAATGAAGACTGAGGCTCCGGCTCCTCGTATCCCAGCCTGACTTTTTCCCGCACCGCCCGCATATTCTTGCATTGGTGCCCTACAATGCCAGGGCGAAGGAACAGAGGGTATCATTACGAGCTGTCGTGACGCGACGAAACCTGTCCAACATCACACAACGTATTCTTGGCTTGCCCATGCGACAACGCGCGAGACAAGCCATCGTGTACAGGAGTAGTCGGTGTTGTAACCACCTACTAAGTATGTGCGCATGCAGCAGGCTTTCCAAAATCCTGCTACAAATTTGGGCAAATCGTACTAAGGAATGCATCACATCAGCCCCAGGATGCAACGTGACGTTCTGCACCAACGTATCGCACTGCGTGCATCCCAAAATTTTCAGGGACCGGAGTCATCATCAGGCTGTCGAAGTGGTCAGGACGACAAGCACAATCTTCCAGACATTCACACCTCAGTTTTCTAGGAGGCATTGCGCCAAATACCCCGAGGAAAAGAGGCTATAGTGTAGTCCTAGGATATCCTCTCGTTTCTGCAGATCAGCTTTCTCCATTTCTTTCCAGAAATGTCTAAAGAACGGTCATATGTCACGGAGCCGGGATATGTCATAGCGGCTGCCATGCTGTTGTCCGTCCTGGACGTCATTGCAGTAAGCCTAAGGTTTTTGGCCCGGATCAGACAACGAGATGCACTCAGAATAGACGATTGGCTTGTGCTACTTGCGACAGTGAGTTCACCATTATCAGGACATCTTACTAGTGTTTTAAACTTACTAGATGACAGATTTTGGTCATTGCCATTTCCATAGAGGTAACTTATGGCGTCTCCCAAGGCGCTGTTGCTCATCCAACTCAAATACCTCCCGAATTTGCCGGCGATCCCCTTGAACTCACGACGCCTCAAATATCTCTTGTGTATAAGGTAATTGAATGAGTAAGCTTTAGATGAGACACAAGTGTTGACACAGTGACAGATTCAATGGGCCTTTGATCTGATGCTACCTTTGGCACTGGGTAGTGTCAAGACTAGCTTCCTATTCTTCTACTTGAGAATCTTCGTGGTGAACAGGAGAAGCCTGGCTGGCTACCTTCTCGGCGGTCTGATTATACTAGTGACTCTGTGGTCTATTTCCTTCTTCTTTGCATCCCTTTTCCAATGTCGATTGCACTTCTGGGCTCTTTGGGGATCCACTTCGGACATTGTGAACAATTGCGTCCAGACGATGCAATTGGTTCTCGCAGTATGCATCACGGGATTTATAACAGATCTTTGCATTATTTGTGCCCCAATACCGTTGGTAAGCAAGCTCTCCGAGTCCATTTAGGCTTATGCTTACCGATTGACAGGTCTGGCAGCTCAAGCTTTCCACGGCCAAGAAGATATCCGTCATTGCAATCTTTCTTCTGGGATCAATGTATGACATATCTAATTTGTGAAACCCACTTGAAGGGTCCGCCACTAACCAGTGTCTTGATAGAACCATTGTGGCTTCCCTTCTACGACTAGTGATGATGGCTCGGCTTGTTGTGTTAGGTTTTTCCCCAGATGAGGATGGTCTTCGTAAGCAAATCCCCAAGCCATATCTAACATGGTGTAAGTTCTAATACAGTTCTCAGTCGTTGTTACTGAATACCTCTACTGGGGAATTGTTGAATGCGGTGTGGGGGTCCTCGCTGCTTGCCTCCCGACCCTTCAATCTCTTTTTAGACATTGGTCCTTGGCTCCCGTCATGACAAGTATTAAAAGCTTTCTCAGCACCATTTCAACGCCTTTAGAGTACGCCAAGTTCAGGGGAACTTCCCAGGGTTCTAAAATGACTGGCCATCCGGATCATGTACCACTGAGCAGGGACGACACCAAGCCGGGATCTTCTAGGTCGGAGGCCGGTATATTAGAAAGAGCGACTGACATTGAGGCGTATCCAATGGAGCAGACGAGGGCTCATAACCTTGTCTAAAGGATTTTATTTCACACTTGAATCTACCTGAGCTCAAACATTCATTTAGGCTGGTACTTAGGTTTATTGTTGCGCAGGATGCACTTCGACAATTAAATAATCGCAGAGATTTAATTGTGAATTGGGTTTTATATGAGTTTTAGCCATCTGCAGATCTTTCTGAAGTTGTACCGGATCAGGGAGTTTGTACATAGTATCGTCTAGGATGCAGGGACGCTGATGGAGGTGTTCCTAAATTGCAGCTGGTTTGGTGCAGTAGTTCACTAATTGTGGAGTACCTTGGGAGGTGACACCGACATAGGTTCACCTGGGCATGTTGTTAGTCGCTGCAAATAGCCCACTAGATGTGGGGACTGCGGGCCTCTTCTCAGCGGCCTAGGCATCACGTTTTTACGCGATCCCTAACATCAGGCAAGCCTCCCGACTTTCTACATCAGCACAACATAGAGACGAACAAATACCAATACTCCCCACTATCAAGCCCACACTAGATTCATCTACTTAAACTCTACCCTAGAGAAGATTTCAAGAACTCCTAGCTCTCCATAGACCTCATCACCATACCCCTTAATAAGGCCCCTTCATTTAAAGCCCTATCATACACTTAGAGTAACCCCTTACTATAGATAGAAATCCACTACTCTAGTCTTACAACTAGAATAGGTTATAATATCTATAACACACTAACTTAACTAGCACCTTATACTTTAAAGCCTAATTAATTAATTTAAACTAATATACTCTATATTAATTAAAAAGATATCTTTAAATAAAATAATTAAATATTAATTATAATTAATATTTATAGGGAATAAAGATTTATAGGGTAAAAAACGGAAGGTATAAAGTAAGAAGTACTATTAGTTAATTAGAAAGCTTTATTCAACCTTCTTTCACTACTTATACTACCTTAATTAAATACTTTTTACACTCTAACCTATACCTATTAATTTATAAAAAAAAGACTTAAAGGGAGATTTAAGTACTTAAAAACTTATTAAAATACTTTAAATAATAATAAAGAAAGTAATAATAAACTATTAAAGTAAATAAAAGTAATAAGAATAATATTTATATAAAGTAATAAATATATAGTTAATAATTATATAATATTATTATTTTTATATAGTAAATTAATAGTATAAATTAAAGTTTATATATTTAAAATATATATTATTTTATACTTTTATTTTTATTTTATAAATCTTTATTCTTTATTTATATAGTAATATTAAAGATATTAATTTAATTAAATAAAGAAAATAAGCATATTATTTATATAATAAAATATTTTAAATACTTCATAAAGTTATAAAAATTTATAATTACTTTAAAAGCTTTATAAATTTTATATAATTATAGTTTTACTTCTATTCTATATATATTTAAAGATATATATAGTGTTTTATATAGTAATAAATATTTAAAACTTAATACTTAAAAGAATATAATATTAATAATAATAATTATAATATAATAAGTATTTATAATTTTAACTTTATAATATATAAATAAAGTTAAAGGGTATTATTTTAATAATAATATTAATTAAAATATTATAAAAGTTATATAATAAAATTAAGTTTTAAAAATAATTATTATATAAATAAATTATATTAAAAAAAGTTTAATTAAAAATTATTCTTTTAAATATATATATATATATATATATATAAGACGGTGCCCCTTAGCCTTATCTGTATATCGTAAGGCTAAGGCTATAAGTATCTATTATATTATAACTATTGTTATCGGTATTATGTTCTTTCCAAGCGCTAGGTCTTAAGTGCTTACCTGTGGGAGCCCCTCGGGGGTGCAAGCAAGTCAACTGGATTCTAGCTTAGTCATCAGCTTAGTCAGCAGGTTCTTAGACCCAAGGCTGGGGCCTTCGCCCCAGCCCGCCTACAGCCTAACTTAGTAACCAACCAACCCAATACACTCTTTTCAGACCTAACTGCTTACCCCCCCATTTATCTGCCACATTACCACTATATAAAGGCGCTATGTATGTCCTTGGATGTATACGGAATAGAAGTGAAACCACACTATATATATATATATATATATATACTTTATAATAAAACCTTTATTAAATAAATATTATAATCTTTATTTAAGTATATAGTTATTAACTTTAAAAGAATTTAAGATAAAGAAATAATTTATAATATACTATTTTTAAAACTTTTATAATAAAGTATTAAAACTTTTAAAAGAGTTTTAAAAGTAATTTATAAAAATAAAAAAGATATAATAAATTTATCTTTTTTAGTTTATATTTTATTATTAATAACTATTAACTTTTTAATAATATAGAAAAATATAATAAAAATAAAGAAAAAGTGAATTTAAAATTTCTTTTAAGAAAATTATAAAGATATATATAAAGTTATTAAAACTTTATATATAAGCTTTAAACTATTAGAGAAGAAATAAGTAGTTAAATTAAAAGATAGTTATATAATATAAAAGAAAAATATAGTATAGTTAAAGTTTTTATAAATTTTTAAAATAATATTTACTTTAAGTTTTATAAAGTAATTAAAGTAATAATAACTTTAAAAACTCTTTAAAGAATTATTAATAATAAACTAACTTAAATTAAAATATATAAAAATATTTAAAACTCTTTTATAAAAGCTATAGCATAACTCCCGGCAAGGATGATCCAGGTGTTGAGTTCAATAGAATGTTACCTACCTACTCCGTACTTAGTAGGTAGGTAAGCGGGGCTGTGGGGGCCCCACTGCGGCGCTTGAGTGCTGCTGTGGTTGGCGAGTTTATGGGTCCCCTCTCAGCCATTCACCAGCGCGATTTTCTCCATGTCACTAACAAGTATTCAATACTTGGAAGTTGATTGTGAACCGCTCGCGGTGGATACCGTGGTCGGCATCCAGTCGAATCTTTTATTGACTGCCCTGCTGGAAAGCCGGGGAATCGCAACCGACCAATTCACCGTGGATCAATGATCCACGGCCGACATCAGGAGTCAAAGACAAGAGATCCTCTCCCCTTCTGAACTCAACACCTACGTCCATCTTCGAGGTTCTTCTGAGTCCTCTCACCCAAGGTCCTTTGTTAAGTACGAAATATTTGGTACTATCTATTTGTTTTCGGAACCAACCACATTCAATCACCATGGCAGATCACCAAAAATTTGCTCCTAAAGGCACTGTCCTGCTGACCGGAGCCAATGGCGGACTTGGAGTAGCGATGGTCAAGAAGATCGTTTCGCGACCAGACCTAGCTAATCTTCAAGGGCTCTATGTGGTTCGAAATGCGGCATCAGCCCCATCACTGCGTTCCGCTGTCGCTGGTGCCGTGCGTCCTCATCCTCACGACGTGATATCGCTGGATCTCACCCGGCTGGATGATGTACGCAAGGTGGCGGCAGACATCAACGCACGTGTGGCATCTGGGCAGATCCCTCCGATCCGTGCGCTTATCCTCAACGCCGCATATCTCGAGTTTGAGCAGCAGACATGGACAGAAGATGGATTCGATACCACTTTTGCGTCTGCTTATCTCGGCCACTGGCTTTTGACAATGCTTCTCTTACAGAGTCTGGACCACCAGGTCGGCCGAATTGTTGTAATAGCTAGCTCTGCACACGAGTAAGTACTACTGGTTCCGATATTGATTTTCCTGCACTCCCTTCCATCGTTGTTTTGAGTGGCATAGTCCCTTGGTCTCTGGACCTGGCTGATGACTTTAAATGTAATTAGCTCGCAAGACAGGCGGAACGATGCGGGTGGCCAGTATCTGGGTGAGAAGTGGCAGACAGTATTCCACGACAGCACTGAGCCCATCGCAAGAGGCACATGGAGTACTACCAAGGAAGATCCTTCTTTCCGCGGCGGCTTCAGGCGTTACGGCGCAGCGAAGCTCTGCCAAGTCATGATGATGTAAGTTCAGGCATCCTCTCTTTTGCAACATGCGGTTGATTGTGCGGCATTCGAAGACTAATCATCCTCGCAGGGCTGAACTCCAACGTCGCGTCGATCTTGACCACGTTCTGAGCAACATATCCGTGCTTGCAATTGATCCTGGTTCCACGCCTACTCAACTGATACGACGGGGCAACTGGATGATTCGTGGACACTGGACCTTTATTATGCCATGGCTCGTAATTATTCTTACGTGGCTGTGGCCCAATGGGTCAAATCGGACCACCAAAAAGTCTTCCGGTGATCTCATTGCAGCGGCGTTCGACTCTAATCCCACACTGGGCGAGAGGCCCAAGGGTCTCTATTTGGACGGCGAGGAGCCACGGCAGATGGCTGCTGAGGCCCGTGATCCCAGGAAGCGTGAGATCCTTTGGCATGACACCGTAAGGTATACGGGCTTGAAGGGCGACGAGACGGTCCTCTCCAACTGGGCATAGAATAGCGGAAGTTAAACTTGAAATCATCACTGCGGTCTATATCATTACCGCCTTGCATATAGAAATAAATTAATTCTTGCACACTGGGATTCCCGTTCCTCGATCTCTGAGAACCAGAGGCACTCGTTGAAGTGATGTCTTGACTGTACGGCATAATAGTACCGCATTAGTACCTAGCTACCGCATTAATCGGAGTCGTGCTGGTGCGATGCATTTCACTGTCTGTGGAAAGTTACCAGCAAAAAGGGCAGAAGAGCTGACACGGTTTCCCACATCGATGTCCAGATTGGAACTGGTTCTGGACCACAAAGTGGAACTCAGGTCGCACGCAAGGTGGAATCTAGGTGAATCGGGCAAGGTGTTGGATACATCAAAATTGGAATTGACTAACCTATTTCGGGTTGCCGACCAATCCCCAGCAAGCTGCACGTCCGGCACGTATCAGGGCCCACTACCCTCGTACCTAGGTAGGTGTTGGTGTTTTGTGGTATTGAGGGTGGGTAATGGACGATCCAATTGCCAAAAATGTGTTGTACACCACAACCAACAGAAAGTCTATTCTAGACTAATAGCAAAGATCGCCAAAAACTTCTGCCTACTGGACACTTGGGCGGACGAAGTATTGGGTCATCTGTCATGCCGACCCTCGCTTAGCGTGGGTGGAATTTTCAGGACGTTGCCCGACTACACCACTGTGTGCTCGTTGCGGGGCGGCGCCTGCGCAAGTATGCCTTCTCAGATGCGACTCGATGCCCGGTTGTTCCGGAGTTTGTGCCGCGAAATGGATCGTACTAAGTCTTCATGCAACGGTAAGGCACACTCAGCGGCAGAGGCGGCCTTCATTTTCAGTCATCTCCCGGTGCAGCAGGAGACCTCCGATCTTTTTCTCAAAGCATTGTACCTGGATTATTAGTCTTAAGAGATGGCATAGTTGAGTCAGAGTTCCCGCTGGTGGTCGTGGTAGCGACAAGTGAACTGGATGCCAACTTAAGTACTTAATACAGCTTTAACCACATTATATTTTTTATTTAATTATTTAATTATTTATTATTTTCTTAACTTTTAAATTAATTATTAGTTTATATAATAAATATAAAGTTAATAATTATTTAATATATAATTTTAAACTTATTTATATATAAAGAAAGTTATTAACTTTTTTTATAAAGCTTTTTTTTTATTATATTTTTTATATATTATATAAAAATAAATAAATTCTTAATAATAAAGTAATATATTTAAAAAAATTTAATTTTTAAATATTTAAATTTTACTTTTTTATATAATATTTATTTAATATATAATAAATAAACTTTATTTAATTTTTAAAAGTTTTAATTTTTTATAAAATTTATATAAAAGTTTTTAAATAAGTTTATTATTATAATATTATTATTCTATTAATAATTATATATTTAAAATAAAGACTATAATATATTTAATTTATTTAATAATAGTAAATTTAAGTAATTATTAAGTATATTAATAAGGAAGAGCTAACTTATTAAATTTTATATTATAGAATTCTTTTCTTATAAAAGTTATTTTAAAAACTATTTTAATTTTATTATATAATTACTTTATTAACTTATTATAATAAATTAACTTTTAAGTTACTTATATTAATAATATAATATTATTAAGAATAATACTTTTAATTTTATAAATATAATATAAAACTTAATTATATACTTATATATTATATTCTTTTTCTATTAATATTAATATTATATTTCTTTAAATATTAAGTTTTAAATATTTATTATTATATAAAGGCGCTATATATATTTTATATATAGAGAGATTAAAAACGAAACTATTAAATACTTAATATACTTTAAGGTTATAGTGTTATCACACACATTTAGAGTAGATGCAATTTTATTATCTTCTATATAGCCTAAATAGAAATTATCTAACCTAAATGGATACATAGATGCATATTAAGGCCTTGGCCCGAGTACGAGCTGCACTTCCAGCTAAGCACTAGTAGTCGACTAAGCTGAGGTCCACAACATTTCGAGCAAGCCATGATGCTCGGAATTAGCATGAAGCCCGCCAACAACGCCTTGCAAATGGACTCCTCTTACAGCGTTAAATATCGAAACAAATGTAAATTCAAAAGTGAGACCTCATCCGTAGTTGAAACGAGGTGTTAGGAAAGAAGGACATTAGGCTAAAATACACACATCTACCGGCTTCCTTGTGTTAAAGATCATTTTCATCATCTAAATCCGTCCTCCGTCACTCATGCCTTCCGATTATCCTGTTGTCTTTCACCCTAAGTCACTATAACGGGGCACTATATCTAAGATTAAGGGAAATCCTATAAAAAGATTAAAACCTTTTTAGAAAGTTAAGTAGAGTTTATTTATAATATATAAGATAAATATTATATAAGGAAAATAAAAGTTTAAATATTTAAAAGTTAAATCTTCCTTTTTAAATATATTATTTTATTATTAAAAATTTATTTAATTTTTATATAATATATAAAGAATATAATAAAAAAAGAAACTTTATAAAGAAAGTTAATAACTCTACTTTATATAAATAAATTTAAGAGTATATATTAAATAATTATTAACTTTATATTTAAAATATAAATTAATAGTTAGTTTAAAAGTTAAGAAGATAACAAATAGATAAATAGTTAAATAAAAAATATAATGTGGCCGAAGCTGTGTTCGATGAAAAACTCCATAGATTGCACGTCGCAGCGATAGACGCACCAAGTGGGTAACGGATGTATTTTTACACTCTAAAATGCATCTGTTGGTGGCTTTGCCAACGATATCGCCCTGCCACCGAGGCATATTCGAGCTTGGGACGGCATTTGTCATTGGGATGGTTGTCCTGGGCTCACCATGACCTCGGGCATCAGCCGGGCGAACATGCTCTCCAGGGCTCATGTCACAAGCATGTCTGTCCCATATCGCAGACGTATTCAGGTCAGGTCCGCCTACCCGTCACTCATCCTACCTAGGCATATGCAAGGCCCTGGTTCCTCACCATACTGTCGCGCGAAGAGTCTAAGTTGAAGTTCGAGAAAAAAAAGCTCTATCTACGTCGGTACGTGGGAAGAAAAGCAATTCTGGGACACAATTAATCCCAACTTCATTTTCCAAAAACGGTTGACGGCAGCTTCGAATTTGCAATAAACTTGGCAATGCTGCTCAATACTTTTCTGCAAGTGGCCGAGGGCAACTTGGCACTGTGGCTCCTTTATTTGCTGGTTATATTTATTACATGGACTGCTTCGAACGCATTGTCACTTCGCCAAATGCGTCCTGTGAGTCTCGTGTCATCCTGTTACTGTTACAGAATTACCAAAGACATCATCGCATCTGCTAACATCTACTTTAGAAGAATATCATGATCGTTGGCGACTGTCTCACCTGGGGCAAATGGGCGACAACCTTGAAGTTTATCACTCATGGAAGTGAGACCATTTCAAAGTCGTATCAGAAGGTCAGCATGCAGTGTAGCGTCTTCAATTCCGGTTCGAAATTGCTAATTTGTCTCGCAGATCAGACATGCGCCGTTCGCCGTACCTGCAGTCAAGGAATATATGATTCTCGTATCACGGCCGGAGCAAATTCTGGAAGTAGCGCGGTGCCCTGAAGCCATTCTGTCATTCCATGCCGCTATGAAAGATGTCAGTTTGTTGCCTTCAGTTTGTTGCCTTCATAAATCTCTCGTGCATCGAGAAAATTATGCTTGCCCATCACATTAATAGCGTCTGCGACACAAGATAACCATGATGGGATTCGAGCACAATCATATTGACCCAGACGAGTATGTCACATTGCAAGTGGTAAAAGTTCATCTACGTAAGAACATGGGTGTCTTCAGCCCCGTAATACACAAGGCAGTATTAGAGGGCTTTCGAAAGGAATTTTTGAAGGCCGAACCCAAAGGAGGTATGTGGTTTCGCTTCTATTCCGTATACGTCCGAGGACATACATGGCGCCTTCATACGGTGCCAAAGGAGGTATACTCCCCGACGTGCACTCATATGAGCTTAGACTAGCAAAATATCTGACAAGCGCCTTGTTAGGGACATTATCCATCTTTTCGGTGGCGATGGCTGTTGTGGGAAACGTCAACAATCAGATATTCTTCGGCGACGAACTGAGTAAGCCCACTCTCAAATGCGGACTCCACAACCGCAATAGAGCGCCAACACTGATGCTATCCAGGCAAGAATGAAACATTTGCGAAAGCTGCATTATAGTACCCCTGGCACGGCTCTACCACAGCCGAGCTCTGCAGATATGTCCCTGAATTTCTCACGCCGTACGTATCTGTGTTCTGGGCCCACAAATGCTTTGCTAACAATCACCATTATTGCAGGCTTTTCGGTCGATGTATGATGTATTGCCTGGGTTCAATGCGAACTGTGGACAGATATCTTTCGCAGTTGGTTCACCGAAGATAAGAAGAAAGGTTGAGCAGCACTAGCATCAAACATGTAGGCCGTCCATTCATACATATGTCTACAGAATTCCCAGACTAAAAATGTCTAATCAAGGTCGATATCACGCAATTCATTCTTGATACGTCGAAGACTCCCGGTCAACGTGACCCGGTCCGGATGAAACAACTGATAGCGGCGCTCCTTTTTGCCGTCTCGCTGGCTGTGCCAATGGTGAGATGAACAGTCCACATTGCGGCCTGGAGATGCAGGGCTAACGAGAGTTCTACAGGCTGCCTATTGGGAAATCCTCAATCTTTGCATACACCGAGACTTTGTGCATCTATTGCGGGATGAAATCTATAAAGTTGAAGCGAGAGGCGACGCTGACCCGATCAAGAGCCTCCGGCTACTTGACTGCTTCCTGCGAGAATCGGCAAGACTCTGTCCCCCAGATGCAGGTAAGTTAGTATTCCTTGTTATGCAAGTGGGAAATTCAGGTTAATGATAAACAGTGACTATGCAACGCAAAGCTGTCAAGGCGTTCCAATTCTCCGATGGAACTTTCGTTCCTGCTGGAAACCTCATCGCTATACCTCAACATG